TATATTAGAAGGTTAACCTGCAGTAATTATAAAAGGCTGCTATAGTAAATTAGGGGGTTATTTTATAGTAAATTAAAAGGTTAACCTGCAGTAAATTAGAAGGTCAACTTATAGTAAATTAAAGGGTTATCTTATAGTAAATTAGGGGGTTATCTTATAGTAAATTAGAAGGCTATTATAATAAATTAAAAGGTTAACTTATAGTAAATTAGAGGGTTAACCTATTATAAATTAGAGGGTTAACCTATAGTAAATTAAAAGGCAGCTATAATAGACCTAGCTTAATAAAACTAAGGCTTTAATGCTTATCTTAAGTATTTGTCTTTTTATGCGCTATTAGCTATTAAGGGAGAGGGATAGTAGGTAAAGAGCTATTTAGTTAATATAGCTAGGATAGGGCTAAGTAAGTAGAGTTAGGTAAGTAAATAAATAAATAAATAAATAAATAAATAAATAAATAAATAAATAAATAAATAAATAAATAAATAAATAAATAAATAAATAAATAAATAAATAAATAAATAAATAAATAAATAAATAAATAAATAAATATTAATATAGTTATTATAATATAATATAAACTCTAATTCTATTTTATTTTACTTTTTATTATTGCTTATAGTAATGCTAATTCTTGTTCTCTGTCTGGGGTTGGAGCTTAGGAGCTTAGGGTTAGCTTGGGGTTAGCTGCCTGCTTGGCTGGTTTTGCGTGTGGTTCTGCGTGAACTGTGGTTCTGCGTGAACTGTGGTTCTGCGTGAATGGTCTGTGCGCCTGGCTGGTTAGGCCAATCAGCTAATACAGCAGTTAACCCCAACCCCACTTGCCATTGTGGTTCAGCGTGAACCCGCCCGGGACTGGCGACCAGGGCGAAATTAATAGAATTAAATTAGTTGCCAGCCTGAATTAAAATAATTATTACAAGTATTAAATGGGATTAATTGAATTAATTCACGTGACTTCAACTTCTATAAAATTGACGGGATTGAGTTGATGGTTGAATTAATCGCCAGCCTAGTTTAAAAACAACCACCCTCATGCCCTCACCCCATTTCGATAGATATTTAGAAATGTACGGATGTGCTGGGAAATCTGGCTTAGCTGAGATCCTTCCACTTAGGCTCGCAGTCGCCCTTTGCGGCGATCCAGTCGTTGATTCCCTGGACGAACCAACCGCTCGTCCACTTCTCCCCAGGCTTCTCCTCCTTCTTGGGCTTACCGTTCTTGAAGCTTCTGGCGATGCAGCACACGTTCTTGTGGTAGCGCCACTGGAAGCAGCGACGAGATCCATGAAACTCCTTATCATCTTTGCGTAGGTCGTACCTCGCCTTGACGAGAGCGTTGCGCTCTTCGTCGTTGCTAAGGCTGAAATACTCGTCGTTGGTGATGCCGAGACCATCAGCCTCGCAAACCTTGGCGCAGTGCGCCTCATCATGGTGAGCGCGTTGCTCAACCGCGTTCTTCTGATCTTCCTTCTTCTGTCGGCCCTTCTGGTGGTCAGAAGCCTTGTTCTGGGCCTCGGGCTCCACTCCGATGTAGCAAACGTCGTCGGAAAAGTTGTCCCATTCATCCTGCTTCTCCTTTATATTTGGGCCGAAGAAGGCTTCGTATATGTCCTTGATTTGGAGGGGACCCTGCACTTCAAATTAGTTTGTTTCATTTTTTGATACGTAGCCATCCCCTGTGTGCACAAACCTTCTTCTCTCGCGTCTTCTCATATTGCCATACCGAGCTGACCTCCTCTGCATTCATGTGATGCATGGTCAAGATAGGTTCACACCAATGTCCATTTCCAAAAGGTAGCGTGACGGGTTTCTCGCCGTTGAACATCGGGTGAGCCTGCCTGACCTTCTTACCCGTCTCCATGACGGCTAAGGACATGAGATAGTCACCGCAGCATTCATGTGTAGCCATCTGATCGTACTTGGCCACTAGATCTGGGATCTCCGCCATCTTCTTGACTGTTTCGCCGTGAATAACATAGCCGCTACCTCCGTGGGCGAAGCGTGTATTCTTGAGCATGGTCACACTTCCGACATACGGTGTCTCTTGCCCGTTGACCTTGTTGCGTAGCCACCAGACCAGGTTTGACCAGAAGATATAGCTATCGGCTTCGGCAAATACATACCACTCCATGTTGGGGCGCATCGCCCAGACACGATCGATCATGTGAATAAACTTGTACTTGTCAAGTTCCCAACCACCCTTCATGTCGGCCGTGCAGTATTGCTGAGGAATGGGGCAATCGACCTGCGTCTTGTAAAGATCAAACTCCTTACGTCCCTGCTTGACCTCATCTTTGACATCTTCGAGGACGTTGTAGACGTGATAATTGCCAATTTGTTGCTCCTGTCCGAATTCGTTAGCTGCAAATATTAATATAACTGTGGAATGGAAACAGAGTTCTGTCAATAGCACGAAGCATGCGCCCGCAATTATCCCAAGTCACGCTTCCTCACCAATCGGTGTCGCTACTCACAAGGTCAGAGAAAAGTAAAAAGTTAGGCAAGCACTGCAGACTCGTCAGGAGATGAATCGGGAGCTTCGTGTATGCTTCGGTAGCACCCGTCTTCATTACTAGCAGGATACCGTCTGTGTTGGGGAATCCGTGACAGGCACCGTTCAGGTTCGACGGCGGACCAGAGGGACTCTCAACGTTTACCGGTTCACTAGGCTTAGTCTCAAGGACGACACTGATGGTCTCCTGGCTACCAAAGTCCTTGGTCACGGTCTGGTCGTCGTCGTTGTTCTGACTGCCCGTGTTGCCCTTACCTTCAGATGTGAGGACTCCTTCGGCCTTCTTATCCTCCTGAATTAGGCTCTTGGCGCCTTCAGCGGCGGTCTCCTCGTTCTCAAGCTTACCATCACTGCCTCCACTCTTATTGGGTTCCCCTTGATGTTTTTTGTTGTCGCCCTCGACCTTACCATCATCTTCAAGTGGACCACCGGCGCCCTCGGCCTCCTTCCTCAGTGTACTGTTCTCCTTGTCTTCTGCTTTGTTGTTGTCGTTCTCTTGGTAGGCGTTGCCGCTTTGTGGCTTCTTGTCTCCGGCGGGTTTGTTGTCGTCGTCTTGGGCTTCTGTTCTACCCCCGACGTCGTAAGTAGTGCCTTCATGGCTGGGGTATTCGGTCAAATGGCCGTAAATACCCAGGGAGTCGTCGTCTAGCTGATGGAGGGGCACGACAAGAAACATGGTTAGGACATAGAGAGTGAGGGCAACCAGCTTCCGGCCTCGAGGGGTGCTCCAGGCGGGGCCGAATCCGAGACCCATTGGGAAAAGCTACAGTACAAGCCAAAAGTACATAAAAAAGAGAGGAACTAGAAAGAATGAAGTGAGGGTGAGAAGAAATGATTGCATAGAAAGGAAAAAGGAGGGAATCTAAGGCGAACAAGTCATCCTTGACAAAGTTGGAAAGGAGCCGACAAGAAAAACAGAAGGAGGAGAGATGGTCACTTGATCTTAAAATCTTTTTAAGTTTTACAACGTGCATCATGTTCAATACAATCAACGGTCAGACGCACTCCCCCTGACGGGGATTGAAGCTTAAATAATGGGCTAGGAGGGTAGGTTGTGGCGTAGTAACACAGGACAAAGTTTACCGTGCATTGAGGATGCGAACCCAACGAGCGTGCACGGAAAAAAAGGACGTAAATTAATGAAATTACAAGGGAACAGGGACTAGCGCACGGACTATAAGTATGTATTTTATTCGAATCCAAGCAGTTCTTAGTACAGTAGTAGTAGGTATGGGTGTTGATGACGATGGACAAGGTCCACGGATTTTTATCCAGCCACTTACTCCACTGGATAGAAGCATAAATGTTTTACATTATTAAAGGAGCGATAGACCCAGACTCCCTGTCTCCCTCGGCACTTATCCCCAGCATAGAACTATTGTGAGAAGCAGCCTCCTCTCCGCTGCCTTCTTATTATCTGTTGTCACGTGCCCTGCTGCCTAATGTCGCCACACTTGCTACAAAACTATTTCAATGTTGAATCAAAAAAGGATTACCCCCAGAAGACTGTTGAGGCTTATACTTCAACATTCAATACCGATACAATGTAAAGAAAGTTATATGTAGCATTCTCTTTTTTAACCACTTTTATCTTCAACTAGATAACATCACAACCAAACAACAAAGGCCCATAAGGATCGTATACGGGGGCACCCGGAGATGGGCTCGCGCAGAATATCAAGAAAACAGCCGTCAATTCTCACTACCACCGCTCTTACACTTCCCCGTGTAAGTGTCAAACTTGTTCCCCTTGGGGCACCTGCACCTCTGCGTGTAGCTGCCCTAGATTAGTTCACTTTTGTATTTGCACATCTTGGAGTATTCGTTCTACTCCATTGCCTTCTTCTTGCAGACGCACTTATTCAAGTCGCAGACGCATTTGTAGCAGTCGGGCTTGCACTTGTCTGTTGTGCTAGAACGTCGGGATTTCAGTTGAGACTTCCGTAGGGATTTCAGTTGAGACTTCCGTAGGGATTTCAGTTGAGACTTCCGTTGGGATTTCAGTTGAGACTTCTGTAGGGATCTCAGTTGAGACTTCCGTAGGGATTTCAGTTGTAGGGATTTCAGTTGAGACTTCTGTAGGGATCTCAGTTGAGACTTCCGTAGGGATTTCAGTTGTGGGGATCTCAGTTGAGACTTCCGTAGGGATTTCAGTTGAGACTTCCGTTGGGATTTCAGTTGAGACTTCTGTAGGGATCTCAGTTGAGACTTCCGTAGGGATTTCAGTTGTGGGGATCTCAGTTGAGACTTCCGTAGGGATTTCAGTTGTAGGGATCTCAGTTGAGACTTCCGTAGGGATTTCAGTTGTAGGGATTTCAGTTGAGACTTCCGTAGGGATCTCAGTTGAGACTTCCGTGGGGATTTCAGTTGAGACTTCCCTTGGGATCTCAGTTGAGACTTCCGTGGGGATCTCAGTTGAGACTTCCGTGGGGATTTCAGTTGTCGGCGTCGGTGCATGGCACCTCTCGTCCTTTCGACCCCACTTCTGGCCGACAGGACACTTGCATTTCTCGTCCTCTCGATCCCACTTCTGGCCGACAGGACACTTGCATTTCTCGTCCTCTCGACCCCACTTCTGGCCGACAGGACACTTGCATTTCTCGTCCTCTCGATCCCACTTCTGGCCGACAGGACACTTGCATTTCTCGTCCTCTCGATCCCACTTCTGGCCGACAGGACACTTGCATTTCTCGTCCTCTCGATCCCACTTCTGGCCGACAGGACACTTGCATTTCTCGTCCTCTCGACCCCACTTCTGGCCGACAGGACACTTGCATTTCTCGTCCTCTCGATCCCACTTCTGGCCGACAGGACACTTGCATTTCTCGTCCTCTCGATCCCACTTCTGGCCGACAGGACACTTGCATTTCTCGTCCTCTCGATCCCACTTCTGGCCGACAGGACACTTGCATTTCTCCGCCTCTCGATCCCACTTCTGGCCGACAGGACATTTGCATCTTTTGGTGACTGGGTTGAACTCCTGGCCTTTCTTCTTGCAGATACACTTGCCGTGCATCAAGGAGGCCTCGCTGCCACAATAGCGGCGGGTGATGAAGTGACCCGAGGGACCAACATCATCAGCCTTAGCCTTGAGACCTGAATTCACGGCCTCAGGGTTGGGGATGGCGGTGACTGAGGTTAGGGTAAGAAGTGCATTTAGGAGGAAGTGTTTGAGAAGCATGATAGGCGAGTGGTATGTCCCTTAAGGAGGAAAGGCTATGGTGGGTAGAGAGGGGAACGTAGGGTTTCTTTGCGTTGATAATTGAGAATTAGAACAGTTCGTAAGGTAATGCCCAATATCTTGGTTGGAGAGGATTCTAGAAAGGGTGCCAGAGAGGGTGATGAGGAGAGATTATATAGACCACTGGGTTTAAGCCTATGCTAGATGCCCTTCCTTCTCTAGAAAATGGACTTAAAGTCCCGTCCCTGTTTAGAGGCTGGTCCAGGCAACCTTCTGCCTCATCGAGCTAGAGTCTCTTAACTCAAAACCAAACTCTCTTAGAATCTCATTGTTTTATGCATGCCTTCTTCCAGCCATACTGGACCAGTCACCTGAATAGACCACCCTCCAACAGCCAGCCTCACATACCGGATACGAGCTGCGAGAAATTCACTGACGCACAGAGAGATATTCCTAGCAAGATGACCCAATATTGACGAAGACCTTTGCTAAGGATACTCCTTTAAAAATTGGAAAGGCATAAATCATCATAATTAGGAATAAGACCTGCAGTCAGAGATTCCCATTGGTATGTCTTAACGCAGCGCCACTGGGATGATCGGCAAGAAAACGGCTAGACGGGCCAAAGCGGAAGGGGATTAAGGTTATATGGTGTTGCAATGTATCCATAGGCCAGGGGGTTGAACCATTCACGGAAGGCAAGCTGAAATTAATGACGAGAGATACGACGAACCGAATTGTTCTGGCGTCTGAGCACCCAAATTCTGTAACCTTGATAAGGATATGAGGTTAGGATTCTTCATAGATATTTCCTATACATTGTGCTCGTAACGTTAATTGTGAGCTAAAATATGTACGCAGGGACTATGAGTTTCGGACAGACGGATGAGCCATAGGGGATCGACAGGCAATTCATCTGACCATAAGAGGAATACGCGGAGAAGAATACTTTCAAGGTTGTTGAGAAAAAGCGAATTCAAGCAGCGGTAAACTAAATAGAGACATCATAGTGGCCACGGCAATCCAGGGACATGCAACCACATATTGCCGTAGAAAATGTTCTGGGCCGCATCTGATGCTTATCCTCCTGTAGGTACCAACCTTCGGTAGCCGATGTCCCGGAGTCTTAGAATACAAAGCATCCTCTCCATCGGTTTGTCGTCAGCGCTCTGCACCTCCCCTGGTAGCAGTATTGATCGCATCCAAAGTTGCAACAAGGCTCGACCTCTAGCGACTTAAACGTTGGCCATGCGTGTAGGTGGGTTTCAATATAGGTATAGGAGGGAGCCACAACGGGCCTACAAGACGGTTGAGCTTGCGGACAGAGCGGCCTCCTCCGACTTTCTACACCCCGCACTATCACCTTAGCTCTAGCGCAGAAGCGAATGGCCGTCGAACTATCCTTCGAGATCGCGTTTCGGCGTTGCCGTATGGAATATCAAGGTTATCCTCACAGAACTCCCCGCTTGCAGGGAACGAATAGCAGTCGAAGTTGGAAAGGAAAGGAGATGTCAATAGTTAACCTGGACTAGCATGCCTTTGAAAAGGTGGAAGATCTCTCTCTTTTAGAGACTGACTCCTGCCGATTGATTGTTTGTTGCGTAGCCACGACCCGATCGTTAGTAGCTCAGATACTGCATCGACGTGCAGCCGACTTGTTTATTGCTCCAGAGACTGTTGTGCGAGTCTCGTTAATCTCCTAACTCCTGTTAGACGAACTAACGACCGACAGCCTTGTCATCGATTGCAAAATTTAGCATGTGAAAGAGAGAAAGTCCATGGAGGTAGTCGATTTCTTTTCTTATTTTAAATTGCATGACACTTGTTAAATTTCTATTACAGTGGGAAGTATCGCGCAATAGAGTGAATGACCCATGCGGAGCTCAACATGCCGCCTGTTGCGTGTAATCGGTACCGCGACGTAGAGGATCTACATTTATAAGATACATCACGAGGTACATAATTAGGGATACGGTTTGGAGTAGGACTCGGTTACTGTAGGAGTGTGGGGCTTGATAAACTTATAAGCGCCTTCAGAGCAGTAGCGTTAAAGCCAAGTACAGATCTAGAAATAAAATCAGGAGCAGTAGCATACAGCGTAGTAAAATTCTAATAAGGATCACTCTGGGAGCACTCGGGTGCTAGATTATGCAAACTCTCAGAACACCTTTCGAGGTAACATCGTGTTTGTTCATATCAGGGCAAGATCAACTCAATGTAACCATCCTAGAGTGCAGAACAGATATCCAATTGACCCCCAACAAACAGCTCTAAGGTACTGCCTCCGGACCGAGTTCCGAAGTTTTGGTCATCGGTAACTTTGTTGGGGTTTTGGGGTCGCATCTCCTGTGGCCAACCCGAGATAGACCGTTACATCATCTTCCGCCCCAGCTCCGTTGCCCAGGAACCACGACGTTGTTGAGTGCAACTCCCTTGGGATTGCTGCAACCTTTGGTTACCTCTTCTCATGCCTGGTTTCCCCATCCCTCAACTGTTGTCGACATGGATCACTACTGTAACAAAAGTTGTTTGTAATTTGATCCAGGGTGGTCATCAATTCAATTCAATCGCCCCTCCGGTAGACAAAAGATCACTATGTGCACCGTGCGAGCGTGCGCGTGCCATACAACAGACCGTGCCACCCCTGTTTCAACTCAATCAACGCCCCAGATTGAATTGATCGCCACCCAGTTGTGGTGAGGCAAAACAGCCCCCTTTTCAACGACGGTATATTTATCACATCCCGCAACTGTTGTTTATATTGCGCAGTAGTGCTGGGTGAAAATATATTTTGCAAGACTTGGTTTTTTATATTTTTATTGAGATGAGAGTTCTTCTCAGGTTTATATCTCTAGATGATTTTATCTAGGACTTTCAGACTAACAGTCTAAATCCTGAAGGGAAGGGGGATCACCGGATTTTACTCCAAGGACGGGGAACCCAGAATGACTGTATGGCCTAAAAATATCTTAGTAATTTGCGAGTAATATTGGTAACAGACCGGCAATGTTAACAGGGTATCCATTATTTAATCGTTACGATTTATGAAATAGCATCCAACACCAATCTTCCATCCCACCTACCCGACGCTCAGACCTTAGCGTGGTCGTAAAAAAGTCGTTGAATTCAATACTGCTCTCTGAGCGCTTGCCAAGATACTTTCCCAACACTTCTCCCTTCCGACCAAGGTTTGTATCGCCGAATAGCGGGTTGGCTTCCTTTAATGTAAGAGACACCATATTTTCTCTATATACTACAAAAAAACTTTTCATATGATTCATAAATCTGGCCGCTTTTGCACCGAAATGCAGACTCCTTACTGCCTTCCTTCCATCTAGGACTCTAGGACTCAGGTCCTAGACAGAATCAGTCGAAGATATAAGGCCATAAAGGTCCTTCGACTGCAAGGAGAGAAATAAGAACAATCAATTGTTAACTGCACTCAGCATCCCTGCGTGATCCAACAACATCTCATCATGACAGATCGAATTTCCCATAACGGAAACAATGCCACCAAGGATAATGCTGATCGGGAACTTTTGCAATCGCCATTATTACCAAACTATCCAAAGTTTGAGTGGGATTTCGGGATGCAAGGCTGAGAGCCTCAACCATCAGTCGTAAAAGTGCACGGGCTTTCGCCGACTACCACTGCTTGTCTTTTTGAACTGTTTTATTTTAATTCGATCAAGTGCCTATCCAGCGACGGATACAAGATCCATTCTGCGTAAGGTCATTAAGATCACGTCCGGAGATAAACATGATTTTACCGTAAGCAGCTGCCATGAAAAACCGTCCTGATATGCCGACGGCTGTTATACGTTAGTACTGATGTCATAAGCACATTTGCCGAAAATGAAACTTACTTCAACGCCGGACCTGAGATAATTATGCAGCTGGGCGATCGACCTAGCAGTCTGACGCAGTATGAAGAGATATGGTTTCATGTAGGGCTGGGCAGATTTTGACGAGACTCAAAATATGTCGTTGATAGACCGGGATTGGTGATGCTTCAAAATCCAAAACCCTAAAATGACTAGTCTTGCCGATCAATGTTACTCTTCAGGCACAACAGCTGGTAGCGTTGAGAAAGGTCTGTATGTCGATCACTACTATATTGGACTATGTAGAGTTAATAATCCATACTGTTTCGTAATAACCGGAAAATTAGCCTTGGCAGAATCTGTTTGAGTCGTCTTGGCTCCTTTAACGGAAGAACTAGAGCAATGGAGATCTTGATATAGAATCACTTAATGACAACCAATACCGTACAACTTGAAAAGTCCGATAAGATGTCATAGAGTATCCTAAACGCTGGAAAGTATAGAATTAACCATGACTAAAAACGGTCCCTGGGAGCTCTTCACTGTTTATATTATCAACTGGGACGTCATAATTAATGTACAGGCCTGCTCTCGTCAATGTCAAGCATGACTGCAGACATAGTAGCTTCATACCTCTGAGGCAGAGATGATCGGCACCCATTGTTCCAGCCATCAACGAGGGGCTACAGTAGGTACGTGTCATTGGCCTAAGCTGCTTGTTGTTTCTGCTTGAACTTTCGCTGTAACCTTCATGCAATGCAGCCTTGTCTGAGCAAACTGTTTCAGAAGATGACGGCAATATTACAATGCCGTCACTTTTGATGGGCAAAAGTCCAAGTGCCGAGAGAGGTCAACTGGAGCCGAACTTATCGTATCTGGCTAGGACTTGGCATATGGGAAGAACTCCCAAACTCTCACACCTTGCGCTCCATGCGTTGTCGATCGTCCTGAAGCTTGTGAAGAGATGCGGCCTCGGACGGCAACTCGACAAAGGTTACGCTCGAGTGCGCGGGTCAAGGCACGAAAGAGATCACAAAGAACACCACTTGCTCACCCTTCATAATTGCGTAACCAACAAAGGCTTGAAGTCCACTCCAGAAGAAGTCATTCGCATAAGTCCAAAAATGTCTATAAAAGACAGGCATCAGACCCCCATGAATTGAAATTCACATCAGCACTCGCAACATCAACGCCCTCAACTGCCTCAAGCTCCTCTAAATGCACTTCAAGTACGGGATGGGTTAGATTGTGGCCCTGGATGAAAAAAACGTCATGAAAAGGATCGAGGCTAGTCTGACGGGTTTTAATTCATACCCTCAAGTCATCGCTTAGCCATGGTCGGAGACAAGAGGGCAAGAGGGCACCCACTCATTTCGTAACCAGGATGGATTTAACTCCGTTACCAACTTTACCTTCGTGCTAAGTATTTTATGTAATAGTGGCTCGGTTGTAATTACTAGATTAGAGACAATATTGTCAAGTTCGTGAAACTTAATGTTTCAAGGCTTTTGTTGAAATGAGAAGATGCTTATTGCTTAATTCGTCCTAAAAGTGTAGGAGGAGAGCCACTGTTTATGTACAGGCACGATCTCTTGTAGAATGTTCCTCCTTCTTCCACACCTTGCCACCGCCTTGGCCGCCTCACACTTGTGATCTCCAACAATGAGTTATAGTAATCTAGGCGATTAATGCGGAAGGCTGGGCTGTCCAGCCGTTTATCGTGGTGACAGGCCAAAATCACCTTGATAATTAGTACCGAGAAAGCTATCTCCCAGGTGATTGGGCTGTTGCCACGACCAAAGATGGCTGCACGGATAATCAGATGGGCCTGGAGTGGCTAAAACACTTTGACTGATATATAACTAGCCGATTAACTGGTCCCTATCGTCTTCTAATCCTTGATAGGCATGAAAGCCACCACTCTGTCGATTCTGAGATATATTGTCAGAAGATTATTATGCTCTGTGTGCCACCTCATTCGTCTCATTTACTTCAGCCTCTTGATGTCAGGTGCTTTGGGCCGCTCCAGAAGGCCTATGATCGGGAAATAGAGCATCTGATCAGAAGGTTTATAAACCATATTCCCAAGACCGAGTTCCTTCCGGCATTTTACGCGGCTTTTAATGCCACTATAACAGAAAGTAATATAAAGGGAGGCTTTGAGGGAGCCAGGCTTGTTCCTCTTGACCCCGAAAGTGTAGTTTTAAAGCTTAATATGCAGCTATAGACTCTAACGACGATTAAGGAGGAGGTTATTAACTCCCACCCTTGGACTTCAAAGATCCCAAAGACGGTCCTTGGGGCTAGGCCTCAGTCTAAATACCTCAAAAGACGAATCAGAAGGCCTTAAAGCAGTCCCCTAAAGCCAATTGTAGAATCACTTAAGTCGCTTTCTAAAGGAACAAAGGTAATAATGCATGAGGTTGCTTTAGTAAGGGCTGAGAACCAGGGCCTTCAGCAGGCGATTGAGACATCTGGAGAAGAGTATAGCAACAAGTTTTACTTGGTTAAATAGTTATTATATTTTTATAACGGACCGCTAGTGATAACATTTACAATTTGTAGTCCATGTAGGGCAGGAATAGATCACTGGCCTAAAGGGGGGCTCCACCAGCACCTTAGGGAGAACGAGAAATGGATGTTTCTAAGTCATATGCACTCGCTTTTAAATGTTTAAATTCTCTGCAAATCATTAATATCATACGTCACTGTGTTCAGCAAAGGAGTTCGAAGGTTAACATATTTAATCTATCAGACTCAAGGGTTCCCCTCTGGAGATCAGTCATACCAGCCTATATCTACCTCGTCAATGATGTCCCACTGTTTAGTGAACTACTTTTTCTTCTCCTCTAGCCCCTCGGTGCATAGGATCTCGTAGATCGTCCTCCACGCGCTATTAACGGCGCCGATGATCCAGGCATGGCCAGAGCTGAGCGCCTCGCCGGCAAAATGCATATGCCCCTCGGCGGCAGGGCGCATCAGCCACGGCATCACGCTGCTAAACTGGCCCGGAGAGAACATAGCGAAAGCACCGTTCAAGTAGGCCAAACCGTACCAGTTAAACGCATAGTAACCTTCGAATTCTAACTAGAGGAATTCATAGGACACGCCATTCAAAACTGCAAGGTCTCTTAAGGTTATGTTAACCAGGGTCTTGATGCTCTCCGGCTGGTAAGGGACCTGCGTGGTGGGGTTATGCAGGTTAAGGTATGAGCCAAGGCGAGACGAGTCCTGACCCCAGACATAGCTGGCAATCATAGTACCGGGTGCTCCCTCGATATCAACGCCGTATAAGGGATATATACAGCGGCGGATAGGCAGGCCCGTGAAGGACTAGCCGCCCTTGAAGGGTCCAGTTGAGAGGTTCTCCCACCTAGATTTCAGAAGTTAGATCCCTTTTCTTTATAAATCTTATAGCTTCAAAGCTAACAATCGGGACTTACTATCAGGTCTTGAACTTGAATCCAATCTTAGTTACGGGGTCATAGCTATGGCACGGATATTAGCGAAAATGCATAGTAGTGTTTAACTGAAGAAGCTGCTGCAGTGGTGTACTTACTTCAGTATGCAAAAGGCGGTGTTCTGGTAATAGCCCAAGTCGAGTTCCGTCATGTTAATAATCTGCTGAGCGCCTAGGGGGACAGTCGAAATAACATATACATAGTCATATTCCTCAGTGTCATCGACAACGATCTTCAAGCCCTTATTGAGTTCTTGTTGATGCTGGTGACCCTATGGTTCAGGACAGGCTTGTTCTTGACAATGAGATTTATTCCCTTGGTCAGCATATCCATGCCGCCATTAATCAGCGTCCACTTGTTCATATCCGCGCTATAGAAGATCCATTCCTCCATGACGGCCTGGGACATGGAGTAGGTATCGTAGTAACCTATGGCGTCGTTAACGGTCTCCATCCAGTCGATCTCGTTATTGGTGAAGCCCTTCTTCAGGAGGAACTGCCGGGGTGACATGGAGTTATACTCTATCAGGAGGTTGAAACCAGCATCAAAGTCGGCCAATAGCGCGTCGGTCATTGTTTTAACCTGGTCTGCCTAAACCTGGGATGCAGAGAGAACATCAGAGGTTGCGGTAAACAGAGGCACGTCATGGCGTCTGGCAGATACCGAGGCCGGGTCCTGGATCAGCAACGTAATATCGTTATACCGCCTGAATGTGTTATTCGCCGTAAAGATGTAATTCTTCTAGACTACTTTGTGACGGTCGGATACTTGCTGGTTAATATAGGGGATAAGGCTCCAGGTCTTATCGCCAATGACACAGTCCATATAAGGCATAGGCGGGAAGCGCATCGCTCCAACGTCCTACAGATGAACAAATCAGCCACCAGAACGTCTACTTAACTCAAGGTCATTCATATAGTAGTCGTAATACGCAGGATCACTGGGCGTAGACTTGTCCCATGCCTCCTGATTAAAGCGATAGGTAAAAACTCTCCTACCGATGCGGTCAGAAGCTTCGTGGATATCGTAGTCGATGTCAAGAGAGTCTAGTAGCACCGCCGCATACAAGCCTGCCACACCACCGACAATCCCGACCTTCATGGGGCAATCTTTAGGACTTGGGTAGGGATGGTTTTAATACCGTATTATTGAATAAAACGCGCGTTTTGTATTAAATAAAAAAAAAACATGGCGCGTTTTATATGTAGTATATTATATTCCTAATTAGGCTTAGTGTTATTTATAAATGGCTTAGTGCTAGGATGTTGCACTAAGCGTGCTTAAAGGGTTAAAGTGAATATAATAAGCAGTGGTAAATATATTAATTTATTGTATTTTTCTTTTTTATCTCTTATGCGGGGTATTCCATCCTGCAGAGTTAGTTAAAGCATAGAGCTAGATTACTAATGCAGTTATTTCCTAAAGCCGTGAAGATTATGCCTACCCTGCAATATAAGATTAATGTACTCCCTGTTCTAACCTTTCTCCCTAACTAGAACCCCTAAATCTTTTAAATCTAAGGGTATGCATTACTTAATTTAATTAACTAAATAGCTCGGTGGCTGTGAGTTGACCTGGTTAACCACTCTCTCTAGTGGCGTTAATTAATTATCCCTTAAATTAAGTTAAATAAATACTGGTTAAAGTTGTTAATCTCTAAGCTAAGCTATTTTACTCCTACTACCCTATCCCCCTTTCTTTACATCCTACCTTTACCTAGGATCCTTTTTCTGCCTTATTACTAGTATTATTCTTAATAAGAAGTAGTAATATATTAAGGTTATTAGTTACCCTAGCTTATAACTATAATTGCAGTACTTAATATATTCTTATAATATTTATATCTAGCTAATTTTATAATAGTATTACTATCTGCCTTACTGCTATAATTATCCTTTTATATTTTATTAATATTAGTATTATAACCTATATAGCTATATTATATAGCCCCTATAATTTCTGCTAATTACTGCAGGGTTACTTCTTCTAATAATAATCCTTAATAATTAAATTACTTAGATTATAATACTTTAATAATTAGATTATTATAAATTACTAGCAATCCTTAAAGATCTAACTTTTAAATTACTTTTATTTTCTATTAAGCTATAAGGCTACTTTTAGTATATAAATTATATTTATTAATACTTTTATAAATTTATTAATTATTAATAAGACTTCTTTATATTAATAAGCCTAATAAGTATTACTTAATTATTAAGAGATATAATAATTAACTTACCTAATATAATGCCTTATATACTTTATAAATATAAACTTAGTATAGATTAATTTCCTTATTTAAAACTTATAATTACTATAATTAGCTTAATTATAAAGAAGTCTAGTATTATTTATAAAAAATAAGGATACTAATACTTATATTTATATTAATATAATATTAAATTTCTAATATTATTATTTTTATTCTTTTATAATAACTATTATAATTTAAGCTTATTAATATCTTTATTAATATTATTAAATAAAGTTACTTTCTCTTTTACTAAACTATATTTAAAAACTAGCTATATATACTTATAATATACTTAAAATAGGTTATAATACTTTTACTATTACTTTATAACTAGTTTGTTATTTATAAGACTTTAGACTACCTATAAGTACTAATAGTCTAATTCCTATACTTCTTAAATTATTTACTTTGCCTATATTACCTATTTTATATTATCTTTTTACTCATTCTTAAAATACCCTTATTAAAAAGCTAGGTATAATACTAAGGTTATATAATAAATTCATATCTTATTTAGCTTATTATAATACTTATTAAGTTTTTCCTAATGTAAATTAATTTTAATTTAAAAGTACTTTATATTAAGTATCTTAAAAGGAAGCTATTTATAGTCTTTAAGTACTTTTAATACAAACTTAAATTCTTAAATAACCTCTTATATATTCCTATATAAGCTAACTTACTTTAAAGGTAAAGAGTAATAATAAAAAAAAGACTATATAAGATAGTATCTTTTAATACTTCTTAACTATAAGCTAAGTATATACTACTAATTAGGTTTAATTAAGATAGGGTCTTTATTATAAGATAGAGAATTAAATAATTAGTTTAATAGTATTAAATATAAAGGAAAAAAAGTAAAAATTCTATATAAAAAAAAGTATAAAGAACTTAAGTCTTTAAGGGAATTTATTCCTTTATATCTATTATTATAGATATCTATTTAACCTTATTAATAAAGCTTAGACCTCTTACCCTAGAATGCTTGCTATAACTATTATAATAATATCTTCTAGCTTGAACTTTACCTAATATATACTTTAGCCTAGCCTCGATTTATATATATATAAAGCAGGAAGCTAGTTTAATATACTATTACTATAATAAAAGTATTAATAAAGTAGTCTGCTAATAGTAATATATATAATAGTTATTAGCTTACCCTTACCTATATGCCCTACCCTATACTGTATCCCCCTTTTTCTTATCTCTATTAGTAACTTAATTTATTACTTACTCTCTCAGTCTCTCTTAATCTCTCTCCTTATTAATCTCCCTCTTATAAAGTAACTAGGAATATCAGGGAATAAATAAATAAATAATATAAGAGATGAATCATCTTACTGCTGTAATAAATACCTCTCGGTGATAAATAACATATTATTGCTTCTTTACTGCCTTATTAGCTATGGCTATGCTTGTCTTTGCCGGCTGTTTCTGCTTATTAAAGTCCTTATTAGTATAGGAGAGAAACTAATACTACAGACAGCTAATCTCCTAATAGTTCAACACCGTCAGCCAGGCCCTAATCTTAATACCAGAGATAAGCGCAAGCTACTTGCTTAGTATTACTATATCCTATATCCCCTTTATAGCTAACTTCTAGATCTACAAGTTAAGCAAGTTAGATAATCTGTAAATACTAGCAAGCTAGTATAGCACCTTCTTAAATAGCAGTAGTGATATAATATATATTACTATTACCTAGCTTAGATACTTAGGCAAGAAGTAAGCTACTTAATAATTACTTGCCTTATTATTTAAATCCTTATTCTTATTATAATTAGTAAAAATAATTATTTATATATTAAAAATATAAATATTGTTTAGTTAGTATTATAATATTTTAATATTATTATTTTAAAACCCTACTTAAGATATTCTCTTTAAATATATATAACTAGTTATATCTTTATTTAAAATAATATAAGCTAGCTAAGATACTTTATAACTACCTTATAGTTGTAAATATATTTTCTATAACTTCTTGCCTATAATACTTATTAATATCTTAATACTAGGCTATAGTTATATATTCTTTTAATTTATTATAAATAACTATTTTAGCCCTTTATATATTAAATTATTAGTAATATCTTATAGCTATATTATCTATTATAGCTTATCCTTTTACTAATTACTTATTAGCTTATTAAGCTAGTTTTTAGCCCCTTATAGCATTACTTAAGTAATTAACTAAAAGCTAGCTATAAAAATATTATTACTTAAATAATTAACTATCTTATTATTACTATCCTATTATAACTATACCTACCTATTCTTATAATTATAATAACCTTAGTTATATATTATTTATTAAATAATTATATTAATTAATAAATATAAGCTACTTATAAGCTATTTATAATAACTCTTATAAAAGTATTTAATTATAATAAAGCTTATTTTATATATTAAATACTTTAAGTTATATAAAATATTCTTAAAGAAATACTTTAATATTAATACCTAGCTATATTATAAGATATTAATTAGAAAGTAAGTATATAAGTATACTAAGACTTAGTTATTATCCTCCTTAATGCCTAATATAGCTATAAAGTATAGTAATAAGTTATAATATTACTTCTAGCCTAGCTTTTACTTAATATTACTAATATAAAAGCAGCAGATAGCTTAATTAAGCATATTAAGATTACTATCAAGATTGCTATTAAGATTAGTATTTAAATCTGCCTTAGCCTCTGCCTCTGCCTTTTAATTAGTATTACTCTTTTACTATTACTATTACTGCCTTCTCTAACATTAATCCTCTTCTCTCTTTATATTATAATTAGCTATAATATTAAGCTACTATATATTATTAATAAGATATCCTTACTACTTATTTATAAATTAAATACTATACTTTATATAGGCCTTATCCTATCTAAATAGCTAGATATAAATATAATAATATAAATACTACTCCTAAGTTATATTATATTAGTTTATTATTATTACCTCTTATTTATACCTAAATAGCTTTATACTAAGCTTTAAAATATTAATACTCTTAAGGTATTTTAGTATCTTATTTAATATTTTATTAAAATACTTTAATTCTTATTATAACTTATAATAAAAGGTTTTAGCTAATACTTATAGCTTTATATTAATATCTTAGGCCTTTTACTTTTATAACTTTAGCTTACTTATCTTAAGTATTAATAATAAACTAGCTTAATAAAACATAAGCTTATTTATATTTTATAAACTATACTTACTAAGACTTCTAATTAATTCTGCCTAGTGCCTTAACCTTCCTCCTGCACTTAGCAGCAGCCTTTCTAAGGTCCTTCTTATAGCTTCTAACAAGCTTTAATAGCCTAGTATTAATACTAATACTAATACCAGCACTAACGCCGCCTCAGCCCTCTCTTAAGCCACTTTTACTACTCCTACTACTCCTGCTACTACTGCCACCGCTTTAGCTACTACTACAGCTATTATAGCAGGTTTATACTACCTTAATAATCTAATATCTTATATATAAAGCCCTTTATAATAACTAGAGTATAACTAATTCTTAATTATATTACTATTTACTATTCTTATACTTCTCTTTATTATACTTAGCTAGTACCTAATGCCTATAATAATTTAATTAATTATAAGTTAAATACTAATAACTCTTATAGCTAAAGCCTATATATATCTTAAGCTTTATAACTAATAGGCTCTTATTAGCTAGTAGCCTTATATCTTTATATATTAGATTTTAAAGTATTTAGGGCTATAAGCCTAATAGTAATAAAGAGGTAATAAATATAATAATCTCTTATAACTATACCTTAACTATTTTATAGGAGTTAAAACAATAATACTTAACTTAATTTATATTAGGCTTAATAGCTATTAGGTAGAGGAGGTAAAGAAAGATATTATACTTTTTAAACCTATTATTAAAAATTAGACTTTATTTAATTTTTTAAATTGTATTACTTAAGTTACTAGTTAAGATAATATAGGTTAAGACTAATAATAAACTAAAAGAAATTAAAGGATTAGAAGTTTATTAAGTAAAAGTAATTAAAAATATAAGGAAAATTAATAAAAAACACTACCTAGAAAATAAAAGAATATAAAAACTATTTAAATACCTTATTAAGGCCTAATAACTCCTACTTAAACTACTTAGTGATAGTAAACTAGGCTTAAAAAGTACTATTAATTATAGTACTTTCTAAAGTAATATATTTATTTTACTTTGCCTTTTCTAGCTTATTTATAAAACTAAAACTATATTAAATTATATCTAAACCTTTTAACCTAACCTAATAATACTAGTGCCTTAAAAAAGTAATTTTAGTAGATTAAGTATTTATTTTATTATAAATATACGTAAACTTTACTTAAAGATTAATTAATTTATTTTTAATAGCCTCTTCCTCTTATTTAAAATAATGCTTTTTATTAACTATTTTTTAAGTAACTATTATATTAGTAAAAGAATTATATAAACATTATAAAGATAGCTTACTTACTGCTATTAATAAATTATAGCTATTATATAAAATCCTTAACTTAATATAAGAATTATAAGAATTTAAAATAATCCTACTTTAAAGTATTATAATTTAAATAATTTAATAAAAGAGGATAATTATTAGAAGAAGTAATTTTAATATATTTAATAAAAGTTATAGAGACTATATAATATAGTTATAAGAGTTATAATATTATATCTATTAATAATTAAGTAATATATACTAAGCTTATTAATATAAAATAGTCTTATTAATAGTTAATAAGCTAAGTTTTATTTAATATTAAAAGAATATATATATATATTATAATAGCTTATAGTATTATAAAGCAGGCTTATAATAAGTTATAAGTTAATAATATAAGCTATTTTATAAGAATTATAGTTTATTATAAGGTTTAATATAAGCTAATATATAATTAGTAAGAAATTAAGTAAAGTATATATAACATAAGCACTTTTTCCTTTTAAGTTATAATATATCCTAAGCCTAACCCTAATATTATTAAAAGTATCTAGCTAGCCTTTAATTAATAATAATAATAAAAATATTAATAAAAGCTATTAATATAAACTAAGTATAATTAATAGCACTACCTTATTTAAATAAAATATATTTTAAGTTTAAAAATTAGAGATAATAGCATTATATATAGTAAATATTAGCCAGATATACTTATCCTAAAAACAAAATCAGCCTAGCTATGCCAAAGTAGAACTGCCTCGCAAAAGTCACTTCAAGTACACAGGAATAATCACAGAGTTACAGGCTAGGTGCGAAGTCGGCAACACCAGCTCCAGGTGGATAGGAGTATCAAAACCACAAATCGGAAGACTTCTAAGTACAACCCACGCACCACCCCGCCTTCGCGTACTTGCACAGCATATCCCTGTAAGATACCAAGTAAGAGAAGAGATAATATATACATGAGGAAACAAATCTAGACGCTTCCTGTTTCCCTTCCCGCCTAAAATCCTAAGTCTATGCCACTCTAACTTAAGCACGCCTGGGCTTATCCTGGGCCTAGACTGGAGTCAGACTAAGCGCCGCAAAGATTCAAGAAATATAGGTCTACTAAGTCTGGTTCCGGCCTTTAGCATGTATAAAACTCAAAACGGCCCCACGACAGGCGAGCTCATCAATGCTAGCTCATATGCGATGACTTGTTGGCTGAAGACGTCTATTGATATGTTTACTTACCTACCCGGCATAGTCATCACGAGCGTTTCTGCTGCTCCTTATCTGCATGCGCACATACCTGTCATTATTGAGTGATTGTATCTTTCGGTTAGAAGTAGACATGAGGGCAAATATCCTTCAAAAAGATGCACAAACTACCGCCTCCCTCGCAGTAGACCTTCCGAAATTAAACAATACCTATCCACAGGGAAGTAAATCCCATTTTTCTCATTCTTAGCCCCTGAATTTCGGCTAGGCTGGCCAGCATATAGCTGATATTACTATATGTTAGTCGTCAACATATGCACAGATATGGCACAGACTTGGCCTAATGGTACCAGCAAATAATCCCAGGATATTCCGATGGTGCTATTAACAACTATCCCTTGAAAAGGCAATCTACAAGTTACAGGTACTGTTAAGCTCGTGGTGCTGATGTTGAGTCGTCATCGACACTACCATGTTCAATTGAGGGCGGCCGCTGACTACACGGTTCATTATTCAGGATGTTAGTATCCACTTACCTTCAGTATACGATTGGCAAACCCATGTTTTTAAACTTTATAAGCCACAAACAAGCATATGCAGGCGCCTTGTTCTTAGCTTCTAAAAAAGCAAGCAATGGCCTGGTTTCACTATTCTCCCCCTGCAATATCAGGAAGGGGCCTTATCACTAGTGCCTCAGCCGAAAATGACCCGCAATAAAAGCTTCCTTAATCTAGACATCCGAATTGAGAAGGTGCCTTAATGCGTTTCAGCTGTAAGTGTAAGGCAAAGTAGCAGAATGTTGCCACTATGAGAAGGCAATCCGGGTGTGATAAGCTATAAGAGCGAAATTGGTTCCAGGGTTGGAGTCAGCTGCTCAGCCCTTTGCCACTGCGCCAAACCTGTTACCACACTCGTTGGCAAATTCTTAAAAAGGATACCATATATTCTGAGCGCGACAGTACCTTTTTTGTTTCGTCGATAAAGCGTAAACCTATCAGCTCAAGCGGCACACTCATAATGCCCACCATCGCTGAGCCTGCAGGTGAACCGCTTCTAATGGACCAGGAAAACGACTTTAACACTTCTACAAAAGCTTTTGACCACGAGAAACAACCCGTCAGCACTGTCGGTGTAGTACCTAGCAATGAACAGATTCAGAGTTCAGCTATGACCAACAAGACGTAGCCGCCAGCGGACAGAGAGTCGGAAAAAGGATGACAGAGAAAGTCGATTCGCATGAAGGAAGCATGTCAGAAAGTACGGGTGGCTGGCAAAAGACCACAAGGCGCATTATTGACGGTTGGTGGCAGGAGATGCTCTGCTGTTTAATCAGTATCATTTTCCTAATAACCCTGGCAATAACTCTAAGGAAATTTAACAACAAACCTCTGCCTAATTGGCCATCTGGTATTACTTTAAACACAGTTTTAGCTTGCAAAGCTACAATATGCAGAACCGCGCTACTTATTCCTGTGACAGAAGGGTTGGCACAACCCAAATGGACTTGGTTCAAAATGAAGCCACAACCACTCAAGGATTTCGAAGCATTTGACAAAGCATCGAGAGGATTAGGGGGTAGTCTAAGTCTACTCTTATATACCAAGGGATGGTATACTTTCCATACTACCTATAATTCGAAGATTAGCTCACAAAACTAGGTTTGTTGGTATTATCGTTGCATTTCTTTTAAGTACTACGATTGCCACATCGACAATCACAAAGTTTGCCGTCACGTACCTATCGAAGTATATTGAGAATAGAGACAAGTGGAGTGCAGAGGCATGGAGATTAGCGGAGAGCTGGGGGAAGGATGACCCAGAATTTGCACTCAGTAGGTTACTCACTCTTCTAATAACTGGTTTCGGACGACTTTTACAATACGTTATCTTCTTTCTACTATCTGCTGGTTGACAAATATCTGACAAATACGCATAGTGAATGGGCCAACTATTGCGAGAGGGGTCAGACGAGGAATTCATAATCTGGTGACCAAACAGATTCCGTTTAAAGAACCAAAGTGCGCCTCGGCGAATTGCGAATGGTCCCAATTCCGCACGCTCGCTATAGGATACGAGATAACCAGTCAGTCATGTTTCTCCCTTAGTACACAGTTACAAACCACCCTTGGGCCAAGACCCCATGGTAGACGAAGGTCTATGGTAGCTAATGTTACCTCTAGACGTCACCCACCTGATCGAAGCCGATATCAATTTTTACGATGGTACTCTGAATATTACCTTCCTAAATGGAGTTTATATACTACCAGGCAGAAGTCGTGCCAGATATACTAGTGCCCTAACCTAATTTGTCGGCAGTAGACTAACCCTAGTATATAAGTATTTATAAAATGTATTTATTCTTAATTATTTTACTATATATTAAGAACTATTTAAATTTATACCTTAGGTAGTAAAAGTATCTTTTTATTAGTATATTAATACTTATAATACTTATCTAGTTAATAATACCCTTTATATAAATAAATTAGTATCTTAAATCCTAACTTTATAAGAAATATAAAGGGATAAAATTTATAGATATATGCTATTAGTTATATTAGATAAAGATAATATAATATTTATAATTAGTAGGTTATTTACTAATATAATAGTAAGCCACTTAAATAAGTCTCTAAGTGGCTAAAGTATTATTCTAGGAGGAGAACTAATTTGGGGTATATTAGGCAGTGATATCTTAGTATAAGCTACTAAAGAGATTCTATAAAGATTTATAGGGGGTAATTCTATACTTGAAGTACTTAAGAAAGAGAAAGCTTAGTATATTGCTGTAGAAGGTATGGCTTCAAATGCGGCTAATAGTCTTATAAATATATAAGTTCTAACTATTCCTTATATATAGCAGTATTCTAATATACTCTTAAATAGACTGCTTCCTGATAAGTCTAATGTCGGTAGGATATTATTATATAGTAAGGTCTATATTTAAGTCTGGTAGGAGTGGTTAGTACTTTTAGGTATGCAAGTTGCGCTATCCGTCATTCTTCTCATCTGTATTATTATTGAGTTAGCAAAAGCGGGGGTGAATATTATGAAAGGGTCTATAGCGCTGGTATTTTTTGCTATTAGTGCAGTAGAACAGGCTAGGATGGAAAATGGTGGTGCCGAGTTGGGACAGAAGGGAGATTTTCAGCAGCTGGCACATGTTAACCTACGAAAGGTGGGCCAGAATTGGGTCCTACAATAGAGGTAGCCAAAATCAGACTAGTATCACAGGTGAAAGGTCGAAGAACAGTGGACCCAAAACACTGGGAACTGATGCCTCAGCTTGTGAGTATTCTCCGCTGCTAGATGTATTGATAATAGAACTGGTCTCTACCGCTTCAATTCGATAGAGCTCTAAGACAACTTGCCGTTATCTTTCGCGTGTGAAACATGACCTACCCCGAGTAAAAGCAGCGATATGTCAAGTGTATAAACCATCTAGATTCGTGTTATAGAGCAATGCAAATTTATGCCTGTCTACCCTTGGTTTGGGGGATGATTGGGCCCCGAAAGCGCCTAACCTCGGCCATAGGATGTGCTAAGTGGATAAGCTTTGTCTATAAACTAATTTCATTTTGCTGCTAGGTGGAAACTTGCCTATTTTGAATTTGTAAACATTATCGGCTGGCTGTGAGGTGCAGTAATGGGTGGGACGTTATACGCAGCTGTTTCCGGGAATTGATTGGCTTGCTAAGGTCTAGGGGCAGGGGTTTGTCTCTCTATCTGGCCTTAATAACTTGCTTATTTAGCATTATAACCAAAGCCAAAACTCTAATACGTGAATTTGCTTCTTAGTTAGTATCCTAGTAAGATAAACTTATAGAGCTAGTTTAAATTAAAAGTTAATAAAGGGCTACTATTAAAATGCTTATAGAAAGAATTATAATATATAATCTCTATTAACTAGTTAAAGTTAACTTATTATATTTTATAAAAAAGTTTTATAAATAAAGAAGTCTTATAATTAAAGATATTTAACTTAATATAATTAATATTATTTTTATAAAATTAAATTTCTTTAATATTTATAATTATTATTTAAAGTATAGTATATTTACCTTTTTTAATTTACTTAAAAGCCTTTTTAAAATACAGATTTAAATTATTACTTTTTATATAATAGGCCTTTTTAACTTTAAGTAATTTTAGGCTTATTAATATAAAAAAGTTATATTAATAGCTAATAAGTTAGAATTTATAAAAGTGCTAATAAATGTAATATATATATTAAATACTGTTATAAAGTAATTATAAAAGTTATTAAATAATTATAAGTATTATTAGTAATTTTAGTAATTTTATTATAATATTCTAGTAATTATACGTAAAATCTCTTAATTTATAATAATTATATATAATTAGTAAAAAGTATAAGATATATATAATATAATTATAAGAGTTATAATATTAATTATTTTTATTAAAGGTAGCTAATTTTATTTATTTTATTATTTCTAATATTTATTATTTTCTATAATATTTTATTTATTTATTTTTCTATTATTATATATTAACTTTTACTTAATATATTAGGTTATTATTAGTTTTTTTAATTTTTTAATTTAATAGTATTTCTTTTTATAATTTGTAAAAGTTATAAGGCATATAGTCTATATATAATATAGCTATAAGGGTTATAATAATAAAGGACTTTTAATTTACTTACTTATTATATATATTATAATAAAAAGAATTAAATTATTAAAACTTTTATAAACTTAGAACTGTAAAAGTTTTATTACCTTAGAGATATAAGAATATAAAATTTGAGGTTAAATCTATAAGATTAATTATATATTAATTTTTAATATAGTAATACTATAAGAGTGTGCTGGTATTTATCCAACTTTAAACTTTATACTGCCTTGTTTAACATCACGTTTAGCTTACATCCATATCTCGAGGTAGCATCTAAGGTCCTGTTAATAACACTTCGCCGCATTAAATCTACACACTACTGATTATTCATTGAGTCTGATATTAAAAAATCTTTCTTGCCTTAACCCCTTCCGCGTCTCTCGACACGACTAGTATGCGGATGTATTATCGTCGTTCGCTTTGGACCATGATACACATTACACACCATGGGCCTTATCCCAGACCAGCTGCGCTGGACTCCCCTCCTCAGGCATGGCTGGCCAAGTGACCCTCATCAATGCCGCTCTAGCGTCTAGCCACTGCCTGATGCCAACCATCCGACTCCAATCCCGTATACTGCAGCTGAAAAACACCGCCACGCTAGAGTCTGGTTCATATGCGCAGATATGGATTGCACCAATCATCAGCTGCCAAAATATAAAATCTCCGTCATGCCCGGCGTCAGCCTTCCAACGCTCATACGCTCTGCTGAGGTCGCGCCTGTACAGATACATCATATGCTCAGACGTACTTCGTTCAATGACTCCAGGGTCACAGATTCCAAGTACGCGGTGCATATATAGATTCGAAGCGATATACATGGCACAACATGTTGTTGTGAATCTGTAGGGAAAATTAGGAGGTGGGGCTTGAGTGTCGTGGATCGAAGTCGACTGGATGTGAGAAAACACGTAGTTCGCCAGCACTTGGGAAGCTGCGCCTGTAGCCCAGGCGGCATCGAAAACAGCTCTCAGATATTCTGCCTCCGTAAAATACTCTTTCCTGGCTTCATCAACCTTGTCAGTCATGTTTCGAAGACTTATTATGGTTCCAAGCCCATTGATATCCTTCAGTGTTGACCCTAGAGGTATGGGAGCCAGAAGTGACGGTAATAGCCGAATAGCAAGTAGTTTAATGCGCAAGCCGCCCGTAGAAACTTCAGAACGCGTGATCGTGTACGTCATGTCAAGGGCCTCCTGTTGGCTGAGGTCGTAGACATTCCTTTGCGAATTTATGCGTAAGAGCGCCCCAAGTCTACCTTTGAATCCGGCAACGAGGGTGTACGTACTAAGGTCACAATGATGAGACACAGTACAAGACCATGAGGCACCGACGAACTCACAAGATAAAATACCGATCGGCAAGCTCTTGCTGGGTGGGATCTGACTCATCGGTGGCACATCGACTTATCTGTTTTAGGAGGCTAACGATGCCATTGAGGTGAGTCTCGGCATTAGCAATCTCACCAAGGCAGAGCTACGCCGAGAATTAGTATTAGGTGAAGGAATCGAAAGCATTGTTCCTACCTCAACGAAGCAGAGTGAAGCGACCTGTCTGATGATGGATGTGACTGAGTCAGATATCTGATCCACAAGCCAGCCATTAACCATGCGGATAGTCTGAAGTTTGTGAAATAAGAATGTCGATTGAAAATGTTGCATATTGCCCGTATTCAACGTATAGTGAAGACTTGCTATTAGAAGAGCATTGCGAAACGCATGCGCGTGTTCCATTACAGATACTAAACTGTCCGGTTCGCACCAAGGGTCAGTAAGATGTTATCGTATACGTGAAGAGGAAAGGCGTGTACCAATCTTGACCTTGCTTGTGGCCAATCACTTCCAAGGCTTGATCAGCCTTGTAGACTACAGGCAGTCTTGAGTAAACCAGATTTTGAAGTACCAGCGATCATATAACTTACAATAATGGAAAAGTTCCTTAGACTTGAAAGGCATATCTATAGTGAAGAAGTTGATCGGGTTAGGGGCCTTGGGAATGTCCAGTTGCAACGAAGGTATCATCTCGTGCGGATGCACTTGTTCTTCGGATGCTCCGCTGTATCGCCATTGTATTTGAACTTGGCATCTGGGCGAGTCCCGAGGCGATGACTCAGCAGACTCGGCGACATCGGTTGTGAACGGACCAGAAACTCTACCGTTAGCCATGATCTTAGCATCCGTTGCGGGAAGTATGGTGCGTTGCGTTACACGGCATGTGATAGGTCGTCCTGCTTTCTTGTGCCACTGCTTGTACTTGCAAGAATACCCCATCACTGCGCATCGTCTACACGAGGGCTTTGTCTCGTCGCACTTAAGATGGGACTTTCTACACTGTGGTTAGGGTCAGTAGACAGCTCCGAAGTTAACAGAGACAACATTCGCAAAAAAATGACACGTGTCTTACCGAACCACACGCTCCATGGCTTCTAGGACCGCCGATCCGTTTGGGTTTAGGGATCGGGGTTCCCCAATGAAACACTGACTGCATATCGGACTTGGTGGTTATCTGAAGTGAAGTACCACAACTTTTGCGACTTCTTGAGTGTCGCTTTCGTTCGTGATGACTCCCGGTATAACTTGAGGAGCGTGCGGAATGGAATTGCTGACTAGCCCCACTGTCGCTAATACCGAACACATATCACCAATTACAAGCGTGTCGAATAACTGAACCAATCATATACCACATGCGGACCCTAGCGTCTCATATGATAAGCTTATGCACTATCCGTAAATTGGTATGTGCACTAAAAATCCCTCATTTTACATCTTTACTATTTAATTAGATAGTTCTTAACCAGAAAGTATATCTAACTATAATATAGAAGGCTATGCTGTCAAGATAAGCTGCTAGGCAGGCATGACATCTACGGGTATAAGCAGATTTATTGATTTGTAATGCGCTTAATGAGGTATGGACTGCGATGACCCACTGGGAGTTTATATGAGATCAGCCATGTGATAGGCGGAAGACCCGCATGGTCAGACTGCTGACGGCTGATCGGAAACTCGGCAGAAAGTCTCGAGCTCTAATCGCCGAAAATGGAGTTATCGGGATTTTCATATGGCCGCAAGCTCTGACTGATAGGAATGATGGTACTGTGGTAAAACATAGAAATATCGTCATCCAGGCCAAGCTCGCATCGTGCGTTACCAGTCAGCTTGCGATTGCATGGTAAATGCCGGGCGCAGTCGATCATCTTTTTCAGCCAGTTTGTAGTACATCGGTTCCCCCTTTCTTTCTCTCTTCAATATTTCCAAAACTGAAGTGATATCACGTTCTGGTTATCTTTATCACCATCCGCCATTCAGGCTGCCGGAGATGAAAATCTGGCTCGTGACCGGATCCTCGCGTGGCCTCGGCCTGGCGTTAGTGGAGGCTGTACTGGCCAGCGGCGATTGTGTTGTGGCTACAGCTCGCGAACCCGACCAGCTCCTCGAGCTTGAGAAGCAGTACGGCCCTAATCGTATCATCACGGCTGCTTTGGACGTGACGCGGCTGGACGATGTGTCACATACGATACAGTTGGCTCAGAAATGCTTCGGTGGTATTGACGTTGTCGTCAACAACGCAGGATACGCAGAGACCGCGCCCATTGAAGACATGAGTGAGGAATCATTCCACAAGCAAATTGAAACAAACTTCTTCGGCGTGGTTAACCTCACTCGAGCTGTTATACCATTGCTACGGAAGCAGGGCTCTGGACATATCCTTCAAGTATCGTCAGTCGGCGGGAGTGTTGGATCTCCAGGATTGGGGGCTTATCAGAGCGGAAAGTGGGCAGTTTGCGGGTTCTCCACCGTTCTCGCGAAGGAGGTCGCGCCCTTCGGAATTAAGGTTACCGTTTTGGAACCAGGTGGCATGAAGACAGACTGGGCTGGGCCTTCAATGGGTTACCCAGAGATCAGCGAGGGCTACCAGGAAACAGTAGGCGCTATGCGAGAAGCGAGGGCTCGCTCCGCGTCGAAGTGGTCCGAACCAACTGAGATTGCACGCGCCATTCTTTACATCGCCAGAGTCGAAGACCCCCCACTACGCCTACTTTTAGGGCCCGACACTGTGAGCCATGCCGAGGCAGCCTCTAGGTCTTTGGCCTCTTCGGACGAGAAGTGGAGGCACGTGACGAATCTAACGTTCTGAAACATGCGGGCTGCCACTGTTGAGACAGTGCTGCTAAGGTGGTCCGATCTGCTGGTGGCTAGGATGTGGATACTATGTAAGGAGCTATGCTCCTCTCAGACACATGTAACTTAGTACTAACAAGAACACAATCAACCCTTTTTACTACAACAGCCACAAACGTGTTCTGCTAGGAATGGCGACTGATAACGTTGCAGAGACAGTTGAAGCAAGCCCGGAATTGAGAATAATTGAGAGCGGACAGTGTGCAGGTAGTGTAGATAATTCAAGACTAGTACAGTTGTCTGGCGAGCAGTAGCTCTATTCGTATTCAAACTAGTTCATTCGTATTGTTGAGACTTGATTCTGTCAAACCGAAGATCCGGTGATGGTTCTAATCCTTAATTTTTACCTACTCGTACGCCGATACTAAGTGAATCTGAGCAAGAGCGTTTTGTCTTGTCCATATATACTTGGACCGGATGGCCTTCTTCCAAAGCGAGGGGGATTAATTATCCTGTATTAAATATAGGGGGAATCAGACGGAAAGCGCTGCTGCTGCGGCTTACTCACTAGGAAGTGCCCAGGCAGTGGTTTTATAAATGCATTGTCTGGACTGATAATCTACTAATTGCATATGACAGCTGATAATGGGCAGATCTTGATTATTGTCAGGGGCAATAACTGCCGGTTGAGCTTAGACCTTGGCTGGTCTCTTTGCTACCATTGGGGACTTTGGTTCATATTGATTAAAATGTGGAATGATGTTTAATGTTTCTGCATTGAAGTGTAAAGAAATAGGGGTTTCTTTTTGATGTGCGAACTTGATCCATCTCTTCGAAATATCAGATAAGGTTATAGTACAACCAAGTACAACCAAATGTCTGAAATCCCATTTATGTGGATGAGCGAAGGTTAGATAAACGAGCAAGAAATCCCCCTGCCATGCAATTCGAATCAACCTCCTATATCGAGTTTTAGTTAGTTCCATCTTACAGTTGCTTCTTGCGGGTTGGTCAAGGACACCAGCTGACCAGTAAATTCGCATCTGACAGACCTGGCCGGACCAACCAAAGTAACCCTACGAAGCGATGGCGGGAATATTCGCTTCATAGGTCTTTATTTTGGTCCGGCAATTTGATAGTCAAGTTCAAACGCGGCGTCAATCTTGAAGTTTTCCAGCAACCCCAAATCTACATGTGCAAATAACGTATTTGCGATCGCATTCAAGGGTCGTGCAAACTATCTCAGAGATTGATGCTCATCATGGCCCTCTTGCTTATTGCCCGATGAGAACTTACAATACAACCACTCTACTACTGATAGGCTCTTAATCTCTAGTCTGAGACTACTAAACGGCTTAATAACTCATTACTGTAATGAACCTTCATAGAGGCTTGCTACTTCTCCGTGCTAAGTCAAATATGAAAACTTTCTTAGAGTTTGAACAGGTTCCAGCGGTAAGTATCTGGAGCCACAACTTAAGTAGTCACTTTTCACTCCTCACATCGGTTGACACATGGACACAGACTGGCCACCATCTCAGATATTACAGATCCGTATGTGAGCCGTTATTCTGTCTTTCGTATTGGAGAGCCTAAGCATTGTATTTCAAAATCTGGGGCTACATATCATGAGCAGTGTTGTCCCAATATTCGACTGGACGTATTACGTATCAAGAAACAGGAATTGATATATCGCGGCCATGAGGCCTACCAGTCAGCAAACTGATAATTTATCTCCTTGTCGACATAGCATTCAAGTTAAGCGATGGGTTGCACTTTGCGCATATACGAGACTGTGATGATTATTGGTTATTTGAGGGATAAGCGGGACACAGTCAGACCAGGCGGGTCTACAAGTCAGCGACTGGGATCTCGCTCGGCATGTGCCAATAGTATTGCTGATCTCGTATTTTATTATCGCTCAGAGTAATACCAGTCTACTTTTAATAAAAAACGAGAGCAGAGATTGGATTCTACTGGTGATACATCTGGAAAGGTGTATACTTCCCTCAAATCTTCATCCGGAGTCCAGATCCCAAGTAACAGCTACCCAGAGAGGTGTGTTACATGTTAAAGGGCAGCTTTTCTCCCTCAGACTATATATACTTCAAGCAGTCACCTACTGCCCTCTTCTACTATTCTTTATCTCACAGTTTCCACACTATCTCTATTTCTTAAGAAGTAAAAAGCTTGAATTTCTATTACGGTGTAAGCAGCAGCTTAATGCATATACGTTTTAAAGGACTAAAATGCGCTAGGCCGTGCACGATGAAGTTATCAATTGTGTCATTTCTTGCTTTTTCTATGGTGGCATCTGCCGAGGCGGATAAACGTGCTGCCAAGCAAATGCAAATCAACTACTTCGACGACAACAACTGCAACCGGTTTCTTCGCCAAATCGATGTTTCATGGGCGAGCAAGCATATCAATAACGGAAAGAAGAACTGCTTTAACTATAACTATGGCAACTCGGTTGCTTTAGTTGAGTGTAAGGGAGAATCTTGCGATTGCACTTTTTACTATGATCGTGACTGCAAGTTTGGAAGTGAAGGACCTTGGGTCACTAACGATGGAAGGTGCCATGGTTCGGCAAGCCAGTTTCAGTCATTCAGATGCTTTTATAACTGAGGCGTGAGTCAATGTGTACCTGGGTTGATTACGATGGTTAAACGCTTCGGGTTAGAGGGAGAGAATGTATTGAGGTTTCCTTTAGGCTTGCTGATGGTTAAAGAGTATGGACTTATAGTTAGAGATAAGAGAACAGCAAACTATTTGGGCCCCAATTGTATTATAGAGTAGAGCTAAGATAATTAGCCTGGATACTAACATGCATAATAAGCAAGTAAGCCATCTAAGTAAGTAAGCTAAAAATCCCTCACCTTATAACATTTCTATCTAATTAGATAATTCTTAACTATAAAGTATATTACACTCTTCTATTAAGGCTAGAATGCTTTTTGCACTTTAGGCTCTTTTAAATAACCTAAAACTAAGTATCTAATATACTGCAGATATATATTAAGTTAATTGCAATACCTTATATTGCTGCTAAAATAGCATTTAATTATAATATAATACTATCTAGAAATTATATAGACTATCTAATTTAGAAAAAGAGATAATAGTTTACTTTATTCTTAACTTAGATTTATAAGGGTTTCCTCTATAATATTTATATATTAAAGAAATAGCTAACTCTTTCCTTACTAACTGTAATATACTACCTATTAATAAGTATTAGGCTTATAACTTTATTAAATAATAACTAAAGCTAAAGATATATTTCTTTTATAAATATGACTATTAAAGAGTTAAATATAAAGATCTAATTATTATTTATAGCTAGTTTAGCCTTATATAAAATGTAATTATAAAGTATAAGATTTAATTAAAGAATATCTAGAACTTTAATATAACTGGCTTTATAATAGGTATTATTTTAAGTAATATAATTATTATAGGTTTAGAAAGGCTTAAAAGACTAAAATTAATATAGCCTAGGAATTATAAATAGATTATAGTTATTTAAGTAATTAATATAGAAGGCTAGGTAATTAAGTTATTTATTATTAGTGCAGGCTAATATTACCTTATTAACTAGTATTAAGAAGCTACTATCCTAAATAGCTAAGTTATTATAATATATTAAAATAGCTAGATAAATAATAAACTAAGTCTTAAGTAGCTAAAGTACTTTAATTAATATATAACTAATTAGTTATTTAGTTTTTATTATCTTCTAATCCTTAATAGTTATAAAAGTTATTACTTTATTACTTTTAAGAAATATTATAAGGAAAATAATATTATTATACATTATATACTGCTTTATATATCTTATTTACTTTAACCTCTTAATATTAAGTATTTTAGGCTATTAAAGAAGGTATATAGTTAAGAAATAAAGTATTTAATTAAATACTTTATAACTTATATTTTAAAGATTAAGTTCTTTCTTACCTTTTATACTGCCTTTTAAGCTACTATAACTAAAAAAAATATTAAAGGGAGTTTTAGAGGAGCTGGCCTTGCTCCTTTTAACTTAGAAAGTATAATCTTAAAGCTTAATATAAAGCTATAGACTTTAATGCCTCTTAAAGAGGTTACTAAACCTTTAACCCTATAGGTTTTAAAGATATTAAAGATAGTTTTAAAAGTCTAATTTTAATTAGCTTATTTATAAAAAAAAATTAAAAAAAATTATAATAGCTTTTTAAAGTTACTTATTTAAGTTATAAAGTATTTTAAGAAAGGAATAAGTATAGTTATATATAAGCTAGCCTTAATAGAGTTTAGGATAAATAACCTTAAATAAGTAAATAAGATACTTAATTAGTACTAAAGGGCAAAAAAAACCTAATTATAGAAAGGAAAAGTAATAACTATAATGGAATTAAGGCAAGTAGTTAATTAGATAGATATAGATATATAGGTAGTAGCTAAATTATTAAAAAGTAATAGTTAAGAAAGGTTAGCAGGACTAGGTATAGTATATATAGCAAGACTAGGTATAATATAAGGATATATTAAGTAGTAGTTAAGATATTTAGAGAAGAGTATAGTAAGTAGTTTTAATTAATTAGATAATTTATAGTGTTTTTATTTTAATTTTTACCTTAAGGGTATAAAAGAAGTAGCTTACTTACTTAAATAGCTTACTTACTTATTATATATATTAATTTAATATTTATTTTAGCTAAATATATACTTAAGGTTATTAAATAAGTAATATAATTAGTAATTTTTAAATTATTTTAAAATAAAAAAAATATTAGCTATATAATATTAATATATAATTATTAGGGTTTATTTATTATACTTATTTCTTAAGAGCCTAATATGCTATAATTTATATCCTGCCTTACCTTATCTTAATTATTATAATAATATAAGTAAGGTATTAAATCTTTTAGCTTTTAACCTTTTATAGCTAAATTACTATATAATTTATAGTAATTTAATTAATAACTACCTCTTTAAATCTTAATTAATAACAGGACGTTAATTCCTATAATAATAAGAGCGTTTATAAGTAATATAAAGGCCCTTGCACTATCCCTAAGAGGCCTAATAAGGCTAATAACTTTCTAGCTAATAAGTCTTATAACTTTAATTTTAGCCCTTTTATTATATAACCTTATAATTATTATATTAATTATTTACTTAATATATTACTTAGTCTTTTTTAGTTTTTTATATTTAAGTTACTACCTTAGTAATAAATTAAATATATATATCCCTTTAACTAATATAAGGTAATACTTTTATACTAAGCCTTATATAGCCTTTATATATTTAAAGGTATATAATAATAACTTTAAGTATTATTAATATTAATCTTATTAAAACTATTATATAATTTATTTAATAAGTTATTAATTTGTTTTTTATTTCCTTACTTTTAACCTTATAAAAGACGCTCTAGCTTTTTAGCTTTTTTATTAATAACTTAAATAAAGAGACCTCTATAGCAGGCTATTATAATAGAAGTTAATATTAAATAAGGTTTATCTGCTTTAATAATGCAATTGCTGCCTTAATTAAGCAGTATAAGTACTAGTTACCTCTTAGCAGCTAGATTAAGCTTCTTCCTTTAACCTACCTAAAAGACACGCCTAATTCATCTATTACAAACTACATTACCTAACCTAAATACTTATTAATTACACTTGCTAATATTAATTATAGCCACTATTATAATGCCTGCTATTTGCAATAGCCTACAGCCTAATTAGGGCTATTATATAACTAATTATAATCTTATTAATATAATTAGAATGGCCTTAAAGTAAGCTATAAATAGAGATTACTATATATTATAAATAATAGGTATAGTAATTAAAAAGAACTTCTTATTAAAAGTAAAATCTAGCCTAATTAAAATAATTATTTTTAATTATAGCCTAATTAAGTTAATTAGTTATATAAATTAAGGTTATTTAGGAAATATAATATCTCTAGCCTAAATTAATTAAGAGCTATTTAAATTAAAGAAGTTAAAAAAAGCTTTAAGATATAACTAGCCTTTAAAATTAAAAAAGGCAGCTTTCCTTACTGCCTTTATAGGCCTAAGCTTAGCCTAATATAAGCCTTATATAAAAGATTATTAAAAAAAATTATAACTAAGGAAGTAATAGCTAAGTTATTTAATTATAAAGTAAATATCTTTTTACTAACTTTAGTTATTATTATAAATTTTATATCTTTTTAATTATATAATAATATTTATAACTATTAAGGATAGCCTTTATAGCTAGATATTTTAATTTAGGGTTATTTTAAAAGGCTTAAAAGGTAAGAAGAATTCTAGCCTTATTTAAAGGCTATAATATATTTAGTAGTTAAGAAGTATTTAACTAAATAATAATACTATAAAATAAGGAACTTTTAGTTAGTATACTTATTAATTATATTTATTAATTATATTTATAATAACTGTTTTAATAAAAAAGTATTTTATTATAAATTTAAGGTAAGATTTTATAAATTTATAATAATTATATTACTCTCTATAAGGAAATTAGAGTTTATTACTTACCTTAGATTTAATTTATTAGCTATTTTTTATTATACTAATAGCTTATTATTTCTTACTAAAATTAGTTTATTAAGTACTAAAAGATATAAAGGATACTATTAAGCATTAATTTATTTAGATATTAAGTATTATAATAAATAAAATACATACAAGGTGGCTTGGACAGGTGGATAAGACGGTTTAGCTAGTGCAGCCCATAACTACTGCATTGTTAGCTTGAGGCAGGGTTATAAGTATACTGTAAATCGTATTAACTTGCCGAGTGAGGAAGCGGATAGATGAGCCCGAGTCCCACGTAAGAGCTATTCTGAAAGAAGTACAGTACTTGAAGTGTTATGTCAGTCTTCCAGATTGCCGTTGCAGGGGGCTGGCCAATTACCGACACGTGCTCGTAAATTATGGGTCATATTCAATTAGTTGCTGGGTACCCAGGCACAAAAGAACGCATTCCCAACCGCGATATCATATATGATAAATTGCTGCCACTAATTACTACAAGGATTAAGAACAAAACTAGTATTTAGACTAGAAGGAATAAGGCGGGAACTTTACGAATTCAGCGAGATGAAAGTATTCACTAGCGAACTGTATGTGTTTTCACTTTTTAGAGCATTCTGTTCCTCGGCCTACCAGGTGTTGTAGCCGTGTGGGTGCCGCGGGCGGTTGGGAATTATCGAGGGTGTTTAGAGCTACGTTCCTGTTTCTCTCCCCTCTAGCCCTAAGTTAAATTCGATCCTAACATCAAACCAAGAACTGAGAAGTGTATTATGTCTCTAGAAACATAAGTAACTAGAGCGGTATTTATTCTAACCAAACGAGTCCGGTTTGGTCCTGCTAATACCATTGGAAAGAAGTGTAAATTGATTAGAGAATCTGCATTCAATAGAGCATAGATCGTTGTTTCCCCCGAGCCAGGGCTCTAGGATATTAAGCTTAGACCTTATAAACAGTATTCTATTTACACCATGCATTAGAAGAACACCTCTGCCAGGGCCCGCCTGATAGACTCGCAAGTAGCTATTAAACATACCGAGAATTCGTCAAGGGTCTACTAGAATGAGTTGCAAGATATAAGACCATGTGCGGTAGGGTGTCAATTCAGTACCTTAAATTTGTGTCTTGTAAGCGCTGGTGACTATACTTATACGAGGCGTCAAACGCCATTGGCGTACTTGTAATATGTTACTGTAAGTTAGGTAAGTGATGGCTAGACAAAAGTCCCAAGCACAAGGTCTGTCTTTAGATGTGCTAAAGGACATTCGACTTACTGAACTAAGCTAAATAATAAGCAAGGTATTCGTAAGTCCAGATCGCTATAGACTGAACATTTTGTTCTTACTCATATTATTAGTGCTTATTACAATGTTTCGTACATTCTATTTGCAGGCTAACGCTAGTTCCTATCGTATCAATTCTGCACTCCGTATACAGGCACAAGTGGGGCACATTTCAAGTTGTCCAACACAAGCTATTCTATACAAGTAGGACACATCTGCACTCATGTATATATATATATATATCTATGATTCCTTTCATCATCTCTACCATCACTATCTTTCACAATCAGCCATCTCAATATAACAAATCACCTTTTCCCTCTTAAAATAAAGCCCAAAACACATTATAAAAGGCAGTCATGTTCGTTATCTCGTTAACGTCCGTCGCAGCGCTTCTCGCATTTTTCAGCGTTGCAGCTGCGAAGCCTTTAGCACTTGCAGAGCCTTTGACACCGGCTCAGCTCAACGCGCAGTCTCTTACAGAAGGTTGGACTGTTTACTCCAACCAAACTCTCGACAACGGCAGTATCCTTACTTTATGGAACCCCCCAGCTCTCAAGGCTCGGGACACGAGCGTATTGAGCAAACGATGCGGTTCCAATCGTATCGAATGCAACGATTCTCATCAGCCTAAGAGCGGTCCTTGCAGCTCCCTTCGCGAGCAAATCTATCTCAACAGAGGCAACACCCTACCCGCGACACCTCGTGCTCTTTGTCTATCTCAAGGTTCAGATCAGTGCTGCGTTAGCTGGGCGAACCTTCTCCACGCAAATACTCCATGGGCAACACTCATCAGTGCCAATGATGCTTTGCAGTTTGATTGTGTCAACAATGGAAAGTCTGGTCGTGCATTAGACGTCAATCTCTCCGACGTTTGCACGACTCAGTGCATGTCAAACCGAGCTGAGGGTTGTAAGAACTAGGCTGGTTTCTCAAGAACACCGACGGGAACCACCACGTATTCGGTGCTTGAGAAAGTGGTCAATCGCTTGATCACGCTACAGCTAGTCATCCGGCTCTGTCCTTAGACAATTTCACTTCAGTAATGCATTACTTTTGTATTTACTTTGCCCTACTTTGGTATTATACATTCTTTTAGCAACTAACCCTAAATAAATAAGAGAAAATTTATATATGTCTTAGAAGTTATACCTAATAAGATATTACTATAGCTAATATGTGTTTTTCGCAAAGTAGCTATATCACTTTTATCCATCCCTCTTTTTAGTAAAAGTAGAAGTTTGCAGTCTTTTATTAGCTTATATCTATATAAATCCTCTTTTACTAAAAGGTAATATAGTTATTAAGCTCCTAGCTATTTTTTTAATTATAAGTAGGTAATACCCCTTCTTACTAGCTAGTTTCTTCCTTTATTATAACCTTTATAATTAGTTTGATTTTAATAATATAAAATAATATTAGTTCTTAAGTATTTATATACAAATTAATATATTAGCTATATATATTTTATAATTATATTATAAAAATATAAAAAGGGGTATATTAATATTTATATATATATAATAAATATTTTGCCTTTTTTAATTAACTTTTATAATTAATTACTTATATACTTATATTATAAAACATTACTTAAATAATCTAATAACTTAAATTACTCTTAAAATATATAGCTTCTAAAAGTCTATAATTATTAAATTAATAATTATATAATTATAATATATAAAATAGTCTTACTTATTTTATAACTAGCTATTTAGTATTATTATAGCTATAATAAAAAAAGCCTAAACTAATATAAAATAAAGACTATTTATTAGGCTAGTAATATACTATAGCACTTTAAAGTCTAGCTACTATAGAAGCCTAGTTATAAGTTCTACTTCATGGTGTTAACCTTATAGTTAAATAAGCAAGGTTTAAGCTAATAAAGACTTTTACTTAAGAAGATTATTTACAGCTAATTAATAGCTATATTGGCTACTTGGCATGTCTAAGTATGTATGTGTATATTGTTATTAAAGGTTAAGTTATTAATTTATGGTAGAGATCTTATTATCTTTACCTGAATTATTATAATTATATTAGCATCTATGCAAAACTTAAGATTAAAGAATTGGGGCCTTGAGAAACTTGGTTTATGAAAGACCCTTGTAGTATCTAGCCATAAGTATGATAAATACGCGGACCTAGAGGATGTTTCATATTACGCCGTTAGCGGTATTTTTATGGCATGGGGTTAGCAGCCCCAACTCCTGGGCCGTTTGCCCACTACCTAGATAAACTATAAAAATAGACACTAGGGAGTCTCTCTAAATAATTACCATAACTCCAAGCTTTCTTCTAACAAAGCTTGAGTTTAACCACAGTCTTATTTTCTATCTATTCTTATTATATAATAGCATCGGTCTACGATTTGCGAGATACCTAACTGCTGCTTGTTGGCGGTAGTTGGAAAAGCTGTTAATAAAGGAATAGCAGTGATTCTTTGCCAGGCCAGTTTCAAACTATGAGCTTCTATAACCATGCTTAAAGATGCGGCGCTGATAAGTTACATTACCGCTATATAGCTGCGACTTGCTACGGAGATGTATAATAAACTCAGCATAGGTAGAACGGATTACCATGCCATGAAGCAGTAGATGGAATGAGTTGTTACTGCATATTATATTAGAGCCTTCGGATGAGTTTAGAGGATGTGTTATGCCAGCTTGGTATAGTATATTATAACTTGCAAGTAGGCAGGAGTATTTTTTTTATAATTTAATATATTTTTATATTATAATTAAGCTAATAGCCCTTTAAGTTATATTTACCTATAAAGGCATAAATTATTATTTTATCTTTTAATTTTTTTTTTTTTAAGTTTATAAATTAGCCTTAAAAGGTATATTTAAATATTTTTAAAATCTAATTTAATTTAAATATTTATTACCTCTATAACTAGTAAAGCTTTATTAAGTTAAATTATTATAATTAGCTATTTTAATTATAGCTTAAACTTAGCTATATATATACTAGCTAAAAAGTCTTATATACTTATTAGCTAACCCTAACTTTCTTTCTATAACCTATCTAAAAGGATACTATACTTTAATTATTTATTACACTCCTATAGTAAGTTATCTAACCTAAATACCTTCTAGCTATAACTGCTAACAGTATTATAGCTATATTATTATAATACCTATTATCTAAAGAGGCCTGCAAGTACCTAAGGCTAATAAGCCATATCTAACTAAAGGCTATAATATAATCCCTAAGATTAAAGAAGCTCTTAGGCGAGATAAGAAGGGCAAGGGTAATATGCTTTATATAATAGCTATAGATATTAGAAAGGCCTGGTTTAATAAGGATAATACTAGCTATATTAAGCTAGTAATCTTTAGTTATAAGATCCTCTTACTTATATATCTTCTTTATATAATAGATCCTCTAATTAATAAAGCCTTTTTTAATTCTAAGAGTCAGAGCCTTATAGACCTAGAAGGGAAGCTGCGCAGAGGGGTATAGCTAAGCAGGAGGGACAGGAAGTTCTTCAGGGCCCTTGGCCTAGGCGGCTTGTATAATAAGTAGCTTAAAGAGGTATTATAGAAAACTAAGGACCTATAATATAATATCTGCTATATATAGAAGTAGGGTAATATAGGGTTTAGAAGAAATATATTAAGTTTTATATAAATTTAATTACTTAAAGTTAAAGACTTAAAGTTATAAATTTAGTATTAGTAATAAAAAGAAAATTAGAAAAGTTATAAAATAAATTATATAAGTAAATAAGTAAATTAGCTATAATATTAATATATTATTAATATAAATAGGGGAATTATTACTTATAATACTATTAGTAATTAATTTAAGATTTATATCTTTTAAAAAGACTAGGCTTAAATTATATTAAAATACCTTACTTTTTATATTATTATAATTACTAATTATAATATTATTAAGATATATATTATAATTAAGACTTAATATATTATTATTAATACTAATTAAAAGTCTAATATATTTACTTAAGAACTCCTATTTATATTAATAATATAGTAATATTATAGCTAATTTGCTTATATAGTTATATAATCTGTCTTATAACTTATTTAATCCTCTTTTTGCCGCTAATACTAAATTCAGTTATAATTTCAGGTCTTTAACTTCAGGCAACTAAATTTATACAAAACTTAATGCATTTCTTCTACAAAACCCCGCGATTACCCCACTTCTATCTACATTGCAGTACGCCATCCCCCTCATCTTTACTAGCCGTTAATTAGCTTTATAGCCTTTATTAGCTCTACTAACTATTTCTTTATATTATTAAGCTAATATCTATATAGGTTCTTAATTAAAGTCCCTAGTTTAAGGTCCTTAATAAATCCCTTATTACTTGCCTTTATAGGCCTTTTTACTATAAGGAATTGCTCTAGCTTTTATAGTAATTTAATCTCCTCCTTAAGATAGCCTTTAGAGATTATTAGCTCTTTATAATAATAATATATAAGTAAGAAGACCTTATAGCCTAAAGTAGTTTACTTAATAAAGGTAATATTATCTTCTTTATCTTAAGTCTTTTTAATTTTTATTATTATAATATAGAGCTTACCTTTATATTTATAGTCTTTAAGAGCTATTATAAAATAAGGGATTAGGTTAGGCATTTTAGTATAAAAGGCCTTATTAGGTAGCTGCAGGCTTCTTTAGATAGTAGGCATTATAATAGTATAGCTATAATGCTATTAGCAGTTGCGGTTAGAAGGGAAAGTCAGGTTAGATAACTTACTGCATAATAGGTAATTAAAGCATAGTATGTAGCAGAGGTTAATAAAAGACCTTTTAGGTAGGTTATAGGAAGAAGGTTAGGGCTAGCTAATAAGAAGGCTTTTTTAGCTGGTATATATATAGCTAGGTTTAGGCTGTAATTAAGGTAGCTAACTATAATAATTTAACTTAATAAAGCTTTACTAGCTATAAGGGTAATAAATATTTAAACTATATTAGACTTTAGAAATATTTAGATATACCTTTTAAAGCTAACTTATAAACTTAAAAAAGAAATATAAAAAAAATATATACTTAAGAAGCTATTAATTATATCTCTTATTATAGTTATTATAATAGCTATATTATTAATATTATTTCTTTTTATTTTTTACTTTTAATTTTATAAAAGGCTATTTAGCTTTATAGCTTTTTTATTAATAATTTAAATAAAGAAACCTTTATAATAAGCTATTATAATAAAAGTTAATATTAAATAAGGTTTATTTACCTTAATACTATAATTACTACCTTAATTAAGTAATATATATAATAGCTTTTAATAACTAAAATAACTTTTTTCTTTTAACTTACTTAAAGGAATATTATATTTAATTTATTTATTATATATCTAAAATATATTATTTAACTTAATTTTCCCTTTTTTAACTCTTTTTAATAATAATATAATAAGTCTATTACCTTAATATTATGAAATAGCTTATATTTATATAATTATACCTATTATATAATTAGTTATAATTTTAATATAACTATTAGGCCTGCCTTAAAGGCAATTAATAAAAAAAAGAATTTTATATTATATATGTAATAGCTATTATTATTATAAAAAACTTCTTATTAAGAAATAGATTTAACCTTATTAAAATAAGTATTTTTAATTATAACCTAATTTAAGTATTTAATTATATAAAAAAGAAATATTATATTACTTCAATTAATTTATATTAAGTTATTAATAAGTTATTAGGTTTTAAAAACTTAAAAATAACCTTAAGGAAAAGTTATTTTCCTTAAGTAAATAAGGTAGCTTTTCTTATTATTTTATAAGCCTAAACTTAACTATATATAAAAACTAGCTCTTTAATATATTTTTAAGGGCAACTAATATTGCCAGAGAGCTGCTTTTAAATTAGTAAAAACTAGCCTAATTATAGTCTTAAATTATAAAAGCATAAGGATAAGGAGTCTATATATAGAGTTCTAAAATAAATGCAAGTTAAAGGCAGGGTTTAAAAATTCTATTATAGTTAAAAGTAAAGAAATTAAATTAAGTCTATTACTTTATATAAGTTAGTTAATAAATATTAAATTAACCTTAATTAAATAAATATATATAATAAGGCATTTAATTAATTAACTTTATATATAAAAATAAATAAAATAAAATTAATAAAAAAGTAATACTTTAAACTAAAGCAGGTTATTTTATAGTAAGATTTATACAATAAGTAGTTTTTATAATAATAATTATAAAGGCTTAGTATAAGCTCTTTTAATAAAGTTATATATTTATTAATTAATATTAAGTAAAAAGCTTTATTTTTCTTCCTTTTCCTAAATTATTATATTTTTACTTTTATTATTATTTAATAAATATACTTAATAACTAACTTCTCTAAGTTTTTAATATCTTATACTTTCTAGCTAAATTCTTTTTTATTATATTAAATGGGTTTGTATTATTATTTCTAGTTATGGCTATTAATATGCTCTAATCGTCTCCTATGGCTATGGTCTTTCTTTTCTACTACGGATTTAATTATTACCTGCACCATCCTACTCCAGCATTGGGAAAGAATGTGGCGTTTCCAAGCGAATGACTAATGTATTTCCCCACCACCCCATACACCCCTAGACCCCGCATACCTGTAATAACCTTATATCCAGATCCGTAGATAACTTTAATTAATTATATAGCGATAAGTATTTATTTAATTAACTTAAGATGTTAAATACTAAGTAATGAATATATTTTCTATTGTTAGTATTTTTAATAGAATCTTCTTATATTATTTTTATTTATTTTCCTTAATTTAATATAAGATATTTCTTTTAACTTAATTTTATATTATAATAATTTATTTAATCTTAAGAAAAGCTTAATTAGGGTTAAATTAAGTAGGAACTTAACTTATAAGAGCTTTTATAATTATTAATACTTTATATATAGCTTTTTTCTTTTTTAAATATTATATTTAATTATTCTTATAGTTAATAGACTTTATTGCCTTTTTTAAGATATATTTAAAGTTATAAATTAATAAATTTCTATCTTTTTAAGCCTCTTAGAGCTATTTTTTAATATTATAACTTCCTTAAGGCATTTCTTATATAGTCTTAGAAGTAACTTATATCTTCCTTAGTGTTATAGGCCTTTTAAATAACTTGCGTTTTTTCTCTTTAGGCTTTAAAGACTTTAATACCTTTTACATATTAATTAAAAATAAATTAATAAATAAAAAGCTAATTATTATATTCTTATACTTTAAGGCTTTTTAAAAAGCCTCTTTATAAGCTTTTAGAAATAGTTTCTATTAATATAATAAAGTTACTTTATATAATACTTAAAATTAAGTTAATTAATAATAATATTATTTTAATAATTTAAATACTATAATATTAAGTAGCTATATAATATATAAAGAATATAAAAGTAATTAAAAAAGCTAAATCTTATTTAATTAAGCCTTTTTTATTAATTCTACTATTATATATAATTTATATTAGTTTAAGACTAAAAGTCTTTATTAAAATAGTTTTAATAATATAATCTTAAGTATAAATACCTTTATAAACTATTTAAGGAAGATATTAGTATTAGACTAACTTCTAGAACTTATAATATACTTCTAATTAAGGAAAATACTTAGAAATTACTATCCTTAAAGGTTTTCTCTTATAAAAATAACTATTAAGGTAAGATAATAACTATTTACTAATATAAACTCTAATATTAAGCTTTAAGTTAAATTATTAAACTTTATATACTTTAAACTAAATATTATAATAGTCCTAGCTATAATCTTATTATTAGTTTTCCTTAATTAGATTTTAGTTTTATTTATATTATATAATTATTATTATATAATATTTTAATCTTAATAATATAATTAAAACTATTATAATACTTTATAAGTATTTCCTTTATAATATAATACTTCTTTATAATATCTATAACTCTTAATAGCTTTATTTTTATTATTTAATAGTAAGATATAAATCTATTATTTAATAATAAGATATAAATCTATTAACCTAGTTCTTATTAATATATAAGATATCCTTATTAATAGTAAATAAGGCTTATATAAAGTTATATATTTCCTGCCTTATTAAAGGCTAAAAAGCATACTCTTTTTTAATAATATAGTTAATAAGATTATCCTCTTATATAACTATTAGTAATATATCTTTCTAATATATTATTTTAATATCTTAATTATTAATATATTAATCTTTTAAAGTTAATAATTTAATTAAATATTTTTATATTAAAGCTTTATAAACTTATTAATTTTTAGTTTTTTATTAATAATAATATCTTATATTTATAATCTAATACTTATAAATTTATTTCTATTAATAGCAAAAAAAAATAGATTTAATTTAAATTTTATAGAAAAGAATAAAGTGGCTTATTATGATAATGCGTCAATGGTGTTATGGTGTGCGGGGTCTAGGGGTGTACGGGGTGGTGGGGAAATACGTTAGACCGGTAGCCACGTCCCAGCAGTCCAATCAGCCTGTGACGAACTCGTCAGCCCTAATTTAAGCTTTCATAGGGGGCTTACTGTCCCAGTCGAGCCCCGACAGCTCGGGTAAATCCTCTGGCTTCCCCTAAATCCCACTTGGCCCCGTTCTTTACTTCCAAGCTCCCCTGTCCGTCTTGCCCAGATCGTCCTCCCGCATCAGCACGCATCTTTTGGCGGTCTGTCGCGTTTACGTTACGTTATTGAAACCTCATGGCCGGCGTCGAGTTGGTCCTTCGGGATTCTGATGATAGCAAAGTGTCCATGGTTATTGGCATCGCCACCTTTCTCTTGGCCACATCCACGCTTATGGTGGTATTGCGCGTCGTGAGCCGAGCCATGGTGAAGCAATTTAGGCTGGACGACATGGCCGCTATCGCGTCTTTGGTAGGTTGACGGAACGCGCCGAAGGAAATAAAAGTGCCAGTGCTAACAATTTTCGCAAGTTCACCACGATAGCTTGTGGTACTGCGATAACATCAAGTTTGTCCCACTACGACCCTATCATCAGAAACAAAAATTAACCAGCATCAGTGACTCGATTTGGTCTTGGAAGGCATATTTCCACAGTTTCTAGTAAAAATCAGATTCTCTACCTAAGGGTAGGTGCAGGCTGTATTCCTCCAAGCAAAGTCGCATCTAACCTCGAACCCAGTGTTTTTGGGTGTCCGTATTCTTCTACATGCTATCACTGTTCTTCATCAAGATGTCATTTCTAATCAACTACTACCGGCTTCTCTCCGCTTCCAAACTACGGCCTTACTGCATTGGAGCAATGGTACTGATTGTACTCTGGGGCGGCGGCGTTTGCATCCTCGTCTTTGTTATGTGCATTCCTCTTGCAGGCGTCTGGGACCCAAAAGTTGACGCGAAATGCGTCCCACACATAACCATAATGTGGTGGTTCAACGGCGTTTTCAACTCGATCGGCGACCTGTTCATCCTGACGCTGCCAATTCCGGCTCTGTGGCGACTCCAGTTGCCACGCCGACAGAAAGCCTACTTGTTATTCGTTTTTAGTCTCGGATTCCTGTGAGTTAAGCAATAAGAAACAAATCCCATCAGTGGAAGTCACTAACAGAAAGCACATAGGACTGTGGGCATTTCCATCGCGCGGATGCGATGGCTCAAGATGGACGCCGACATGACCTGGTGGAACGTCACCCCTGCGCTCTGGTCTCTCGGTGAGTTGACGTCTGCCATTTCTTGCTCCTGCCTGCCATTCTTCAAGCCCTTAGCTCTCCGCGTCAAATCCTTTATGAGTCGCGCCACTGTAGGCGGTACTCACCCACAAATGACTGGCGGCGAAGAGGCTAATACTCATTCGAGTGTCGGTGCTGGGCAAAAGGAGTTTATCCAAAATAGCAACCTGATGTTCAGTCTGAATGGGAGCCAGAACGAACTGGTTGAACCAGGATCGAAATAGCAAACGGTTCTTTCTACTTTATCTTTCCACTTATATAATACATATAGTATCTAGGAGGGAGCCAGTATTGAGTCAAAGGCCAGGAATGGTCAGATGCCGCTATCATATGCCGCCGAGAGTGGGCACAAGGCCGTCTTTAAGCTGCTATAATTATATAAAGGTTAATCGCTAGGTCAATCATATTAACCGGAAGGTAAACTCAGATTGCCTAGCTTATAAGGGCCTTTAGCAGGGACAGTTAAGGGCAAAATGCCTGAAAAGAGACCCTCTAGGAGAGGTCAGCAGTAACAAGAGAAGGCATCACAGGCGAGGTAGGCAGACTGTATATAGGTATAGGTTATACGACGTTGCGATTTATAATAATTAAAATTGCTGGGACTTCTATTATTATATACTTTAGTTGAAGAATTATATACCCTTGATTTGGCGTATTTTAATTAGACCGAACCCCTCGTTAAGACCTGTGCGGAGGTCCTTGCGTACTAAAGAGATAGAGAAAGTGACTTAAGAAATTTAGCAGAGGCAATAGGTGTTGGGTCCATAATATTAACCGTTGCTTTTACTGCTGCTACTTTTCAATGTTCTTTTGTTTCTAGGAGCGATCGGCTTGGAAGATGGGGTTCGTTGGGCTGTGTCCCGCCGTGTCGAGGTAGTTATATTATGTCTCGCCATCTCTAATGCTGAGGCTAGATGGACTATAGGCCTACTTGGCTCTCGGGTATTCCGCGCTTTCACCTGCATTAATACAACCCACTGGGGAATCAAAGTGGCAGATTTCTATTACAACCTAAAGCAGGGGCGCAGGCTTTTTAGGCAGACATATTTTTAATAACCTAGGCAAGCGGCGCCCCACCCTGCTTTCTCTTTATTTATCTTACAAAGAGATTATCCCCTCTTGACAGTTGCGGGCAGGGAATTGCTTGCATAAACTATTAATTTGGTTCCGGTCAATTCCCTCTCCTGAAATTTAAGGCAGGCACTGATCCCATTTCATTTCATCGAGATATACCATTTGGCACTTTGCAATAGAGATTCAACTGGCGTGATTACTCAATCAACTCCATCCATCGTCATCGGATCTCCAACGACAACATTAATCGCAAAGTCGACTTTATTTAATGATATCTTTTCCTAGTCTCTACTTCCAAAATCCTGTACTTTTGATTTTTCCCGTTTATTGTTAGTTAAGATGCGACTCCTGAGCAGTACGAGCTTTAAACTCGTTGAGTTCGTCGGAGATAGTATCCCGCCATACGCCATTTTGTCACACACTTGGGCCTCTGAGGAGGTTACGTTTAGCGATCTGCAGCAGCGGGAGTATGAACACTTGAAAGGGATCGCTAAACTCAAAGGCTGTTGTGCTCAAGGGGTACAAGATGGCCTAGAATGGGTGTGGATCGACACCTGCTGCATCAACAAGTCGTCAAGCGCTGAGTTGTCTCAGGCCATAAATTCCATGAATTTGTTGTACAAGAATGCCGATGTCTGTTACGTTTACTTATATGATGTCCCCCCTCCGGATCCCTTCGTTGATGAGCATCTATTACAGATGCTAGGTGGTTTACTAGAGGATGGTGTCTGCAAGAGTTAATTGCTCTACGAGAGGTAGAATTCTATTCCTAAGATTAGACCGAATTGGGAAGTAAATAGAGTCTAAAGTAAGCTATATTCAATATAACCTCTATCCCGATTACTATGTTTCTTTAAAAGAAGCACCTTGGGCATTTCCCTGTCGCTCAGCGAATGTCATGGGTATCGAAACGTAATACCACAAGGGAGGAAGATATTGTATATTGCCTTCTTGGTATCTTTGATATTAATATGCCTCTCCTGTATGGAGAAGGACGAAGGGCATTCATTCGACTGCAAGAAGAGATCATGAGGAGAAGAGTGGATTACAGCATCTTCCTCTGGCAATCAACCGCCCTCCACAGCACCACGGGCCTTCTTTGCGATTCTCCTCAATACTTCCCTGTTAACGGAGTGGTGACACGGTCCAGTGGTTCCTGCAAATATTCTGATATCGTGGCGTCGAAAATCTCTATTGAGAATGGGCCTGAATATGTGAGACCACCTGAGGTCACCCCCCAAGGCCTTGAAATGACCGTTCATAACAAGCCACTCGAAGATGGCTCTCGGCTAGCCTGGATCTACTTAACTCATAAAGATGGCTTGGTTTGCATTTTTTAAGCCGGTCCCAAAGTGATCACAAGTATTACAGAACGAGAGTAGGATATATCGAGATAGTAGGCACCGAGGGCGAATTGGAGAGCTTCCAAACAGAGTGTATGTGTATGGCCATCTTAACAGACCTTTCAATCCCCAGGGTCCCTCGGCAAACGCTCGCTTTCAAGTTTTGGCTGAAGTCGACAGCGAAGGAGCAACTCTCAATCCTCGACATCTATCCTGACTGCAACCTCCAACATCGGCAGGACGGCTCGTATGCGACGGAACTCGACCTGGCTGCCTGCCCGAATTCTTTGTCGCGGTATTTTGTGTAGAACAAGGCTCATTAACCCATCCATTCATTACGATATTCTCTCTGTTTCATGCTACTTGGTCTTGCAAGATTCGTAAGTGCGTACCGGGTGAACCTCTTGAGGATATAGCAAAAGAAATCAGGAAAGCAGGGCCTCGTGGAGACGAATCCGATAGAGTTGTTTTACGCTTGCCGAGCAGCACTTATGTGACTGTTGCATTGAAAAGGAGAGCTAGGAGCAGTCGACATTATTTGTTTGTTTCCTTAATACCGGGGAGCTTTGCTACTGATCCTCAATACGAAAGAGGGGGACTTTGTAATATTAATCTTCTAAAGATGCAGCACATTAATTAACAAATGCTAATAGAATGAGAAGTTTAACGTCGCAAAACGTCTTTAATAGCGTGCGCTGCAGATAAGCATACGCCACAGTGCAAAGCGGCCATTCGACATCGAGCTGCACTTTTGCCAGGACCATCATCTGAAAGGCAAGGTGCTGAGGATATTCAAGTCTATTATGGTACAATGAAGCTAGGTGACCTGAAGCTTGTTGCACTTCCGGAAGATAATATCCAGATATCGAACTGCTGACTATCCATGTTATATGGCCTCAATGTCATGTTATACCTGAGTGGCAGACGGCTTTTCAACAAGTAACCATATTTCTAACCCCGGGGTACGAGAATGGGCTACTCTGTTGAATCTATTGTTTGTCGGCTCCGCACAATCGGTCTTTCCTCAATGGCTCCAGGCTTTAGCCATCATCTCAGATATCAGAGTTTAAACTGTGAGAGAAATCTCGTTGAAGAACTAACCTTCACGATACGTAACGTAACAAGATGCAATAGCTGTGCCCTAATGAGTATACGCGTCTATCAAGCAGACAAGCTCCGAGGAACCAAGACAATTTTCAGTCGCCAAGGGGAAGATCGTCACAGCAGTCGGGCAAATCTCTACCGGTGCTCCTTCACAAACCACAAGTCTTGAGTGTATTTTCCATGTTTTCATTACTCTGGCTGTTCTTCTGATCATGGGTGTCGACTCTTTATAGCAGACAGAGACCTTGAGCAAGTATGGGGGTCGGCTTGCCAAGCCACTCGTTCCAGATACGCAGGCACTGAGAGTGGACTGTATAGGAAGACCCGAGCGAAGTATTATTTCCCAGCTTGACACTTCTGTAAGTTGTGTCACCGTGAATACTTGATCGGACTTGGATCTTGTCAGTCCTGTATTTGCGAATCCGAGAGCTTATAAGATTCAGCCTGCATATGAGCAAGACGAGTTTGCAGAATGTCGCGTGGGCTGCACCTCCGGTGTTATCAAGGCTTTATTCGTCGTGGGAAACGTTAGTTCCCTAGGATTTCATCCGTGTGAGGAGCCAATTGACCTTGACCTCTTCGTGATGGATAATCTCAACTCAGATATTCTTGTTGGCCAGGGTACCACCGACACCCTAGGTTTCTTCAATTTTCACAATAAATCGCTCATTCCCAGTATCCTTCGACTGTGAGTGTCTCGACCTTAACATCATCCGTCACATAAGAAGCTCAGAGCTGGATATTACATCGCTACGGAAGGAAGTCAAGAGCAAACTTGGCCGCAATCTGTCTGATGTTTCCGGTAAGTTCCCGTAGCGAGAGAGTTCGTGGTGGCTTGGAACTGACTGGATCTCAGATTGTGTCGCTGGTGTTGAAGCCCAAGCTGACATTGATTAACGAGAAAATGCAGGACAGGAGCGCGAGCAAGCTAGAATCGCGAAGCTCTCCGGGTCCACGAAAGAACGAGCGCAAGTGCTTGAAGACGTGGCTATCCAAACTCTTGGAAGCGAAAGACAAAAGCGTTTTTCGCCTCTCTCTGAACCCAGGGAGTCTCTTCCCTCTATTCGAATTACCTTCTGGGACACAAGAAATTCAGCAGGACCCGCTACGGCTTTTCAGGCCTCTTCAGCGAGGATTCGATCACGATTCACCCCTATAGCGACTAACCTTATTGCCCAGTGAAAGGGCGTCCAAGAAGCGAAGGAGGAAAGTGTTTTAGAAGAAAGGACGAGATGGTTCGTCATGGCCTAGTACAGTACATAATTCACCTAGTAATGTCTGCCCATTCTGCCCTGTTAGGGAGCACACGTATCCAAGGCCGGATGGCTTGGAGCGGTGAGCCTATCGACCGAGGACCTTGAAAGAGCTCAAAGATAAGAGTATTGGAAATGCTGTAGGGATGTCCGTGTACACCACGCCGACAAAGACAAAGATGATCCGCTTCTTCGGCAAGTATTGACCCAACCGCCTGACTGCGTGAACAGAAGAAGATGAAGAAGGGCCCATCCTCTTGACTTTTATACAGTTCGCTCTGAGTTTTAGATGGCCCTTGGAGGCTTTTTGGGATTCGGGACTGTTTTGATCACTCTATTCTTACAACACCATCGAACCTTTTTTAATTTATAAACGCCGTCTTCATCGTTTATACAAACAACAAGTTCGCCGACGGCTGTCGTTGACCTCATCAAAGTCTTCGAAAATTAAGCGTTCTTATTGGGTTACTTGACTAGGTGAGGGCCGCCGGCTCCTAACGCGGATATTTGTGCCGATTGTAAAGCCGTTATTCAGGGCGTTTTCGATCATCACCTCAATGCTCCTCTCGCGGGCGGAGGTGCCTTGGAGACGCTCGATCAGGGCATGTCGATGCAGCTTGATTTCTACTTTAATCTTCTTGATACCTTTGACTGATTACGTGCAGAGTAGATGTTTTGCTATTTATAGCTATATAATTCTAGAGACCAGAGTGTTGGCGGATTGGCGAGGGTCCACATGGAGGGCCTCGCGGCCGACGCTGGCGGCGCTTAGAAAGGGCTGGCCATTGACGACCAGCGTCTCGTAGATCTGTGTCGTGTTTGCGAGTACCTGGAAGCTTATGACTGAGACGTCTCACTCAAGATACACCCAGGTCATGATATGTCAACGAAGGCACTTATCTTTTCTCGGCGCATTATAGGCTCAACTGTGATTATATCATCATGAAAAAGAATATTCTAAAAGTATTTCACTACACATCCCCATGGTAAGTTGCAAAGCCGATGTTGCGAAACATAAAATGTGCAATCATTGATCTCCTCAATCCATGAGGCATCAAAAGCAATAACGAGAAGAGCCACTAGAATATATTTCTCTCACCAAGAAGATTACGCCCAAGATATGTACTAGGATTTTCTCCACGATCATCGCGTCTAATGTAAATGTAAAGCTGTTCCATTATTACTGAATTGCTGGCTGGGGCCGGCTACCTGTAATGGATGCCATCGCCCATTGCGTCCAGATGGCCAGCCACCAGCATAAGCGTCTTGGTCCTTTGTAAAAGTGTAGCCTGGACGTGGTTGTGGCTGGTCCCACGCTGTGTGGTTTGCTGGATGCACTACTTCAGCTGAAAGAGGAACGGCTGGGTTTGTATTGTAGCTAGTGCCAGCTTCAAATCCAGCAACTACACCAGTCATAGATGTGATATAAACATCAGACAATGCAAATGGCCTCCGCTCGAATTGCCGGCTAGAGGCCATCAGAGGATATTGAGAGGGAGTATGACTGTCTATGGGCTCCCCTTCATACGGGATGGGTCGCACCGGAGACCCGTAGTGAACCCAGGCAAGATCCACGTCCCCATGAGATGTGGGTTTTGAGCTTCCAACTGCCCATCCAGCTGGAGACGGCGGTACAGACGCAAACGGTAAGAATTGTGTGCCTATAGGTGATTCCGAAGGATACGTTCGCCACGTTGGATTCAGTTCTCCTATGTTCGAAGTTGAGCTTTGGTCAACATCTGCAATCACCCAGTTGGAGAAATCTTGATCCCTTATCCCAAAACGGTTCTGATTCGTTGGCGATGCTGATGAAGCTGTAATTTACTGTTAATTAATATACTCCGTAGCCGTAAACCGTTAACGAACCTCTCATTTCAGACGGGAACCCGTCCATCCTAATGACTTCAATAGTCGTGGAAACTGCAATAGGTGTTGACTTTTTTGTTGATGGGCTAAATGGTGGCCTTGGTTTCCCTGGTTGCTTTACTGGATTGCTAATAGATGGCGCTGAGTTTCCTTTTACTTTTGCACGAAACCTTGACGTTTTCTTTGCTCGTGAGTCGCCGGTAGATGTTTGGTTTACTGGGAAACAACTGCACTCCTTCCTCAAGCGAATACAGTTAATGCAACGACCTTGCGCGTCAGAGGACGACGTGATGCATCTGATTTTTCGGCGCCGGCAGTAACCTTGAGGGCATACGTTTAGATAGGTACCCTCATGCATGGGAGAGTTTGAAGGCTGTCACTTACCACAGGCCACTGAAATACGATGATAGCCTAGTTTGCTCCTCTTTTTCGTCCCCATTTGTTGTGGTTGCTCATCTGTTTCCGCAGGATGTAAAGGATCACCGGTTGGTGCTGAGAATGCCCCTTTTATACTCAGATCATGCCCTTGATTTGGTGACCGAGGATCACGAATATCAAACATGCTCAAAGAAGAAAGCTGTTGGGAAGGAACGGTGCAAAGCATAAAGCCTTGAGGCGACATACCCATCTCAATGTCGACAGGGGGCAATGGTGGATATTGGTAAGGCATAACGCTAACCATGGGAATAGAAGCTGACGAGGTATTCTCCCATAGGTTACCCATACTAGAGAGGAAGGGCTTCGACTGAGCTGTCGACGGGATTGCGATGGCGATGGACGGAATGGTGTAACCTTGGATGCTGATGATAAGTTGACTAGGTAAACTCGCGCTCCCGCTGGCATATAAAAAAAGAGAAAAGCTGGAAGAGGATGGTAAAGTCGAGTCGAATCGAGCCAGGTAAATATTTCTCGCAGTCTCACAAGAGACCTTGTACAACCTGATAAGATGGTGATGTGCATTGGGCGGGGATTGGAGAGAAGCACTTGTACCCTATCGTTCCAGCATGTAAGACAAAGTGGTGTTTACCGAAACGACTGACAAGGGAGGAGACAGGAGGAACATGTCTGATATCATGCTTAGGCTGGCTTTGACCTCAAGTCAAAACGCCCACGTTGGTGAGAGCACTCTTTTGTGACAGACACAAAAGACTGATGTCTTACTTAATTCCACTTTTTCATCAACAGAGAGTGGTCACCAGCAAGCCGGTTGTGGGTCCCTGCACCGCTGATCTTAGCTGAGTTGTGCCATAGCGGTACTTATTAAACAGGCGCGTCACGAACACTGTATTTTCGTTGTACGCCTCATGTGCAGTTGTAATTTCCTCTTCTCTCAGTTTGTCGATATCTGCATGTCCATCTGAATAGTTAAGCCAAATTATTGTAAGCTCGCACACCAGCTGTAGTCTGAGAATTCTTGGCCTGATTTGGTGAAGGAAAAAGCAACGGTAGGCTTGATGACGCCCACTGGAACCAACAGCTTCGTTTGTGCCAGCGCCATCAGGATTACTGGAAGATGATAGGATCAAGTGATTCTCTTCTTCTTCGTTGCTCTTCGGTTATCGCGAGATTGTCAGATACGCGGAGCTTACTTTGAATGTCTCAGTTTGCTGAACCACTCCAGCCCCGCCTAGAGTCCGAAATAACTGACAAGTCGCGTCAACATCCTAGCTGGGGCTGGCAGCGGCCAAATTGCGAGTAAGCAAAATGGTCGACCAGCCTGCAAAGCCACCCTAATCAGCTGATAGCTTCTAAATAAGGTCAGCCTCAAAGCACTGTGCGCTGTGACTGGGGAGCCCACTTCTTCAATCGCCTAATCTGGGCAGAGATTGCCTCATTCGAGGTCGATTTGTGTACCCCTGTCGCTGATGCTCCCCAGCTCGACGCGGGGAGCCGGCCCCAGGTTGATCGCAGAACCCCTTTCCTTAGCAGCCCCACCAGCAGCATGAGCTTGACAGGATGTCAAGATCGGTACTAGCTCAGCAGCCCGTGCTGAGAAGTGAAGCAATGAAGCGAGAACACATCTACGGCAAGGGTATGCACTTATCAGCCACCATCTGGTGGCACTGGCTGTCGTAGGATGAAAGATTCAGAACAGCGTAAGAAAGGGAGGTGGTCATCACCAAAGAGACCCCCATAGATGTCGACGGAAAAGAGGGGAATGATTCAGCGCCTGCATCGGGCAGCCATAGATAGCCTGGTAGTCGGGTGGACTTCTTGCAGGCACTGCCACCGCCTGTTGCTGCCACCAACACCCTCGACAGTCTCATGGGAGAGGGCGCATCGAAATCCTAGGTTACGTTTTGTATTGGCACGCTCCATCAGAAGACCACCAGCGTGAGTCATTCGTGTTTATGTTCACATAAGTATACTGAGAAATTAAATCTGAAGGTAGATGATTCTGTAAAGTAATGATTTATATGAAAGGCGAAAGTGAGAACTAGTCTATACTTATAAGTCAGAAAATAATATCTTAGGTTAGAGATGAAAAAGGTCAATGGCTTTGTGAATCTGTTAATGTTCTATCCAATTAACGGCAGACAGTACAAGAGAACCGGAAAGAGCCCTGGTGAAGATTACAGCTGGATGCTCATATGACACCTCATATTTAATTTTTTTTCAGTATGAAAGAAATGAAATACCATGAAGCAAGCCATCATGATTGGACGGGCTCCTTGAGAAGAGAGCAAAAGCAAATAAAAGCCTCGTCGCGCCACTGACAAAAAACACCTGCCTATAAGAGGTAGGAAGGTCCCAAGGCCAGGTTATGTCACAGACAGTGCAATCAAAAGATAATCTGTTATACCTGCGGCTTAAGCCATCGCCGGGAATACGAAGTTATCTAGCGGCTGATCCCGACAGATTGGGTCAACCAAGGGCTGATTGCAGCAAGAACGACGGGTTCTGCAATAAGATAAGATGAGGGATGGCAATTTGACTTCCTGGGGCTGAACTAGTGCGCACCGAGGTCACCCGCCAATGCTGGTCATTCTGAGACTTACGTTACACAAACTCTGGTTAGCTCGGAACTTTGGAAAGGGTGATAGGCAACCACAAGGTTGATGCAGGGGCGGAATGAAACCCAAGGGCGCACCATATTGCCTGTCATGCAGGACCCTGTCAGGGTATCAAAATTGGAGCCTTGAACAAGACCGCTAAGGGAGGGGCAAGTAAAAGGTTAGAAGAGTCCATTGTCACGCATCAGGGGAGCGTCAAGTAGTGGTCCCCTGGCAAGTTTACTCGCTGGCAATCGCTGATCTCGATGAAGCTAGCCCTACAAGGATGAATACACGGACCTCAAGTCTGAGTAACAGTGGGGAAGCTTGCCACTAGCGTTGTTGCAGGGGTAATGGCCCATTGTCTACCAACACGCCCTGAGTGTCTAGACTTTAATACTGCATGCATCAAGCACCAGTGATAGGTGGAAGGTTGCCACGGATCCTGAATCTATTCTCGAGGAACAATGACCAGTCATTATTCTGTCCTACCTCAGGCATCTTTGTTCATTTATTGGCGCCGCGGAGAAGGTCGTTTCACCTCCCGCGATTTCCGGCATGCATCGTATAACTTCCGAGACAAGGATTGGTAGTCGGGGCTGATACCCGATGAAGCCCGGTCATCTTGTTGTCTCCGTTTGCTGGAAATACTATTGGTCACTGTCTAACGCGGGGCACAGGGCCATTGAGGATCTGTTCCCCCCGAAAGAACCCCCGAGATGTCACACATAGGAACATACCGTGCAGGAGGAGGACAGCCTAAACAATAGTTTAGTTGTGGCGTATATCGAGTATAAGCTTTGGTCGAGATCGGACGCGGCACTAAAATATTGCCACCTCTTCTTTCCAACGACTCGGATGCACTGTGGGCCGACACATCTTGTTTTGGATAAGTTATTCGTGAACTTTCGCTTGCATGTGGCTCTGCCCAAGACAGCTTGTGGCTTCATACTGGGAAGCCTGCTTTAGATGATGGACGAATAACCTCGCTTCAAGGTGTGATTTCCTTTTTCATTTAGGGTAACATAAATGATCGACTTCACAAGTCGCCCAGACACTATCTATACTACCGCCTCCACTGGCGTGTCACTTCTCGATCTAATGGTGGCACTTGCCAGGCACTGTAAGATACCAGTGCTATCCATAGTTGCTCTTTTTTATTTGTACCAGTTAGAGAAATAAAGATATTTATATATGTACCTTCATTATTACAATGCCTTGGAGAATGCTATTAACGAAAGTTGACAGAGTCGAGCCTGGATTACATAAAACATAGCATGCCTCCCGCCTCAGTATGAATTAGATCAACCAGCTTCTCCCACCAAGGCTCCCTTTCTTGGATTAAGCGAGGTAGGCTTTTAGCTGAAGGCCATATCTGTTTCCATTCCCAGGTTCGCTTCAGAGCTTCGTAGATAGGGGGAACAGTCTAAAGGAAGTTAACCATGGTCCCTTACATAAATCAATACATGACAGAAAAGAATCTTGTAAGATACACTAAGAGACAAGACTTACACTTCTAACCGGCACTTGAAGTACCCTCTCAAACCAGTCTTGCGCAACTCCTCTATGCTTCACGGACAATAAACCGAGTATGAATACAGGCAGAATAGGGGCATTTGCCGTGAAAAATAGGCCAGATGCCGGGACTGCTTGTATGCATTTGGCTAAGGCTTCTAAATGCCTTCTCACATATCGGTGACCAGGGGGGTACCTATTAGCTGGTTAGCATAACTATTTAGAAGAACGGTCTATACACAATCATCCATACCTCTGCACTCGGCATCGAAGATAGATGATCGCAGTGAGAAGCCAAGCATAAGCTGTTCGTTCGATCACGTTCGTAGTTGAGTCAATAAAAGACGCGGCCGATTCGGTGGATTTTAGCTCATATAGCAGTTGGAGTAATTTCTTTGCTGTTAGGGGCACCACAATACTTCGGTTATCCTGGTGCAACCTTGTCGCGCAGTAATTAATCTGACTCATGATATGCAGTAGTTTCGGCGAAGTGCCGCATCCTCCGTGGATCGTCCAGACATCTTCAGATGAAGCCTGTAACAACCAGCTAAATCGATGGCTTTCCTCTATTGGAGCAAACCTTTCTGGCTGTGGGAGTTTCGACGTTACCTGCGTAAGGATAATTCCCCGGGCAACTAAGACGGCCTGAGAAGTGTAAAGGCTTGTCGGTTGGGGGTGCTGAAGGCTCGTCGGTGGGGACTCCCTAAAGCTAAAAGGCAAGGTGTCTTTTATACGCTTTGGGATCTCATGGTTCCAGCATTCTTCCTCCGAGAAAGCTGGTTTCTGCTCCCTTTTATCGAGATACTTTTCCGCCAGCCTTAATCCCTGATACCATGCTGGCTCAAAAGGAGTCTTCATGCAATGCTCGATCCGGAGGGTCTAATCGATTAGTGTATGCAGTTCATATAGGAGGAAATTCATTACTAACATCTATAGTGGAGAGAATTATCAATAATGATAAGATCTCGGTAGATGATCCGTCTTGCTTGCAGTTGAGGAGGTCGCGAAGGTATGCAACAGTGCATTTGTGTAATTGGATAGCTCGGTAGCCGAATGCATGGTTGTGGATCACCCGATCCCCATTTTCTTTGTCCGGGGTATGGTCGTGAAGATACACAGCAGCAAGGCATAGAACAGCCGATCGGATTCCCGGACTATTTTGGAATGTAATAAAGTCGAGCCATGGATTGGTTTCAGATATGAAACTTTTGCCAGTGCAGATAGCAAACCAATCTAATGGGAGACATAACGTTAGATATACAGAACACACTCTGGGTTATCTATCGTCGGGCAAGCGCTTTGAATGCAATAAACCATGTATGACGTACAGAAGGCCAGCAAAGTCCGATCCGACGGCTTTTGGACTGCCACGTTCCAACAGACTGGCATGGCTCGTTGGGGATATGTGAGAGCATGAGCTCTTCCTCCCGAATTGGGGTGGGCGCGTTTGAACTTGAGAAAACTGTTGATTTCGCTACCTATCGGTACAGGGAATATTTTCTCTCCCAATGCGATAACATTGTCGCTGTATTCAAAGGCGTTAAGCACAGACTCTTCTAATGCTTTTAGTTCGAGTACTGGAATTGCCTGCGAGCCGGCATGCGGCTTATCCTCTGATATGATAGCCAGACTGCTTGAGCCAATCTGTGTACCAGTTCTCGGTAACAATAAAATAGAACTCAAGTTGATGGAGTCTACTTCAGGATTTGCTTGACAAATCTTTGACTTCTTTGCATGTTTGTCATACTGACAATCGCTAGCTGGCCTACGTTTGGCTGAAGAGACGGTGGTCAGGTTCGCATTTTGAGTAGTCAACTCCTGAAGCGGAGCTTTGCAAACCCCGAATGCTTAATCTGAATGAGTCAACCAGCCTTCAGATCAGGGAAATAGCCTTGCCACCATCGGGTGCAATCATGAGAAGTAGCAATAAGATGCAGTATATTAACTTACCGCGGAGCTGAAGCGAAGATGGATGCAACGAAGGGGGCTCGAAAACAGTATACAGAGGATCAACTTGGCATAGCGACTCCATCGTAGAGAATTAAAATATGTCTTGGACAGTTTCGGTCGATGATGGAGCGGCTAGAAGACAATGAAAAATGTAACGAGGGAGGGGCTAATGGTTTGCTTAATACTGAATAAAGTTGGCAGATAGCCATATTAAAAATGGTTTAGACGTGGCGCGTTCCCGGCTACCTGGTCACGCCTGGTCACGCCTGGTCATGGCGGCGCCACGACCGGGCATTTTGTCTCATTTGATGACATTAATCCCGTCATTTTTCACAGTAAGGCTGGCCCGGTAGATACTGAATCCCTCCATTCATAATCCACCAGTGCCGCTGGTCTGGGCTTGCTGGTAGCAGCCCCAGGCTTGCCAAGACACGGGGACGGTATCTTATCGCCGCCTATTGTCTCATCCGTGACAGCACCGTTTCCACTGGCGGAGAGGCTCGAACTGACATTTACAGTAAACAGCCTACTCTCGACCAGCCATGGCACCAAATGATAGGATGGTAAGAGTAATAAGCTAGGATCGATGATTAAGACTTCTTTGACGACTTAACGCGGCATCTGTTCAAAATGGATGGACTGACAAGTTCCAAAATGTTCTAGACAAACAAGGGTGCCTGTGTATAAATGGGCGATGAATACGGATACTGCTGACTGCGTCAAAAACTATGCCGAACGCATCAACGCGACATCCTTGCGCCCATATGATAAACGACCGAAATAAAATATTCCCAAAACATCAGGAGTGGAGGCTTTTGCTTTTTAAGAACCACCTAGTGACTTTTATTATGTATCTGGCGTTTAGTGCAAACCAATAGGGCTTAAGAAGCTCCTGAATACGGTCCTTGCTTACTACGCTAGCTTCTCTCTGCCGGAGTTCAGTGTTTAGGCTGTTGGAGTGTGGCGTTCCTCACCAATGGGTTTTCATGTCAGAGCCAGTTGCCTCTCACACCATCGGCGTTGGTAAACCATCCTTACACATGACCAACAATTTCTTCTCCTCCGTGTGCAGACGTAAGCTTTTGAATTTTTCAGTTGGGGCTTCGGGCACGGACGTACCCGGCTCCAACATAACTATGCGTCCCGCTACTTTGGGCAACGTCGACAGGGATAAATGCCGATGGTCCTGTCCCGCCTGATCGACTCGATGCGTTGGTGGAGAAAAGATCCACAGAAATCTGCACCCTCGTCCTGATTGAGGCTTACCCTCACTTCCCGACTCGTGGCTGCGAATGGCAACCGGTCGGCCAATGTTGTGAATTGGTTTCATTATTTATGTGGGATGGGGAGCACACGCCCGTGCTTTGTCAAAAGCGACATGTCATATGCGAATGTGGTGATTTAATTTGCATGTCTGGCCTCCTCCACCCGAGACCATGGTTTGGTTCCCGATTGGCCGCCCTAACAATTTTTGTACAGGAGGTAACATCCCATCCTGGTAATCTCAACCAAACACATACCCAACCCATACAAAACCAAACACATAAAGAGAAATAAACTTATCGTAGGGCTAACCCTGTTGTGTTTATCCTTTGCTAGATGCTTCTACTCTCTCTATTCAGATACATATCAAGAACGTCCTCGCCGCTGTCTCTTGCCTCCACTATGAAACTCTTTCTCAGACACCGCGGGGATGCGGGGAGTAATCTGAAACATTTTTGTAGGGCTTATATCCAGCACCTACAACATATTGATACATCATACGGATCATCCACTCAAAGTGGATTAGCTTGGTCAGCTGCCTCCAGAAACTTAGCCACCTATAAGGCCAGGTACTTCACCTTGGGCCATTACCCTAGCGTGATGTAATTAGGCCAGGAAAAAGAAATTCGCATTCTGCAGCTCTCCAGCCCGCCGCCACTTGTTGGTTTGACATTCTCTGACATCCCTCGTCTCTATAAATGTCGAATGACTGACAGATCTCCGCAGCATCTTCTATAGACCTGTTATAATCTGGTGTTACTTTTGCTTGCATTATATAGAGGCCTCTGCCTGTAAAAATAAGACTGCTAACTAAAGCTTTTCTATTAATACTTATATATAAGTAAGGGAGTTTTGTATTAAATTATAATTATACCTATTATATCTAGAAAATATTAGTTAATTAATTAATAATTAATTTTAATAATAAGGTTACTTCTTATTTGTAAACTATAAGTTTATTAATATATATATATACTTATTATAATTATAATATTCCTTAGTTTAAACTACTACTTTTTTATTAATTTACTTTATTTATTTTTATATATAAGGATAATTAGTTATATGCCCTATTATATATATTTAATTAATTAAGTTAGTTATAACTTTAAGTTAACTTACCTTTTATTAATTAACTTATATAAAACTTAACATAATTCCTTTATAAAACCCTGCCTTTACCTTGTATTTATTTAACTTTATATATAAACTCCCCTTACTAATTTAAAAGCAGCTCTTTAGTAATATTAGATGCCGTATTTAACTAAAGAGGATAACTTTCTCTTAATATAATAATTAGAGTTTAACTATAGTAAACTAAGCCATACTAGGTTTATTATTAGCAGATTATATAAGGTATATACTAAGTATTATTAAAGTATTATATCTCTTAATAATAGATTTAATATATATTAGGCTTAATTAATATAAAGAAATTATATTAATAGCTAGTAAATTAAGCTTTATAAAAGTATAAGTTATTAGTTAATTAGGGGAAATTTATAAGGTTTATATAATATAGCTATAAGGATTATAATACTTAAGGCCTTTTCTAGGTTTTTAAAACTTAATAACTTATTATTAACCTAATTTAAATTAAATTAATATTTTTACTTTATATAATTAATTAAATAAACTAAGTTATAATTAAAGATATTTATTTAAGTAAAGTTAAAGTTATATTTTAATAAGAAGTTTTTTATAATAATATTAATTATTATATATATTATATTAAGTTCTTTTTTATTAACTACCTTTAAGGTAAACCTAATAGCTAAATTAAAATTATAACTAATTATATAATAGGTATAATTATATAGCTATAATATAACAGTTGGGTTTTCTAAATAGGTAAACTAGTCCATACTAGGTTTATATTTACAGATTGCATAAGGCATAATGCTAAGTATTGCAAAGTATTATATCTCTTAATAATTAAGTAATACATACTAGGCTTATTAATATAAAGATACTTTAATTAATAGCTAGTAAGCTAAGTTCTATAAAAGTGCTAAATAAATATATTTTATATATTAAAGGTAGCCTAATAGCTTAATAAGAAATAATAATAATCTAAAGGTTAGATCTTTAGGGATTATTAGTAATTTATAGTGATCTAGCCTTAGAGTATTATAATTTAAGTAATCTAATAGAAGAGGATTATTATTAGGAGAAGTAATCCTTTTATAATAGGTAGAAATTATAGGGGCTATATAATGTAGCTATATAGGTTATAATACGATCTCTCCCCTTTATTAGGTCTTGCCCTTAAGACCTATATATCTTCCTGTTCTTGTATTAGGCTTTAGTAAGCGCTAACTTTCTTCCTTTATTATTTTCCTAGTATGCCTTGCTAATTGTTATATTGCAGAATCTTTAGTTAAAATCTTATAAGACTCTAAAGTATATTTATTTAGCAGATTTAATTGCAAAATTTAGTTTTAATATTATGCCTTATTCCTTCTGTAAGGCTAAAGGCCTTTATTATAAAATAATTAAGCATTCTTCTTATTGCTCTAAATATACTTAATAAGGTTAATCTTATAATGCTTTTAGTATTGCGATTGCCTATTATATATTATTTCCCTTATTATTATTGCCTTTTGCTTACTATTTTCTCTTTAGTTCCTTGTTTGAATTGTAAGTCTAATTGTCTAGAATAGGCAGAAGAGGAAGCTAAGGAAAAGCTTCTTAAAGCCTAATAAGAGGTTAATAAGGCTATTATAAGATTATCTTATATTTATTATTAAAAGCGTTTATTATATAAGCAGGGTATTTAGTCTATTATTAATAATATAAATTCTTTTGCAGGTAATATTATTACTTAGGAGGAGGATGTGGCAGTTCTAAATATTTAGTCTTTTAGCAGTGCTGATATTATTAACTAGAACCTGATTTTTAATCCTTTACTTTTTAAGGTTATTGGTAAAAGTTCTTTAGGAGTTGCTAGGTATTAGCGAGGTATTTTATTAGTTCTTATATATTTTCGCTTTCTAGATAGTTCTTCTATTTAATTAGATATATCTTTTATTTATTAATTCTTTATATATCTCTAATTTCCTCTACTTTATATACCTTTAGTCCTGTAATTTATTGTAGTTTATTGCCGGTTTCTATGTGTATTATATCTACGGCTAATTCAAGCATCGAGATATAATAAATTAGGTAATATCTAATATTTAAAGGTAGATCTAGTTTATATCGATCCTCTCCTATTTTTTGTTTAATCTTAACTAGTCTTAAGTATTTATAGTCTAGTTTATAACTTAGTTGATCTGTTTTAATGTTTTTGGTAGATAAGTAGACTATATTCCCCTCTGTAAAGGTTGGTCCCTTTAACCTTTTAGGGTTATAGTATCTCTATATCCTTTTCCTAATAAATTCTAGTTTAGTCTTGAGTTTGTTGTGTATTTCTCTCAGTTTGTCGCTTGCAATGATTACTGCTGGGTTTACATTCTTGGGTTCCCGAGCGTCGTGGTACGCGTCAGGTGTGAATCCCATGCCGTGTCGAACTCTCAGTTCGTCGGTGGTGAACTGGATAGGGTAGTATATCTAGTAGCTCTAGAGGCTAGTAAGGAATCCTTAGAGTTTATTGGCGTTGCTATTAAATAGTTTAGGCTAGCAGGGTTAAAGGATTTCTCTAGGGTCTTTTCTAGTTACTATAAGGGCTGTAGTATATTTAATATGCTCCTTATAGAGTTTCTGACTATTTTCTGCTTCCTTTTTAAGTGCTTCTGCAATCTCGGCGAGGTCGGCTACCTTCTTCTCTAAGTTCTTAATTTTATTCTTGGCTATATTAGAGTTATTCTTTACATTCTCTAGGAGGTTATTATATTACTAGCTAAGCTGTTTAAGTCTATGTTTAAGTTTCGCGACTTCCCCTTTATAAGTGCTTAGGTAAGCAGGGGTAATATCTTCTTTATTTTTATTATTAGTTTCTATAAGAACGTCTTCCGGGTTAGGGGGCATCTCTTGCTGCAGGTAGTGCTAGGCATATCTTAAGTTAAAAGGCTAGATTAAAGTAGTAGGTGCTATTATATTAGTATTACTTAGTGTTATATAGTATAGTCTAAATAAGAGCTATTAATATATAATAATTAGGTTTTCTAAATAGGTAAACTAGTTTATATTAAGTTTATATTTATAAATTATATAAGGCATAATGCTAAGTATTATAAAGTATTATATTTCTTAATAATTAAGTAATATATATTAGGCTTATTAATATAAAGATACTTTAATTAATAGCTAGTAAGCTAAGTTCTATAAAAGTGCTAAATAAATATATTTTATATACTAAAGGTAGCCTAATAGCTTAGTAAGGAATAATAATAATCTAAAGGTTAGATCTCTAGGGATTATTAGTAATCCATAGTAATCTAGCCTTAGAGCGTTATGATTTAAGTAATCTAATAGAAGAGGATTATTACTAGGAGAAGTGATCCTTCTGTAATAGGTGGAAATTATAGGGGCCACGTGATGTAGCTATATAGGTTGTAATATATAGGCTATTTTATATATATATAAAAGTAATATAACTATTATATTATTAATAAAAAATGTTAGAAGAGAAAATTAAGTTAAATAATATATTTTATAATAAATAAATTAAATATAATAGATTATAAAGGTTAAGTAAAAAGTAATTCTTTAAGTAAGTTAAAAAAAGAATATTAACCTAGCTATTAAGAGATAGTATTTACATTACTTAATTAAAGTAGTAATTATATAATTAAGGTAAATAAACCTTAATTATTATTAACTTTTATTATAATTATACTTTTAGGCCTAATTATAATTTCTTATTATTAGACCTACTTATTAATATAATTATATATAATTATATATTAATTAACTTAATTAAATATAATTTAGTTTTTAAAGTAGCTTAATTATATCTTATAATTAGGTTATTTTTATATAAGGTTTTTTTAAATTTATTAAAACTTTTCTTAAATTTATTTCTTTATATTTAATTTTTATAAAAGCTTATATTTCCTTTATATAAAATCCTTAATAATAAATATAAACCTTAACTTATAGTATTCTTTATACAAATCTTTATTTATTTATATATTTATATTTAAGATATCTAATATATTTCTATATTAATATACTTTTAGTAAAATATATTTTTTTTGCGCTAATATAGTTTCTTATAGAATTTATCCCCTCTGATTTAATTATAAGCTAATAACTTTTCAGCAATGCTGCAGTATCCCATTTGTTGAATCCGTACGTATCGGTCTTTTGTATATCTCAGACATGGTGGAATCTGGATTCTTCATACGAGCTATCTTCAGCGAGTTCTTGGCATCGAGCTGCGCTGCATTGCTGAAGTTATACATCCTTTCTGTAAAGAAATCCGTCAGAGGACCTGGCTGCTTGCGGTGCAGCGACGTCGAGGTAAGCATTGTTGTAAATAGAAGCCATCTTGGAAGATTCAATCTCCCAGTCCGCTTCGTCGTCTTGGACTATGCATAGCGAGTCGATCCAGAGGTATTAGATCCCGATACTGCGTGTGACAGTTATAGCGTCTTGGAAGTTCTTGGAAAGATTTCCGAAACTGATTGTGTTTATATGGTCTGCGATATTTCTTGTCGTTGTTTGGAGCAAAGTGCTCTTGCCCCAGCAATGACCAAGTGTCATATACGGAGCGATGTGATGTTCCGAGATATGAAGGCATATGTGGTTGTTGATATCATCCCTAATATCAAGAGCCCGGTGCGGCAACTCAGGGTTCTTGGCCGTGCATTTCTGATGTGCCGACTTGCACCTGCCGATCCACTCTTCAAGGACCGCTTTGTATTCTTCTCGGCGACCAGCGGAAGATACCCTTCTAGGTTTCACTAAATCCCACGCTGGCTTCTGTGTCCCAACAGAATTTTAAAGTTGATAGGTAACAACAGGATGGCCAAATCCAGAAGACCTTTCAGTTCCAACTACCCAGAACAAGCCATTATTTTGTTTAACCACTTGGATATCAAGATCGCAGCAACTGCCAATGTAACGTGAAGAGGTGAGACATACCAGAAAGCATTGACGGCATCCCTTTCCCCTTCTTTATGTATCTCTTCTATTGATCGGGCTTTCGCCTTTTGATAAGTGTTAAACCAGCAGGAATGGCTCTGTGGTCTGTCAGACCAGGTTATGGTGGGAATCTGCATGATAAAAGGAGGAAGACATATAACTAGACTTAGTGCAGGCATAGCTAAGCTTAACACCTTGTTGGCGGGGTTTGGTAAATAGTAAAAGCTATGCAGATTAGTATTAATCTGCGTTATTTTACTTTGCTGATAATTAAATAAGTATAACTTAATAATAGTAATAATATATATAAAATGTTCTTATCTTAAGTGGTTAGTTAACTTTATATATTTAAAAGTAAGGTTTTATAATAAAATAAAAAAGCATTGTAAAACAAAAGACACATAGCCCACGGTAAGTGAGTTACCCCTGCTTGCGTGATACATATCCACTTTGAGTCTCGAGGTAGGTTTCAAACTTTACCAGGTGTGGATGGCTGCTTCTGAGCTCCTGGACGTTTGCATTGAAACCCTCGTCCTGCATCCACTTAAACATCAGACCAATGCCCTTGAGAAAAAACAACACAAGCGAAGCAAAAATTTCGAAAGTAAGGGGTATGCCCTGGCCGGTCGTTTTCTCAAAGATCTTGGAGGCTTGATTGAAAGTCAGCTCGTCGCCAGCCAGGGAAATAGCCTGAGCCTTGTAGCGCTCTGGAGCCATGAATGCTTGAGCGGCAAAGTAACCTATGTCAGAAGCGGCAATGAGTTGAAGCGGCTTGTCCTTAATGGCGATCTTCCAACACGTCAGAAATATTTTGGCTTGGAACCCTGGTTTATAGTTATCCATGAATCCAGTTGGCCGAAGAAAAGTCCAATCCATATTCGCCAACGGAGCCTTTTCAACTAGATAATGCTCTATGTCATATTTACTAGCAAAGTGCGGGACTGGTGTGCGATTGTTGAACGACTGATCACCACCACGGTCGACAGAGCCGTACACAAAAAATCTCACTTTGTGATGGATACATTCGTCGATGAATTTTCTTGCTTGTTTCACTTCCTGTTCCGGTGTCTGCTTGCTGGCGAGCGGATTCTGAGCATCTGGTTAGAGGATGAAAGGCCTACTGGGGACTTTGACTAACCTGGACGAAATAAACCCCCCATACTGGTTCAGACACAATAGCCTTGGTGTTTTTGAAGAGAGCAAAAGGATCATCAAGATCTCCGCATATGAGCTTGACCTCAGACGACTTATGAGCAAGTCTCTGGGCCGCTGAGGAGCCAGGATCGCGGGTCACGGCGAGAATAGTGAAAGAAGCCTCTGATTGTAAAAGGTTGTCAATAACTGCACCACCTTGGTTCCCAGTGGCCCCCACTACCAGAATCGCCCTAGTCATGGTGATCGTTCGGGGGGGGAAAAAGTCAGGTTATGGTAAAGATGAGTGAAGGTGATTTTGAGATTGTTTGGTCTCAGCTGCGTGTAGTTGAACAGTGCGGTTATAAATGAGGTTGGAGTATATGGACTGAAGAAGAAAAAAATTCTTAGAGAGAGGTATGCAGCAGCGGAACTTATACCCAGATGTCGCAGAAAACAAGAGTCCGAAGCGTGCCGTAATCAAATTTAGATTGAGTTTTGCCGGCCGGACGTAAACGCACCGGAGATTGTCGGCCGAGACAGCATTTACACCCGGCCATCCCGAAAGGAATTAACGGCCGAGAAATTGTGGAGAAAAGACATTCTGGCCAGTAACAACAAATGTTCTCTGTATAACGGACAAAGAGGATGACACTGCTTCCTCCAAACCTACTATTCATTTTCAGCTATAAATATCTGCTGTAAGGCCACAAGAGGCTTAAAAGGTAGACTACTACGGGACATCTAAGTCATCTCAGACTTTTCTTCTAACAACCTCATTTTCCACATTGAATCCAGTAAACAAGTTTGGCAAAATGGACGGACGAAAGCTTGTGCTTGTGACAGGCGCCAACACCGGTCTCGGTTTCCAAATTGTCAAGGCTATTTGCGGCTCCGATACAGAGTATGAGGTCTTGGTTGGAGGTAGATCGATCCAAAAGGCTGAGCAAGCCATCAAGAACCTCAAGGAAGAGTTTCCCTCCGGCCATCTTCATGCAATTCAAGTTGACATTGAAGATGATGCATCCATTGCCTCGGCATTTGAACATGTGAAGGCGAAGTATGGAAAACTTGATGCTCTTATTAACAACGCAGGTGAGCTAAACCTCTTCAAAAATGCTTCCACAATACTGACCAGGCCATGAATCAAAGGTGCCCAATTCGATCAACAACTGACTGCTGGCAAGATGTCAGCAAGAGAAATGTGGAACAGAACCTATGATGTCAACGTCACCGGGACCCATATCTTGACTTGGAATTTTGCTCCATTGCTCCTCGAATCCAGCGATCCCCGCCTTATGTTCATCGCCAGCGGTACATCCTCTCTTACCACGTCTGAAAATCCCGATTTCCCTGTCAATAGGCAGCCCAGCAAAGGGTGGCCCAAGACCTTAACTAGCTTACATTTGCCCGCATACCGAAGCAGTAAGACTGGAATGAACATGATGATGAGGTATTTTATAATCAGGCCCGTACGAGGGAATAAATCTAACTCAAAATTAGGGAGTGGTTCAGGCTTCTTGGTCAGGATGGCGTCAAAGTGTGGGCCATTAGCCCTGGATACCTGGCAACCGGCCTTGGTCTTGGCCAAGAGAAGAACAAAGCACAAGGCGCCATTGATCCTGCGATTGGGGCTGCGATTGTTAGAGATGTTTTGGAAGGGGTGAGGGATAAAGATGTGGGCAAAGTCGTATCAAAGCAAGGCGTTCAGCCTTGGTAGGGCTCGATTCGCATGCATAGGAGGAGCTGCCAATACTGCTACTAGAGGCTCAGCTTAAATCACACGTAGAGACAAGAATTCAACGACAAGTTCATTTCTATACCTGTATTAGACTATGTTTACTAATCGGTCAACATTTCATGATGAGAGGTATCGAACAGTTCGTCGAGATAGTCCCAATTAGTTTCGTTTGATAGCTGAACGTCGCCCAGTTTCCAGCTCCATCTCTCAGTTCCATTTGATGATGCTCGCATGGTGTTCGTGGGTGGTAACGTATTCATATCAGCCAGTACTTGCATGCCTTCTTTGCTTTGTTGCGCCTCCAAATGAGTAACGGTAGCTTCCACTATTGATAAAACTCTAGGTTGAGCCCTTGCTCCATATTCTGATTGTTCAATCTGAATAACTGTTCTGGCTCTCTCCAAGAGAAGCTTTGCACCCGGCTGGTCAATATGGAATCCCTCCGTTGTCTGATTTGTTGCGTAGGCCACAAGACACAGTGTGGTTACACCGAGTAAGAAGTCATGCCAAGTGATACTCTTCATAAGCCACTCCTCAGTGTCCAGCTGACCTCCAGGCTTACACTCCTCATAAACACGCAAGAGATCAGCTACCAGGGCAGATGACGCGGCATAGCATTCTCGGAGGCTCTTATCTCGATATTTTGTTACATGTGGACGATGAAGAACACAGAGACATTTGTAGTATACAAAAGAGATACAAAGACGAGCGACAATAAGTTGGGGATGATCGATGACACAATTTTCTATTGGCCGAGGCTGATATAATTCCGGTAGGGTTTCGTATAAATCTTTCAGTTCAGTGTCCAAAGAGTCGATATCATGATCTTTTGCTTCGTGTAAACGATTCATCAGCACATGTTGAAGGATCTTGTCGAATATTGTCATGAATCTGTGCTTCAGGATGCAAAATGTCACACCAGTCAGCTCAGTATTCGGTCGTGAGGCAGGCAGTCGAGTGCTGTCTTCGTCAAAGTCGGAGTCGAGGAGGTTGCTTGGAACCTGTGTGTCTGAGACTGATAAGGTGATTCTACACGGAACACCCAGGTGGAATGATACCAGAAGATCAAGCTGCAAGAACATACTCCATGCCCTGCGTCGCATCTCTGCTGCGAAGGGACTCAGGCCTGGGACGCTGCTCTCTCTGTGATAGCCTGAAACCGTGGCGATATGGGCAAGCATGCTAAGAAGAGTACCCATATCTGGAGAGATCTCTAGACAAGTGACGAAACGCGATTGAACGTAAAGCAGGAGTGCTTCAAAGCAGAAGGCCTTGGGACGGAAATACTCGCCCAAAGCAAGACACTGGGCGGCAGCAACTGTAAATCCATGCCCTGGTGCCTCGTTTTCTCTACCCGTCCGGGAAATGTTGGTGGCCATGAACAGCATTGAAAAGAGGATCGAGATCCAGAGCGGCGATGCGGCAGTAGGGTCATTCCAAAAAGCCTCGTACTGCCTCCGAAATTGCACTGAGTGTATGAATGGCGTGATGTACAACCGAACTCGGAAGTATGCTGACACCAGGCGGTCGGCATTCCTTCGTGAGGGAAGATGAGTAATGAGTACTTGTTCGATACTGAGAGCTTGCGAGAGACCAGCACCGAACATAACGCCTATTCCCATTCCGGCCTCTAATTGAGGAGCGCTGGCGTCTTCAGCATCTGCATTATTGTCCTCGAAAGACTCGAGCGTAGACCTGAGAGCTTGTATATCATCCAGCATGGCTGACCAGTGTGTTGTGCCGCCTCCAGCCTGGTAACAAAGGTCAGAACGTGAAGAAGACGATGCATTTGCATGTTCCGCGATGCCCGGATCTGGTGGCAACGCAGCAGATGGAGTGGCATCTTGAACTCCGTTAGTGGTAGTTGTACGTTGTCCCGCAAGTAACTCGACGAGGTGCTCCAAATGTTCAAGGCGTGCTTGGGCCTGGGCGGCTTGGCCGACACGGTCGCGCTCCGAGTTATCGATGGAAACTTCGTAGGAGCATGATGTAACATCTCTCCTGCGAACACAGCTGCCGCAGGGGCTTTCACGATCACACCTGAGCTTCCTCTGCCGGCATGCTGCACAAGCTAGCCGCTCCCTATGCTTCCTCAGCCTAGAAGTAGAGCTCATGGCTTGACGTGGGACAAATTCTATTTAGTACAATGACTTAACGAACAGAGCTGACTTTTATGAGGGGTCTTTAGGTCCATGCGTGACTTCCTCAAAGGTTAATCCATAACAGGATTAGTGTATATTTTAGAAACCTTTAAGCACTAGTCTTAGCGTTCATTCTGTTTGGTTTAGGGTAGCCTTAAATTTATATGTAATATTCAAGCTTAGCCTTGGCCAGGAAGCTTGGTTCATCTTTTCCCAGTCTGGAGAAAGTTTCGACGCTACAGAAGGACGCTTATACTGGACGTCCCCACCACTTACCTCATGAAATCCGTCGGTCCCATATGTCCTTGCGCCCCTGACTGTAACATAACAACAAGGCTCTGTCCAAGACGTGTAAATCACTACGTTATCTTATGCCGCCTTGATGTTTCACTTTTACTTCCGACCTGCGCTGCCCACTGGCAATTGAAAGAAGCTTTTACCCACATGGGTAAGATTCCCCTAATAACCAAACTGTCATCTTCATCTAGATAACGGACCTCCAGTTGACCATGGGGTACACTGGAAAGCCGTCAACAGCCTGCCTTCCATGCCGACAGAAACGAAGAAAGGTAACAGTCCTCCGTTGCTATCTTCCCCTGTCCTCATGAATGCTGGGGCTGACATGTGTCCATCAGTGTGATTATGCCATGCCTGGATGTTCGCAGTGCGTCCGCCAGAATATCGAATGTCCTGGGTACGAGACAGACTGGGACCTGCGGTTCAGAAATGAGACGATATTCTTGGCTACAGGAACTAGCAAAAGAAAAGCTAGTCAAGCTGCAAAACGTTCACCGCCGTCACCACCACATCCCCAGGGCTCTCCAACAAGCAAAAGCTCTCCAAGTCGAGCTATCAGCATCCCCACTGTTGATACGGCCGTATCGTACTTTATGGTCTCTTATATAGATAGCACAGTCTATGGGAGCTACCTGCCCCAACTATATGCCGAGGCTGTCTTGCAAAAACCTGCCCGAGATGCCTTGGTCACGACAATACGAGCTGCATCAATGGCTGCTCTAGCTAGGCGTCATCGGAGTCAAGAGACTTTAGGTATGGCATTCAAAGAGTTCTCAACGGCGCTAGCACAAACCAATGCTAGCCTTGCTGACCCCGGCACGGCAACACTCAACGCCACTCTGGGTGCAGTGCTTAACCTGGGTTTCTTCGAATCAATTGTCTCCACTGGCAAACACAACATCAATAACTGGATAGCTCACACTCTTGGGACTATCGCATTGTTGCGTCTACGAGGACTTCAACAATTCAGAGATCTTTTCGGTCGACACATGTGTATCCATGCTGCCTATAACATCCGCGTCAGTCGCATTCACCGTGCTGTTGAGGTTCCCAAGGATCTCATTAAACTCGAGGAAGACTTTTATAGGGCGTTCAATTTCCCTAAGGTCGTTCGAGACCATTACTCTATCATGAATAGAACCTGCAATATTAAGGCTGACTTGAAAAACGGGCTGACTCCTGGACTCATCTGCCGAGCTTTGGAAAGCGAGCATGAGGCAGACCTGTTCATCCAAGGGTTTAGCCCACCAAGAAGTCCAGTACAAGAGGGCTTACGCAGCACATCTCCACTAGAAACTCGCCAACCTCCGGCCAACAGCGCTATGATTCACAACGCAACGGGTGCTCCACCTTTGGCAATGATGGCTCGGTGGTTGTTCGGAATGTCAATGCTTTGACTGGTGCTGAATGAGATTGTTTGGAGTGGTGCTTCAATCTACACCGGCCAACCCGAGATCCTGCAGAGGATGTACCAGGTTAGTGGTAGACTCCACGGTGATACCTCTGCTGAGGATTATCAGTCACGCCTGGCGGCATATGCTGCAGGGAAAATTAGTCAAATCTCCAGAAAATTTCTCGCATTTGCACCCAAGTTCCTAAATGCAGAAGATCTAGCCCCTGGCTTTCCAAAAATGGCTCGTTGCATGGTTTTACCTCTGGCATTTATTCAGAGTAGCCCTTGCTGTCCAACTGACATTTATCAAGAAGCCAAGAACCTACTTATGAGACTCGAAAATGACATCGAATTATCTCGAGGCCAATTTGCAGCAACTGCCCTTTATACGTCAAGATTGGCAGGAGAATGGTAGGTTCTTGATGGAGAGGTTTAACTATTGATCTGACCCCTTGTTTTATAGGCTTCCTCTTCACCATATAATCTAGAGTACTGTCTTGCCAGAAATCGAAGCCGACATATCGCCCGCGCAAGTCCTCCACGAGGCGATCTCTCAGTACTTGACTATATGGGGAGCTCAACTACTAGGAAGTAGTCTTCGTCACTCACCGTCTGGCAAGGTGGTAATCAGGGAGATAATAAGTTTAATATCAACGCGATAATAGACACTACAGTTTGTCTTACACAGTAATTAAGCACTTCTCAGAATAACAACTTTAAATTCTCTATATTCCTTCAATAAACCATATGACCTACTAACAGCCGGCTGAGCTCAAACTTCAGTGGAGAACTCCATACAACGACTGAAAGCTTCAAGACCACTGTTGAGTGCGTTAAATAAGAGACTTATATATCTCCAAATGCTATATCCTGCCCTTTCTTTTTCATCTTCTTCTCCGTCCGATCAAAAGACAGGATTGTGTCCATAGCTTTACTGACTTTGCCAGGTTCGCGCTTCGCCAAATCCATGTCGCTAGGCTGCGTCTTGGCAATTGGTGCTGCTGCAGCAATGCCGACCAGCAAGGTAAGTGCGACACAGGTCTTTGCAATTCTCATCTTTGTAAAGGTCAAGTGGTAGTAGTTGAGGTAAAAGGATCTGAAACAGTTAGTATTCTTAGTATGTAAAGTTTTAAGAGAGTAGAAAAAGATCTTGTGTTATAAGGAATAAAGCTTTCTCTGTGAGTTAAAGTGTTTGTGCTAATTATGATTTGGATTTGGAGGGTAAGCTTTCTTTCTTTTATTAACAGTTTGCCCCTGTAAAGACCGCTGTCATATCATTTTAGCTCGTATTCTTCATGCTGTTGGTCCGTAGTCGAAACTCGCCATCTTGCACTAAGAGCAACAATTCTAGCTTGAGTAATGGCAACGCCAAGTATAGTGTGTAAACATGGGACTTTCGGGACGGCGTTTACGTGTGGCCATTCGGATTCCTGTAAATATCTGCATCTATAGCGTTCAACGAAACCAACCCTTTACCGAGTAAAGTCATCGTACCGCTAGATGTCACAGGTTCCAGAATGGCTTTGCGCACTATTACGTAGATACGTTGGCGGAATTGTAGGTGTTATTTGTGACCGATGGGTTGACCTTCCAGAGCAGGAGAAATGAGCGTTTAAGCAATGAATCTTACTTGCTGGAGAAGACAATTATAAAATTAAAACTGTCATGAATGTCATCGATACGTATCTCGTCATCACACCACGTTTCACTTTGCAGGACCGAAGGTCTGGTTCGATGACACTTTGGGCCTCGAAATTTCCATTTAGAGATAAGCTTGTACGCCACACATCATTAAATGCAGGCTTCACCGCTGGTTATTTGTGCACGTCAGAGGGGATAAGCGGGTACTACCAATAAGCATGGCGCGTTGGTCATATGCCTGGCTTGGCTTGAGGCCCCCTGCGCAGCTCGTCTTTGCTTTATAGGAAGTAGATAACAAAGACTTCCAGACCATTACATGTGAAATTGCAGGCTCTTGCCTCTAAATTTGTTTCGAAACTCGACGTCTATTTTATGGACAAATTGTATCACATATCAAGCAATTCTTTTTCCAGTGGACATAGTGCAGTTATTCTCTTAATCTAGTTGGCCTGAAGCTCAGGGTCACCCTTCGACTAAGAATCATAAATAGCTCTAAACTAATTCTGGTCATAGATATAGATTAGACCATTAGACATTATCGCTCGTTTGTATAGCCCTGTTGATGCCCGGATAAGAGTGCCTGCCTTCCAGTGTTGGGGTCGTGAGAAGCCATTGGATAAGCCCCAGTATTTGCGTGCCCTTTAATATCACCTGGGTAATGTCCTGGGCTTCCCACAGGCTGCATAGGGAAAGGGGCTGGGTCAGCAACCGTAACAACCCTGCCATCCACAGCCAAAAGACGTTTCTGGCCAATGGGTACCAAGCTCAGATTAGGTGCATGTGCTATATAACCTGGTTTCACCTTGTTCGGCTCTGCTGTTGTATGTATCAAGTTTGCCAAGAGAGTGCCGGTCCAGTGTGCATCAGTTGAGACCATGAGACCCAGCCACATTATGAAAGCCAGGAACAGAGCTAGACAGCTAAGCGCCAACTGCAAATGGGACATGGCCACCATCAATTTGTCAACGCTGATCTGCACAAGTGATGGGTCGACGCTGACACTATACCCTCTAGCAATCATCAACGACTCAATTGTTTCAGAAGTGTTCCATATCCAGGTCAAGACATCGTTGTCGAGGGACTTCGCGCTAATGTTTGACCGAGGAGCACCCAACCCACGCATAATCATCATAGCAGCTGTGTCAACTTGGCCATAAAAGCCCTGTTTTCCAACTGCAGGCGCGGAAGAAGCGCAATCAGTCTTGGTCACCTTTCCACCAAACGCTTCATTCTGGAAGTTCGACCTTTCACATTTCTCAAAAGGTTCGGGCGCTTTGTCCAGTGATTCAGATCGAACAAGAGTGATGTTTGTGGTGGTGATACTGACAATGGAATACTGGCTAGTGTTGTTGCTCATCGGGGTGTACAAGCCCCAATTGCTTTGAACAGCCGTTTTGTTGTTGTTGTCGACTGTGTTAGCGCCGAATTGATAACTGAGGTCATTCTTCTGGGCATTCATCATACCGTCGACGATTCGACCAGTAAGAGGATTCCTTTGTTCTGTCTCATTGGAACTCCAGGTCCGTCGGATAATGTCAGTGACTTCCTCTTTGGCAAATGGGCTCCCAGGGCTTGTTATCATGGTAACTTTCAGGGTAGCCTGAGAGAAGGTATGCCGCCTCTTGTCTTTAGTAACAGTAAAGACTTGGGTCATCAAGACTGAACCACCGCCTGTTCCAACGGATACCCATATGTTGTCCAATCTCTCGGGCAGAATATATCTTGTATCGAGTTCTGTAGCATTACTCCAATGAACCTCGGGCTTGCCTGTTATGCCCCCCACAATGTCCTGTGCAAATCCGTTGTCAAAAGTGCAATTCCAGACAGCAGAGCCTCCGTTGAATCTCACGCAGTCCGGAAAGGTCGCATTGTTAATTGTCGATTTAAAAGGTAACATTGATATAGTGTCAGGAGAAACTGAAAATCCGTCATTGTCTAACCAAACACGGGCACCAACACCATCTTGTTGTGTTGGTGAGACAACTTCAGGAGTTCCGTGGTTATTGCTGACTTTCCCAGTCAAAGTGTAGTTGAGACCAGGGTTGAATAATCCAGAGCCAATGACTTGCGGGAGTCTTTTTGTGGTGTCCGCAAGCTGACTCCCGTCGAGCGCGATTTGAATGATGTAGGGAGGGTCACCATTTCGTTGGGATTGGTAATCAGCAACCGTCGCATTTGACGCTCTGAAGATGTAGCCTGGAGAGTCTAGTGCCCAAAGAAGAGTACCATAGAGTGAAAAGACAATATTCATGAGGCTAAAAGCAAGAACAACTAGTCCCGCTCGCGACAAGCCACGAGATGAGATGTAGAGTGTTCGTTGGATATAATCCTCTGTGAACATAAGATATGATGTGAATTGTCTTGATCGGGCGGCAACTAGCGAGAATAGCTTAAAGATAAATATACCCATAAGCAATTCCGCGCATTTGAAGATAATGGATTTGAGGGCATTGTGATACAAAGGTATCGAAGATTTGATGAACGTTGAAGATGATTCAATCATATTGTGAGATACAGAACGCAAGAGTAAAATAAAAAGGAAATGAGAGAGATAAGAGGCGACCCTCGTGGCCAGACAGTTGGCACCGACCTCACTGCCTTTCCTAGGTTGGGTGGTCGGTATTCTTATACAGGCTTGTACTTACAGGCGCGTATCTCGATATATTGGATTTTCAACCTTCGCTGATTGGTGGCTTTGCGAGGATTGCTTAGTAACTACCTGTTTGGGTTAGCATCAGCTTTCAGCTGAGGTTGAAAATCAAGGATCATGGGAGAAAGATGGGTACAAACACGGGATAATTCCGTGGTCACATTCCGTGGTCCCATTCCATCAGCGAAAATGTTGAACTACCGCATCAACTCATGAAATTCGGTAGCGCCTGTGGATACACGCTAGGCACAGCCATTTCACCCATTTAACCAATAGCAATATTTAGCAAGCCATCAGATCTTTATTTAATTTACAGCGAGGCTAATCAAGAAGCTAGAAAACAGGCTAGCGCATACCCACAGGCGCTACCCAATTTCATGAATTATTGCAGGACTTACATATTGCTCACCAGCGCCTGTGTGTTCGACGAGTCTCATGACTTGAGCGGTAACAAACGTGTCCAAAATAGTAATTGCTTCGATATTCTATTTAATGGTAGCTTTGACAGCTAACCGGACTTTATGCCGCTGATGAAATAGTACCAGATCGCGGAGAACTTGATGATTAGGTGTAAAATTAGGCTGACCGCAGTTACGAGCTGCCCAATTATCTGTAAGCTTGCTAGCACCCTTCTTGAACTCAACAATTGAAATATTAGCCGCCTGCTTTGATTTGATACCGCAGTCTTCCAAGGTATACTGCACGTTGAGCTTTACATCGTCGATCCCTTCATGGTTGAACCCTCTCCCCGTTCCACCCCTGACAATGGCTGGTTTTACAGATTTCAGACATTCAGCTCGGTACATATGTATTGGCTTGCCAAAATAACAGCCGCTGTTGAGATAAGAGGCTCAACTACGGGGTTTGAAGATGGCATTTCTTCCAGGGCCACAATTGTCCACGGGCTATTTACTCTTACTTTACTACCTCTAGGTTTTAGACCCCGCTGCTAGAAGCTGGAGGATGCCACCACAACCGTGTCTCATTAATAAATGCAAGACTCTCAATACCGTGCCGATCTAAACTCTTTCTAGCCTCCCTTATCTCCGAGTCGAGGCTTTTGCATGGATGTTGACTGCACGTGACAAGGGCGTCGTGGCAGCTGAAGATATGAGGCTGCCGACAAAACATATCAGAGACACTTGACATTGACCTCACCTGAAGCAAAATGATTCATAGATAAATTGAAACATCGTTATCAACTGGCTCAAACTTAGCAGGCGCGAATTAAAACCCTTGGTATGGTATCGGTATGCGGCTCTTTCTTCTTATATCATTACATCACTGAGGATAGAGACTTATGACACTCAGATCTCACAAGATACAGCAAGCTAGCTACATCAGTCCTCAACGGATTCACCAACGGAAGCTATGACTATGATTCATATTTACAAACCAGCCTGCAGGTGAACCACACAGATAACATGAAAGACGGAAATCCACCATCAACAGCGTTCATCAGTCGACCACTAGATTTTCAACACATATCAGCATTATCCTTGATACATACCGATTCAGTGAGAAGGCTCATGAATCGCGATCCCAAGCTGGCCAATTCACTGTCCAATTCTAGCGAAGCCGGTTCTTTGTGGACAGCCGAGACCCGGGGATGGGCTGCAGTGACAGCAGTGGCTAACTGACAAAAGAAGTACCATGAAAATGGATTGAGCCCTCTGGCTAGAACATCCATAGATTCCATGTCTTCGTAACTCCAAGAGAACTTAAGCTCGTATCATGATAGAAACTCAACATCTCAAAACGCTCCTGCAGCCCTGTGAGGTTACTCAACTAGCATGGACGACTCTAGACAAGTGGCTTCCCCCTTTCTCAGAAGACAAAGACTAGTAGTAGAAGGCTCTTAAGCCGCAACTCATCACCCTCCTCACACAAGCGGATTATGGCCTGAACGAGCAGTACGAAGCTCTACTGCTCTTGTACCGGTGGGTCATTCCGGAAATGGGACCCAGGCCAAGGTCAAGCGTAGCGCCTTGGAAGAGCTTTATGACTGATGACCACTCTCCCATTGAGTATAGCTAGAAATGGAACTCTAGGAGCAAGAAGCCTGATATTAGATGCGCTATTGAGCTCGTCAGTCCCTTGACTGGAAGCACTCAAGATCCATTTAATCAAATTCCCACGCGAAATCTTCATTATAACCTTGCCAAAGTTATTCCTGAGCTTGATCTAACCTGGTTTGAGCATTTCTGGCATGAGTTACTGGGTCCTGAATCGCCAGCCGCGTCCATCTCTGGGATCCCAACAAAAGGCTCGACTATATTCGCGGCCTTGGAGATGCTCCGTGATCACTTGTTTGTCAAAACATACTTCATACCAGTTGAGACACCAGAGCTCAGTGCCTGGCAACAGATAAGCCGAGCTATTAAAACCTCAGGATGTCAAAGTCTTGAGGCTTTAAACCGCGTGGAATCATATCTCTCGGATCGCGACGGTGGAACACAACTCCGCCCCTTCATGCTGGCAATAGACTGTGTTGCACCCGGTGCTTCACGGCTCAAGATATACGCAAGATCCAACCAAACTTCTTTCCGCTTTGTTCGAGACGTCATGACTGTTGGTGGACTCCGGACCGGCTTGGATAAATCACTTGAGAGATTTTTCGATTTGTGGAAACGTACGCTTGATCTCGACCCTAATGCATCACCTGAAGACGAGCTACCCAACGTGGATCACCCAACTTCCGGGACGGTGTTTCACTTCGACGTTGCACCCAAATCATTTATTCCTGAAGTCAAGGCGTATATACCTGTTCGACACTACGCCAAGAATGACCTTCAAGCTGCACTTGGGCTTCTAGGATATCTTGAAGACCACGGTCGTGGGTATTACTCGCAATCGTATCTCGGCGCATTGGATGTGTTGGCGCCACCTGGTCAGCTCGACCAAGCTACTGGGCTACAGACCTACTTTGCAGTTGCGTGTCAGGGCGATGACTTGTCCCTCACTTCGTACTTGAACCCTCAGTTTTATGGAGCGTTTCGAGTTCCCAAAAGTACATAGATCATAGCAATTCAATTCCAAAATGGGTCATATGCTTCGGCCAGTCTCATTAACAAGTAAATGACCTCATATTTACTCCGGCTTCCTTGCCCAGACAGTTCTCAAGCGAATGTACGGGTGATTCCTCCTGTCTCTGATCTCCCGCCGGAACTTGGCGATGTATACATGAACCTCTTCGGGAGTCCATCCTAGAGTGTTGGCAACAAACAAGACAAACCCTTCAGTGTCCTGAGTACTGAACAGCTCACCAAATTGCCCAATTTCCTTAAGCTTGGGGTCTTTGGGAAATGGATTCAAAGGTAACTGGGGATGAAACGTGTCAGCGTATCCTTATACAATGCGAAACAATAACCTACCTTCGAGTCCCATTGTTTGACATCTGTAAATCCAGCCTTTTCAATACCAGGTCTTTGAAGCTCATCTCCTACGACGGTAAACGTATTTCCAATTGTCTTTGAGGCCTTGATAAAGATAGGTCCCCACTGAGCCAATGCTGAGTCGGGCTTTACACTATCGTCATCACTCTCGATGATAGCTGAAGCTTCAAAGGACTCGACCCAGCCGCCTGGCTTGAGGGCCTTGAAGGCTTGTTCAAAGAGTTTATCCCAATCGGGAACGCATCCAACTAAATAACGTAAGTGGACGTAATCAAAGGACTCTGGAGGAAAAGTCCAGTCTTGGTTGAAGTCCTCGATTTCACTGCATATAATGTGAGATAATGGCATCCTTTCATGAATGGGCCGGACCTTACAACTTGACATTAGGAGGCACCCATGAAGGTTGGATTGGGGAGATGTCTGTCCCTATCACTTCGCATCCGGGATACTTGTCCGCAAAATCACTTTCAGGTCAGCATTGAGTTAGAGGTTCAAGATCTTCCAATCACTGACATGGCCCATATTCCTATGAGATAGATATCGAAATAAGCACGACAACTCCAGACGACTTTGTCATTGGCATTGACATACCTGTTCCGCATCCAACGTCAAGTACTTTCTGGTAGTAAAGGATGACTTTAGTCTAGAGCTGGTTTCCCTGGCTTAATAAATGACTTACTTGAATATTATCATTCAGTGGAGCAAAGTGTAGCTCGCCGTCTTGCGAAAGAGTAAACATGTGATGCCTGAGAATGTCAGCTGATGCAGTTCATCATAGCGGCTTTATCTTACGCAATGTCCATCGCTTCACTTTGTCGTTCATCATTGGAGCCCCTGACATACTCTCAGTCTTGCTTTCTGTAACGCGATGGATGAAATCACCAATAGGCAGCATTTCCTCTTTCGCTGTGGTAAGTCCTGCCATTGATGGTGCGATAGTGGAGGATGCTCGAGGTGATGGAGGCCGTCGAGCTTTCGGAGTCTTCACCAAGACCTGGGTCGTCTTCCTCCCCCTCTGAAATATCATCGACTTCAAGGGTCTGTGCAGCAGTTGCAACAGGTCCCTGACTCTGGGGAGATCGTGGAGATCGCGGCGAACCGCTCTTGGGGCTCTTTTGAGACATCTTGCAGCAGCGCAGCAGGAGACAAGAGTGGGAGACGGGCGATAAATAGTGAAGAAGTAAGTCGCGCTCTGATCGAGATCAATGCGTCTTTTTATTGTGCGCAAAGTTTTGGGGCTTACCCTCAAGTTCATGATGTGATTCGACAGTCCTCCAGGTGCAGTGTAACATGTGACGGATATTCCTTGTCAATATATTTGAGGGTCATCACCAACGAGCCACTTAGAATATGGTATTAAGCGACTCAATGCCACGTACAAGCCCATTCGGAGTGGGAGGAAACAGGGGGTATACGATCTTGGCAAGAGTCGCAGCCAAGCGGAGTTTTATATATAGATTTAAAGAGCCTGGGTACTACAATCTCAAAACCCAATCGGACTAGCTAGACTAGTCACTAGCTAGTTTATACCATTCAAGACATTGTTTACCGGTATGTTTGCCGTGTCATAAGCCAGATACAGCGACCCCGCAAAATTTAAAGTTAGAATGATTCAACCCCACATTTTAATTGACAATACCTAGACTATCTTATGATTCCCAACCTCGTTCGCATCTGACAGGAGACATGTATGTGCCCAGCTTTCGGACCCAACTTACACGATATTGTTCCTTGCCCTCTTATACGTAGCTATCGCTTGTTTAAATGTCTTTCTTATGTAGTGACTGCGGTGCCACTTATGCCAGAGACGAGCATCTTCAACGTCATCAACGACGGCATCTAGGCATTCGACCTTACAACTGTCAAGAATGCAACAGTACTTTCACACGAAAGTGAGTCAATAGCGAGCCAATATCCCATCTCAGGTACAGACAGACTAACCGACGCCAGAGATACCCTGAATCAGCATCTCCTTACCCATGATCCCACCAGAATGACTCGTAAGTCTCGCAGGGTGGCCTATGTGCCCAAGGCTTGTATTTCCTGCGCTCGATCCAAACAACGTTGTGACGGTCGTTCGCCATGCGGCAGGTGTTCTCTCAAGACTCTCGATTGCTTTTATCGCCCTCTACCACAGAAAAGAAAGACCTCGCCCTCAGGTGCCAGCGCTCAGTCTGCCTCTTCCAGCGAGAGGGACAGGCTTTTGCATAACGCTTTACCTCCCTTCCAGGGCCAGCCACGTCCTTTCACACTTGATTCAACACTCAGTGTCCATAGTCGCGCGTCTGAAGCTGTGGATGAACTTCCTTCTGTCTCTACAGATGTCGGCAGCACTTCCATAGAGATGCCTTTGGATTCAGACCAAGAAACGTGTCCTACTAGCGTTTTTGGGCAGCCAGCTAATTCTAATGGAGCCTTCGTTGACAACCGTCCATTTGAGGCCCAAGGATTGGACTTCCAAGATTGTATGTCACTTGGTATAGATCTTCCCTGGAGCAGCACGATGCATTCCATGCTCGACAATCCGTTACTGGAACTACCTCATCCCATGACATTCTTTTTTCGGAGTCCAATCGAAGTGCTCCGCCAAGCTGATGCACATGATATACCATCCCAAATGGATAGCGAGCCCTTGGTCCATCAACTTGAATGCGAAGTCCCAACCCCCAGCTTTACTCAGTCCTTGGCCATCTCAAGCTCTCAAGCTCAGAGCAGCCAGACATCGCCTGAGACTACATCGCATACCTCTCTCAGTAATGATGTCGACCTTGAGCCATGGAGGGCAGAAGATTATGGTCATGTACCCTATATAACCAACGAAGCTTACGACTTGATGACTTCCACTTTCAAACAACTCAATAGCGATAATGCGTATTGTATCCCATTCACAAACAAGCATTTACCATCTCTACAACATATGCAGATCTACATGCAGGTGTACTTTGAAGAGTTTCACCCTGTATTCCCTCTACTGCATAAAGCGACATTCTCACCTACCAAAGACGACTGGCTGCTTAGTCTTGCTGTTTCATCGATTGGGTGCCTGCTTTCGAAAGCCATACAGTCAAGAGAGGTATACCCCATTATGCAAGAATTTCTTCGCCGAGCTATTCACATCCAGGTCAGTGTGTATTTTCCTGCTTACTTGATTTGACATTCATATGGGAGCGCCGAAACTTACACATCTCACGTTTTTTAGCTGGAACGAAGTCAAGTCGTCGGTGGCTGAACATGCCGTATCTCAAGACTGGCAAGCATGGATCAAGGCGGAATTAGAGGTGCGTTTGTTTTATTGTGCTTGGGTAAGTGCCTTTAATCAGTCGGCCTTGATAAAGACTGAGCTTGATGGTATCTAACTTGGGTTTAGCTTGTAGATAGCCAGCAAGTTGGCTTCTTCGCCTTTTCTTCCACAATTCCAATCGACTTTCTTCAGTTTCCCATGCCGGTTAATGACTCTGTCTGGGACACGTCTTCTCCCGAGACATGGAAGCATAGTCTCGCAGAGGGTATGGACAACAAACATGCTTAGTGAACGGTCTAGAGCTGAAATTATCCTTAGATTCATCTTCTCAACACTTCATTTCTCTCCGTCAGGTTCTCCTGGGCCTTTACCGCTATCGTGAGGTCCCTCGACGTCTTGATGCGTTTAACTCACTTCTTCTAGTTATGGGTATTTCAAATGACCTCTCTTGGCTTCGTCATGCCCATGTATATCTCAAAATTCTGCAGCGACATGTCGAGACTTTGCCACCAACAGCTTTAACTCGAACTACATTGAGTAACCTCCAAATGGTTTCACTGTTAACATACTTCCCAACTCGAGAGGTTATCGCCTTTGGACGTTGGCGGGTCACTGAAATCCAACATTCAATGGTTACTAATAAGCTAAAAAGATGGATGTGTAATCCTCGTAGTGCACGAGAAGCTCTGGTAAACGCATGCAGTGTCTGGTCGCAGATTCGTTTAAGCCGCACTAATGCACAGCATGAGGCACCAGCTTTGCTACATAGCGCTATCTCGATCTGGGCTCTGGTCGAACACAGCGATCAATTTGATCTTGGAAACCTAGAAGGATTGTCGATTTTACGGTTGGATAACCTGAATCAAGACGTTCAGTCCTGGGCTGCTGGGACTGAGAAGAAACGCCTGTACTTGAGTGGAGTTGGGTTTTTGGGGCATCTAGGTGCCGTAGCCCGGTTAATAAGTGAGACTGCGTGATTGCTAGAGGATACCATCGCTTGGCCTCAAGCTTGGAGAACAGGGCCATATTTGAAACAGTCTTATGCCGAGTCACAGAGGGTTCGTCAGTGTGTCAATTAGTTGGCCTATACCTGCTAAATACAGAAATTCCCAGACTCACCTAATAGTTACTTAAAGTCTGTAGAGGATAGATTGGGAAGGTTTAAGACAACTTGACTGTTATGGGAGCGATTAGCAGCACACTTTAAATTCAGTATATACAAAGAAGCATGTTAAACAACTAATGGCTGCATCTTGGCTCGGCCTTGTACAGCTACCTCAAATTCTTTTTGTATAGTGGCCAGCCTTTCAGGGTTCCTGACAGTTAAGACAACAGGAAGATCTAATCCAGGATTACCTGGCATATCACCTGGAAAGCTTTGGGGATCAAGAGGAAGCTTTGTTCCTGGCTTCAAAGTAATGTCGAAAGCCCAAAGAATACGCATAACACTAACAGCAAAACTTCTATCCGCAACATGGTAACCGGGGCCTAGAGAAGAGCAAAGTTAGCAAGATGAGGAGGCAGATGACTCTCATCCATTGACTTACAGATACGACGTCCAGCTCCGAAGACAAAGTGGTCTCTTTTGGAAACGTCAGGGGATGCAGCGCTTTCCTGGCTCTAATGTCTAGTTAGCGCAGTTTTAACTACTGTTTGGCCCTATAGTATCATACCGATCTCGTATCACCCTCAAAGCGCTCAGGAATGAACTTGTCTGGCTCTGGGTAGCGTTTAGGGTCTCGGTGGATTGCCCTTGAACTTGATGTTAGCAAGGGAGCTAATCGAAACTAATGTGACTGCTTACCAAGCGTTCAGATGTATCCTCGCTCCCTTTGTTATGCAGTAACCCTTATAAACAAAGTCTCGAGTGGTGGTATGGGGATGTCCTAAAGCCACAGGTGGGCGCCACCTCCAGGATTCCTTCATAACTTGACGGATATATGGCATACGCTCTAAATCCTCAAAAACGGGAACCCTATCTCCGACAGCCTCATCTACTCACATTAGCATTTTGCAGCTCTTTGTACAGCAAGGTGATATGAATAGACTTACCAATCACCTTTCTCGCTTTGCTGCAAACATCTGGGAACGTCAACATGGCCTCGAGGAATGACCAAGTTGATATCCGGCTCTTTCCCCCCTTATTAGTATTACAGTAAAATAAATGGATTTGTAACAAGGCTTACTGTATCTGAAGCCCCGATTATTAACATCAAGCCCAGGTATGCGGCATCTTCAACGCTATCAAGCCCCAGATGGTTTGGATCATCGATAACTTTTCGGATGAAAGTCATGTGAGGCGGAGCCTCTCCGGCGTCAATTAGTGACTTTACTCTCTGGATCGTGTTAGCCATGGCCCATGAGCTCCAGTGGTCTAGATAGATCTTACCTCAAGCTTGTCACGACACCATTCATAGTCGCGCCTGTGCCTGGCCCTTCCTTCTCTTTCCCAAGGTTTAAGAAATAGCGGCAGCTTATCAAGAATGGTGAAAGTATCCACTAGATAGTAACCAGGAAGAATACCAAGAATCTGGGCCATTCCCGTCTCGAATATGTAGTCAATGACTGGACTGTTGTCATCAGGGACATCAAGGCCAAAGATCTGGGATGCAAATGTACTATATGTGTAGCGGCCGATGCTTGAAAACAGAGACTGCGGGTTGGCACCTTTGCTGGGATTTTGAGCAATGTCGTTCAGAAACTTCAGCGTCTCAAAATGAAGAAATGGAAGACCGGCATCAGCGAGGTTCAAGTTGGTTAGCCCCATAGTTGTGGCCTTTCGCTGGTTCTTCCATGCCTTTTCACTCGCGCTGAGGAGGAGAACGTTGAGTCGGTTGCATATATGCTCGTTACTGACAATCCAGCGCGGTCGCTCAGAGGTCTGTGTCGCAGCCTTGTCGAAGATTGCCCTTACGGCCTGGTCGCTGTTGATGAAGTATTCTTGGATGGTACCGAGCTGGACGAAATACACGTCGCCGTATTCCTCGGCCCACTTCTGGAAAAGAAGGTGCTGGCGATGTTCCTTGGCTGCTTTTAATACCGTTGGAAGATGGCCGGCGATAATGTTTCCACCAGGAGGTGAAGGTGGCAGAGGAAGAAGTGCTTTGCTTTCCTTGCGTCTTGTGGACACTTTTTGGACTAGTAACAAAAGCAGGGCGAGCACAGCTAACGCTATAGTAAGCTCCCGGCTCGGCATGGGGATTGTTTGAAGCATAATGAGTGTCGGTTTCTTGATGGAAAGAGTGAGCTGCAATATATTTGGCGTTGATATAGTCTTGATGGCGCATGAGATGAAAGATGTTTGCCAGTCTTGCTGAGGGCACCACTCGATAAATATACTATTATAACAAGAAAGAATGATTTTTAGAAGGAAGTCTAGAGAGCGAAGCCCCAGCTTTTTGGAGCTAACTGTATTCATACTAAACCCCCTAGGGAAACCTACAATACCGCGCTACGGGTTTTCCGAAGTCTACGCCATCTCCATATTCCGATTTCCCTCCTTGCGGAATACGGGGTTCTAGTTTAACACTAGTATACGAACTAGCATTCAGTGTATCATTTAAGTGTTTCGCCTACTTATCAGGAGAGAATATATATCCAGGTACTTACTTACGCACTACATCGGAAACGGGCTTTCGGCTCCATATTCCGCAAAGCCTGTGCCGTCTGTCTCCCCGTTAGCTCGAGATTGGGATCTTGTTTGGTATTAGCTATTCATAAGATACTATTCTTCAATCCCGTAATAGTTCCAATTCCTGCAAAAGAGGTTATCTATGCTAGAAGTCTCGCAATACAATCGTTTTCTCTCGCTATGATCTCTGACTACCTTTTATAACAGATACAGCTCCCCATACCCGCTGCTTTCACCTCTCTCAGTGTCCGCAACCTTCGAAGAACCATAGTAGAATCCTCCACCATTAAATTCTCCATCAAGGCTTGGGTAATCAAAGTCTTGATAAATCTTCTTTATCCGCCCAGCACTGTCAAGAAAGCTCCGCCTGATCATGGAATAGTTAGCGACAGTTAGCTTTCCGTCCCGTTTCACAAAGTCTCCGTTAACCATGACATGCAAGATATCGCCAATGCTAGCGTGCAGCATAATCGCGGCGACGGGGTCTGTCCATCCCAGAAGAGAGGGCGACTCAGCTGCGTTCCACACAATCAGATCTGCCTTTGCTCCTTCACGGATGACCCCAAGTTCTGGACGGCGAAGTGCGAGACCTCCGGCTCGTGTTGCAAGCGAAAAGGCCTGAACAACACTCATGGGGTTGTTCTTAGGAACTTCCCATCCAGAGAGTACCTTGTCGAAGAAGAAATAACGGACGCTTTGCAACCAGATTCGGGCCTGTGTTAAAATGTCGGTCGAGTACGTAAAATGGGTGTCGACGCCGAGAGCAGCTTGATCCTGGATGTAGTAAGAGTGGGGATGCGTATGTCCGTAGTGCATCTCAGATTCGGGAGTAATGGAGAGGTATTGGTTGGTCTGACGAAGTAGGTTGGCACCAGTTGCCGTCATGAAGCTGCCATGAGAAAATACCACGGGTATGGTAGTGTTTAGTAGGTCGAAAGAGTGAATGTCCTCGGGCAGGTTGGACACTCCAAAGGGGCCAGCCAGAGAGTGAGTTGTAACAACTGAAACATTGTACTCTCGTGCCAGATCTGCAACCTTCTTTGCATCCTCTGGAGGATCGGGACCAAAAGAATCATATGCGATTCCCAACTCAACATTGCTTTCTTTGAGAAGGTCACTCTCCGCTATATCGACGAAGTTGGGAATTTGATCCTTGACTGTGTAGTTCAGAGCCGGAACGTCATGGAAGGTGTACGCCCAAAACACGCGAGCACCACTTTCAATCGAGGCATTGAGGCCTGCATAAGCTGTTTCGTTCGACCAAGTGTGATGAGCATGGTCCAGCGAAGTTGTCACTCCAGCGTTCAGAGCTTCCAGGAGTCCTGCAAGCTGGCCCCAGTAAACGTCTTCGGCACTAAAATGGGGTGCAGCTGCAAATTCTCCGTATCGCCCAAAGTATTGAGCCAGAGTAGTGTTGGATCCCAGTGTTTTGAAGGCCGTCTGCCAACCATGGCGGTGCGTGTCGATGAAGCCGGGGCTAATGATCTGGTCGGTGGCATCGATGACCTCGGTATTGTTGGGCAGGGGAGATGGTTTGGATGTGGTGATGCTTGCAATATGGTCGTCCTTTATCAACAGATAGCCATCGCGAACGATCCGAGGTTCGGTCTCAGATTCATCCCATGCAACAATAGTTGCACCTGAGAAGAGTTTACTGCCGGCTATGGCCCCGGCTGCATTGCAAGCAAGCGAGGCAGCAATATAAAAAGTTGGCCTAAATCTCATAATTGTTGTTCTGCACGAAAGAAGACTGGAAAACTAAGTAACAAGTATGAAGCCTACGTCAACGTCAACAAGAGGACTGCATAACAACAGCGCTCTTTTATAATCTCTAGCTTGCCATAAAATGACGGCAGTCCGGATATATGAATGACGTAACTTGTGGTATTGTTAGTAATTACCTGTAAGAGTGGATATTCGACTTCTGAAAATCTCGAAAATTCTGGAGATGGTACAAGGTCCAAGACGGATATACGGAAATAAAAGAAATTACGTTTACAGCCGAGACAATGCGATCCGCAAACACGGTGTACGATAAATACACGTAAAAAGTCCATGCTGTTGAGTCCAACTTACTAATGGAAATGCAGAATGAAAGCTATGGATTTAACTGCAATGACGTCTTGTGCTGGAACCAAGAGCCAGGAGTCCATTTGTCCAATTACTAAAGTCACTTCATTTCTTTGATATTACTTCGCCGTGATCCCTTTGACTAGTAGTCACATTCCACGCTTTAGTCTCCAAGCCAAAACAATAGCTCAGCCATAAGTGAGCCTTAGTATACTTTAGCAACACCACCAGCGATCTTAGCACGAGAACCAGTCATTCATAGTAAGGATATGAATATACAGTCATAGATAAAATACAGGCTTTTCCTCCCTCCCTTGGGTGAATTGCTTATCTTGCTTTGCGACTCTTGCGTCTTCGTTCTGCTCATTTGTCTTCCCAAAATGGCATCCCCAAAGCTCTTGACTGGCTTGCTGATCGCCTTCCTGTCTTTTCCGTTTACTCATGCTGGGCTATGCAAGCCTAAGTCCTCTCATTTTGTATCTATTTCCACTACTGTCGCTTCCGAGACGGCCTCCGGAGTCCTCAGTAGCAGCATTGCAACATCCACGGCTTCTTCCACTGAGGTCCTTATCACTTCTACCGAGGAATCGGCAACACTTTCTCTCAGCATATCTATCTCGACTGCTACCATCCAAAACGCAGATACTACCACTACCTCAGAGACAACTGTGACGACCGATTTCTCCTCAACCACTGGCTCTGAAACTTCAACAACCGCTGAATCACCTGGCGCTTGCAGTACATTAGGCCCGTTGCTCGATCAGCGTTCTGTGACACCATCAGACTTCCAGCTCGGATTGGAGACTTGCGATGGCTCATATGCAGGGGATTACAGGGTGAGCGGCAGTGGTAATGCTGGAGTGTATCCTTGGAAAGCCATCCAAGGCTCAGGAGATGTGGCTACCCTCCAGAGTGATGGTCAATTATCCTACATCTCAGAACTTTATGTTGCTGCTCAGGAACCTGGTTCGGATGTCGTATCTATCATATCAAAGCTTGACTCGGATAGGGCCAGCTGGACAAGGCTCACCTGTCAGGCAATAACTGCTTCCAACAGCCTTAAGACTTACTTGACATGCTTCGGGGATGGGCCTCAGAACTCCATCTTCCAGGTCTGCCAACCGAGCCTTAGTGAACTGCCAGGCGTGTTGATCTCCTCAGCCGTCTCAGCGGGATGCATTCAAGCAAGGCTTGTTGTCCTCGAACAAAGCTGAGGAGCTACGTTTTGTAGCTCGGTGTATTGACCCAGGTTATCGAGTATTCTCACATGCTATGGCACTATTTTTCTCCGTAAATACTGCAAGAAACTTTTTTATTATGGGTTCCAGTCACCTCTATCCATATCTTTACGATTCTCTTTCAAGTTTCCGAAGCCATGGGCTGCCACTAAATGTCTGGGCTAGTGAATTGCATTGAGCCTACGAAATGCCTCTGATCTTGAAGGACTTTCTATACCTACTAACGCTGCGGAAAAGGAACTTCTAAACATCCGGTCAGGAACAACAACTGAAAGGTAAAAGAAGAAACAGAACGAAACAGGAAAATAAGAAGAAACGAGAAGTCGGACTAGCAACAGGCGCGGTCTCTTTCGTCCAAACACCAGCTTGTCTTTAGGTCCGCCAATACAGTTCGATCGCGATGAAGACTCATCAATTCAGCTTCTTCATGCTTCTTCAAACATCAACACCATTGTCCCTGCAGCTCTCGATGATACCTTTGCTTCCCCATTCCACGGATACAAGGTCACAAACGTTCATGTTCAATAAGCATGGAGTGGCTGGGTCGATTGGCAAGAAATCCCCAAAGCTGTCAGCCAGCTGCTTTTTGTCATTTCCTTCCCAGCACTTCACAACATCGTCCAACCAACGCTCCCTGGGAAGAGAGTACTTGTTAGACAGCTTATCTCCAATATCCAGCATAATAATTGCATTGTCATTGTCACCAGCCTGCATGAGAGTGTACTCAGTGAAGGTGCCGTCACTTGCATCAACAACATAGCTGGCAGAAGTATCATCATGCTTTCGCTTGATGTTGGTCATGCGAAGAACAAAGATCTTCTGAGCCTGGAGAGCAAGACCAATCGAGTAGATCGTGAAAGAATCAATCATCTGTTTCTGAAGAGTACTCTGAGTAAAGTTCTGGCTGATTCCAAGGAATCTGCCACCTTGAAGTTGTTCGTAAATGCCACCAGCATCAGCAACTGGAGTGTCGATGATCTTCTTGATGGAGTCTGAAACAGCAGCTTGGTAATCTTGGATAACTCCACCAAGGGAGGAAGCGACATTGCTCCACTGCATAAACTTGTCTGTCTTGGGAGGCTTGACAACCGTAAGGACATAGTTGACCGAAGTGATGAATGTTTTTGCGACAGTATCCAGTCCGCCGGCAAAAGGGACAAGACCCATTGTTGAGGTGATGGCTCGAGCAAAGAGTTGCATGGGGGTAACGTCATCCTTAGGGTCGGGGTATAGGTCTGAAACAATCTCGGGCAATTTTAGACTTATGATGTTGGTGGAGAAAGTTATGCCAGTGTTCATCGAGTTCATATAGTTGTTCCAATTCTGGATGCCCAAGAGTGCATACCTATGCGGATTGGTTAACGATTGTAGGGCTACAGCCAACCCGAGGAGTTGAACTTACCAGGCAGGAGGTTCAACAGGTACACAAGGCTGGCCAGCGTTGCAAAACTGATCGAGTCCACTAAAGAATGTCAGCAATAGTCCGGTAGTAGGTACAAGACACTGTTGCTCACCAGAAGAAGTTGGGGGCCCCAAAAGAGTCAGCCAGAGCCTGAACATTGTTGGTAGGCGTGGTTGTAACATTGGGAGTCCAGTTTTTAAGATATGTATCGATATCGAGTTTGGTCCAAGTCTGCTCGCTGAGTGGCTCAGTATCGCAGCTTTTGCTGCCTTGGCGGATTGCAAGGCCAAGGACAGATGGTGCGACCAAGACGGCAGAGTAAAGGATGGGAAGAGAACGCATCTCGAAGGTTGAAGGAGTGTAGTGGTAGTAAGTGATCGAATACTGAGAGAAGGATTGTTGGTTGATTGTGAAGATATTCTTCTTGACACAGACGCGATGCTTTAAAATTAGGGAATGTCATCTCGATGGCTCAATGTATCGAAGAGCTCGGGAAATCCGGAAATTCAGGGATCAGTCTGTACAGCCAAGTCATATGACATACCATTGAACTTCACTCGATGTGATACACGAGTGTCCTTAAAGAACACCGATGGACACTGAATTTTATACTCTTGTTCAAACAGGATTTCAAGGTTTTGTCTGAAACAAGGTGAAACTCACATAACCTTCAACACGAGTAATAAAGTTAAGCTATGGCACTCTGCGTGGGGTGAGCACGATTCGGCTCTGCACGTGGTTGACGGATTGAGATAAACTAGTCTTTCGAAGACTTCCCGAATAGCAAGGATCACTGCATATCTTTCCATCTCAGTAAACTGTAGTCCAAAGAGCCCCGGCCTGTTTATAAACGGTAGCATGATCTGCAAGGGACTGGGATATGCTGATGTATCAACCGAACGCTTATAGTGTATAATGGTGTCGCTCCGACAGGATAAAATTAGTATATGTTGATTATGAATTGATATATTCTTATTCCTTAGCTACTGAGGCTTGATTATTGTCTGTACAGGAGCCTATGTGCTTGATCTAAGAGTGAGAAGCTTACTCTTTGAGCTTGTATTGCCTCGGCATAATGACTCTTTTGCAACCATTCAACAGTACTATGATGAGTGTTTGAAGCTTGGCCCTTTTCTTCTGAAAAACTCCGGGGATCTGCTATTCCGACATCGAGTCCACGGTGACTCCGAACATTACTCTATGTGCATCGCAATCAGTATGAAGAAGCGGGTTAGACTCTTAGCCAGCACCCCACTCTTGTTAATTATAATCCCTTCTTGGTGGTGCATAAAACTTATGTCATCTTCTTAGCATATTTATTAAAATAACAGCTATATTGTAAAGTCTCTTATGGCCAATCTATCATGTTATGGGCCAAATAATAACAGCCAGATGTATCCGGGATCTATTAAGCCCTGAAGATGCTGTGAAGACAGCTCTGACAGGTCATAACTGTCCTTGGTTTAGACTTTTAAAGACATGATATGAAACAATGATCATTGCTTGAACTGATTTCTTGGCAATCCTTCTAGGAAGGAGCCAAGAAGATTGCTGAACATTGGTGAGCTTTCGGGAACAGGACCCGCGGACTCGTCCTTCGGCCTTCCAAGGCGATCCATACTCCATACATGCCGATCGATGGACTAAAGTATCTCCGGTCCCTGCATGTGAGTGGGGCCGCGAGCATTCAGCTTTGAATAACTTACGATCCAGAGAAATATTCCTCCATTACTCTGTTGACTAATTGTATCAGGCAAATGTAGACAAAGCTTTAGTTATTAGTGTTCTTATTAACTATCTAACATGAAACATACAATCTCTAATCCTTTTCCACTTCCGTTCTAACATTCCAGCTAACTTTTGAATTACCAAGCCAAAACCTCCTGAATACCCCCACAAGACAAGCTCGAACAAAGCGCTTCATCCTCTTTATTGGCCTCTGCAGCATCACCAGCTGGCAACTGCTGTCTCGCCGGCCAGATTTGCTTGCCTGCCTCCCTCTCAAGCTTAGCATGCTCATGAATCGCCTGTCGATGAGACTCTTGGAATGAAAGTGGACCATGTTCCAGTCGCGGATGCAACTCTCCACTGACAAAGATACCTGCATTGAGATTCTTCTGAGCGCCAACACACAAGTCTTTATCTTCCGAGACAACCCGTGCGTAGAGATCAGCGATGTTATGGAAGTCCTCGTCGGAGGAGTTCTTGTTGCGAAAGATTTGATAGTGCATTGATGAGGTGGTTGGGCCAATTGGCATGAAACGCTGAATCATCATAAAGTGAGGCCTGTACAAAGTTAGATGAATCCAAGCTCGGAAGATGGTGAGTACTTACAGGACGACTACTGAGGCATTGGGATAGAAGTATGTGCTTGCGAGTTGCATTCCGTTCTTCTTCTGCTCTTCCGTCTGAATGCTCGAGTGCTTAATCCATCCGATGTCCGTGTCACACTTTGTCTTTCCAAGGTCTGCAAGGGTAGGAAGATCGGGGTGGGTCGTGGGACAGTGATAGCATTCGTTGAAGTTGTCGGCAAGAATCTTCCAGTTGTATTCGCCCTCCATGCTGTATTCCTTGTCGAGTGTGTAATCATCAAAGCTGACCTTCTCAAGACGTTCTTGCTGATCAATACCATCGAAGTAGCGAGTCCAAGGTTCCGGGTTATCAGAGCTGTCAAGGTTGACCCAGACAAAGCCATACGCGTCGACCTTGAGATGAATCTTGAAAAGACCGTTCTTGCTCTTGTCAAAGTTCTCGAGCTGATCGTAGTTGGGTGCCTTGGCGAGGTTGCCACTCAGCCCATAAGACCAACCATGGTACTTGCATGCAAAGATGGATGAGTTGCCCTGCTGTCCACCCTGGACAACAGGAAAAGCACGATGACGGCAAATGTTATGGAAGGAATTGAGGTTTCCCTTTCGATCACGGGCAACGACGAACTCATAGCCGGTAGTGTTGAACTTCATCCAATCGCCAGCCTTGGGAAGCCGGTTCTGATGGGTGGTAAGCAGCCACTTCTTGGAGAAGATGGCACGCTTCTCGAGCTCAAACATCTCAGGAGAGTTGTACCATGTTGAAGGGAGAGCGCGGACGGGGCTTCGGTGGCTGGTTTCGGTGAAGTTGTCACTCTCGACGTTGACCTTGAGCTTATTCATTATTGTTGTTGTGTGGTGGGCTTTGTGGAGATAAGCTTTGATGAAAGTGGTGGTGCGTAACTTGCTTGTGAGAGTAGCTTGACAAGACAGGCATAGCACTTTCTTATAGATAATCGTGTGCCTGATGGAACCCGGGCTAGAAGATAACGACCCCGATGCTCGGTGTCGAACCCCTCACGATGACAGCGTATCGGATGCGTACTTTGGTCATAATGAGGCTGGTCGTCGGGAATTCTGATAGTGTACGCTTGAGCAGGTCTTGTGACGTTGATCACCCGACCCCTTCAGCCAGAGATATGAAAAGATAGTAATGATAATTGTCGCTCGATCATTGGCCAGCTCCCCGAGTAGCGGTATCCCAGACCGAAGCCGTATCTTCCGTCAAACAAACATCACCAGTAATGCAGCATAAAACGATATCGCTCCTCGGCTCTATTGGGTTTAGACTCAGGCACCTGATCGGCTTCTGGACCGCTTCGGGACAGATAAAGAGAATTCTCAATGGCAATTGGTGGGTGTCAGTGTCACCCCGCATATCCTCTCGGTACTGAGACCCCCTCGGCTTCAGAACCCGACAAGCTTCAGCCGCGTCGAGTCTAGAACCCGAGAGATGTGCAACCCTCGCTTCGGTTTGGGAATCCGTGTGAAATGATTGAGTGTCATGGATTCTTTGTTGTTCAACTGAAGGTTTATCTTTGCCATTTATGGAAATGGGTATGCAAGTTGTGCATATAATGAATGATGTGTCGATAACTTTATGGCACTTTCAGCCAGTCCCGAGTTTGGTGGCTTCAAGTCATGTGTTTTCCGCCAGAGTTTGATAAGCTTGGAAATAAACCGGAGAAGATCGAGATGAATGCGGGGGTGGATCAGCGTTATCAGTGTTATCAGTTTGACAATTCCGCACTGCTTGGCTCCCCACCGTTTTTTACCGTCAGTACCCGTAAAACGGTGGAATCCCAAGCTAGTTCCTTGACAGTTCGAGGAACAGAGCATAATCCTACCCTACAACTCGTCATGCACCACTCAGCTTGAGGCGTAAGAAAGGCAAATCTTATGCATATCCTAATATATTTTGGATAGCAATTACACCAGCCACTTGTTACTTCTACCGATCCTAGTTAATTTTGTTCAACTTTGCGAAGAGAAGAACAATTGTCCTTGCTGATTAATAATCTCATTTCAACATGGCGGAGTTTGCGGAGTTTCTTTTTTGATGAGAAATCATGCTCAATTGCTTCATGTAAGAAAGTACTTAGTATAGCCTTTGACACCTACTGTCGAAGAAGAAACCTCAACCTCTCTTTCTGGTGTATCTTCTGCTATTATTCCATCTTGGGAGGATGGAGTCGGGTTTGACCTGCCTTATCTCCGATTCGACTATATACTGAGGTGGGCCTGTTTACGGAGTTTAGCTTTAACTCAGAGCGTGTTAAATACCTCCAACTTCTAGATCACTTCCATCATACAACTGCACATCACAAACTGCAAATAAAATGGCCAAGATTGCAATTGTCGGTGCTACTGGAGTTACGGGAGGGTCCATTGTTGACGGCCTCTTGGAATCTGAAACGCAATTTGTCTGTACCTCCACTTTTCCAACGCGGATGACTTCGCTAACAGGCAACAGGAAATTACAGCTTTGGTACGACCAAGCTCAGTTGAAAAGCCGGCGACTATCAGTCTCAAAGAAAAAGGTATCAAGATCGTGCCTATTGATCTTGGAGGAAGCCACGATGAGCTGGTTGCTGCTCTCAGTGGCATTGACACAGTCATCTCGGCTATTCATTATCAGTCACTTAGTGATGAGATTCCACTGTCCGACGCAGCTAAGCAAGCTGGCGTGAAGCGATATGTGCCATGCTTCTTCGCTACCATTGCCCCTCGCGGTGTAATGGAGGTTCGCGATAGAGTGTGTTGAACCCTTTTCGTGAATCCACAGAGCTAACGTTTGTTGTAGAAGGAGGAAATCCTTGATCACATCCAGCGAATCTATCTTCCTTACACTGTAATTGATGTAGGTTGGTGGTACCAGATCACCCTGCCCCGAGTCCCGTCCGGCAAGCTCGATGAAAGCCTGACATTCCCTAACAACAACATCATCGCGGGCGGCAACAACCCTTCTGCGCTCACGGATGTTCGCGACATCGGAAAATACGTCGCAGCCATCGTGAGCGACCCAAGAACGATTAACAAGAGAGTATTGGCATATACAGAGACCAAAACGCAGAATGAGGTCCACAAATTGGTTGAGAAAGTGATTGGCGAGAAGCCAGAGCCTACCGAGGTAAGTCTATCAATTCGAAGCCTTGTGAACGAGTATTAAACTATTGCAGTTGTCCAAGGAGCAGCTCGAAGAACAGCTAGCTCCGTTCAAGGGATCCAAGGAACATAATCAAATGCGTAGTATCTACGAGTACTGGCTGTCTTGGGGTGTACGAGGCGACAACACGCCTGAAAATGCCGTATATCTTGGGTATGTTCTTGCCAAGGACCTGTATCCTTCGCTGCAAGGTAGAAGTCTGGAGGAGTTCATCCAGGATGCTGCTGAAGGAAGGATCAAGAAGGTTTACCAAAATTAATAGCCTGGCTGTTGGTGCTTATTGGGACAAGCGATATGAAATGTCTGTCAGCCGAACTGGCTACCATGGCAGGCAGACTACTTTACTTTTTACCAAGGTACAAAATTTATATAAACTTCGGAACAACTATAACTCTGTATCTTATGATATTTAAATGCAAGTGGATTGATAGTAAACTGATGTCTCCTTTTGTATATCTAATCTTTGTCGATCGGGTTGCCAAACATGTCCACATACTGAACTGCTGAGATTCTCCGATACCCACACATACCACTTACAAACCCAAACTCATAGTCATTTCGACACTCCGGCATCTTTACTATCTCATCTCCAAAGACATCCTGGTGATTACCATCGCCACTATATTCACCTTGCTGCAGGGCCTTTTGGAAAAGCATGGTGGCCACGGCGGCAACCGTTCCCCCTCTCTCGAGATAGTGTTTTGTAACCGGTGGCCACTCGCTGCTTTTCTTCTGGTATATGTATAGCACGTTGTTTTCGTTGGGGATCCTCCTTTGCTTCAGACATTCAGCAATGTAGCCACAGATGTTGATGAATCCCTCTCTCATCGACTTGTTGGTCTTTAAGTTTTCTTTTACTGAAGCTGGCAAGAAGTTGAGCTCTTCATCATTATCCTCAACCCAGTCAGGGCCGTCCTGGAATTCATAAAACGACTCCCGCATTAGGTCGTGTTGAATCTCTGCCTGGCACAGAAGGGCAAATCGCATTCTCGGGCTGAGGAAACCACCGATACACTCCCCGCAGGTGCAGCCGTATCGTAGTCGCAGACTATGCAGCGCGAGCTGTATCTTTGGGTTGCGCTTGATTTCTTCCGCGGCTGAGCTTATCTCGTTTATAAGATCTGGTGAAATTTCGTCGAGGTTGAATATTTCACTGTCGGAAAGGGCTGCAATGCAGGCAATGATACGTTGCGAGAATCCTGCAAATTTATCTGCGCACACACTAGTCAGTTCGCCGTGAACTGCCCTTGTTCGAATCGACTCCATCTTGGCTTTCAAAGCCTCGAGTGGTGAGTCCCCTGCTCGGTTGCGGTTGCTGGCTAGATCCCGACGACAAGAGAGAATGTATTGGATCGCCTCCAATTTGGCATGTATCGCAGCTAGATGGAGTATGTTGTTACCATCTTCATCGATCGCTGACCAAGACGCATCCTGGAAATCTGCTGGCATGTCTTTTTGAAGCTGGCTGACACATTCATCACCTGGCAATTTTGGGTTCGATAAACTTGCGAAAGCTTGCCTTGCTGACTGAGGGATGCAAGCGGTGTCATAAGAGTTATCAGGCTCGTTCCAGTCATCCGAGGCCTTCAATTGTCGAGAAGGGTGACTTGGGTCGTCCACGAACGCAAACCAGGAAGAAACGCCTACTCTTCTGAAACCCAATGACCGAAAAAACAGTTCTGAGATCGCCTGATGCTCCCTCCATTCACCTTTTCCCCCTTCATCAACTTCGTCAGTGAGGTATCCAGGACTAACAAATGCCACAAAACGATTTGTTTTTGGCCGAATCTTTTCTAGAATTGCCTGGACGATTTGTGTACCGAGTCCATCACGGCGATGCTGCGGTGTGACGCTGATTTTCTCGAACAAGAGAATGTCACCACGGTCTATTTCAGAGCCCCAAGCACCGGAGCCTTTCTTGAAGCCGTGCTCGTAGAATTCGCGGTTCAAGCGCCCGTATCGGTCAAAAAGGTCGAAGCCGAGACAAGAGGTCTCATGGGATGGTTCTTCCATCTGAATCCAGAATGCAGACGAAATTTGGTCGCGTCTGATTAATTTTGCGTCACATGTTGCAATTTCTGTACTGTATCTGGTGGCAACCGTATCGATCTGCTCCAGCCACGAAAACTCTGCAAATTCATCAACAGAAGACCTGTTACTATCGTCATCATCCATCTGGTCACCGTCGTCGTCTATTCGGCCTTCTTCCTTATTCAAGTCGCTACTCTCGACATCCTGTGTGTTTTCGTCAACACTCATGGTATCTGCCTGGACTTGTCGCTCGTAGCCGTCTGCTGAACCTGGACGTGGTAGTTCTGAATTTAACAAAAGATAATCGTGGCCTCTTGGTGTATTATTGCATGCTTACCTGGAGACCTATCGAGAGGCACAATGGATGAAATTCGGGCAGGAGACTGAGTCGTTGAGCTCTTCCTGTGGCCTTGTAATTCCTGCAGTCTCGACCGCCAGTCAATTCGAGGTAACGGATCGTTTCGAGCGGCTTTGCTAGAAGATCGAAAGGAAACTGTAATATCTATTCTGCCGGAACCTAGGTCTGAGATTCGCTTTGAGACGTCAGACTCGTTGATCTTCTTTTTCTGTCTACCCCCCTCCAGAAGAATGTCGAGGCTATGCCTACGTTTAGGCATTTTCAAATAGACGCTTTCCGATCTCTTAGTCTTATCACGGGGGATAAGATAGATTCACATGGAGAGAAAGGTGTAATTCGATTGCCAAGAAGCAGCACATGTCGTAAGCCAGAGGGGTTGGTGTCTGACGCGCATGGGGGTTGCCTTGTTGGTGCCCGACAGCATATGCAGGTCGCTTGATTTGGATAGAAAGTTAAGTGAGAAACTCCAACGGGATGCGTGTATATATATGCTCTACTTAGAATAGATAGCAATGACAGAAGATGTGTTATCTTCAAGGACCTTTATGAGACTTGGTAAAATACTCTCTTGGCAGTGTAGTTTCAGGGGTTCTCAAGTCCTCATATACCATCAGCTGGCAGTGCGGTTTTTTTAATTAGTTCGATGGGTTATTTCACATACCAGTTCTCGCTTTGATATCGAGTACTTTATTAAAAGGTAAGTTGACATCCAGTGTGATTTGCAGCAAAGGAAAATTGACAGTTTAAAGACACTTTTTGTCACTTCCTCCCTTTCCATTGGTGCAAGATGGAGCTTGCCCCAAGAGTAAGTCAATACTAAGGAACCTATCAAGCAGGCAAAACCTGGGAGACTTTTGCCTGCAAAAGACTAGTATCACACCACATGCAGCACCTTCTTGCAAGCGGTGATTGTTAGAGAGACCTAATTCGCCGTGGATGGCATGTGGATATAATTGCATTGTAATAGAGTACTATGCAAGTCATCATTCAGTTTGGATTCTTTGGAAGAGCAATCGAATGTTCTGTGCCATTGACTCCACAGGTTTGGGGACTAATCTCCTCGGTGAGTCGGTGAGTGAAACATTCCGTGCAAGCCAGCGTCACATTAAGCGCCTCGGAACTGTTTGAGACATTTTAATCGTGCGAAATTGGTGTTGTGATCCGCAAATAGTACCTGCAAGACATGGCACGAGGCAATGACATGACAAGGCTTGAGAAACTCGGTGAGTTCTTGCGTCCGGCTGCCCGTCATCCCGCGTGCATTGTTGATAAAAGTTTGGTAATCGTACCACTTCAATTGGCTGTGATCAAATGTCCAGGGTTCGAAGGATAATGACCTACAGGGGTTGATACCAATTGTAATCTCATTGAAAGTGCCGCATCACTTGCGGCGAGCTATTTCTGGGGAGGCCGACTGCAAGATTTCCCCAGAGGGGAATAACTGGATTCTGTGACTATACTGATAACCTAACACATCTGGGTGATATGCTAGCCAAGGACTGTTAGTGCTGATGTCACTCTCTGGTCTAATGCTGACTAAAAATGACAATCGCGAAAGATCGGAACCGAATCATCTGATGACTCCGGAATATTCTCGCGGCACTGATCAACTCAACATCAATCTCTCTAGAGACCTCTATTATTATAGACCTTACAAAAACTCCACCATATAGAATAATACCAAGCCTTCTTAACTGGTATTTGTAGCATGATAATGGAAACATCAACGAAACTTCTTGAGACAAGATCTCGGGCGCTTTGACACGTTGAAACATCCCGAGATGCGGCAGATACAAACAACGCCTCAGCACGGAACGAGCAAGCCAAAATCTGGCACGATCTCAATTGGATCTCAGTATACTTTGCAATTATTGGCAGCGCTGTAGAGACCTGATTGAATCAGCAGATGCTTGACACCCAAGGCATAAAGAAAGCAGCCCATATACTCCACAATCCACGCCACTTACGCCCCAGCATGGTACGAATCTGACCAGCACTGAGACTGCGGTCAGTGGTCTGACTTGATGAATATGCTATACGGAACTCACCGGCGATATAGCAAGACATTGAGACAACTGAGAATAGGGATGGAGGGAATTGATATAAGACAATGTCCAATTCATCTTGTTCAGACCATCATTCATCATTCATCATTCAATACTTATCTACAAAGACAAGCATCTCGACTCAGCTCACTCTGCTGCCCCAACAACTATCATATATATTTACACTGCAACCTTTACAACCAACCTTCATCATGACAACCAACTCTTTCGGCGGGGCTCTTCCTCGATTTGACTTCCCTTCTCAACCAGCCCCAGCTGTATCTCGCATGGCGCGCATCCACAAAGCCCTCCCAGTTGTATTAGTCGCAGCAACAGTAGCTGGTGAGTCTTCTCAACAACGTATCGTCATGAAAACTAACAATTGGTAGCTGTCGCACTCAAGACTACTCAACAAGCAAGAGAGTCTCACACTTCTGTCCCTGCCATGTTGTTTGGCCGCGCTCCAGCCCAAGGCCTGGTACCTCGAGGACAGGGGATTATTGACAAACAAAATGTTGACTTGGGCGCAAAGCCGAACAAGTAACAAATTGTAGATTCAAACGGAATCCATCTGTGGGAGGTATGAACAAGATACAAGTCTGGGGCATTATATTACCAAGAGCAGGGCTGGACCCAATTAAGCGTTTAATCAATATAAGCACTGTTACCACAATTACTGCAAGAATTGCAAGCGCTAGTGAAGCAGCCACAATGGAACGAATTTCAAGAGGGTCCTTTCTAGAACGTTGCCAGTACTGATATCCGCAATGCTTTATAGAAAGCTTGGCAGGCCTGGCTCTGCATGCTTCTGATGATCTGACGCGACAGCTCCCAAGTTTAACACCACTAAACTGCGCACTTGCACGATTAGTGGGGTGTAGCCTCCTTATGGCGCTTACTCTACGCAGGGATTTAATGGATACATGTTCCTTGTTTGCTGTCATTTACTGTCATTTTACCTTGTTCCACGTGGTCAATTAGCAAATGGCAAACCTTATGGTGTAACATCCTAAATATTCAGTAACGGGTGGTGGCTTGCTTCTAGAACCCTTTCTAGCCAATAGCTCCGATTTTGAAATGAGTCTCGACATGATGACCTCGGCTTACTAGCTTCATCCTGTCTAGTGAAAGCTGGGGTAGAATCTGGGGTAACGCGAAACATACATAGCGTAAATCTTATGTGGTCTGATATTTAATCTTTACCCTGATGTCATTTGCAGCTGAATGGCTAAGGCTTGACCTTCACACCATCTCCAGAACTTCCCCTGAATTAGCGACAAGACTATTGAACGTCCATAAACCTCTGTACCCTGACCCTGCTTTCATTACGCGTTAAAAGCAGAGTGCTCCCGGCTTCTTTTCCCCTCCATCAGAGGGGTTCTGATCGACAGCCAAATATGGCGTTATCGTCGACTATCGAGAAGGACATTGCTATTGCATGCATATGTTCTACTCTGATTCTGTCGCGATGTGGCTATCGCATTTACCACTGGTACAAGGGCCATGCGGGTTCCCACAGAATCTGGCATGCTGACGATATTTACATGGCCGTTGCCCTGCTGCCCCTTATTTCGCGCACTGTCTGCATCACTCTATCATTCCTCCTGAATCCCTCCAGCTCACGCGAACCTGCGACGACAGAAGAGGCGACAGCCCAGCACATGACTGTCGAGAAGCTTGAACATGATAGGATTGTTGGGCTTCAACTACTGGTTGGCACCAGATTGAGCTACACTCTGATGTAAGACTCCCTGTGTAGACGTCTGGTTGCATACTGACCCTCATAGTCTTTGGATTCTGAAAGCTGCCCTGCTTTCATTCTACTCTCGTTTCGTTCGGGTGACGAGCTGGGGCAAGACGGCAGTTAGGGTACTATGGTGCCTCTTATTTGCTTCTTGCCTTGTTGTTATTGTAGCAATATTAGCCGAATGCCGCCCTATTTCGTTGTATGTACCCCTCGGCTCTTTGACTGTTCAATGTTGACCTTTGTAGGATGTGGAAGCTCAGCTCGAAGGAAACACGTATGTCTCTCTTTTATCATTCCTTACTGGTCCAAGCCCTGATGTACATGGCTCAATGTGACTAACGCATATCAGAACCCATCTGTCAAAAGGGCATGGTTTACTTTTTCGCTCTGGCAGTAGGCAATATCAGCACAGATATTGCCCTCTTGATACTGCCCTTTCCGACCCTTGCAGTTGCGAGACTAAATACCAAAACGTAAGACAACCTCGCCATTTTCGATGTCCATCAAGCTGACAAATCCCAGCAAGGTCCAACTTGGAGTCTTATTCAGTATCGGCCTTTTACTCATTACAATTACAATTGTGCGAATACCACTTATCCTCAACGAGGCCATGTCCCAAAAGTCTCGGTCCACTGTAGGTGTTCCTTGCTGGAGCTCACTGATATGAACATGGAGTCTGACTTCAATTAGTGGGCGACTATAGAAATTCTGTGCAGTTTCATCGTGGCAAACACGCCCTTTTTTTATGGTATTTTAAGAGAGCTTGGGCATCACAAGGGTACACAGCCTTCAGTGACTAATCCGAGTCGATCAGAGGGTCCATTTTATTTGCAGAGTAAAGGAGCAGATCACCGCTCTTACGAGCTACAGGCTGCAAACAGTGATGGGAACAATAATTCACAGGAGCTGATCATAACACCATAACGATAATAAAGTTGCTTGATTGCCAATTTTCCCGTAAGATAATAATAAGAAATATTCAGCATTGTCAGGTCCTAACATGTGATGTAGTTCATCTAAACGAGCGGAAACTGACAAATCAGCTCCATCCCCACTGACACTTCGATTGCTTAGTAGCCGCGCCAGGCCCTGTCTGTACCTCTGGAGGGAGCCGCCACTTATGAAGTCTGAGTACCGCAAATTCAAGTTATCAAAGCACTTCCTCTTCCACTTACCTGTGGCAAGGGTCTCTTCATACACACGTCTCAATTCTCCAGAACAGTCCGGCACAATGCAGCTGCGAACAAATACGGGCCTTGGTATTTCCTGGAACGTTTACAATAGTTTCTTCAAAGTCCTGATCCAGCAATTGTTATTTTCTGTCTTCATTGTGAATCAGGTTTGGTTCGAACATCACAGTCTCTTGCCTTTGTTCGTCGTTGTTGAACACTGCATGTTCTAATCGGCCTGATTGTGTTCATTGACATGTCCCATGTTCAGCCATACCTCTTCTAGACGTTGTAAAATTAATAGTGTAATTGAAAGGGCTACTTGTTCAACACAGTTGCATCCGTAATTTAGTTCTCTCAATCAATCGCTCTACTGCCTTTTGCTACCTACTCACCAAAAGAGCCAACCAGTGTAAAAAGATTGCTGCTTCAGTCTTGAGTTGATACAGATCTTTTATTCTCCTCAATCAACATTTCTTTCGGATATAAACTTCAGCGTGTAAGTTGCCAGGAATGCAATCCTTCTCAGGATTTGATTTAGCGACTTATACATGTTTCCCTCTATACTTTGAGGCACACTTACTTCCGTACAAACGAAGCTCAACATAAGTTTTATTTTTATTCACAAATAGATTCTGCTGCGATCACGAGATAGAACCTCCCGCACGTGGACTTGACTGAACTTCACGTCGCTCATGCCAAGGTTACATTCGTTCTTTTGTTCAGGTCCGTATCATTCAATGAATGCTGATGCCTTCCTCCAGACAAGAAATAGCCAGTCAGATCGAGATCAGTCCCAGAACAAATGATCCATCCACTGATTGACCCGACTCCGCCAAGGAATAAAGTCTGACACTGCAGAGCGAAGACCACCACCGTAAAGCGAAATCCGCCACTGGAAATGGGCTCCTCCGCTGAACAAGATCATTTCGAATAACGGCAGCGCCTATTTGGCAAGCCATATTTGAAACTTGGATACCTAATAGACTCTCAACCTTTACCATCAACAAAGTGTTAACGGAAACCAGCAACCTGGTAGCAACAACTCACGAGTTAATACAGCAAGACACTCAACACCACCATCATGGATGACGTCCAGTCTCGTATCGAGTCACTAGAGGCAGAAGTGACCGCATTGAGACGCATTGTTTCATCCCTCTCACTCCAGATCTCGGACCAAAATCGCGCCCAGGATGCCTCCGAGGCACTCTCTGGAGACCGAAACCTCAACAACAAGAATACAAGCGCTTCGGCGCCTTCAAAGCTTTCTCTGTTCCACAGCAGAGGAGATATCCGATCCTACTTCGGCACCCGGGATCCTAGATTTGAAGAAGACGCATGGCTCTACAGTGAGGCCCCAGGCTGGAGCTGGATAAGCGGCTTCCTTCTTTGGGCAAAGGCAGGTGCTAACTGGAGCTTCCCCCACTTCGTATTTGCTTACCTTCGACACGAGAATGCTGGAGAGTGCCTAGCCGGAGAAAGCTGCGACCATTGGAAAGCCGTGATTGAACCTGCTCAGGGAAGCGTACAACTGCAAGTCCTTTGTATTAACGTTAGGGCATTCAGGAACTCCCATATTCTTGGGTCGACCGAGTGCCCTAAGCGTGAGAAAATACACCGCAAGCCGACCTTTTTCTTCAATGCTATGCGGCCCAACTTCAAGGCTCTGGAGGTCCTAGAGGGTATCGACGACGAAAGGTTCACAGTCCTGATGTTTCGAGTTCTTCATTGACCCGAGCGGTGAAAGCAAGTGGATGGATATGTTTGGGAGACTCATCGAGTTTGATGAGCTTGAGGATTAGAGAAAAGATATGAGGAAGTAGGTCAGGGTGTACCTACATTTCGCGAACTGGTGGATGCAACGGTTGCGCAAGTAGGTCTTGCAAGCATGATATCCGTGTGGTTGGAGTTACTTTCCTTATTTTTTCGACTAGGTAGATTCTTGGCGTGGTCCGATTGACTTTAGGGGTGCAGAGATTATCTAGGTTATGCTAGAGATGTTTGGGGCTAGGGACTTATAGAACATTGCAGTGTTTCTTGATTACAGTACCATCTCCATTAATAAAGCATACTTCATGCAGCCTTTTGCCTGATCATAAACTTAGAAAAGAACCCATCAAGCGCATCATAATCATCAAGCTCTCCCACATGTGAAACATACTGATCCGGCCTCAAGATAACCACACAGCCCTCATCAGGCTTGATTCCAAACGTCTCGTAAAGTTTGCCATGTCCCTCGTGATAAGACTCGTCATCAACAAATATCTTGTTGTAATCCCAACCATCAATCTCGTGATACGGACGCAGAGCCTCTGGAAAGTCAAAGATCTCGTGGTCTTGCCGTTTCGAGGCATGTACCGTGATAACTTCAATCACGGAATCGTATCGAGCCGAAGGTGGTGTGAAGCGCTTGAGGAATGAAGATTCATCTGAGAGCTTGTCGCACAGTGACTTCATTCGCTTGTTCTGGCTGTCGAGATCGATATCTCCGGGGAAGACCAGGAGTCTCCATGCTCCATTGCTTCGGAGAAGTTCTTGCAGGTGCCAGGGTCTAGCGTCAGACTGATTAAGAACCTTAACACTGGGAATACGCATGCCGAGCTTGATCTCTGGTGCCAAACCCTGCCTCTTGATGGCGATTTTGTCCTTCAGGCCAGTGCCATCATCAGTAGCCTTGGCGACAATGTTGCTTTGACCATAGTCCACGGCTAAAATCCATTAGCTATGGAAGTTCAATCCATTGAATGGACTTACCAATTCCACTGGCGAACAGGTTGCCCTTCTCAAAAGCTTCACGGAACTCATCCATACTGATTCCCTCTTCGTCCATGATATCCTTGGCCGGGCGGCCTGAGAAGAGACGAGAGAACTTGTGGTCGAAGTCGATAAGAGCCTGAGCAATACCCTTTCTCTCAGTCTCGTAGGTCTTGAGAATTGATCGGCTAGCAAGTCCTTTGACAACGTTGGCGACTTTCCAACCGAGGTTGAAAGCTAAAAGAATTAGCTTAGTCAAGAGCAATATCGTGGAGTAAGAGACTTACAATCTTGCATGCTGACATTCATCCCCTGGCCTGCCTTGGGGCTATTGAAGATTGTTAGACATTTATGCCACCTTTGAGATGGAGAGAACAAACCTGTGAGTATGAACAGCATCACCAGCGAGGAAGACTCGATCGTAAGCCGAGAAGTTAGATCCGACGCGTTGTCCGATCTGATAAGCGGTCCACCAATCCAACTTGCGATAAGTCAACTTATAAGGAGCGAGAATCTTCTGAGCCGATTCAAGAATAACATCGGGTGTGATCCATGACCGATCAGCTCTTGAATCTTGCTCTCCAATCTTTGCCGTTGTCGTAAGCTGGATATACAGCCTGACCAACTTGTTTTCTCTCGGAATCACCATAACACTTCCCGAACTCGCTGAGTGAATCGCACAGCGCTGTCGGATATCAGGGAAATCAGTGATGGGCACAATGTCAAGAACTCCCCAGATGTAATCTGTTGATTCGCCCTCAAGCTTGAAGCCGAGCTCCTTCCGGACCCATGAATGAGCACCGTCTGCACCGAGCATGTACTTTGCCTTTATTACCTCAACAGTGTCGGCTTTGTCGTTGAGTTCCGCTGCTTTAAGCATGTCGGCGGTATCATCTGGCGAAAGGTTGCTACGGAACAGACCGTCTTGTACAGTAGTACCGTTGGCGGATGTTGATGTCTGCTTTGGCTGAGCTTCTTCTTCGCTCAGGTGTCGAAGGCTGACGGTAATAGGATATGCATCTGGGTCTTCAACAGTTTTCGGGTCAATCTCAAGACTCGTTGGCAGGACCCCTCGCTCGACTGAGATCTCGCCTTGGCTGAAGTCATTGATAGCGTCGAGGAAGAATCTCTCAATACGACCCTGGTGAAGAACAACCTGTTGGAAGCGACTGATACCAGGAACTGTGTCGGGAATCCTTGAGCTCCGACGAAGAACTCCCTTGTCATCAGGGTTCCAAAGAGAGATTTCGAGCATATGGTTAGACTCAATCCAAGCTCGATGCGCAAAGCCGAATGAGTCAAAGATCTCGAGAGTTCGACATTGAAGACCATCTGCTTGGCCGTTGAAGATCTGAAAATGTGTTAGTAGAACATATTACATACAAGAAGAGATAAGTGATCTGACCTTTGTTCCTCTCTTGTCGACGATGCGTGTTTTGATGCCGCATTTGGCGAGCCATGTTGCCATCATGAGTCCGGCTGGTCCGGCTCCAACGATAAGGACGTCAACATGGTCTGTCTTTGCAGCAATGGCCATTGTCGGGTGTATTCCGTCTTGACTCAGAGAAGATGAAGTGTCTGATAGTCAGGTAGTGATATCGTCAATCTGCCAAGATACACTCGCAAGATCTTATACTCATCGATGATGTATATAGGATCAAGTCATGCAAGGACGAACCGACAATATGGTAAGATCCGAATCGGAAGACGGGTGCTTATGTGCGTGCTCTGGCACATGAGATCGGAACAGTTACGAATTGCCCTCGAGTAACTGGTCAGGCCATATGTACAACAGCCACATTATGTAACAGTTTGTCGTTTTTATTAGGTTAAGCCTGGTACCGGAATTATCATCTCGAATTGACGGTAGATTTCCGTGATGACCTTAGTCCAGCTTAATCTTAGCTTGCGGGGTAAAGATGGGGAGCAGTCGTAAACAGCGAATGGCATCAATGAAGATTGTTGGCCATTTACTGATAAGCTTATCCGATTTTGCCAGTGGAGAAGTCGTCAAGTAGCCAGTGCCGATCTACGTCCGGGGGAATGGAGCAAGGATATCGGAAGGGAAATTATCTGGGGATGGTCACTCAAAAACTTGTATGCAAGTGCGGGTCTCCAGTTTCGGATGCTGGTTGATCATGCAGTTTGACGTTTCCGAAATCTCTTCGGATCCAGGGTACTCATCTATCCGAGCTGAAGGTTTAAGTAGGATTTCGGGTACTGAATCGAAGAGTTCACGTTAGAGATAAAGATGAAGATAAGGACAGAGCGATGCTTTGCGTTTTATTTTCAGCGATTGACTGCTATCTGTATCTAAGAGGTCTTTAAACAAGACGTAAGTAACATTTACGGGACTGGAGTGATTTCACTGGTAGCATCCTTGAGTAGATCCTCGACTGATTGATCAAATATACAATTTCCCATCAGATTCGACATTGTGGTAATTATTTCTTTTATAAAGGGCTACTCTTCTTCCTTCTTCAACGTTTCCCATTGTTCCAACTTCGCCAACCATTCTTTCGCCTCATCAACCAGTTCCTCAACGTCTTCGCCCCTATCTTCCAACGCTCTCACCAAAGCTTGAACGGGTTCTCGCACTGGTTTCCAAGCCTCTCCAATAGGCACACAATCAGAGACAAAGTCGACCAGATAGTGCTGATATTCTTCATCCTTCTCTTCGTTTGCCTTAGTCAGAACTTCAGCTGCAACTATAGCAGCAGTCTCGGGAAATCGAGCAAGCTGGTTTCGACAAGGCATGAAAGGAGGATTGTTCGCGTCAACAAGCCAGTCAAACAGCTCGGGCATGTATGGCCTCATCTCTTCAGCTGTATGGACTCGCTCTGTAAGTGTACGATCGCTGACCATGTCGAATTTGTCCTTGGTGACCCAGACTGCCTTGGAATCTGAGGCGAAGCGTTCAAGAAGACCGGCGTTGTGAATGACATGACAAGTCTGGGCATAATGCGACGAGCGATGGGCGAAATCCGAGATAACGAATGCAGCGAGTGCAGCCAAAGCCTGTCGATATGGCTGAAGCTTTTCGAAGGGGAGTTTAAGAAGGACAGAGTATAATGCTTTTTGATGCACTCTCAGTGTATCGTAATCTTCATCTTTTATCGGAGAAGTGAGGACGGACGAAATGGCTTCCACGGTTGCAGGTTCTGCTGCGCGTGACCTGATAATGTCGATATCTTCACTTCCATCCTCGAAAAGCGTTTCTCGATCTGACCAGAGCATTGTCGGCACCTTTTCTGCAAACGCCTTTTCGTCTAGGCCAGATAATTGTTCGCGATCCATGGCGATAAAATGTCGATGTGTTAGTAAATAGACGGTGTTTGGTGGTTCGAGAATTGTGAAGTGAGGTCTCGCTCGGTTAGCAATTATGAATCGCCTTGCAGTTTGATGTATCACCCGTACAAGCATTGCCAGAGGGGTCAAGTAAAACCTATATAACCAGGCCACGCCTCACCCGCTACAGAAGACATAAAATGAGTCAGAATAAATAATCCACGCCTTCATTTCGGGTGAAGGGTCGATGTCACCGGCCAAGGCTGATGCATGAAAAATGTTACCTGATCTGGTGTTTGGGTCACCAAGCTGAAAGCTTGGTGGAGGCGCTAATGATCTGTGCCAGCGAGTGACATTGGGGCTTTACTGTCACGTCCCCCTGGCATCCTTGAAAATATGCCTGGTCTAGTTGCTTCGCCACCGCCACATCGGGCTCAGCCTTATCAGTCCCATAAGAGCTAAGGGTTTGGCCAAGTTACTCAAAGCTATGCTCAGCAATTACAAATTGCTGACAGCTATACGCTACTTAGCTTCTTCGCATTCACCTTGGAAGTAACTCGGAGAATATGTACGTTACATTAAGATCTAAATTATCTGAAAGCCACCGTCTAAAACAGCTTGTATCCTGGCATGATATGGGCATCCCAGTTCTCCTCAAACTCATACCCCATGTGCTCACCAGCTCGCCTCACAAGACGCTTCGCTGGGCAATCACTAACAGTGGTGGAAGTGGAAGTAGTCGGCGTAGGAAGGGTAGTCGTGAATGCAGTGATTCCAGCCTCTGAGCAAGCTGCGTAGTACGCTTCGGGAGAGTCGCAGTACGTAGCGTAAGCAGGAACCTCGGTTGGTTGGATGGTAGTGGCTGTTGGTTCTCCCTCTGCACGGGCAGCAAGAGTGTTCATTGCAGGTCGCCAGGTCGGGAAGCCTGTAGGAATACGGAATGCAACTTCGCGCTTGAACACGGTTGAAGTTCTGCAAATGTCAGCGTGCGACCAAAAAAAGACTGAATGGAACTCTTACTCTGGGTATGGGCTGACTGTGACAGTGTTCAGTGCTGAACAGTCAGAAAGACGACTCTCTCGGGGAGGCTCGCCGTTCAAGCCACCAATGCCGACAGCACAGGCATCAGCAGTAGTCGTGGTTTGGACAGCATCAGAAGAGGCGGTAGTCTCTGTTGCGGGAGTTGTCTCGGCACTGGACGTTTCGACGCCGACGATCTGTCCATTTTGGCATTGTTCCTCTGTATCACCATGTTAGCTAGATACCAAGCATGCGTCATGGGTCTTTATTACCTTTATACGCTGTGAGTGTCACAGGTTCACAGCCGACAGGCTCTGACCCGAAGGTGATGTACACCTGTCCATCAGAATCTGTCTGGCAGAAGCCGGCCTCGCCAAACGACGCATCTGTCCATGAAAGGCGACCCCCGGCAATTGAGAATGTTGTCGTGACAGAATCAGCTGGTGGTTCGCCCTGTGCAGCAAGCTCCTGGTATCCACTGCCAGCATAGTAGATAGGCTCTCCGTTCTCCAGAAGCTTTCCCTCGTCGAGGCGGAAGACTGAGGCAAAGGTGCATTCGGTTGGGTTGTTGCTGCCCACGAATGTTGTATCTCGTTTCGAAAGACGACGTCGAGGGTTGACCTGGAAGATAATGGCCTCACCGGCAGGTACAGAGGCGCTGGTTGTAGTGGTTGCTGCCTCTGTCGTCGTTGTGGCTTGCTCAGAAGAGGTTGTAGTCACTGAATCGAAGACACTTGTTTCAGAAGTGGTGGGCTCGCTGGTAGATTCACTGGTGGCGAAGAATGTATTGGATGAAAGCCCACCAGGCTTACAAGGCCCAGCAGCAGCATGAGCCGCTAGCACAGCGAAAACAAGACTTTTGGCGATCATGGCTGCAATAGTCGATGTCTATAGATACAGCATGCCAAAGCAGAAACCGCCAAACCGCAGACCTGGGACTCAGGAGATAAATATGGCAATTTTTATTCATACTTCATTTTGCGAGGTCCTTTAGCGCTGACCAGCGAGCCGTTGTGCCTTAATTAGTCAGGGGTTTTGAAGAAACTATTGATTTTAGGTGCTTCGGCGCTGAAAACTATTGAATGCTCTAGACCTGTATTGAGCAACCAGGTCGGATTTTACTGAGCTTCACGCCAATCGGGCGCTGAAAAGGAAATTTGACTGCACTAACCGGCGCAAACGGTCCTATTGGTCAGTCCCTAAGCGAGTGTACTTATCTTTTATCAACTCGACGCATGATTCTCACATCAACCTGTTATGCGATAAGTACTCTGCCCATCTATCAATGCCAGCCAATCAGTGAAAGAAAACTTCAAGCGACAATCTTCAGTTCTTGATGAGAGCAAAGATGTACCAAGAACGGTCAATCTTTTCCGCTGGCGTTATCCGACCAACAAGTTAGTAGTGAACAATGAGGACCACTTGAAAGCGATAAAGACTACGGACTTTATTACTAGAATAGAGATTGAAGAAATATTGTTGTTAAGTGAAGTGTAGATGCTGATCAACAGAACCAGCCTCGGACCAGCAGTATAATTCACAACATGGTGCTTCGAATCAAGGTCTTGCAATTATCACAGATATCTAGACAAATGGAGAATGTAATTCACAAAGGAAGTGTTTCCATTGGATCTATTTAAGGCTCTTCATGGTAGTCTGTCTCCAATCTGTCAGCCTTCTCTCTGACGCGACCTTGGGGCTTTCATGTTATTGTAAGGCCGCACAGAAACCAGCCTCATAACAATCGGTTTCAACCACGTCGCCTACCCAATAGCATACCATCAAGCTACATATCCAAGTCTTGCCCATCGCCTTCAATGAGTACCTCGCACAAACCGACTAAGCATCCCCGTTTCCGTGATATTGACGCCTGGCAAGCTCTGAAAAAGCGTGACCTCGAATACGCTATCAATCTTCTCGTCTCAGGTAAATGGATCATCGATAGCGTTGTCAAAGATGGTTGGGGCTCCTTAGATGCAAGGGTCGGTAATGAACGACGCCATAAGACTGCACTCCTCGCATTGATCCTTCGCCGTCTTGCTGGACTACCTGAGAGAATCTAGTCTCGTTGAGGAGTTCAAGATACTCATCGTCGAATATCGCGCCGGTCACAATGAAGATAAGCGGTGGGCCCATGTTTTCAAGCATAAGGATGTTTATATTGAACAATCAGGCCGTCACAACTGTATCTTGGAATCAATCGTCGACTTTATAGGTCCAGACTGGACAACTTTCGTTACCTCTGAACGTACTCTTGCATCATTCAGCGTACTCAGCACTATGGAGTGCGGCTTAAACATTTATTACCAGCGTTTAGGAGACGTTCTCGTCGCCACGAACAAAGAATAACGAGCCGCCAGAAAGAGGGAATATTATAATGCCGAGTTTCCACTGCGTACTGTCTTTACCGAAGTTTCGTTCAACCTCATCGAGAAACTTTCAGCTCAAATACTGCCGAGCGGTATATCGCCGAGGGCTTTTGATACGAAGCCTCGGGTCTGAGAGACTCCCGGAGCAAGTACGGGAGGCATTCCGATTTCGAAAGCCAAGAAGATCATTCCACGCCACAAAGAATACCCCATTGTCATTGAATCGTTCTCCGCTTCTATGCAAGTCTTGATTAGACACTGTTAGCTGTACGAGATACCAGTCACGTTGTGCATGCCTCACCTACGATATCAACAAACGAGTGGTGATTCAACCAACATCGTGACATATCAGCTCACTTCGGCACCTGTTCGGACCTACTTCGCTACCGGGCAACCGGGTGGAAGCTTCAGAATGATAAGCTCTAAACACGAGGGCAATCAAGATGAGCCATGTTGGAAGCTCAGTGGCTATAGTATGTATTATGCGTCACAGCCAGGCAAACTCCTCTCCTCCAATAATGATGACGACTACATCAAGGCACTGGAGCAGTCTAATATTGGTCATCTGATGTCCGCCTTTGGCTTTTTTCACCATGAATATCCGCCACAAACAGAAAACGGGGGCGTTGACCTTTTGGCTTTGCAAAACTCAATTTGCGGAGAGATGATCCGGCCGCCGAGGATAACTCTGGATAGCATCGGCTTAGGTTGGGGCTTGAACCTAAATGACAAAGTAAATAACCTGAATCTCCTCTCGTTATCTTTGGCTTGCAATGGAATCACGAGAGAGTACAACCTTGACGACACATTTCTCGCACGTCAATGCAACCCCGCAGCGAGAACAGCTTATCAAATGCAATGCAAGCCCATACCATTTACATTTAACCACGTTGATATCTCGACTCCAAGGCTTGAAGAGGCAGGATGGTCCGATATTCTTGAGCAACACCAATTTATAACTGAGCCAATGTTTGCTAATCTCTTCGTCGTCGGCAATGCTTTTTATAGTATGAGTGACCGGACAGAGGCAGATAGACTAATGCTCGTCAACAGCGACAACAAAAAGTTAAAGTCTTTGCTGGAGCATCATCCCAAGCACGAGGTCTTCTTGGCAAGCCGGCATAAGGCCAAGGTTGACCGCTGCCAGAAGGTGAGTACAGCAAATTGCGGGAAAAGAAAAGAGAAAGGCACTCCGACCAAGAGTCACATGGGAGTTTGATTCGATCAGATGGTCTAAGAATTGAAGACAGTAGTGGGGGGTCTCTCATATACCGCCTGGACTGGGCTCTTTGTTTGGCGTTGTTGACAGTGTATATCGGCCGAGAGATGAAGCTTTGTGGAATTTAACTTACGAATGTGACAGTGTGGATTACAGCCATGAAATGCATCTACGGGTAATATCAAGCGCCTCCAAAATTTCTCCTACGTGATTGTTGATAAGAAACTTGTATATCAAATCACCTGCCCCTCCTTTGAGGAACGCGAGGTTAGTAGGTGCGTTTGCTAACCTTGTCTGACCTCTCAACGAAACAAATCAAGGCAACGCGTCTGTTCTTTCGAAGCAACATAAACAGGGCCTGGTACAATCAGTAAGTACTCTCTAGTATTTGCACAACAAAGACTTCCTGGAACACTTACCTCGTTCACAGCAGCGGATTCCCCTCTTCTCTCGAAGTCAAAGATGCGGTTCCTCTATGGGGTTTCTCTGCTCCTGTCTGTCGCTTCTGCGACTGAAATTGAACTTACTTGGCTTCTCCAGAAACAAACCAACTCATCCTCTCTGACCGCATATCTCACTGACGGGACCTCGATTGCGGAGAAATGCGGCAGAACTATCGAAGCCAAGAATACTATTGACTTCTCTGAGGTCGACGGTAATGGTGTTGGGAATTTCACAGTTGGGAATGCCAGCTTCTTCATTCACAATAAGCCTGAACTGTCAGGTGGCCCTTCATGCTCTACATTCTCTAATCACCTCCATACTCTCATTCGATGCTTGGGAGTGAATTGGGATCCTGAAGGTGTTGCCAAAAGCGACGGACCAGAATGTTTCTCTGGCCATTCTACAGAATTGGAGTTGAAATCTTTCCAGATGGAGGCCCAGAAGCGCAAATTGTATCCTCGTTGTAAAAGGATAATTACAGAACTCGACGGCGATGGTCAGTATCATCATTGCATTGACTAGACCCGACCTGCCTAACAACTATTTCAAGGATCGCCCCACCAGAGATACTTCTACCACCAGGTAACGGTAGGCTTTTACCCCTCTCCTCGGTTAACTGCTTATTCTATCTTCCTGCTGCTAATGGGATACTAACTGACCGCAGGAAAATATTGGTTGTAGCGATATCGATGGTTGCACTGTTGGTAGTAGCAATACACAGGGCAGGGCCTATGGATTCAGTGTGACGGGAACCTGCAATTGGATATCAGCAGGTTTCAGTGTTACCGATTCCTGGACCGCTGGGAGTTCATATACTTGCAGTGGCCTCAAGGGATCCAAAGTCTGCGTCTGGTACAAGGTTGCGCACACTGCTTGTAAGTGCAGACTTGTATATCTATCAATTTTATAAGGCTAACATAAAATACAAGATATTGTTCGAAATCAAAACTATTGGTGTTTGCCCCAGTGTGAATATCACAAATACAGTAAGCAACATCTCATCGCCTCCCCGAACATACAGAATCGAGGCGGTTCATACGAGTGCAAAGTCGACAAAGAGTGCATGCAACTGGGCGCGACATACTGGGATTGCCATGGTAAAAAGACCCCAAATCTTACTCACTGCCCACCTCCGGGGTACCCGCCGAAATTGGATCCAAATAAAGGTTATCTACGACAGCATTTGGAAAGGCAGGAAAGGAAAAAAGCCGACAAGATTAGAAAGATGCTTAAAAAAGAGAGGAAGAAAGAAGAGAAGCAGGAAGAGAAGAAGCAGGAAGAAGAGATAAAGAAGCAGGAAAAAGGGTTAACTAAGCAGGAAAAGAAAGAAGCCGAGAAATACAGAAAGAAGCTTAAAAAGGAGAGGAAGAAAAAAGAGAAGCAGGAGGAGAAGAAGTATAAAGAAGAGAGGAAGAAGCAGGAAAAAGAGGCAGAGAAGAAGGATGAAGAGAGGAAGAAACTTGAAGAGGAGATAGATAAGCAGGAAAGAAAGAAGAACCTTAAAGAGGGGCCGCCGGCTGTTGTGCCAGGGAATACGGACCTGAAATTAGACCTGTTCAATGACTAGAGTTATTATTAGTACCTAACTAACTAAGAGCTTCACCCTCTTGTACAATTAATCATAACACTATTCCATTTTATCCCCTTTTACCATCACCATTTAACCTATACGGCAGGGAAAATCAGGCTTTATTTGACCCTAGCCCATCACATTGCAGATACTCTTGATAGCTAATTAGCTGCAGCCAATCAGACCCCCTATAACCCCCAGTATACTGCTGCTATAGCCCGGCAATAGGCTAGGTGCCTCGGCCTCAGTCGGCGCGCTAGACTTGCCTAGGTGCCTAACCATTGCATCAAAGGGCGGAATCGGTCCTGACTGGGGATTTCGTCAGGTCAGATTCACAGATCCTATTGAAATTTGTAACAGGTATCACGGCAGATTTTGATTTCGCGGTCGGGAAACTATATTTTTACTTATGTTAGTCACAGTCAGGATGTTTAAACTATTAATGTCTTGTCTCCTTGACCTCGAGCCTGGAAGCTGTTGTGAATTTTGGCCATCTTGCGCTTTCAAAGCATGTGATGCCTATCACTAAAGCTTGGATGGGCGATTCTCCCCAGATAACAATCGAGCAACACCGACACTCGCCGTGACACCACTCTCAATAGCTCCATCAACAAAACCCCTCCATCCATTAGCCCAGTCAGCACTGGCAAAGAAGACTCTTCCTTGAGGCTTCTGGAGCTCATTGAGCCAACGACTCATAGCTGGGCCAGGTCCCCAGCAGCTCCAGGTGCCTTTTGCAAGATCGTCATTCATCCAGTCATGGGTGAGATATGCTTCAACATCAGCATCCGTTTTCACATGTTCCCTGAAGCTTGAGATGATTTCTTTGCTCGCTCTTGGGTCTGTGAGATGCCCGCCGTAGCCAAAGCCAATACAATATGTACCATTGTCCTTATGTGTGTTGCCATTGTGGTCGGAGAATGCAAAGCACCATGGGGATCTTCCATAGCCGCTTGCCATGGCGAACCATCCAGGCTCTGTTTGCTTCAACTTGAAGTGTATCTTGGCACCTTGGTTGATATGACCTGCCTTGGCAGCTTCTTGGCGGAGTGGTGAGAGAGGAGGGTTGAACGAGATATCTGATAAGCAGTTCCTGGATAATTGTCAGTGTCCAGGTTTAGCTACAGTGGATACAAATGGTACTTACAAAGGGATAGTCGATATCACATATCTGGCTTCGATACGTCGACCGTTCTTTGTAGTCAAGCTTACCCCGTTGTTCCTCTGGTCGACCTTCTCAACGACAGTATTGAATAGCAAATGCCCACTATACTCAGACAGTATCGACCGTGCCAACGATGTCATGCCACCCTTCCCAAGCTTGAAAAGTCCAGCACGCTCGAAAACGCCAGCCATGTTATGGCCACCAAGTGCATACCATCGCAGCACCTCGACAAAACCACACTGCGAACCTGGCACGGAGCCAAAGGAGCTGATCATGGCATCGAACAAATCCTTCTCTATCTGAGGAATGTTGAGTTGATCGAGGCGATCTTTAGCGGATAGATGCTCATATTTCTTCCATAGTGCTGGTTCGCGCAATGGATCGTGGGGATATGGCATTAAATCGTAACTGGTCAGGCCGTCAATGGCGAAGAAAGCATCAGCTGCTCGCTGAACTGCTTGATTTGTCTCTTTGGTATCAAGTTTGCTTGGACCAGCAAAGCTTGCTGTATACGCTGTGTATTTGGCGTCTGCTGTTCCTGTTGAGGTCTTGAGGTTGCCTTGAAGATTGTAGCGGTGAATCTCGGAGTAAACGTGTGGCTGGCCCCTGGAACCAGTGTATCAGCATGGCATAGAAAATCTCCAACAAGATTCTTACCAATGAACCCATGTTCCTCCCATCTCAAATTCCTCTCCTAGGGCCTTCGCTGTCCATGTTCTTCCACCAATGCGATCACGGCCTTCAACAAGAAGAACCTTGCCGGCGGTCAGACCGATATCTCGAGCAGCGATAAGCCCAGCGAAGCCTGTTCCGATAACAACAACATCGTACTTATCAAGTAGTGACGACTCAGGTGTTCCCTTGATAACGGAGTCTGTTTCGAGACCAGCTGTAAGGCCGTTGCTGGTCCAGAGATAACCTTCCTTTGAAGTTGGCATAATGATGAATTGCAATACTGATAGCAATATTAATTTATGAGAATATGTTCAGATCATTCTGTGAGACTTTTTGATAGGCAAGATAGTTATATTAAACGCAGTCCAGATCATCATGAGCTCATTTCCTAATTAGGACAAAATGTACGAGGTTCCTGATACTGGGAATTCCGACGTTCCGATGCTAGACGACCTCGCACTTTACATCCATTTTAGCACTAGACTGACACACGGAAATAACACTTCCGAGAGCGCAAATACTCCGCAATCGATGCAAGACAATCACCATGAATCATGAGGTATAGATTAATATTGCAACATAAGCCTTGGTCCGTTGGTATCTAAAAATGGCCAGAAGCATAGAGAACCACATTTCATAAGGTAAAAAGGCTCTCCATTTGACAAAGGGAGGTATATTAAAATGTATCATTTCTGGTCATCCAATCATCGTTTCCAATCTCTTCTCCGACATGATATCTATCCAGTGAAAGCTCGGAGCCACTGAGTTCCAGTTCTGAACTGCCGGCAATACGTCCATACGCGACCAAGCCTCCTCCAGTATAAGCATGACGTTTCCAATTGGCCCCAAGCGAACAGCTGCATACATCTTGTGAATCCGCTGTCGAACAAATGTCCGCAGACGAATTATCTCCGATCTTCTTGGTCCTTCGCCTTCTTCCCTTGGTGAGACGGGCCCCAGGACACTTCCAGCAATCAGCAATGACAGAAGCTGTATCGAGATTGTCCCTGAGTCGTCTGGTATTCTTTCTAGAATTTCCAGTATCCCGAATGCCAGTCCCGTTACTAGATGTGTCTTATCATCACCATACTGCGAGTCAACAGCTTGGTCTAGACTCTCCGCTCTCTTTATCGTTTCCGGAAAAGCAGAATAGAGCTCCAGCAGGGCAGCCAGACGATAACAGCGAGATATAGCCAGCAAGTGATCAGGCGTTGTGCATGGATCGCCAACATCATCAATAAGACTAACAAAAGGCAGCCGATACCCGACAATCTTACGTTCGAGATCATTTGCCTTGGCGAGTAACTCAGCGTATAGAGCCCTTCGATGGATCTCCCCAGTTTCGAAAACACGCAAGCTCTTCAAGGACTGGTTATTCCGCACCAGTGTTAGTGTCTTTGCAAGAAATACAAAAACGGGTGTTGCGACGCCGGTCCACGGACAAGGCTGGATGAGTGCTGGGGGGTGGGGATCGCAGAAGATATTAAGATGTGATAAACCTCCGTATTCCTGGTCGAAGAGAGCTGAGCTCATGGCTTCCCAGTAAACCATGGATGACACGACAAATATTTGTGTTTTTGTCATGTTTCTTCTCCTGTCGACGTCTGTCAGCTCGTTTAATGTTATCCATGACCTGAATAGTTGTCGTGACCCATGGAGATGTGGCAGGCCGGTTGCAGAGGTATCATGCCAAGCCTAATGAGTTTACAGGTCAGCTCTGGCCTAAGTAGAAGCATAACGATACTTACCGCAGTCATTCCCAAAAAAATGATGCTCAAGAGCAAGTCATCCGAAACATTCAGAACTTTCTCTCGAGATACCAAGGCCGTAGGTCGGTTGTCATCCGCCTCGTATTCCCTGCTCACAGGAAGCTTGGACAATGTCTGTGAAAGATGTGACATTGCTTCGGTCTGGAACTCCAGTGGTATGTAGTTGTTGCCTTTGTCGTCCTGATATAAATGAGCTGCTGACATGCTCAACACGCAACCAAAGAGCAGAGGTGAGTCGGCCATCATTCTGGCAACTTCTGATCGGAATGGGTTGTTTGCTGAGTCAAAGGATGAGTTGAAATGACAAACTGTTGTGAAGTAGTGGTCAAGTATGAGTGATGTTTGTGGAGTTGGTATGTAAGAAGTCAGGCAAAGAGAGTCATCATATGAGGCATCAGGCGCAACAGAAAGCTCCTCATCGGCTTGGACATCGTCGCATAATTCTGAGGGTTGTTCTGGATTCGATGGAGAGGGTGATTGCCTTTCTAATATGTGCTCTAAGTGTTCTCTGGCATCAGATGAACTCGAACCAGAATTTTGCGGGAAAGGACTAGGTGCTGGTACTTCAGAGTCATTGTCGTTCTGAGTCTCGACACTCCCAGAGTCTGATCTTGGCTGTATCAAGTCCGATAGCCTTCTGGCGCCTGAGTCGAACCACGAAAAGGAGTTATCGGCATTCGGCGACGAATTGAGCATGTTCCTTTCATATTTAATGGACCATTTAACAGGCTTATAATAGCCGGGACATTCGACTCCAATTTTCGTGCATCTTTTACATCCTGGCAACTGTTCATCACATTTCACCTTCTTTTTCTCAACAGTCAGTATTACAATCGACTTCGCGTCGCGACAAAGCAGCGACTTACTCGTTTTTTGCAGACAGAACAGCCAGCTAAACACGCCTGTTAGCTAAGTCTCTTAGGTCTCTAAAAGGTGTACTAACTCCGCGTTTTCGGCTTCTTAGTGCGACATCTTTTCGGCTCGTCAGTCATGGTGGACAACCGGGGTCCTGTCGCATTTGAAGAGTGATGATATAATTCATATCTCGGAGATTCTGCCTCAGGGAAGAAAGAATCTCCCTTCAGCGACCAGACTCTCGCTACCCCGCATTCCGATATTCCGGGGAAGGGGTTCCACCGACATAGCGCTTACGGTAACTTGATCTGGCGAAGTTAACCGCAACACAGTGACAGTGATTGGATGCTTGAGACGTTATCGCAGATCAGCTTCAGCTGGTCCAATTTCTTATCACTCACCGAGATTAACTGATAAGCAGCTCGAATCCACTGATTGCATCGGTCTATGCCCTGGCTTAAGTCCACTTCCCAGGCTCTCTTTATCTCACTTTAGATCGAATTGTACTACGTACAGAACATTCCTCATCGGGTCCAATCCTCGTAGGTTAACATACATGCCTCGTAAGGCTAAAAAAGTCCTCTGTTGCAGGCAGACTAACTAAAGTACTAAAATAAGTATTTAGAACTAGTTAACTTACCCTAAAGACTTTAAGAAAGAAGCAACTTGAGGGCATAATAAACCCATATAATGGCGTATACTCTATTTATTACTTAAGGTATACTTATTATTTATAAAGTAATAATATTTTCTTTTTCTTTTTCTTTTTCTTATAGTATTTATATTTTCTGAGGTCTTACTTCCTTAGTCGCTCATTGAGTTATGTCTGGCTTTAACACTATTCTAACAGGTTATTCACCAAATGTCCACAACATAGCCACTGCTTAAATCTTAAAACTGTGAACTTTTAATTTAGGCATGATATTGTCCTGTGTAGAATATGCAGGACCTAGGCCTCTTTTATGGGCATGGGAACAGCATAAACTTAGGAAGTTGCAGTCCAATAACCGGTAAAACCAAAGATAAGATAAGTGCGGATTCGTTCCAAGAGTCGGCGGAATTAAAGCCGAATGTCCCATGTAGTAGGGCTGAAGACGCGGAAGCATGTTATCAGCGCGGAATACTCTCCGCCCCAAAACGTGCCTTTGTCTCGTTGTGTCCACTTATAGGAGGAAGTGTGAACGGATACACGGCATTCTCAACAAATACACATCTTTAATAAGTGACTGTGTGCCTCACCAAGTTCCTTATTATTTGATTGAACCAGACCACAATGACAATAACATAAAAAGCCCCGAGGAAGTTTTCTAAACACAGCAGCGGCCAGCACGATTTATCAGCTAAGGAATATGGGAGCTGAGAATAAACCTCTCAGCCCGGCATCTCGGCACGCTCGATGCGGGCCTGTAATATAAATCAGGGCGACCTGACAGGCTCGTTTTCCGAATCCGGCCAAGTCTAGGCTGATTAAGAGACGTCTCCTACGAGAATTCCAGCAGTTTACTTCCCTCATAAGGCGGAACACGGATATCTCGGGAACGGCCAACAGTTTCTTGCATGGAGCTGAAAGACGACAGCCCGGGTACATAACGGGCACCAGAAGCTCCATAAAACATAATGTCTTGGCAGCCTTCCTACCGTAACTTCATTTGACCAAACAACTGCCATGAAACCATATGGTCTTTTCGTTGTCGGCTTGGCTGCTGTAGTCGCTGCAGCTGATGTTGGTCTCACAAGCTCAGGCTGTGCCGACTCATCAGGGCTCGAAAAGTGCCAGGCTTCTGTAAACAAGAAGACAAGCAGCTGCATCGCCCAAGCCCGCCGCGACAACAGCCAGCAAGAGATTCTGGCGTGCAGCTGCCAGGATTATGTCGACAACTACAACTGCTACGCCGCTTTCTGCTGGAACAGAGTCTGGGAATGCGAGTATCAGGAGTACATGGTTTCGTATTTCATGAACTGTCCCACTGCCAAGCTCCCTGTTCCTTACTTTCCCGCACCCAAGAATGCACCAGACTCTTGCTCTTGTAACGTCGGACAAGTCTTTCTCAACATCCAAGATGCCATTCAACAGACAGCGACGTGTTCGAACGGCGCTGATTCAGGGGATGCGGGAAGCAATCTGCAGCAAATAGAGGGCTGCAACTGCTGTGAGATCAGCGGAGCCCTTTCAAGGTATGCTGCAATTCATGGAGCTATTGAGTCATCGATACTAACGTGCGTCAGTATCGTCGAGATCTGCCCTAAGACCGACCCCAACCTCATCGGCCTCAAACAAATCTCCACGCTCGAGTCCCAGCTGAACGTCGATTACAAATCCTGCGGAAAATACATGGAGACGTACGATTGTTCCTCCCAGCTTTCGTACTCGTTGGAAGGTGTCAGCACATATTACAAGCCTGATGATCCCCTGAAGACCGGTACCGCTACCTTGAGTAACAACCCAGGCTCTGTCACGGCACCAGCGAGCGGGAAGGTTTTCTCGTATACCAATGGAGGCGATGGGACTGTCTATACTATCACTGCTGCTGGTGTAGGTAAGGACAGTTCTGATAGCAAGGGGAGCCCTGACAGCACGGGTAGCTCAGGTGGAAGCGACGATTCAAGGAATCCCACTGGAAGCTCGACAGGGGATAGTAGTAAGGCTACCGAGAGTTCCAAGAAGAATGGAGCGGAAAAATTGGTGAGTGGAAGTGTGTTGATAATGGGAGTGCTGCTCATTTCCACCTTAACAACCATCTGTTGATTGAGAAACCAATAGCCAAGACTTATAGGGCACCTGAAGAATGGATAATGGTTGCCTCTTGACCTTACTGTAATGGCCTACATAGTTCTTGTATAGATAGTTAACTAATAACGGGAGGTTGAGGTCGCTTGATTATCCCTATTAATTAAGCAACTAGTTCATAGGTATATGGAAGAAGAGACTCCTTACGTAAGCAGCCGCAGCCGCAGCCGCATATCCATGCCATATGTCGTTCTTGTGCGAGTCGGAATAATCCGAGATACCACGAATCATCATGCAAGGGAAGTTTGTCAACACGCCTGCAGCTTCAGTCTCGAAGCACAAGGCATTGTATCTCTCAGCCAGATCGTCTCTTAAATTACCGTCTCTGATTACCAGCTCACCAGAAGCAATTGTGCCCCGATGAACAACGACTGCTGGACTGTCTTCATCCTCTACCACACTGACGGACTCTGCTTCCTAGACCCGTATAGCTCTGGAATTCAATTGAATTCGTATTGAGATTATACAGTCAAGGGGATCGTCAACAGCAGCTGGACAACCAATGCGAAGACTGAAATCTCTGACGCGTGCTCTCAAACCCCTCCAGAGCGGATGATCAGCAAGCTTTGGAAGAGCTTCCTCAAATGCTTTGCGACATTCTGTTATTTCTGCTTCATTCATTAGGGCCCCCGTGCTCGGGTTTGTTCTTCGTACGTGTTAGAAGCTTCTGTCATATTCGGCAAAAGAGGCTGCTGGCTTACTCAACACGTTGAACAAAATCTTTCATGTTCTCTTGCTACGCAACTGTTATGACTGTTCCAGCCAAATGCTTGACGAAATCGGCCAGTATTATCGTGGCCTCATTTGGACGACGCTCGACTTCTGCGCGGGTAACGGCAAAGCTCGCATCTGGATCCACGAACTCCTTTAACCATTCGTGTTCCTCGAGGATTGTGGTGAAGATGGTGCCTTCGGCATAGTCAGATAGACATGGGATGATGTCGCGCATGAACAGCCAATTCTTCTCTTGTTCTGAATCGTTGCTTTGGAATGAAAGCCAGTCTCGATAGTCTGGCGCTCCAAGAATGGGAATCGTTGATTGGACAGGCATGATGAAGATGGATTCGTGTCGGGGCCTCGCCGTGCTGAAAGGTGGTGATTTCTACGGCCTGACAGTCGATTTAGGAACGTTCTGAGCCTAATGTACTATATATTAGACACCATACATTTCCTTTTTCACTGGCTTTCTGTGTCTCCATTGAAGACCCCGTCCTCTTTTCATATGTTGCTCTGTCCCCGCCCAAAAGCTCCAACTGCCGAATGTCGGTGAGGAAGTGTAATGGCAGACAGACTTAAGGGATTGATCATCTCAGAGTAACAGAATCGATTAGATTAACATTAAATAGGAAATAGCATCGCTGATCTTCAGCATTACCAACATTTATGCCCATAAAGGTCCACCCACTAATACCTTACAACGAAAAGTTCAAAGTCTGAAATGTGTTGCAAACCTCCTCCAAGAAATATTGCACCCTCTCCTCCTCAAACAAATGCGCTCTCGCAATAATAGTAACCTTCAAGCTCATTCCATCAGGCTCAACCTCTCCAGCTATCGCCAAGTCATACAGCGGCTCATCCTTCCTCAACTCAACGTGCTTCGATAAAACTCCCATCTCAACACGCTGCTGTTCAACTTCACTCTCTGGATGATACTCAAAGTTATGGTATGTCACGCAGCATGCGAAATTGGATGTTGTTTCTGACCAGTCTGTGCAGTTGCGCTTGATCTCCTCAAACCCGAGTGTCTCGAACGGCAAACTTCGCAGATACTGGTCTTGCATGTCGCGAAGCATTTGGTGATGATTATCGCCTGTACCAATGTGCGCGCGAACAGGTACGGCATTTGTGCAAGGACCGATGATGTCCTGGCAATTGACCGGCAAGCCTTGACGACCTGAGACAATGCGACCGAAGACGACGTCTCTGGATCCAGACTCCTTGGACAGCACTAGAGCACACGCAGAGTTGAACACCGTCGCCTGCGTAGCAATACTGCTGCGGATAGCCTGACTGGGTACGCTGACGACCTTTGACAAGTGCAAGGCCTTCGAAGGTGCCACTTCCTGACGACAAGCCGCGTTGCTCGTGTCGCTCAAGACTGTCATGGGAGAATATCCAATCACACCACGCCAGAACTCATAACCCTTCTCTTGGCTGTTGGCAGTGTACTCCATGTACCGCCTGAACTGCGTTGGTGGGAGAAGTGACATGCCGTTGAAGAGTATGTGAAGATTGCGCACGATAGGCTCTAAGCTCAAGCCATCATACAACGCGTGCGACAATCGTAGTAGAACACGTAACGAAGATGACTGTTTGAGAATAGCGATGCGTATCAATGACTCTCCAAGACGAATGGGGTCCTGCGCATGCTCATTCAAGTAATCATTGGTAGCCGTGTTGACGTTTTGGTTCGTTACAATGGTCTCGATTGGCACGTCGAGATTCTTCAGGACGACTTGATAGAGCTGGCCTGAAGCTAGTACAAAGACTGTTCTGAACATGTCGATATGCTGGACCAGAGAGTGACAGGCTTGGACAAGAGTAGCGGGGTCAGAGTCGACTGGGAAGTCGATGTAGAATGGTGTAAGAGGCCTTGGGGAACCTGTTCCTGGGCTGAAGAGGAAGGACTTCTGCATTTGCGTGGACTGGTAGGTGTCTTGGATTGACTCGAATGAGATGTTGAGCTGTGAGCAAATCTCTCGCTGGATGAAGTCTTGTGGATCTTCGAGTGAAAGAAGCTCGAACGGGTTGTAGTCCTCCACCGGTGCGTCTTCCTTGTAGGACTCTGATCCAGCTGACTCGAGCTTCTTGGAAAGCTGAAACAGAACTGGGTAGTCGAAGATATCTTTGACCACTATCGTGGTATCCAACCGACGGCCAAGTCGCATTGCCAACTTAGTAGCCATCATCGAGTGTCCACCGAGATCAAAGAAGTTATCAGTGATTCCGACTTCGATACCAAGAAGCTTGGAAGCCTCGTCACATAAGATGATCTCAGTCTCAGTGCGTGGCGCAACACGAGCGGACCAACCTTGCTTGTCCTGACCATTGGTCAAAGTGGTACGCGAAGCAAGTCCTTCACGAATGACGACCGCAAGATGAGCAAAGACCGGATTGTCGAATACGTCTTTGACGGTGGCACGGACATTGAAGCGTTGTTCAACACGTGAGATGAGCTTCGTAGCCAAAAGGGAATGGCCACCGAGTTTGAAGAAGTCATCAGATATGTCAACCTTCATCCCGAAAGTCGCCGACACCTCGTCGCAGAGTATGGCCTCGATGTCGCTAATAGGGAATGCTTGTGCAGGCGGTGCGGTCTGTTGCTTCGGTACAATTCGAGCCTGGCGTGCGAGTTCTTTCCTGTCGACCTTGCCGTTGGGATTGAGAGGCATCTGATCCAACACCACGATGGTCGATGGAATCATGTACGATGGAAGCAGTGATTGAAGTCGCTCACGAACTTGCAAAGCGGCGCGACGTCGCTGCAAGCCTTGAAGCGGTCGATTGGCGAGGGTAGCTGAGCTTCGGAGATGGTTATCGGTAGGGAACTTGATCAGAGTGCGGCGAGCCTGTGTAGATGATGGGTAGTGGTGGAAGACAGCATCAAGTGCACCGCTCTGAGACCACTGACGCGCTGCGCTGACTTCCAAGCGGAACCCAGACTCTTGAGCAAGCTGGTAAAGGTCAGGAACAGAGAGAGATGCACGACTGTCTGCATCGGAGCGGACTGCTGAGATCCAAGCGGCACCATCGACCTTGGCCTCATCCTTGTCATCCTCGAGGGACTCAACGATCTGTCGCTCAAAGGTGGTCTTGGCGAAAGGAATGTTGCTAATAGCCACGGTCGCTGAGTCCTTCGAATGTCGTAGAAGGTCCAAGAGAGAATCGCGGTCCATCTTTGATGAGCCAAAGTCGACCCAATTGCCCTTCTCAACCGTATGCACAGGCTGTGCCGAGTCGCGATCACGGATGTGCACAACAGCCGCATAACGGTACGCGCTGAGTTCATTCGTAGCATGCATATTCTTCGGAAGGATCTCGACATGATGAACCAGGTCGGGGAAGCGGTCTTGTAGTGTCGTAAAGAAGGCTGGCTCAACCAGCAACTCCTCCTCGCGCTCCTCTAGCTCAGCCATCTTCTGCTTGATAGAGTCTTTGGTCGCATTGTTGCCTAGTGTCTTGACAGCCCTGGCAGCGAGGAAGTGCTTGTTGGTGGCGTTCGTTCGCATGTCGCCGAAGAACAGGCGCTTAACGCCGGGGAGATGAACCAAAGTGTCTGCCACTTGGGCCAAGTACTCTGGTGAAGGGAAGTACTGGGCGACTGAGTTGATCACCACGAGGTCTGGGTGCAGGTCATTCAGCTGTCCAATGTCCTGAGCTGTGCCAACGTGGACCTCGGCTTTTCCAGCCAGAGACGAGACGGACTTGATGACGCTGTTTGTAAACGCGGCGGCTGACTTGGAAGGTTCAAGGCCTCGATAGCTCTGTAGTCCGTGGCCGAGGTTGAACAAGATCATGCCGCTACCAGTTCCGACCTCAAGTACATGGCCCGGTGCCTGGCCATCGCGGAGTGTCTTGATGGTGTCGTCGAGCCACTCTTGCATCTCCGCCTTGTCGATCTCACTCCCGTCGTACATGGAAGTCCAGCCCTTGAAGTCTTTGCCAATGGTAGACGGGTCAATATCACCAATGTCGGCATACATCTCAGTCTCGAAATGATCTTGCCAGCCCTCGACCTGGTTGTCATTCGCGTCACCCTCCATAGAATGATCGTGATCAATGACGACGAAGCCAACCAAGTCTGCCTTCTCACCCTCGTCCTTCTGCACGACAACAGCAGCATCGCGGACAGAACCGTGGCCAAGCATCGCAGCTTCAACCTCAGCTGACTCGATACGGTTGCCGCGAATCTTGAACTGGGTATCCATGCGGCCGAAGAACTCGATGAGGCCGTCGCCTACTCGGTAACGCACCCGATCGCCTGTGCGATATGCTCTCACTCGCTGGCCATCGACTTCAATGTGGATGAAACGGTTGGTGTTGAGGGCTGGGTCGAAATACCCGCGCGCAAGGCCATCGCCAGTGACGACAAGCTCTCCCATAACGCCGACACCAACAAGTTGCTGGTTCGGGTCGGTGACGTAGGCTCCAGAGTTGTTGACAGCTCGCCCGATGGGAACTCCATTGATGAAAGAGTCACCAGTTGCGATAGGATACCTCGTGCTCATGATACCATTCTCCGTTGGACCATATCCATTGTAGCACTGACCTCGAACAAGGCTCTGCGCCTCGATGGCATCCTGGCCATCGAACCGATCTCCAGCAGCCATGAGAAAGTCAAGTCCCCTCAAAGCATCGCGCGCATCGGTGAGATAAAGCTTCAGCAACGCAGGCGCCATGCATGCAGCGTTGATCTGTTCCTTGATAAACACGTCTTGAAGCGCCTTGACATCAAGAGTAGTCATGTAGTCAATGCAGACCAATGTTCCACCATTGAGGAGAGTAAAGAAAATCTCGTAGGTAGCGCCGTCAAAGGCAATGTTGAACATGTGAGCTGATCGCGGTTGAGTTGGGAAGTCGGGTATGATGTTGCTTCTCATGAGACGGACGATAACGCGATGCTCGACCATGACGCCCTTGGGTCGGCCAGTGGAGCCGGAAGTGAAGAGTACGTATGCGAGACTTGTTGCGGAAGGGTTCGAAGTGTCGATATGCGCATGGCCATTGAGACCATTCGTATCGCGATATTCCAGGGCATCAGCGACACATACAAACTCCAAGTCAGGCACCTCCAACTCGGGAGCAGGGACATCTGAGCCCAGAAGCACAATCGTAGGCCCGGGGAGACCAGACAGAATGTCGTTCAGGCGGGCGGTAGGAGACTTGACGTCAAAGGGGAGATACGCCAAGTTCGCCTTGAGGATACCGATGATCGCGACAATTGCTTCGCATGATCGTGGAGCGAGAACTCCAACCAAAGTCTCAGCCGGCATACCCCGTCGACGAAGCCATGTCGCAAGCAGGTCAGACTGACGGTCCAGCTCTGCATAAGTAAGACGAGACGAGGAGTCCACCACGGCTAAAGACTCTGGGTACGCAGCGACTTGCGTGCTGAAGATGTCAACCAAGCTTGCATCTCGTGGATATTCAACCTTCTTGATCTTCAGCAGGTCCATACGACGTAGCTCCTCAATACCATCGGTAAGAGGAAGGACCGAGATGGGGATCTCAGGCTTCTCAAGACCATTGCGAAGAATCTGGAAGAAGACGCTGACCACGTTCTGGATAGTCTCGGGCTTGAACAGATCCGTGGCAAAGTTGCAACTGCCCTTGAGTCCACCGGCCTCTTGGAACAGATGAAACTCAATGTCGAACCGAGTATAAGCCTTGCTCGAGACAGCCTCTGATTCAAGACCTTGGAGCTCAAACCTTCCAAGATCCTTCTGCGAGTGGACAGCAAAGATGAGCTGCGCAAGCGGTGTTCGAGAAAGATCTCTTGAGCCAGGTAACATGGTTGACACAACACGCTCGAACGGGACATCTTCGTTCTCAAATGCCGCAGTCGTGGTTGCTCGGACTTGTCGTACCAACGTGCCAAAGGTGTCTTCATCATCAACAGTGATGCGCATGCACTGCGTATTGACGAAGAAGCCGATAATGTTCTCCAGCTCCCATCGGTTGCGATTGGCGATGGGTGTACCGATGACAGCGTCGTCAACGCCAGTGAGACGATAATGCGCAGCGCGGAAAGCAGCTAGCAGCACGGCAAATGAAGTGGTGTTGTTCTCGTTGCAGAACCCCCGCAGGTTCTGGTACAGCTGTCCGTCGATAGAGACCGGCACTACACCCGCCTCACCGGAGAGTAAAGCTGGTCGGGGGAAGTCGGTCGGCAACTTGGCTGGTGAACAATCTGCGAGTTGTTTCTTCCAGTACTCAAGTTGCTTCTCGTGTTCGAGTGCTTGAGCCTCCTGCTTCTGCCACATGGCGAAGTCGCTGTACTGGATTGGGAGAGGGTTCATGGCTGAGAGAGGATCCCGGCCTTGAAGAGCTGCGGCGTAGAGTTGGCTGAGGTCGTGTCGCAGAACGTCAATTGACCAGCCATCGGAGACGATGTGATGCATGACGATAGAGAGGACGTAGTCGGTGTCGCTCAAGCGGATGAGCAACGCTCTCCAGCCTGCTTCGGAAGTGAGATCGAATGGGGTAGTCTGCTCTTGTTCTAGCAGTCGAAGGTAATCCCCGTCCATCGCATCGACGACTCTCAATTCCTTGGAGAGCTTCTGGTGAATAACCTGTACACCCGCGCCGTCATGGTCCTCAAAGGTAGTCCGCAAGGTCTCGTGGCGCTGCTCCAAGGCCATCAGAGCACGACTCAGAGCATCAATGTCAACCAATCCTCGCATGCGAACAGCGTATGGAATCAGATACCACAGCGCGCCGACCTCAAGCTGATCCAAGAACCAAAGTCGACCTTGAGAGTAAGACTGCTCAACAGGTCCATCGCGAGTGGTCGTTGGAATGAGAGAGTAGGGCATGGCGCTACCGCTCACTGCAGCCTCAAGGCCGGCAAGGGTAGGGTTCTGATAGATATCAGAGACCTTGAGCTCTATGCCAGCTGACCTCGCCATGTTGACCATCTTAATGGCAGTGATGGAGTGGCCACCCAGCTCGAAGAAGGTTGATTCAATGTTGGCAGCGCCAGGCTCGAGGTTCAAGCATTGGAGCCAAACCTCCTCCAGCTTGGTTTGACTGCTGGTTGCTGAAGGGCTCAATTGAGATGGGCGGGAGCTAGTTCCTTGAATCTGCTGGGCCAAGATGTCGCGACCGATAGATCGAAGCTTTCTCCGGTCGACTTTACCAGTGGCGGTACGAGGAAGATGCTGCATGCTGATATAGCACGAGGGGATGGAATGGCGAGGAAGAACATGCTCCAATTTCACATTGATGTCTCTGCAAGCCGTGTGATCCAAGATGCTGGCCTCTACGACAGTCTCGGCTGCTTGCGAGGCTATCAAGAAAGCAACGAGAACGGTACTTGTAGAAGAGTCCGACGGTTTGACAGCTTCAACCACGATGGACATGTCGTCGGGCATCTGTTGTCGGAGGTGAGTCTCCACTGCGCCCAGCTCAACGCGCTGCCCTCTGATCTTGACCTGAGAGTCCACGCGACCAAGACAAACAACAGTACCATCAGATGCGTAACGTGCGAGATCGCCGGTCCGGTAAAACTTCAAGCCTTTGGGTAAATGCTTAGAAGGATACCAGGCTGGAACTGTTGAGAAGAAGGGCGACTTCTCTGACGGTGGAGGAATGATGTAGTCGCGTGCGATGCCAGGACTCTCAATGACGAGCTCACCAATCGCGCCAATTGGGACCAGACGATTGGGATCGCTGGGATCAATGATCCAAGAATGCGCACCCACTGAGTGACCGATGTTGTTTGGATCAGCGCCCGATGAGCTGATGTTGCCAACAAAGCAGATGGAAGAACTCTCGCTCTGGCCGTAGCCATCCAAGAGTTGAACGCGGGGAGCCCAAATGGCGTTGACAGATGGTGACATCTGCTCACCGACAAGCACCAAAGTCTGCAAGCAAGGGACATGTTCTGGCTGGAAGGTGCCCATATAAGACGGTGTCGCCATCATCCAATTGACATTGGAACGATTGATGAAAGCTGGAACATTGTTCATACGATCATCATCGGATGGGATACAAACGCAACCACCGTGTATGAGAGTGGTCATGATCTCAAGAAGACAGGCGCCAAATGCATGAGACCCGAACTGAAGAGCGCGAGTGTCGCTGTTGATCCCGAGTGCAGACCCAAATTTGAGGGCACAGGACGAAAAGGCTCGATGCTCAATCATGATACCCTTGGGATCGCCCGTACTGCCGGAAGTGAAGATAACGTAGGCCAGGTCCTTTGGAGTAACCGTGGCCAGAGCCAAGCCTGTATCCAAGGCACAAGTGCAGATGAGCGACTGGACAAGCTCATCGTCGACCACAATGCAGCGCCCGACAATAGCTTGTACCTTGCTGCCGTAAAGCTTGGAAGTAAGCGCAATTGTTGCGCCCGTTTGCGCGACGACCTGGGATACTCTAGCCGGTGGATCATTCGGGTCAATCAGTGTGAATGCATGACCAGCTTTCATGACGGCGAGCATGGAGGCGACGACCCATTTTGACTTCTCAAAGTAAATGGGAATTATCGCATGCTCTTGGCCTGGGGTACTGAACTTGATGAGTGCAGCTAGGCGAGAGGTGATGTTGTCGAGCTCGGAGTAGGTCCATTCTCCGTCCCAAGCGCAAATTGCGGCTTTTGTGGGAGAGACAGAGGCTGTTTTTAGCATCTCTCTGTGGATGAGGGTGGTTTGTGAAGGGATAGACTGGGAGTTCCAGCTCTGGATCTCGGCTCGATCCTCTGGTGTTATCATGTCGAGTTCCCCCGCAGACGGCAGATTGTCCGATGAGTCTCGTAGAACCTGTATCAGATGTCCCAGCTGCCGCAGTAGCCGAGCCATTTGATGTGAGTCAATGAGGCTCTTGTCGTATCTTGCAATAATCGATACCCCATGTCCGGCCACTTGACAGTGGAGTAGCAGAGCGCGGTTGGTGCAGGGCATGAATAGCTCAGACTCTCCAGTCTTCTGGTGAAGCTCGCAAGAAGATTGCTCAGTGTCACCTTCGGTAACTAGCAGAACAGTCTGAAATCCGCAAGAAGCAGAGCCATCCTCCCCAGTAGAAGCGATGTTGCGGAGACCAGCATCTGCGAACTGGCGAATGGCATCATCATCGGCTTTGACTGCACCGATGATGTCTGAAAGAGACTGACCAGAGGCGCAATGCACACGGAAAGGCACAACAGTCCGTGTTGGGCCATTTGAGATGAGCTGTTGTTGCTCTGTCACGACACCGAACAGCGCCTCTGGCGAGTGCGTATAGCGAGATAGAAGAATTGCAAGTGCAGTTCGACAAACAGTTGCACTGGGACAATGCGACTGCGGTGAGCTCGTGAATGAGATATGATGCTCAGCCTTTGCATTGGGGTAGGGAACAGCCAGTGGAGAAGACAAGTGCGGGAACGCAGAGGCATTCAGATCGCTCAAGTACTCCTTCCAGAACTGGGTCGCGGGGTGAATACCACCAGTTTCCGGAGTCTTTGACCCATCGGTAGGAGTCAACGACAGACCATCGTCCTCATGATCAGAGGACTCAGGCGTGTAGGGTCTGTTGGAGAGTTCATCATTTCCATGCTTGTAAGTCTTCAGAACTCGCCCAAGGATGCGTTCTTGGAAGGTGCTATCCACAAGAGCATGGCTGAAGGTCCAGATGAGGAGTTTCTTGTTTGCAATTGGATCATCGAGAAGAACGAAACGATTGCAGCGAGGTCCAGAAGCTGCAGCTGCAGCTTCATCCTGCACAACAGCATCCTTCTGATCAACAGATGTGCAGAACATCCATGAGAAGACAAAGCTGTCTTTTAGGATAACCTGATATGAATCTCCGCTCTGAGAGGTGAAGGCACAGGTTCTCAGGGCAGGAGTTCGGTTGATGGTTTCTTTCCAAGCAGCGGCCAAGTTTGAGATGTTGATATCATTGCTGATCTCATAAGCAACATGGCCAATGGAACGCTGCTTGTCATTGCCAGCACAGTCAATGACATCTTGCTGGAAGGCCGTGCTTGGGAGGATACTCTCGATTCTATCTCGGCCTAAGCCGAAATAACGAGTTACTTCCTCAACAAGACTGTCGGTGTGACCAACACCATCAATGGGCAGCAACAAAGGCATGACTGGTTCTGTAGAGTCACTCTTGGTGTTATCGAGTGATGTCATGTTGAATGTGAGAGAAGTGTTTGAAGTTGAAGGATCTGCCCGACTTTGTAACATGTGGGTTTGAGAAGCAATAAGGTTGAATAGGCAATGAGGGCCCGTCACAGCTTGTACAAGCTGATAGGACAGAATAAGTGAATGCTGCAGAATCTCTGGGTGAACCAATCCTGCCGGATGTGACTTTTCTGTATATACCTCACATGCAGGAATGCAGCGTATCATGCAGAAATTCTCGTGTTGGTACCATATCTGAACCAACACTACGTGCTACTTACCAAAGAGGCATATTACGTATACCAAAGTTCCGTACATGATCAACCATGTCTAAGACTCTCGATGGTTCCATCATGAGGTCTTAACAAAAGGACCCGGCAAGGCGTATTCTGTCTCATACAGCCTCGCACGATGTCACCCGCTTTCATTTCTCAACCGCACCACAGCCTGCAGGTTTACTGCAATGCCATTGCTATTTTCAGCTTTTGTGTCACATCACAATCCTGACCTGCTGATCCTTCATATGATTCAGACTTTGGCAGATCCTGATCCTTCAATTGGGACCGCCAAGAGATGCGCTGATTGGCTATCACGGGTAATTCTGCAGGGAGAAAGATGAGGCCTTGCTGATCGGTGTTTGTGGCGCTGACCTGCATAAGTAGGTCTTATCTCGGCTGAATCCTACAGCCCGCGGGTATGAAAGGAGGGGTAGGATAGACAGGCCAATTAGTCTGACATGGTAATCTGCATACTAAACCATCCCGTGTCTCGGTAGTACGCGGGTTAGAAATCTAGTGAGCCGGGCACTCACCGGTAGTGCATTTATCGCTGTATTTAGTAATTTACAAACTAGTTTAGAGGGTTATACCTTTTATAAGGTAAGCTAGTAAAAGGTCAAGATGCTATATAGTAATTATAGTACTAAAATAATATAAGTTTATTATTAAATAAATTTATAAAAATAGTAATAGTAATTTATAATAGCTTTAGGTGTTTATGCTTTATGCTTCTCTTACACCCTGTAAGCCTGTACAATATATGTGTTTTGTTTCTTCGTTCCACAACCTCTGTAATACAACAAAAGCTTAAACAAAGCAACCACTTACACAATAAAGCCTGTTACCGGCTTCCAGTTTCTCCAAAGCTGTCCTGGCAAGGCATGGTCATCAGCAAGCAGCATGGCATCCCAAGAACACCCAACCTGGTTGACGGCTCTCCTAGCCGACACAAGGCCGCCCCCAAAGTTATTCGCTTGGTCTCCCGCCAATATCCAGCCAAAGCTTGACGAAGGCATTGATATGGGAAGTTCCAACAGTGATGAGGAATACGACGATGCTTCTTGCACCGGTCCTTCATCAAACTCTGATGAGCGCATTTACATCATTGGTCCTGGAAATATTGGCCGACTGTACGCAACTCACATGGCCCGCCATCTCAATGCACTTCCCATCACTCTCGTCGTTCATAGAAAGGAGCTTCTTTCGCAGTGGGCCGCTAGTGAAGGTGTTGGTCTTGCAGACCTAGCCAGCGGCAAGTTGTTCATCAACAAGCGCTTCAACGTCGAATGGTGGACAGAAACAAGACCTCACTACGGTCCTGTGAAAGAAGTCGCAGACGGAAAGAAACTTCACAACGTCTTCATCTCCACAAAGGCAGAGGCTGGTTTAGCTGAAGCAGATCGCGTTCGTCGATACCTGGGGCAGTGCAGTTCTGTCGTCTTTGCACAAAACGGAGTCTGCAAGCTTTGGCCTCCCCATGGTCCTTTATACATATCTCATCGATACCCGAGCGGTAATCCTCCAACCTTCTCCGCATGTGTCGTGAGTCATGGGGTTGCATCGGCAGGTCCTTTCTTGAGCGTCCACTCGGCTCCAGCTGACGCATACATCGGGCCTGTGTTCTGGGCATCGGACCCCAAATCTCCGTGGAAGCAGCCCCTGGATGACTTCTTCATCCAGCATATTGCCACGACACCTCTTGTCAACACAAAGCAGGTGTCCTCTGGTGAGATTTGGCTACTTCAGTTGGAGAAGTTGGTCATGAATGCCGCGATCAACCCACTTACGGCTTTATTGCGCTGCAAAACGGGAGAACTATTTACATCCTATGACTTGGACGATCCTTTGGCACGAGTCATCGACAAACTACTATGGCAAGCAAGTACCGTTATCCAAGGTCTTATTGATCACGATACGAGTCGCAGTGTTATCACTTCCTACACTGAACAAATCCTCCGACTTCCGCCAGGCAGCCACGACTTGCGGAGTATTTCCAAGGTCCGAAAGAAGCTGTTGGAAAGGTTCTCACAGCCAATTCTGAAGTCGAAGCTGTATACGTTTGGTCTCAAGATCTTTGAACATCGTAGCTCTATGCTTCAGGATGTAGAGGCTGGAAGGAAGACTGAGATACGAGACTTCAATGGCTGGATTGTAGACATGGCTTGTTTCTTGGGTACAGATTTAGATGTTAGTGTACATGAGGGCTTGATTGGCCTTATTGAGCGCCGTGAAAGCTTGGACAAGGTGCAGCTGGGTAGAGTATTATTGTAATACAGGGTAATTAGGGAACTAGACTGGTAAATATTTTAATATTATTTAACTTATTTTTAAATAAAAAAGAATTATTATATTATTATTGTATAGCTTTTTAACTTATTATTTAAAATTATATATAAATAGCTTGTAACAACATCATGTTAATTGGTAATGTGTATTCCCCGTAGCAGTCCTTATTCCGGTATGCCTGAAGTAAACAAGCAGTAAAAGACAGCCTCCCTACATCCTTACCTCGCATAATCACAACACGACCTCGTATTCCCGATCCGGCACAATACGAGCGGCATTCAAATCGAACTGTCATCCGTAGCCAAAATTGCAGATCATTTCACGTTTGCGCACGCCAATCTGCTACTTGTCAAAAGATGGGACTTTTGTCTGCCGCAAGGATCGCCACGGAATATAATGGAAAATTCCGATTGGGACTCCAAGGGGGGTTCTAAGACAAGGCAGTGGATCAATGCCGGTTTTAGCTGCGGATGCGCTCCGAGCCGTAACTCAATTTTCAATTCCCCGCCAGACATTTGATATCAGCTGGCCTCAGCTCCGGCAATTCTCAACTGTCAACGCCACTTCATACCACTCCCCTTTCAGTCAACCCCCACGTAAACAAAAAACCAAGAAAGTTTCTAGACATACGATCTCATGTAAGAAACGCTACTGCAATCCGTTGAGACATGCCCGGAAAGTCTTTGTGCCGCCATTCCTTTGTTCCATGCAGTCATCACGCGCGCCGAGGAGAATCCCACTCCCTTTTCTGTGCCGTGCTGACGCATGAATCCCTCCGTTATATCTAGGTCATAGCGGGTTCTCGGACTCTGTGTAGATCCCGACCGGAAAACACGCGTACCCGTGCGCCCGATGATGGAACGGTATTTGTCGTTTCCCCATGTGCAGTTTGGGTACCGATGAGTGAGAAGAGAGGCTTGACGCTTGCAAACCGTTTCTCTATCTATCGAATTCACTATGGGAAAACGAACAGCGGAGAATTCAGGCCCTTCAGTGCCGTCTGGGGATGGTGAGGCGGCGCATCCTGAGATGGGCACTGATGGTCGTCCTGAGAGACAGCCTACCTTTCAAGATTATATGGTATGACAACCACAACATCGTCACACTGAAGCAAGTATATGCGACTAATACTAATATATATTGCTTGCCTGGTAGAGAGTCTTCAAGTATGCTTCGAAATGGGACTTTCTGGCCTATACGGTTGGCGTAATTGCCTCGATTGGTGTTGGCATAACATTGCCTTTGTTGAACATCGTCTTTGGTAAGAAGAGAAAATGAGGCCTAACCTCGAGACTTCATGCTAATGAGTCCATCGAATTGTAGGACAATTCGCTAGCAAGTTCTCTGACTATGCTGGCACTGAAACGCTTCCAGGCGATGAGTTCCGCTCAAAGCTTAGCGAACTTTGGTGAGTTTGACCTGCGATGCGAAAATGCCAATTTTCGTTTGGCCTTATTTCTAATACCCATCGCGATAGTCTGTACCTACTTGGTCTCTTCCTCGGTCGCCTGGTACTTGGCTACATCAACAACGTACGTTCTTTACTTTTGTGTGTTGTTTCTACTCCATCCGCTTACCGACTCCCAGTTCGCATTTCGTATGACTGGTGTGCGAATAACCTCAGCCATCCGACAGGACTACTTTACAGCTCTTTTCTCTCAGAGCGTCCATGTGCTGGACTCTATGCCTCCTGGATATGCGACCACGATCATCACGACCACCGGCAACACGCTGCAGCTTGGAATCTCCGAGAAGCTGGGTGTTTTCGTCGAGTACAATGCCACCATGATTGCCTCCATCATTGTCGCTTTCATCTATAGCTGGCAGCTCTCCCTCGTGACATTCACTGCCGTGGTCTTCATCACTTTCAGTGTCAGCTTGGTGCTGCCTTATATCACCAAGGGCCAGACAAACCAGACCAAAGTATGTACCAATTCTTCCATCTTGTGAGATGTTGCTGACGCAAGAGATAGTCAGAAGCCATGGCGATGTCTGTTGCTAGTGAAGCTATGAGTGGTATCCGAATGATCGTAGCTTACGGTGCTGAATCACGCATTGGTAACAAGTACGGTAAATTCGTCGAAGAGGCCAAGAAGCATGCGCAATTTGCTGGCCCGTTTATCGCACTTCAATATGGCTTAGTGGTATGTCGCGAGTCGTCTTTCCGTGCTGGAGTCTGCTAAATGACGTGAATCCAGTTCTTCAGCAGTTACGCCGCGTTTGGCCTCGCATTCTGGTATGGCACCAGGCTTTTGCTCGACGATAAGATCAATCAGCTCGGAGCGATCATTGTCGTTTTGTTCTCTGTCATGATGATTGTGACGGCAATGGAGCGAATCTCCACGCCCCTTCTCGCAGTCAGCAAAGCGACAGTAGCAGCTTGCGAGTTCTTCACTGTCATCGATGCACCTAGGCCCGAGCCTGGCCATCTCACAGATCCAGATGTGTCTGCAACCGAGGACATCATCTTGGAAGACGTGACTTTCGCTTATCCCAGTCGACCGCATGTCAAGATTCTCGATAATCTTAACTTGCGAATCGAGACCGGCAAGGTAACTGCCATTGTGGGCCCCTCTGGCTCAGGCAAGAGTACGATCGTCGGTCTTGTTGAACGGTGGTACAGTCTAAAGGAGCAGTACGTGATTTCCAAGCCTGTCGAGAAGCCAGCAAGGGGAGATGCCGACAAGAAGAAGAATGGCGACAAAGAGGAGGATGAGCAAGAGCCACAAGAGCTTTCCTTCGCAGGAGACGAAACAGGTCCGCCTGTTGAACTCCATGGCAGCATTTCTACGTGCGGCCAATCACTTGATGACATCAACGTGAAGTGGTGGCGATCACAAATTGGCCTTGTTCAGCAAGAGCCGTTCCTGTTCAATGATACCATCTACAGCAACGTTCTCAATGGTCTCATCGGGACGAAGTGGGAGAATGAACCTGAAGAGAAGAAGAGGGCGATGGTACATGAGGCATGTAGGGAAGCATTTGCAGACGAGTTCATTGAGAAACTTCCCGAGGTACGTCAATCCCATCTTACAGCTACGGCACTTCTTTGAAGTACTCCTTACATGTGAAGGAGAAAGCTGACATATACCTCCGCTACAGGGCTACAACACCGCCGTCGGTGAAGTCGGCATCAAACTCTCAGGCGGCCAACGTCAACGCATCGCCATCGCCCGCGCCATCATCCGCCGTCCAGCAATCCTCATCCTCGACGAAGCAACAAGCGCAATCGACGTCCGCGGCGAACGAATCGTACAACAAGCCCTAGACCGAGCCTCAAAGAACAGAACAACCATCGTCATCGCACATCGCCTTTCTACTATCAAGAAGGCTGACCGTATTGTTGTTTTGAGACAAGGGCAGGTTATTCAGTCTGGCACTCACGAGAGTCTTCTTACTGATGAGGCTGGTCTTTACTATAATCTTGTCAATGCCCAGGCGCTATCACTGGGAGAACAAAAGGAGGATCATGACGTTCCTGTCAAGGAGGAGAGGTCGTCTTCTGTTCATGAGAAGGCACATACAGAGTCCATCATCGAAGACAAGCCCGAAGAGAGGAAAGCCAAAAACAAAGGCCTCTTAGCCAGCTTCGGCCGATTCTTCTACGAGACCAAGTCCAATTGGTGGATGATGGCATTAACCCTCTTCTTCTCCGCCTGCGCCGGTGCAGCCGTTCCCTTCCAAGCCTGGCTCTTCGCCAAAGTCATCATCGTCTTCGGTTATCTCCCCGACGAGTCCAAAGTCAGAAGCGAGAGTTCCTTCTGGTCGCTTATGTGGACCGTCCTCGCCATTTCAGCAGGTCTCGCCTACTGCGCTACTTTCTTTTTATCTACACGCACTGCTAGCACTATTCGTGCCAAGTACCAGAAGCAGTACTTCCTTTCTATCTTACATCAGAAGGTTTCGTTCTTCGATCATGATGATCATTCTCAGGGTACCATGGCTGCTAGAAGCGCTGAAGATCCACGTCAACTTGAAGAGCTCTTAGGCTCCAATATGGCCAGCGTGTTCATCGCCCTTTGGACTCTCATGGGAACTATCGCCATCGCCCTTGCCTTTGCTTGGAAGCTAGCCCTTGTGTCTCTTTGCGTGGTTGTCCCCATCCTGCTTGGCGCTGGCTATTGGCGAATGCGGTATGAGATCAAGTTTGAGGAGATGAACAACGCCGTATTCGTCGACAGCTCCAAGTTCGCATCCGAAGCAATCGGTGCATTCCGTACAGTGTCGTCTTTCACTCTTGAAGGTTCTATCTGCGACCAGTTCCGCACTCTCAACAGCAATCATGTCAAGGACGCCTTCAAAAAGGCTCGTTGGGTGAGCTTGCTGTATGCCTTCTCCGACAGTGCGACCATTGGATGCCAGGCTATCGTCCTGTACTACGGCGGCCGCCTGCTTCTCAGCGGAGAGTATGACTTGGAGAGTTTCTTCGTGTGCTTCATGTCTGTGTTGAACGCGGGCGAGACAACTGGACGCGCACTCAGCTTTGGCCCCAACGTCGCTCAAGTACGTGCAGCTGCCAACCGGATCCTTGGATTGAGGGACAGTCAGGTGAAGGATGGATCTGAGGCTATTGGAGAGCAATTCATATCTCATGGTGATGGCATGAAGATTGAGCTGGACAACATTCACTTCAAGTATCCTACACGCGACGTGCCAGTCTTTCAAGGGCTCAGTCTCACGATCGAGAAGGGCCAGTTTGCCGCTCTTGTTGGCGCGTCAGGGAGTGGAAAGAGTAGCATTGTCTCGCTTCTTGAAAGGTACGCAGACATTTCTAGACATGTTTATGATGAATGCTAACACGGTGCCAATAATAACAGATTCTACGATCCCGATCATGGTCGTATTCTCTGCAACGGTCAAGACATCGCCGCCAACAATGTCTACACGTACCGTCGTCATCTCTCACTGGTAGCGCAAGAGTCGAGCTTATTCCAAGGTACGTCAAACAGGTTGGATCATTGATGAGTGGCACAGCTGATTATCTTACAGGTACACTGCGCGAGAACATTCTTCTCGGCGTCGAAGACACCGTTGACGACGCAACTGTCCATCGTGTATGTCAAGAAGCTTCCATACACGAGTTCATTATGTCTCTCCCAGAAGGATACCAAACTCAGGTAGGATCACGAGGCGTGACCCTCTCAGGAGGACAAAGACAGCGTGTCGCTATCGCCCGAGCTTTGATGCGGAACCCCGATATTTTACTCCTCGATGAAGCTACAAGTTCTCTTGACTCGGAGAGTGAAAAGCTGGTTCAAGAGGCATTTGAGCGGGCGGGCAAAGGGCGCACTATGGTCGTCGTTGCCCATCGTCTTGCGACAGTGCAAAATGCCGACGTAATCTTTGTCCTTGGTGAAGGCAAGTTGATTGAGAAGGGGAGCCATCGTGAGCTACTTGCTGCTCGTGGTGTTTACTGGCAGATGGTAAGTTTTCTCATGCCCACTATAATTACAGGACCTTGATCGAGTTGAGTACTAACTATAAAACAGTGTCAAAGCCAGGCTTTGGACAAGTAGATGATCCTATTGAGTTTTAATAATGTCGCTGTCGTAAGAACTTAACTTGACTGTATTTATTGTATTAAAATTTATTTAACAAGATTGTTTTGATGTTCCTCTCTTGTATAACTCTTGATATCTCTTTAAGTTTGAAATCCCGTCCATAATAATTCTCTATCGCATGGTCAGTCCTCGATAGCATGTATTGTGTTGGGTGACAGCCTGCGGATGCAGATAACAGTCACTTGGACTCGTCTAAACGAATTTTATATCAAGGTTTTCGTCATGTCCAATTTTCTTATATCGGTATTGAACCACAGCGTTGATGCACGAGAAGCAAACCTTGTAGTCTTGTAGTGCCTGAGGATGATTATGCCCCGCGCTGACAAATTGACAGGGCTGACAAATGACTCTAGAGAGCTAACCTGCCACTAACATGCAGTAAGACTCGCCATGGTCTATGACATACCATCGACACCGGATTGGTTTTAATCTCATGCGATCTATGATTGATAAGATCGTTTCGATGTTGGTTCCGCGGAGGCTGATGATAACACGCCTGAAGCCTCATATTCTTCTCGCGGGCCAACCTTTGCGTAGTGATTCGTAAGGTGCTTGATAATGAGCACATCTGGGTTCTTTGGGTCGCATGTATTTATGCAATCTCAACACTTATATAAAACTCCTAGTAGCCTTCTTTTCAATTTTTATTCTCATGCACCATCATTTCTCATCTCATCTCATCAGGCTCACAACATTACCAAAACCAACAATACTTCAAAATAATATAATAACTCATTTCATATACCAATCAACATCAGCAATCATGGCCGCCAAGTCTCCCATCGTCCTCATTCTCGGCTCCGGCCCAAACATTGGCCAATCCGTCGCCCGCAGGTTTGCTTCCGAAGGCTACAAAGTCGCCATTGCTTCTCGTTCCCAGAAGGAAGTAGACAGCACCGATAAGCAGCTGAACATCAAGACTGATCTGACCAAGCCACTCGAGGTCGCCGATGCCTTCAGTAAGGTGAAGACAACTTTCGGAACCCCTGGTGTTGTTATCTACAATGGTATGTGCTTTCTCCAAACAAAATAAACAGCTTGCTCACGCGCTACAGCCAGCGCCGCAGCCTTTCCTCCAGCGGATGACCCCCTGTCTGTCTCATATACCGACTTCAGCAACAACACTGCCATCAACATCCACAGCGCTTTCATCGCAGCTCAACAGGCAGTCGCTGGCTTCGCACAGCTCCCAGATTCAGCTGCACGCACCTTCATCTACACCGGCAATATCCTCAACGTTACCATCCTTCCCAAGTTCCTCGATGCAGGTGTTGGTAAGTCTGGCGCAGCTCATATGGTATGGGCGGCTGCAGACGCATACAAGAACAGAGGCTACAAGTAAGTCACCAAATCAGAAGTCCAGTATCGTTGACTAATATTCTGTAGATTCTACTACGCTGATGAGCGTAAGCCAGATGGAGCACCCAAGTACCGTGTTGATGGAGATGCACATGCTGATCTGTACTGGGACCTATCTCAGGGTAAGGAGCAGGGGCCTTGGATGCAGACATTTGTCAAAGGAGAGGGATACAAGAAGTTTGACACGCTCTACACTCCCATCGCATAGGCTATTCCCAAGAGTTAAATTATACTCTGTTAAGGTTTCTATTTCAAGATACTCGGGATACACAATGCATTTATAGCAGTTCCGTTTCTCACTAGCTACTCCCTCGTATCTAACTCAGTCATTTCCTCCGCAACCATCAGTCCACCCACCAGCACCTTTGACAACCTTGTTATTCTTGAAACATCTCGACCTTACAAAAACAGGCGTATTGAACGTAAGCTTCCACTCATACCCATCCTCCGTCGGCTCATCATAGTACTCAAAGTTCCAAGCCGTCGTCCCAAGTCCATAGCAGCCATTCATACTCGGCCTCATCGTCTTCTGACCAAAGTCCCAAGTTGAGAACCCGCCTCCCTCTATCGTATATGAGCTATGAGAAAAGTGGTACCATCCTTTGCAAGTCCCTTGGGCGTACTCTGGTGGCGGCCAGGGTCTGTTATAGCGTGTTGGGCTGACTTCGTAAGTGTATGCTCCGTCATCGCGAACATATTTGCCTCCGGTCTTCCAGTTCAGCCTGCGATTGGTGTCGCAGTTGTGGATGAGTTTCTTGAAGGAGTCGATGCACTGATTCACGTCGTAGTCTGCGACGTCGTCGCCAAGTGAGATCCTGAACTCATGCTCATCGGGAGTGTCTTCGTCATAGACTTTGTAGTAGTCCCATCCCTTCTCATGTTCAGGCTGCTCAATGTTCTTGCAGAAGTCCTCGTAGTGCTCATCGAGTCTGTCAGCGCTAGAGTAGATCTTCCAATTATCGTCAGACCAGCATTTGAACTCGTCTTTGACCTCGCACGACGGGGCATCGATGCCCAGCACCAACGATCGAAGATCCATCGCCTCAGCCATTGCGAAACTGGCCATCGTGACATGTCCATTCTCGTTCGGATGGAAGTTCTCCGCAATGTCGTTTGGAAGACCAAGGCCCATTGTCCAATCCCTAGATTTGTCGGAGGGACAACCAGGAGGCTTTGGGTCACGACGACCAAGAACTCTACGTACAAGCTCCGGTGGGTTGGCGCTGTTGAAGAACTTGGATCCCCAAATGCTCTCAGCGGCACGTTTCCTCCTCAGCTCGCCCCGACTGTAATCGTAGTAATCTGATCCATCAACTCCACGCTTTTTGAGATCTTCACGCTCTCCAGGTGTAGGATTTGTGGGGGGCTTGATGAACTGCATCTGAGGCTGATCCTTGCTAGGGTAATCCCCATTAGCAGAGGGAGAGCACATCTGCCCATCGATGCTCGCGTCAGTGACCCAAGGGTTCCAGTCTGCAAAACCGATCTTATACTTGACATCGTCGTCTTTAGAGATATCGTTAACTGCATCAGCAGTTGCCCTGTTGATCTTCTTGACGAGTGCATTAAACCGGTGACGACGAGCAATAGTCAACTTCTGTGGGGTTTGGACGGGCTCAAGGAATGCCGTTTTGTCCCACTCCTCACCCTCACAATCGTCGTTCTCGGTGCTAAAGAACTCGGCATATCCAAGGACAACAACAATACCGTCTTTGTTCACCTTCTTGTTCAAGACGTAAAGGATTTCCTTCATGTTGTTCTTGATGATATTCTCAACATTGTCTTCAGCCACCTTGAGTACGGCTTCGCAAGCCTCCTCATTGTTCGCAGAGAGAAGAATGCAGTCTGCAATGATCCCAGCCTAAAAGATCATTGTCAGTTGCCCATCGCTCAAATCATACAGATGGGCCATCTTACCAAACACAGATCATTGCCACCGGCTGTCAACATGACCATGTCAAGACCTCCTTCAATCTGCTCTGCTTGCTGATAAATCTGGCCAGCACGATCTCCACTGCAAGCAGCATACTGAAAACTCTCAACCTGCGAGCCAAGAAGTCTACTGATAATCATGGGATATGACATGTCATATCGGGCACAATACCAGTTTCCATGGCCGCTGAACTCAAGATTGGGGAGGGTGATGTTCATCGTCTTCACCTTGACATCGAGCTCTTCGCCGTCCAAGATGCTGCCCAAGGGACGTCCAGAGCCGATTCCAGCTGTGTAGCTATCGCCAATAGCTGCCCATCTCTTCACCCATGAGAAATCTGACGGGTCATCATCAGCTCTTTTGGTGAGTTTTGGAGGTGAAGCGGAGTGTAAACGAGAGTGTCTAAGATGGGGAATATGGCCCTGTACCGCTGAGGCGAACGTCAAAAGAAAGAGGAATATAGATAAATCCATGATGAATGCGCGAAACTAAAGACAAATCAATCATCAAGCCGGATGCTTGATGAGAAAATGACAGAGAGAGTGTGAGTGAGCTATGATTTGGTGGCTGCCACACAAAGAATGAACTTCAATGGGAATCTTATTTGCTCCTGAATTCAGCGTTGAAGATAAGCTTACTCCTTCGCTCGCACAAGCTATTTCCCGTTTCTCAAACACATGCACCGATAGGCTGTGAAGTGAACCTACACTGTAAGACTGTGCAATAACCGCCTCGGCCCTGGATGCAATCCTCTGTTGGTTGATAAATCACTCATTCTTCAAATAAATTATAACAGACCACTGATCGGCACATCACGAGGTAAGCGCCGAGACTGAAACGCGCACGAACCTGAGAACATGTTCAACCAACAGAGGATTTGTTTCCTGGCCATGACCGAGCTCGGCCCTGCAGAACTTTCTTCGACGATCCTGCTGTTGGTCCGGGGTAGCAGTCATGGTGCTCCGCCCAACTCCACAAGCCCCTGCATAGATGAGCCAAACTCATTTAGAGTGCCTGCCAAGAAGTTTTGAGTAACAACCAACAACCAACAATTACGGGCAAGGCAGAGCAAAGGAGGCAGAATGGAATATGGGGGTCTTGGAGATTCCCACGCAGGTCTGTTCAGATCTCAAGCGGCTTTTCACATTATCTAGGCAACATTTATACCGCTTAACTTGTCATTTTGAGAGGTTGCTCTCAGGTCATCTTACAAACTTAGCGACTTGATCTTTGACCTCGTTTGAAGTGTATGACTCTGATCGTACTCCAAGATGTGTTTGTACCGCCGGCTTGCCGCCCTCGGGCTTCTCTGTGCTTCAGTGGCCAAGGGCTTGGATCTCGACACTTTTACAGGTCAAGCTCAAGTTCTTGGCCGGCAACGAGAGATGATCCTGAACCAGAATCAAGGCGATGATACGGCCAAGCCCATGCGCATGATGGCTGAGCCAGAGGCAGATGATTCAGATGGGAAATGCACTAAGAAAAAAGGTTGCAAGCTCGGTTGCTGTGGTCCTCTGTAAGTGGCATCAACTTCTCAATATTGTCGAGACTACTGACAGCAACCCAGGGACAAGGAGGGCTTCGGCATCTGTGGCACTGGCCCCAAGTTCTGTGGTAAAGACTGCACCTCAGAGTGCGACTACAAGTCAGAATGCGACCCAGGCGGCTGGGGCCTCAAATACTCCAACTTCACTACTTGTCCACTTAACGTCTGCTGCAGCGACTACGGCTTCTGCGGTACCTTGTCCAGCTATTGCAAAGGCAAGACAGTTGCTTCACCCAAGTGCGACAAGGCCAAGCACTCATCTGACAAGAGGACTATTGGTTACTATGAGGGCTGGAACTACCAGAGACCTTGCGGTAACATGGAGCCTGAGGATATCCCCCTCGGTTATTATACTCACATCAACTTTGCATTCGCTCTAGTCAATCCCGAGACTTACCGCCTTGATCCGATGGACAAAGGAACAGCTTCTCGTTATGGCAGGGTTTCCGCACTGAAGCAGCAGCAGAGTAATCTCCAAGTTTGGATCGCTATTGGAGGATGGGCCATGAACGATCCGGGAAAATATCGAACTGTCTTCTCAGATCTGGCTAAATCTGAGAAGAAGCAAGATGCCTTCTTTGACTCACTCATTACGTTCCTGCAGCGGTATGACTTTGATGGCGTTGATCTCGACTGGGAATAGTAAACCACCCTCTCCCTCATTAACCTCATACTGACGTATTCCAAAGCCCGGTTGCAGAAGACAGAGGTGGCGTTGAAGAAGACTTTGAGAACTACGTTAATCTCTTGGCCCGCCTAAGGAAACGTCTCAATTCTTCCGGTCGCAAGTATGGCTTGACCTTGACACTGGTACGTCATATGCTTATAATTCCTCCGAAACCTCTCTAACCTGTCTCTGTAGCCAGCGTCATATTGGTATCTTAAGGGATTCGACATTGTCAACATGGAAAAGTACCTCGATTGGTTCAACATCATGACATATGATATCCGTAACTTTCTCCATTTCGATGCCTTGAAGTTCCAACTAACCAAGATGTAGATGGCGTCTGGGATGAGAATATCGAGTCTCTCGGTCCCTACGCACATGCGCATACCAACCTCACCGAGATCCAGCAGGGCCTCGAGCTTCTCTGGAGAAACAACATCAATCCCGAGCGGGTTGTCATGGGACTTGGCTTCTATGGTCGAAGTGAGTCGAACCGCCGAATTAACCTGAGCTTCACTAACACCGAGCAGGCTTCACCATGAAGAGCGCCAATTGTCTCGACGCTGGTTGCGAGTTCAGCGATGGGGCCAAAGGCGGAGAGTGCACTGGAACCAAGGGAGTTCTCTCAGCGAGTGAAATCAACAAGATCATCAAAAACGGAGGCAAGATGAAGCTCGATGAGGAAGCGGCCGTCCAGATCGTTACATGGGATTCGAACCAGTGGGTCTCTTGGGATGACGCTAAGACGCTTAAGATGAAGCTTGACTACGCCAACGAGAATTGTCTTGGAGGGTAAGTTCCTCACGTATTTCTTCGCTGAGGCATCTCTTACTAACTTTCAACCATAGTACCATGGTCTGGGCCATAGATTTAGATGACGGAACGTTGATTGAGGCTCTCGGAAAGGGGATCAAGCGCAAGAAGTCCCGTATCAGCCCCCCACAGAAGGTGGTGACCTGTTTTGGAACTGGAAATATTGATAAGGATGAGTTGTAAGAGAACTGGGAGGGCTGGAAGGTGCCATATTCCACGAGGCCCTTTACATGTTATCTTTTAATTTTAGTCTTGGAAGACACCATTGCCACTGATAAATGTTACACTCTACTGAATGTTCTTTACTGCCTCAAATAACCATGTTCTTTTATGAACTCCTATCCTTTCTGTTATTATTTCCTTCCTTTGCCTCAGGCTGGCCCGGAACTACTTGCTCTGCACTATGTCGCTTCATGTCGTTTGCTAGATTTCTAAGGTATCCTTATCTTTAATCCCCGCTATAACAGCCTCATTGTAGAGGACATGATGCTTGGAGAATGTCATATATAGAAAGCCCACTCTTCAATTACATAAATGTAGAAAATCCGAAAGACCAAAGGTTGGTAAATTAAATTGACTAGACATCCGTTCTATCTGTGGACCAACCCCAATAATGACATTCATTCTAGAGTCCGACTATACCAAATCAACACATACCCTGTTCCGTATCGCCAGCTCTCAGAGACATGCTGCTTCGCATCTTCTTCAGCAATCCCTTGAACTTGCTGCTCTTATCGTTATGCAATCTACTGACTCCCCTATAGTCTGTCCCATATATCATTACCAACCTATCAATATCCTGTCCCGAAGGGGCTTTCTTGATAGGCATAAGCTCTCCATCAGGGTAGGTTAGAATTGAAAGACGCTTATCTTCAAAGTCCTTAATATCAGCACCGAAAATGACTTCTCCCTTGCCACCAGCGCCGCTCGGGTAAAGCATCAGTGAATCTTTGTCGAACGTGGCGTCAGCCTGCATACCGGCGTCTTGCAATGGCATCCATTCCACTCCAGTGAAGCCGTAATTCTTCGCCGTATTTTGGTCTCTGACGAGCATATTGACTTGTTCTTGAGTAAGCTCCTCTTTTGACTTGAGGCCCTCAGCTTCAGCCATTTTCTCCAGTGCCACTTCGTAGTCTTTCAGGTTCTCAGGGTGATAATCAGCAGTCATAAACTTTTCACCGATAAGCGTTCCGCCCCAAAACTCGTCAATGTCGCTCTGCCCCCACCACTTTCTTGCTTGATGCTCATGCCAGAGACCCCAGGCATGCCCGAGTTCGTGTGCTGCATTGACAACTGGGTTTAGATTTCCCACATCTAGCCTATCAGATAGATGCATGTACGGGCCCTTAAAGGTATCATCCAGAGGCTGAAGACCAACGCTTGTGAGAAGTTTGCCCTCGTTGTTGTAGTATATGATCATGCACTCGCTCCTGCGGGCTTTGCATTTCTTCAACTCGAGCTTCTCATACTTGAAGCCTTTTACATTGAGTTGGTTCCAGAGCTTTTTAGCGCCTTCAAGTATTTTTTCAAGCTTTGTCTCCGCTTCCGTAGTGCTGAATGCATAGGTTACGGTCTTTTCAGGCCAGCGGCGTACCCCTGCATTGTCATGGGGATCATCGCTGGGCCAGATAGAAACCGCTCTCTTGGAAGCAGCTCCATGGCTAGCTTTTGAGGTTGCAGGAGATATCTCCCAGAGTTGACTGCCAGCTTGGACATAGCTGGCAAGCAGTGGGATGATAAGTGAGGGGAGAAGACGCATCTCGTCAATGCAAGTGTTGTAAAGCTGATAGGCAACAACAAGTATGGTGATTGTCAACAAAACGAAATGGTTCACAGAGAACGTAACGGTAGTGAGTGAGGTGTCGAGAGGTAAGATGTCTAAGAAGTGATAGACCAGTCAGTAGTAGCTGAACGGAAGCGGGAGCCTTGGAGTACCGGAATTCCAGTATACAAGATTCAAATGGTGCGATTTCTCATGGTAAAAATCAGGGACCGAATTGGCGCGCCACTTCATCGACGACTTCCATGTCAATGGCAAAGCCAGTTGCTGTTGGGTCTCTACACACTGTTACAGCAGTACATGGTTCACTGGAGCTAATGCCCCAACTACCAACACCTGTTTCATACAAAGCTACGCCCCGCGTTGCCAAGAAACACTGTTGCAAATCCCAAGAAACACAACCAACAGCAATACTGAATGTTAGCTTGTGATACGTCTAGTGATTTTTGCTATACCCGAGATTAGAAGCATGCGTTGTGGAGTCGTGCGCCCCATGATAAATACTGGGAACAGAAAAGTAGTAGATAAGCTTAATGGCTACGTTACGTTGCCAAAAGCTCACGGGCCATTATCAGATGATCAGCCCGAGTTTCCGCCTCTATCCGAAACCGCATTGAGTGATTTACCAATCTAGACCAATTCTTACTGTGCTTATGCTTATCCAGGAGTCAAACTAAGCAAGGGTGTAGGCGGCCCGTCTTTCGCTTCAATGTGATATCTTGACGATAAGGATGTAAACACTTGCAGCCAACAGATGCTACTGCACTGACCGACTCATGAACCTCTGTTGACAGATACCAGGATTGAATCCTTCTTTCTCGTTTCAGACCCAGTTTAAGTTTTTTCTTGGACTAAAAGATGGAGTGCTTAATTTCTGTTCCTTTTTGAACCTCAACCAACAAACAACTTGGCGGAGCACATGCAGGCGGCAAATTAGGATGAACATGCAATGCGTTATTTTACCAAACGCTTGTAATCTCGGGGCGCAGTCGCAAAGACATCTTTGTTTCATGAATGTGAGCAACCAACAACTCGTTGGCGATGACTCCGTTATTCAGGATACAGCCTCGGAATCACGGAGTTTGTGAGTCATTTGGTATTTCGGCAGACGCGACAATCGCGCTCGATGAATCTGAGCGAAGTCTCCGGACTCTGATACTCTGACATGCTCTCTTTCTTTGTTAACTTCGGTCACCTTACTCACAAATACATATCTGTTGTCTAATTGCGCACTATTGTTGCATCATGCACCTACACAATATGCGGTCTCTCGCTTTGTCATTGCTCTTTTGCTGGGCCTTAATTCCCGCTGTCCTCGCTCAGGACAACAAGCCAGGTGCCCCAGTTCATGCCGGCCAGCCTTCCAACTGTATCGCCTGGCATACCGTCGAGAATGGCGATGACTGCGAGTCTGTTCCTAAGAAGTACTACATCACCAAAGATGAGTTCCTAGCTTGGAACTCAGCAGTCTCAAAAGATTGTTTGACCAACTTCTGGCTGAAATACGCCTATTGTGTCAGAATTGATGGTACTTCAGCTATCTACACGTCTGCTAAATCGACAAAGACGAGCAAGACTACTGTCACAACGAAGTCGAACAATCCAATCTCCTCAACTTCAAAGATCGCATCGACGAGAGACATCTCATCAACCATAAGCACATCAGGCAAGCCAGCATTGGGAACTACTTCTGAGTCTGTCGTCACTACCTCAGCCAATACGACGTACTCTATTCGCAATCCCCTTTCAACGTGGAACATCACTACTCCTACCACCGATGTCAACTGGCCTCCCAAAGCCACTCAGTCTGGGCAGCCCAAGGACTGTAACAAGTGGCATCTTGTCCGAGGCCGCCAAAGCTGCCAAGATGTTCTCAATATCCACAGTTCCTTCATGAAAAAGGAAGACTTGTGAGTTAATATCTCATTCTCTGGAGATATTCACTAACATTATGTTTACAGCTTCAAATGGAACCCTGAAGTCCATGAGGACTGCTCGGGCCTCTTTGTTGGCTACTGGTATTGCGTCGGAGTCAAGTCCAACGCTACAGACAATCTCGAATGGGAAACATCTACGCCACCCTTTACTCCTCCTTCTGAACCAACCGCTTATACGCCCACGAAACTCACGCCCGCAAACTCTGACTTTACACCAACTCCATCTCATGGTCCTGTGCCAACAGACTGCATCCACTATCATCAGGCGGAGGCAAACGAGAGCTGTCGCGATATTCTCAAGACGTACAGCTACCTATCAAAAGACCAATTCTTTAAGTACAATCCAGTGTTGAAGAACAACTGTGACGGTCTTTGGAAAGATAATTGGTACTGTGTTGGCGTCAAGAGTGAGCTCCTCATGCCCCCAACTGTTACTACAACCCCCAGTGATGTTCCCAGTGGCAGTCCCAAGGACTGTAAAGCATGGTACTACACTACCGGTGGAGAAACATGTGATCAGTTGGCCAACATGTTTGGGACATTTAGTGCCAGTGAGTTTATCTCGATGAACCCAGCGGTCTTTGACGACTGTAGCGATATTGAAGATAATACCTGGTACTGTGTCGCTGGCCCCGATACTCCGACGACCAGAACCGCAGACTTGACAGCGCCTACTCGGCCGGCAACAGCTATGCCAACTCAGTCAGGCGTAGCATCTGACTGCAAGGAATACTGGCTGGTTTCTAAGAAAGATACTTGCAAGTCCATTCGACGAGCTAACAGTATCTCACTCGAGAAGCTCTTTGCTTGGAACCCAGCTTTGGGCAGTAAATGTAGTGGGTTGAAGCCTGATTCTTATGTTTGTGTAAACGCGGGTAAATAGCGGCGTCCAAATTCAGCTTTCTCATAGTTTTTGGGACGGTCTGCTGGTGTAAAGAGGACTGGTTGATGGAGATCTTGTCAGCCCTGGTCAATTCGTATTATATCTGAGAATATTTGCACTTGTGATTGTTGGGTTCAGGAAGAGTGTTCATACCATCGCGTCAGATAGACACATAGTGTATCCACCAACTACTTGTAGGTCAATAGTTCTGGAGCTTGGTATAGTGAGGTGGAATTGTCATTGATGATAATATTTCCGACCCTTTTCTATATATACTTTAATTACGAATACATATAACCTATTTGTGCCGATCATGCTCTGCGGACAGTAACCCTGCTGCTTCTTGGCCAAGTCAAGTGACGCACAATGCTAGCATCCAGTAATACAGTACAACATCACCAACCGCATATAAAAAGCGCAGTCCCCTCCACTGTCTTTCCTCTGCATCTCACGCCCAACAACGTACCGACCGCCTTTTTCTCTCCCCGACCGCCTTTCTCTCTCATCATGCATCGACGTTTCAAAGCATGGATGGACGCCAAACGACACAGTCGCCAACGCGCCCCCCAAGACCCTGAAATGCCACGGCTGCCCAATCCGCGACCGTACGCTTTGACACCATCACAAGAACAAGAACAAATCACAACATTAGCAGAAACGGTTCCCTTCTTCAGATTACCCCTCGAACTTAGACGAAAGATTCTCATCCATGCATTCGGCAACCGCACAGTTCACATGGATCTCGTTTTGACTCATCCATTGCGCGAACCGCTAAACGAAGAAAGATCTTGTTACAGATCCACAAACCCTGCTCACAGGTTTGCTACCGCGTCTATGCACCTTTGGCCATATACAAAAGAGAATTTAGGTCTAGACAGAAGTCAGCCCAAGTACTGGCAGTGGAGAGGGTGTGTATGTCATCGCCTCCCACCACCTCGGTTCAAGATTACTGTGAATTTCCACAGTTACATCAAGCCTGGCGATGATAGATGTTGCGAGGGCTGGGCGGCCTATTGCGCCCTATGGACTAAAAGGACTGACAAACCTGATTCTTGCTGGATTGGGGTCATGGGATGGCTCTTGACTTGTCGCCAAGCGTAAGCGTTCTGGTATCTTCATGTTAGCTTAATACTGACTGCCCTGTGTTCCAGATACATCGAAGGAACTGAGGTCCTTTACAGCACAAACATTATTCACATATCGAGCAAGCCTCTTCTTACCAACTTAAGCACATTGATTCCTTCGCGAAGCCTATCGATGATAACCTCACTTGAGATTGTGCTATGGCTTGACACTCGTGAGCATCAAGGAAAAGCATTTCCGAACCAACAACAATTGGAAAAAGATCTACTCATCCTAGATACACACTTTCCTCATCTCCTGAGCCTTCATCTTGGGTTACGACTTGACCTCCCTATCATAGAAGATACTGGGGCGAAGATCAAGAGAAGACCTGCAAATCTCTCAAATATGCTCCGATCAATAGACACGTTTGTCAAACGACGAAGTGACCTGCCTGAGTTTGCTCAATTTCGAGACCCATTCTTATTATCCATCTCGCAGTCTGCCTACAAAGATTTCGAGAATGAGGTTCGAGACAACGATCGATATTATGTTAGGAAGAGTGGTGTCCAAGTTTGGCGCCCCTTGTCGCCTAAGCCATTTGTGTTGGACGACGAAGGCGAGTTAAGCAATGCAACAGCAGAGAATGGCTACTGGATTTGGGGGGATTATGAAGATAGGTATGAGCTGGACAATAGACCACTGACTATGGTCAGCTGTTTTGGTTCGGCCTCAGGAGTTTCTGTACCTTGAGCGGCTTAAAGAAAGTTGTTGATTAGGTTGTCATAAACGCTTATTATATTTTTAACAATAAACATAACCCCGATACAACGGGCTGATGACTAGAGCCACTTGCCAAGCGACCTGCGTACTACTTGGAGAAGCTATTATTCTTATCCATCCCGACCTGTGTATAAAACAATATGGGGCAAAACAATCACATAGAAGATTGGGTATCTCTGGAAGTACTTTGTGCTTGGTATAAGTGTCACAACTTATATTGACAACATTGAGGATGTGACTGCAGACATTGAATACCGGATTCCAATAAGTCTGGAGGCTCCCCGGGCAGCAATAAACACAGTATGACATGAGAGCTTGCTTCCATTATACACTCTGATCGTTTTCCAGCTTTCACAGTGCTTAGCCAGGATATAGATGCCTATAGTGGCTTATACTGAGTTGACCGTGTATGAGTCTTTGAAGTTTCGAAGCAGTTGCTGGCTGTAGTAAAGCCGTAAAGTTGATACATAGGGCCTATAACGAGCTGTAACTCTTTTGTTCTAGTTATGTGCACAGTGCATGGCCATCTTGACACTATCCTGCCCCGCCAACTCCTCGTAATAAAGCTTGGCCTCGGTGCGCTCTCTGCCTATTTCTTATCTGCACTCAACATAAGCACAAATAGCATTCTGTGCTCGCCTTAAAACCATGAGACGGCGCTTGATGATGTGGTACGTCGCGAAACGGGAGAAACACAACGGCATTCCCGAGCCTCCAACCCTTCCAAATCCGCGACCGCATATTTTAACGCCATCACCTTCAGTGGAAGCCTTGTCCCAATCACGACAGGCCGCAACTTTCTTCCAGACGCTGCCATATGAGATCAGAAGACAAATTCTGATTGAGGCCTTTGGTGATCGAACAATCCACATGGACCTTACCTATGGCCACCCACCGATGCCGGGCAAGAAGGATGCACACGCCATGATTCAAGAATGGAGGTTAGGCCTGGATAAGAGCCGACCAAAGTCTTGGTACTGGAGAGGCTGCACTTGTCATCGCAAGCCTCCACCCTGGCACCCCTCTTTCTCGACAGAGTCTTATAGTGCGAGAGCAGTTGCTAATGACGGATGTTGCGTGGGTCTCGCACACTGCTGTAGCATGTGGACTAAGAACGGCAAAGAGCTCTATGGGTGTTGGATTGGTGCTATGGGATGGCTTCAAACATGCCGACAGGCGTGAGTCTCCACTGTAAAGCTTGATCAGTTCATGCTTACGATTTACCCGTCAGTTATAATGAAGGCGTCGATGTCCTGTACAGTACAAACACCATACACATCTCAAGCGCAACCCTGCTTGTCGACCTTCCATCATATATCGTCCCGCAAAGGTTATCAGCCATAACATCCCTGGAAATCATCTGGTTTGTTGAAACAGACGTCTGTATAGGCAAGAATCTCCCACGCGAAAAGGACCTAAACGCAATCCTCCTGATTCTCGACAATCACTTCCCTAGTCTCAAGAGACTCAACCTGGCGTTGAAGCTCGGCTTGTCTAAAGATGTAGAAACGCAGCTCAAATATCTCTTTGTTATTCTTGACGAATTCTTCATCCGTCACGTCTCTGATCGCATGCGGGAACCTTTCGCCGTTTCTATCTCGTACGTTGCGTACGTTGAATTGCGACGCGAGATAGTTCGCAATCAAGGTCATAAAGAACAGGTGTTTCACTGGCAGATATGGCGCTTCTTCAGCGGTGAATATGTTCTGCCGCAGAAGCCATGGACCGGGAACTATTTTAATATGACTCCTGGGGCGAGATGCAATAATGGCTATTGGATTTACCCTGGTGAAGTGAATACCTGCACTGGAGGGGCCGGGAGCTAAACACTTAGTGGAGATAACACGCGACATTTCGGTTTCAATTGGATACAAAGTATGACGACCTTCTTAGTACTCTATTACCCTGTTCAAAGTATGTAATGAAGCTTTGTGTTTAGGTATTCTTCCCTCATTCAAAGCTGTTGTACTCAATATAACATATCGGCCATCTTCTCGCCTTAGCTCGTTCGTCTGAGTAATTGCTCAAGTTCTCTGTCTCTCTGGCTTGTCCTTCCTGGTTGCCCTTCATACTGGGCCTGACGCAGCTCTTCATAGGTCAATGTCTCATACACTTCGCTCCTGTTACCCGGATGAGGCCTATTACCCCCAAGAGGAGCCCTAGGGATGTGTCGACTCTCAAACTCATCGATTTCCTGGGACCAGTGTTCTGCGGCGAGTGGACCAGGCGGTATATCCGGTGTATTCCTTCTTGGTGGTATGCGAGGCTCCTCAGAATCTTGCGGCCATGAAATGTCCCTATCTACCATTGTTGCTTTGTCATTGTCGCTGGGGTATCTCGTATCCCATTCGTTATCCTCGGGTCTGGGTGAGTTTCGATAAGGGGAGAAACCCGCATGAGAGGCTGGGGAAGAGTAATCAGGTCCATTTCTTCCTCGTTGTAAACGAGAAGGGGCTGTTGGAGCGCTAGGCGGAGCTGGGGCAGGCGGATACTGATCATTTCTCTTCTTCATAGTCACCTCCACTCCGCGAATAGCCTCTTGAGCTATGGAGACTGCATCTCGGGAACTGAGCTGCTTTCCTGCCAGCTGGTCTTTCACAAATTCCAGGGAGTTGTCAGCCATAAGACACCATAGTGACCGACAAGAGTCAAAATGCTTTCTCAGAAGCGCAATTATGAGCACGGCCAGTGCCAGGTCGAAATATTTACCGTTTGCTGCACCTCGATTTCGTTTGTGGTTAAGGCGACGTGACATAACCTTGAGGACATTCCCCAGAGCTGGGCGGATTTCATTGCCAAACATGGCAACGAGGTATATCTCCGCCTGTGGCATATCAGCGAATGAGCCATCGAAAGATTGGAATCCGACCAAGTCTTTTATGAGGGCTCTCTTGTTTAGAATCTCCTCTTCGTCTTCGTCTCCGTCATCAATGGGGCGATTCAGAGCAGTAGTCGGAACTAGTGGGAGGCTCGTCTCGTTCGCAACGGCTAAGGGTTGTATCGAACAAGGCTTCTCAACTGTACCGTTTTGATTAAGTGAGTGGTTATCAACTGGGAGTGTAGCTGGCCAACCCAGAGACTCGAATACTTTTTGTAGATATCCGCGCGTTATTTTCAAGGGCGACTTGTTTCCTTTTACAGACTGACTCGTGGCGGAGTTCTTTGCCTGATGTGCTGTATGTGATCTTGTATTGCCACCCGCGCTGTATTCTTGCGATTTGCTTTCTGACCCTCCCGCTTTCTTTGAATCGGGCGTGTATGAAGTCTCTCCCGAGTCTCCTGAGCCGTCTGGTCCGGCGCTTGAACCTCCGCCGGAGTCCTTGTCAGGACCATTTCCTCCCTGATCCGGGCTGATGTCATCCGTATCGTCTCCAGACTCGCTCTCGGTTTCGCTTTCACTACTGCTCTCACTGTCGCTTTCTATGCCGATGGCAATGTCCTTTTGGAAGTCAGGCGTTGTCTTCGGACCACGGATAGGTCTCAACAAATCCGGAACCCATTCTTCCGGCTTGATCTGAATTAGAGAATTGATGCTGTCCAAGATTGCGTCCGGGAGAGTATCATGCTTAGCCTTGGGTCGACACTCCTCGACAGCAATTAAGCAAGTCCACTTTGAGACGAGTGACCACTTGCAAGCGATGCGCTCTCCTTCGAGGCGTAATGAGTCCTCGCTCGGATGAACGAGCCAATGCCGACCATGCTCCAGGTCTCTGAGAAGCTCTCGGGCCACGAGTTGGTGAATTACAGGCTGCTCTGAGTGGAAAGGGGTTGGCTTGATCTTGCGGACTTGTTCCCGCCCTGACGAATCCGTCGTCGTGAGACGAATAACAGCTCGGTTGATAGGAAGACGCATTGTTTCAAAGAGCATCAAGACCTTGTTCGTGACAAATGGACTGAGCATTGATATATCCGTTGGCGACTTAAGGAAAGATTCGTCTGCCCATGGCCTGGATTATATGAAGGTCAGCGATGTAAGAAATTGTGTTACTCAATAACCTACCGAAATCCACTTTTTGTCTCCTCACCAATATCCATCTTGACGGGCCCGATGTGCGTGTGTAAAGCAGCCTTCAACATGAGCACCACTCTATCTTCCCAGCCTGTCTGAGACTTGGCTGGCACCACCTCAGAATATCCGCCACCTGCTTTCGCCACGCCCTCGACAAGGCTATGTGAAACGGCATCACCAATTCCAAGGCAAAAAAAACGAACACAATACCCAGAATGCTTCCGGGCCGAGTTCACAAACTCGATTGTCTCCGCTTCGCGCCATACCTCACCATCCGTGAGGAGGAGGATATCGCTTGTCATCGAGGACTTCTCCGATGACCGACCGTTAAATATTGCCTTCAAGGCTGGTAACAGTTCCGTTCCTCCCAGGTCTTTCTTGACTTCAGACTCAACGTGTTCTAAAGCTTCGCTTAAAGTGTCCTTCGACTTGGATTTGGATTTCGGCCACAGGCTAGAGTACGTACTGCCAAATGACCAAATATTGAAACGGCGGTTCACTGGGATGCCATTGAGGAAGAACTTAATCGCCGATTTCAAGGACGAACGCTTATTAGACATTGACCCAGATAGATCCATAAGGAAGAGTACCTCAGAGTCGTCGATCTTAGAATGAGTATCGACAAGGATATTTGAAGGAATGGTGACCATGACGGCGTGATGATCATGCAGAGTTGGGTGGCGCTCTAGGTAGGCATGAGGTGCTGAGGTACTTGCAGAAGGCTTCGTGACGAAATCAAGGACAAAATCACCATCTAAAGCTGACAAAGGTTTCTTGAGCTTCACTGTAACAATGTTTGATGGTTCTTGAGACAATGAGTCTCCATGGACAAAGGCGCCCCAGCTGTCGGTAGGACGAGGTCCACTACGATGCTCGTACGAGATTTCGTGGGTCCTGCTGATCACATCTATAACCTCGCCGGCGAATATGGCTTCGACGGTAATGGACAGGTCATGCTGGACTTCTGGGTTTGAGATCGTGTCTTTTAGGTACGACGTGGGCAATTCGCCATAGCGAGGGGCGACGTGGGTTGGGATGCTCAAGGTACTGATGCGGGTCGGCAATCTATCAGGTATCTTCTCCTTGAGCATCATGACCATCGAGACTTCAGCTTTGAGCTTTCCCTGCGGCGGCAGATTACCCAAAGCAGCCGTGAAGATCTCCGATGTTTCCTGCTTGATACGAGCGGCGGTCTTGCGATTATGTATGGCGCCGCTAAAGTCGGCAACGGCTTTGAGTGTAGGCTTCGCTTTCCCGGTGATGACTCTGTCGTCTCCTATGAAGAAGCGAAACTTGGTCAGGGAGCATGTCGAAGGTAGAGGAAATGAGAAGTATCCCTCTCGGATGAACCCGTCCGTGGTATTCGAAAACAGCATAGTAACAGTCATTGTCGTGGCGAGGTCTAATATCCGGACTGAAGCCGACGTCTCGTAGGGTGACAGAATATTGAGAATAGAATCTTCGATTACAGAGTCGACTTCAGCGTGTCGTAGTACATCTTCAGTCCCAGGGGTTACCTCCTGGTAGTGGGCACCACGGAGCTCTTTTGGGTCCCAATAGATGCTGGGGAGCGGCACATCCATGAATGAAGGTTCGGAACTTGCAAGTAGAGGAAATAGGATGGAGGTCAACGGGGAGACAGAAATCCAGTAACAGACTTGGGCAACAAAGTAGAAGAGTTGTGATTGAAGTGCGAATTGTGAGGCTCTGGAGGCAGTTGAGAAAGGTCAATGCGACATGGAGCATGCCCATGGGCTGATTGAGGCTGAGGTCAGGTACTCAGTAATCAAGAGCAGGTTGAAGCCTGATTCCGACGTATAACAGCAAAGTAACATGACTATGACGCGGAATCTGCAGGGGAGCAATAGTGGCAAGCCACAGCGCTTCTCACTCTTGGGCAGTAGCGAATGAAACTCACAGCTCAGCCTTAGCAGCGTAAGAATAAGAAACGTGCATACAGCCCGACGCCCGGCTGCGCAGGCGGTGTGCTTGGCAATGAAGCCCAACAACCAATCCCACGCTTTTGGAGCCTGCACATCCGCTTTGCTGCCTGTTTTACTGTTACACAGTGTAGTTTTTTACGAGACACATGAAACATACGGCGGTGGCGATGATACTGGATGATGATCTAGCCATCGTTGTATAGGCAGCCTACATCTGCGGCCTAAACTGTAAAGATTCATGAAAGTTCGTGGAATTTCGTGGATCTTTGACAATTCACGTATCTGGCAATGTACTTGTGACCTTCAGGGAAACATGGCTTCCCCCATATCTTTCGGAGACGCATATACGATGGCCAAGATTGCCTACCGCTTGGGGAGAGCATTTACCAAGGGCCGCAAGTCTGCCCCAGCCGAGTTCCAGGAGGTCGAAAATCAACTATACGCGCTCAGCGCGGCCCTAGAGTCTCTCAAGAAAGCGACAGATAAGGGAGAAATCCGAGGCGAGTCAGGCCTTGACCCCGATAATGACCCGATAACCATTATGCTGGCAAACTGTAACGAGACACTATCCCACTTGGACAATCTTGTCAAGGAATACGGTAGACTTTCTAGCACCGGAGTTGAAAGCACTGGCAACGAGCCCGCATTCACTCGGATTGGCAAGAAGATCAAGCGGAACTGGCAGACGATTCAGTGGACCACCGAGGGGGGAGATCTTGCGACTCTTAGAAGCCAGTTAATTCTTCACACCAACTGTCTGGGCTTAGTCCTCGGTGCTGTCAACAAGTGGGTGAATGATTCATTTGTTGCAATTGAGCTACATTAACTGAGTCTCTGTAGCACGAGAACTGCCAAGATGAGCACTCAAGTCTCCGAGTCCGCAGAGATCCTACAAAAGCTATACCAGTTGTTTCTCGCCAACACGGAAAACTCCGAAGTTCAAAATACAGTTGTACAGCCAGGCGTCGAGGCCCAAGATGGCCCTGCCATTATTTACTTCAGGCTACAGGCTGATAACTTTGTCTGTAATCGAGCTGCACTTCGGCTGTTAGATCGTTCTATGGATCAGCCGAGAGACAAGCAAAGCAATGTATTCCAGTGCCATTGCTCACATCACGGAACCGCAAGCACCGAACTTCATACGGATCAAGTATCTGCATTGACATGTAACTTCGCCGCATTCCATTACTTGCAGAGAAATACAACCCTCTAACATAGTTGCAGTCTCTCCGTCAAGCTTCCCAGTCAGACTATCCGGTAACCCGAGGTCCTGGATTGTCTACAAGATGAAGAACAGAGATACGCACCAGCTACAAAACCTCACAATTCGGTCATCGAATTTGAAATGTGAGGGTCTAATGCCCCATCATAATATAATGAAGCTGGGCGATCGCAGTCGCTAACAGGTGTGAGCAGATATGTCTAGATTTGAAGAAGACTTCGTCGATCAACTTGCGATTCGCAAAGCACAAGAACTTCTACAGCAAGGCATAAATACAACAGTGGCTCATCTATCTCCGGCAGCGGACAGTGTCAGAGTACTCAGCTTGCTCGGGTAAATATCAACCATCCTGACATTCATATGCAATAGGCCATTAATCGATATGTGTCTCTTAGGAATACCTCCTCGACGCAGTTCATCGATTCAATTACCTTTTCATCCGACACAAGGTCGTTCACTCGGGATGCCATTGCATCAGTTAACCTATTTCACTATAAGTCGTTGCCTACGAGACATGTAGCTGATGATGCTGTTCAGTCGTCCCAAATCTCATACGATAATTGCGCTGAGCTCGTCTTTCACTATAAAACAAAAGAGGGCATTTCTAAGGACATTTCGAAATCTATTGTGTACTGTGAGAAATCAACAAAGCCCGATGATGAAGCCCACCTGCTAACAGCTATACACACAGTGGAGTATAATACAAAACTTAAGAGGCTATCTACCGAGGGAAGAGGATCATCGCTTGAGATAGGCCCTGTGAAATGCGCAAGCTTCTCCTCTGATGAAGATGAGGAGAGTCGATTTGACGGGCTTCATGTTGTCCTCTCTTTCAGCAATGCAGAAGGAAAGCTCCCCAGGGCTTGTTCAAATCCCTAACACTAACTGACCTGCGCACCAGCGACCGATGCGTTTCAACTCAAATTGCGCGAGATGCAAGTAGACTTATTCGCCATCAGCCATCTATATCCTCGTTCAGATGAGTCTCTACTTCTCCACTTGTACGTGTTTACTGAAATATTACTCCGAACCCTATTAAATACTATAAAATTTCTAATAACCTGTAGGCAAGCGGACGAGATCTTATTCGAGGACCTGCATATCGAAAATGGCATCATTGACATTGTTGTATCTCGGACAAACAACCAGCATCGCCTAATCATACGAAGCGAAAATGGATATGCAGCACTGAGTCAAGAGTGTATGTGAATCGGATGCAGATCTGGTTCAAGCACGTCAGATACTGACATGATACGTAGTGCCCGAGGATTTCATATCATCTTTGGAACAAGGGGCGCCGCCTGATATGAGTGCTCCCACCTGCGAAATACGGATGCAGGAGAGAGACGGGGCAGTCTATCGCCAAGTACGGAAAAGGGATGGGCTTGGGCGGTTTCATATAAGCGTTGCCGCCACTTACAGTCAGTTCTAATACCTCCAAGTGATTATACCCTGCAGAACTCTTACTAATACATATACGATAGATAATCCGCTGCTGGAGCTAGGCCTTTTAACGCTTACAAGTTGATTTCAAGACAGCTCTACTAGGGGTTTGGGACGCTTTCTTCCTCCACCATATTTCTGGTTATATGCATGGCCTTTCTGCAGTTTCTATTTTATACATCACTTTTGTCAAACTTCAGCTTGAGGTACGTCATACCAAAGGACAAATAAACATGTCGTCGTCGCAGTTGTGGATTGGGCTGGTGAAGGTGAAGAGAGACTTTCGGATTATAAGGCACGGAGGAAACAATTTGAATGTTCAAAGTAGGAAATATGCCTAATGAATACTCTCAGTGAGAGTTCTTCTCTGTGTATATAGGTAAGTATAGCCTGGTTTACTATAGGTATGAAACTGTCGCGCAGTGAGCTGTCGTATAATACTCGATTGATCGGTACTACCAAGTTCAATAATTGAAGCTTGTAAGATTGGCTGCAATATATAATCTGAATTGCAAATTTTATATGTTATTTCTTTAATGTCTGGCTGCTTTGTTGGATGCCTGACTGCCTAGGTAGTCTGCGACGAAACCCAGGAGACTCGCGCTTTGGGCACTCATACCCGCACAACCGGCTGTGCGTTTAGTATTACGTGTTTTTCGCATAACCGGTTGTGCGGATAAGGCCACGTAAGCTTCGATAGTCAAATCCGCATAACTAGGAGACTATTAGTTAATTTATCTTCCTATTATATTTATATTACTAATAAAGTAATTACTAACTTTCTGCTTTATAATTTAACTTTATCTATATAATTAGTATTTAAATAAGTAATATTAAGCTTTTAGTCCCTTCTATTACTAATAAATTAGCAAGATAATAGCCTAATAATATTCTTCCCTTAAAGGCATTATATCTATTATAAGAAGCCCTTCTTATAGATATTAATAAGTAGGCAAAGGCTTAAGGATATGCCTTTATAATAAGGCATATAATATATATAGCAAATAGAAGACTATATATATACTTTAGCTATAATTATAATAGAGGTAAATATATACTAATTCCTAATTCTAAGAGGAAGAGGAAGTATACTACTTAATATATAGGGTGTAAGTTCTTTATAATAGGAAAAGAGAGCCTTTATAAGAGTAAATAGAGTCTTTAATATTATCTTAATCTTTCCTACTCTTATTATAATTATAAGCCTACTATTAAAAGTAGTATTATATATATAACTTACTAAAAGCTCTTTAATAAAGATATCCTTATAGTTAAAAAGCTTACTTTTATTAATATTAAATAATACTAAATTAAGACCTACTTACTGCAGAATATAGAGGTATTATTTATTAATTTAGATCTTATAAACTATATTTCTTAAGTAAAGTAAGACCTTACTAATAGATAGAGCTATATAGTTACTTTACTTTAATATCTCGATTTATAAGGCTTTTAGAGTTATTACCTTATTAGAAAGGACTCTTAACTGCAGTTAGTTATATTTACTTATTTAGAATTACTTTAATTTGCTAGGTTATACCTTAAGGTACTTATAGTTAACTATACCTATAAGATTAATAAGTATAAAATACCTCTCTTTAATATAATTAGTATTAATATTATAAAGAGTACCTTTTATATTATATTTATATATCTTAATAGTAAGGAAGAGGAGAACTTTACCTAGGCTCTTAAGGTATTATAAGATTTATATAATATTAATAATATTCCTTATCCTTTAGTTATACTAACTAATTAATGCCTTACTTATATAAATGCTATTATATCCCTTCTTTGCTTTTTAGTATTAAAGGTTATACTCTGCCTTTAGTATATTAATAGAGCAGTCTTAACCTTTTATATAAGTAGCTTTATAAAGGGTAAGGATAATAAAGAGGGATAAGAGGTATAAAAGGAATTCTATAATAGTTAGTATATACTTATAGCCTTAAAGTTATAGGCTATATATAATAAGAGACTAAAGGCCTTTCTGCTTTAATATACTTATTTATATTTAAAGGAGGTAGATTACCTTCTCTTAACCTGGCTAAACCCCTATAAAGGTAAGTTTATTAAGGCGTTTATAAATAAGTATTTATATCTAAACTAATTTATTATATCTTAAGTAAAAGGTATTTATTCCCTACTTAAATCTTATTTAAAAAGCTTTAAGGCTAACCTCTTTAAGGCTTTTTAAATTATTAAGCTAGTAATTATAAACTAGCTAATTATATTAAAATCTATATAGGCTCTTAAATAAGTAATAAAACCTACTTAATATACTTAGATATTATTAAGAGCTTTATATAGTTAAGTTTATAGTTAGATATCTTATAAGGCATTAATTATAGTTAATTTACAGTAAAAATAAATAAGAGAGAGTCTCTTTTAATATATTAAGAGTTTTTTAAAGACTATAAGTATACTTTATATTTATGCCTTTATATTATTAATCTAGGGAAATAAGCCTTTATTAATAAGCTATTTCTATTTATATTAGTATTTTTAGCAATTTAGGATACTGCTGCTAATATTTAAGCCTTATAAGGTTAATAATTACTATATAGCCTTAAAGTTATAGCCGGTATTAAGTATATAGCGAGATTTATATATATTTAAAGGAGTTAAAAAGGCACTACTTCCCTTAATACCTAAAAAGCTATAGACCTGCTCTTAATATTATAAGTAAGGTTATAATAAAAACTTAAGGCTATGCCTTAAGAAGTATATTAAAATGGCAGTAAAGCTTAATAATATAAAGAGAGAACGAGATCTTATTATAAAAGAGGTTATAATTATAAATATATAAAGCAGGTCTATATCTCTTACTGCTGCTATAGCCTTAATACTATAAATAACCCTAACCCCGACCTACTACTACCTTTAAGAGCCTATACATTAAGTATATATAAAGTATAAGGAATCTTATAAGGTATAGTTTAACTAGCAGCCCCCTAATACCTCTCTTACTAACTATACCTTTAGAGAAGCTATTAGACTGCCTTTAGAGTATAATATAATTAGGTATTAATAGTGCTAGAGGTCAGAGCAGATAGGGCCCTTTATTAAGCTTTATAATAGCTTTAAACTAAGAGATTAGATATTAGAGGAGATATGCAGCTAGCTTAATAATAATAATAGATCTAATAATAATATTAATTAACTAGAAATACAGCTTTTAAGAGCAGAAGGCCCTAGCTATATATCCCGGTAAGGACCTGCAAGTTATATATTATTACGGCTATAATAAGGAGGCAATTTGATTCTCCTGGCAAGATAACTAAGCAGTTAGGCAGCCTGATGCTAAATGAGATATAGAGGGATAATAGTTAATTAGGAGATATATATAGATAAAGCGAATTTTAATAAATTTAATAATATAATTATTATTACTTAATAATAGCTCTTTATAATTAAAGTGCTTCTTTTTATTTTATAGTATTTATAATAATTAAAAGTTAATAAAGTCAGAGCATATAAAATTATTAATCCTTATAAATTAATTATCTTAGTTAAAATACCTATACTTATAACTAGCTACTTGTGCCTAAGTAAGATAATATATATATTATTAAATTAAGAAAAAAAAGCTAAATTAATTAATATATATCTTAATACCTTAATCTGCTAGATTTTAATATTATTAATAAGTAAGAAGATAGTATAAGGTTAAATATAGAGAATTAAATTATATATATATAAGTAAATAGATTAAGTAAAGGAATTATATATTTCTCTTTAAGTAGATTATAACCTTAATAAAGTAAATAATATTAATATAGTAAGAGATTTAAACTAGTATATATACTACTAAATATATATAAGAAAGTAACCCTAAATATCCTTAATTCCCCTTACTATCTGCCTATCTAAGTCTATATAATATACCCCTATAAATTAACTAAATTAATATATATGCTATTCTGCTAGGCTACTTATAAAGTTAGTATATATATAGTTATTCTAACTGCAGGTATAGGCTATATTATAATAAGGATTAGAGGCCTTACTTAATATACTATATCTTATTATTATAGTATTTAAGCTATTTAGAAAGGCATAACATTAAGGACTAGTTAAGCTAACTATTAGTTAATTATATTATAAAGCTAGCTAGTATGCTAGTTTCCCTTAATATTATATCCCTAGTTCTATATTGCTATAATTACTAGAGCCCTAGTAGGAATAAAGCTAGTATTATATACTATATATAGCTATACTGGCGTTAAGAGACTTATATTTATATTAGCTCCTAGGGGAGCATTCTAGGCTATTTAACTATTAGTATTAAATATATTATATACTAGCTATTATACTTTTAGATTCTCTTAGCTATAAAGAATAAGACTAGGAATAAGGGGGAAGAAGCTAGCTGCCTTATATACCCTTTAGCTAGTCTTTAAGTTATTTATAATAAAGGCAGGCTATAGGATGAATTAGTTATTTTAATTTAAAGGAATAATATAAGGAATAGGTTAAGTATTATCCTTAAAGATCTTAAAGTTATTATTATTATTATTATTAAGAGCTATTATTAAAGAGATAGAAACTATATAAGCTTAAAGACTTATAAGTTATTAGATTATTTAATATCTTAAAGGAAGATAAAGTATTAAGGAGGGAAGATAAAGAATTTAGCTCTTAATTTATATATTTATTTACTAATTAAATTACTGCTATATTAAATGCTTCTTATATAGATTAAGAGTAATAGAAGAATTATCTATATAATATAACTAAAGGTATAATAATAAATATCTTATATATAATATCTCCCTTTATTAATTTAAGTTAAGAAAAAGAGGTTATATATTATTAAGTTAATTATATTACTATTATAATAGAGAGGCCTTTTATATATTAGTATTAATAATCCCTTTAATATAAGGAGACTTTCTTCTTATCTATAATATTATAAATAGCTAACTGTTCTTAAGCTAATTATTCTTATATAATATTATAAGATAGAAGGTTATATTACCTCTAGGTTATTTATAGCAGATTAAGGCCAAATAGCATATTAATAGCAGAAGATATAAAGTAATAAGCAGTTATAAAGATAAAAAATACCTCTAATAGGCTATTTTAATTAAAAATAGTATTATTATTAAATAATAATTATGCATTTAATCTAAAGTCAGCTATTCAGCCTTATCTGCATAACCGGTTATGCGAAAAACACGTGATACTAAACGCACAGCCGGTTATGCGGGTATGAGTGCCCTCGCGCTTTGGCTTGGTTAGTCAGCAACGCCGCTCTTGCTCAGGTTTTGATCACCCTTGCTCAGTGAGCATCACCTTTGATCACCTTTGACTACCTCAACCTCACCATCCATCCGATGGGCCGTAAATGAGCCTATCACATTTTGCTGGTTCAACTTTGACTTTGCACTGTACCTTCTCAACTTCATGCGACCTCCGCCATGGATCAGGATCTAGTTGGACGCTACCAGGGGTGAGGGGCAGGCAGATTGGTTGGTGAGCCCGGTTTCTGGCGACTCGTCATCCTCTCGGCTCTCGAATACCTGCCAGATGCTCGGCCACTAAAGTCAGAGGTCGCGCAGGTCTCAAACTGTGCATGTTACGTCCGCAATGGAGCTGGGCGCTCTAACATTGCGTATATAAGACTGACTTTGACACGAGCACGATGGTTGCACCGGAGTGGGTCACCAAGGCTTTTCATCCCAAGACCGCGGGCCTCACCGAGGTGCGAAACCAGATCCTCGAGGCGTGGGGCCGCGATCCCCCCGAGAATCCCAACGGTGGCGGAGGCGACGGAGGCGGCCAAGATGGCGTCAATGGCACCCAAATTACCATTGCTTCCTACATCAACCCCATCGCAGACCCTGGTGCGTGGGACAGGTTGATCGGCTACCTTTCGTCCAAGCTCAGCGTCCTTGTCGCCAGCGTGGTCAACGGCCCGGACTCTAAGGTCGACTCGGACTGGAAAAAGGTCATTGAACGGGCTGCCGCTTCAGGCAAGACCATCATCGGCTATGTCCGCACGGGCTATCTCCGCGTCAGCCATCAGAAGTTCAAAACACGGCTGGGATCGCTTGAGCTGGCCGACTGGACCGCCCAGATCGAAGAGGATGTCGACGCATGGTACTCGCTCTATGGAAGCAGCATCGGCGGCATCTTCTTTGACGAAGGCTGGAATGACTGCGGCCCGAACAATATTTACGCCAACTTGTACATCCACATCGATCGTCACACCAAGGCCAAGCACCCGGGTGCTTTCACCGTTCTCAACTCCGGCGCCACCATGCCTAGCTGCTTCGAGCGCACCATGGATACGCTTATGACCTTTGAGAGAAGCTACGAGGACTATCTGAGCGACTACCAATCCAACGGCTGGCCCGTGAGCGACACGCGCAAGCTCTGGCACATTGTGTACCGAGTTCCCGAGTCTGCTGTGTCGCACGTCGCGCAGCTGGCTCGTGAGCGTGGTGCCACTCTGCTCGAGATGACCGACGACGATGTGGAGAACCCTTACGACAACCTGCCGGCCGACTCGTACATGCTCTCGTCCCTGGCTGCTGTCTCCGGAGGCAGGCCTCTGAGAGAGAAGAAGTCATTTAGGTCTGGAAGCGGTGCTTCGACGCCAGGGTCGCTCACCTTCACAAAGTCCGACTACAGCTCTGCGCACCTCAAGTGGTCAGCGGCACTAAATGCCATCGGCTACACCGTCTACCGAGGCGGTCAATTCGTGGCGAGCGTGCCCGCGTCCATGACTGAGGTGACGGTCGGCGGCCTTGAGCCGGGGAGCTCCACGACCTTCTCAGTAGCCGCGATAGGAGGTGGTGGCACGGAGTCGTCACAGTCCAACTCGGCGACCGCAAGCACACAGTCACTGCCAAACGGCAAGACCATCATCAACTACAGCTCTTCGCCGTCGGGTGGCTCCGCCATTATCAAAGCTGACGTTCTCGTGCCGTATGTCTTTGTGCGCGTCTACATTTGGGATAGCATGGAATGCGATGGCCCGTCAACACAAAGGTGGACGCGTACGTCTGCACCAAGTATATGGTCGAAGGCACAAAGTTCTTCAAGTACAACGGCAAGACGCCGCCAGGCTTCACCAGCGCCCCCTGGGCTTGGGAGAAGATTGCCGAGGACATCAACGCCGACATCTCGGGCTACACGTGCACGTGGACCTTGCCGATCGGGACAAGCAAGATCGACACCAAGAAGTTCTCCTGGACCCACTTCAAATGCCTTTTCGCCGGACCCTAGTGGCTACGACTGCAAGGGCTCAGCCATGTGCTCGGGCACCGTCAACCTCAAAAAGTAGTGACATTGCGGCGAGCAACCTAGATAGAACTGACACAGCCATCTACAAGCCCGGGTAAGCAAAACCTTCAATGTGCTAGAACGGGAGTCCACTTTCATTCCACTCAGCTAACAAGCAAATATAGTACCAACGCGGCCGGCAACGATATGTCTGGGAACTTCTGGGGAGACGGAATCGGTGGCTGCGGTGTCTTCATCCAAGGCGGAGACAGCTGTACTGTAAGCGGGAGGTAGATGTGACAGACGTATCAGGATATTCATGAGATCAGTGGTTGTGGGAAGTGCGGTTCTTATAAGAGAGACGACGGCTGCCTCATCACTGTCAACTACGTCAGTAATTGCAATAACTACTAACACCAAAACAGAGGTAGCGGGTTGCGCTTGAATAAGGAGCAGATTTCCGGGGTGAGGGAGCACCTGAGATGGAAAATGCTGGGATGGGGTGCCTCATTTTCGGCGAATATAATTGTACCTATAGATATGCATTCCTTCTGTTCAGTTTCATAGATTTACATGTGGCTAGGTTATAGTATATTATGGAGCTGAACTGAGCGTGCTCTTATTAGTTAAATACTTACTTTAATAAGTATTTATCATAAGGGTAATTAATATTTATATTTAAGAGATATTAAATAGGACTTTTATTAAGAGAAATCAAGGCTACTTTATTTTTCTATTTTACTATCTAATATATATTATATTAGAATTATATATTTTTACAGATTCTTATCGTGAGGGTATCAAGGGCTGCACTTTGTCTTGTGTATAAGTATTAAATATATAAATGGTGCGCTGGCACTTTTAACCTAAGTATAGTAAAATTTCAGGGGCGCAGAAAGAGTTACTATGGGAAGTATGGTAATTGGGACCGCTTGGCAAAGATAAGTTCCGCTCTTGGTATTAGCTTATAGGCAAAGGATGTTTCTATATCTATAAATATTAGTATCCTGCTATGTCCTAGTATTTCGGAATAGGTCGCCGGTGGGAAGGGGGGCTAATTTAAGCGTCTATATAATATCCGGTAGTACTCCTGTAATCTGGGTTATAGATTTCGGATCTTCTTGGCTACTTGCATAGGCTAATAAGCTAGATATAGTGGCAAAGGTCTCCGCTACCACTAGAACAACTTTAAGCATGCAACTCTGCCGGTGCCACTAATGGCTTCCGGCTAGGTATCGGAAAATACTTTTGCCGATCGGGAGGTTATATTTTTGTATTTTTTTCGTGATGGTCTCATTTATCCACAACCCTTTGCCTTACACCTGAGCTTATGCCCGTTTACCTCAAAAGTCAATCTATCATCCTATGAGGATTTATCATGACTAAGTTCAAGCGCAATGCACAATCGCAACCAAAGCATGGGAAACCGTCGGTCAGCAGTGCATCTAAGGCACCGGTTGCACCACCAAGCCGCCGTCCGGGATGGACTGGACCAAGCTATATACGGAAATCCGCCAAACAGACGCCTGCAGCAGTGAAGGATAATAGCTCGACAGAACAGATCCAGAGTCTATCTGTTAAACATCAACAACTCATTCTTGACACAATCAGAACTACATTTCCTGCCGTCGACGAATTCAATGCATTGATACCAGTATTACGCGAGGTCAGGGAAGCCCTCGAGCAAAAGGACTACTGCAAAGCATTCGGGACCAAGAAGTTCTTGGAGGCATATACAATCCGTTGGAGCCCTAGTAGAGCTCTGACAATTGCAAATGTGTTAGCTTGGATTTGCAGTGAGATGAGAGAGGCTGCATGGGTCCAACAGTTTCTTCACAATGATGGGCAAAAGCCATCCAAGATCGTATGCATTGGGCGAGGAGGATCCGACTTATTAGCATGTGTGGCATTGCTAAAGCACTGTCATCAAAGCAAACTCGACGAAATTCCCCGGCTAGAGTCATCTTCTCCTGATGCGATAATGCAAGACATTATTTCTATCACTACCTCACACCTCGACCCTGATTACAACGACAGTGCTATGGTTGATCTCAACCTCATTGATAGGCACGATTGGTCAGGGATTGTCACAAAACTACAACATAATCTCACACATTCTCCTACTCTTTCTAAATATGCGACCGCTAAGGCGCACGCTTCAAAAACCTCTGCTATCCCATCTCACGTCTTAAATCTAGCAGTCAACCACTTCGACATCCTCGAAAGCAGAAGTACAGATCTGCGTGCGATGATTGGGCCTAACCCGGCACTAATTACTCTCTTCTTTACGCTCCACGAATTCTACTCGATCTCAATATCTAAAACCACAGCTTTCTTATTGAGACTGACTTCGACAGCACCTAAAGGAAGTCTATTGCTTATTGTAAATAGCCCTGGAGCTGATGTCGCGCTACCTGATAGTAGCAACAAAGGACAAGAAAAGAAATATCCAGTCGAGTGGCTACTTTACCAAGCTCTGCTACCGCCCAAGAGTAGGCCTTACACTAGCACAAATTCAGAGGAGGAGGAACCGCCAGCATGGGCGAAACTTATCGAAGGTGGCCATGAAAAGGAGTATAAGTTACCTGCAGCACTAAGATTTCCAGGAAGTCTAGAGAATACCAGGCTCCAGGTGCACCTACTGGAGCGTTTATGATAGAGCGTTTATGATAGAACGTTTATAATAGCTAGGCTTATCTTATAACTGTTATTCTGAAATTAAATTGGCTAATCATGCTCGGGTCGTTCCATGTTCCGGCTCCCTAACCGCGTTGAAAGGCAATCGCTTTAGACTAGATAGTCATAAGACACTATTATTAGAGACACTAAGATGCAAGGCAGGTAAAAAAGAGAACACACCGCCTCGCTAGAAAGCAGAATAAATGTTCCTGGAGGACGACAACAATGGAGGAAACAAAGGCAACCACACAGACCCTAGGATCCTATATTGGCCCTGCCTTTATTGCTTCGCTCAAACAAGCCGTTGTTCATCTTTCCGTTCAAGCATACCTCCACTGCTGGGTATGCGATCTGGAAAGTACTCTTTGGTGCCTACAGAGATTAGTCACGCCTATACTCTATGAGGCACAGGCGTCATTATAGGCACAACAATGATCTTTCACAACCTGAGATATGCCGTCTCTGATTCCATGATGTCTTTTATCCTTTAGATTCTCGCAATCCCAAATTGGCATAGAAGAAAGTGTTTCGCGCAAAGGATTAACGAGAGTGAGTGGCAATGGAACTATAGCGCATGGTACTGATTTTCCGTTGCTAGGTCGAGTCCAGAGCCAATTGGAGATTTTCATTCTCGCCATATTCGAGAACTATAAGACTAAACACGATTTAAGCCTTTCCTCGTTTTCAGTGACTCAGCCTTCGCCTTATAGATCCTTTCCCGAATACAGGTGACATACACACCTTAAGACCCATCAGCCACAAGCGGGGGAGGCTCCACAGTACCTCTATTAGTAATAATAATAAGAATAAGGATTATCTTAAAGCTATATTTATTGAAAATTTATTATAGCTATTATGCCTTTATTTTTATATCTCTCTTAGCTAATAACTTCTTCTTTTTTAATATATATTTATAAGAGGCATTATTATATATAATTAAAATAAAAAGCGTTATATTACTATCTTTTTAAATAATTTAAATAACTTAAGGTAAATAAAAAAAGATAAATTAATAAAGGAAATATAGCTAAACGTTATTTATATTGTTTTATTTAATATTAGGATTAATATAACCTTATTATACCTTAAAGGCATATTATTAAGAGCTTTATTAGTCTCTTTTATTCTTTTTATCTTAATACTAATATTATAATTAAAGTATATTATACCTATAATACTAAAGCTAAGCTATTAAAGGAGGTAAAAGAGCTATAATAAGAAGAAGAGGTTATTTATAAAGATATAATATATTTAAAGAAATAGCTTTTTTATTAAATAAATTATACTACTTTATATATTATTAAAAAAGATCTTAATTTATAACTTTCCCTTCTTACTAATTAGCTTTAATATAAATATATAATAATAATAATAATATATAATAATAACTTTATATATTAAAGCTATTATAAAAAGAAGCCCTATTAAGTAATTTAAAGGTAAAGAGTAATAACAAAGAAAAGACTATATAAGATAAAATCTTTTAATACTCTTAATTATAAGCTAAGTATAAATAATTAGTTAGGTTTAATTAAAATAAGGTCTTTATTATAAGATAGAGAATTAAATAATTAATTTAATAATACTAAATATAAAGAAAAGAAAATAAGAATTAAGTTTAAAAAAAACCTCTTAAAAGTATAAGAAAAGTCTTTAATCTTAAAGAGATATTATCTTTTTATACTTTATTACTATAAATATCTATTTAACTTTATTAATAAAGCTTAGACCTTTTACCTTAAAATACTTATTATAACTATTATATAGGTTTTTATATAGTTTTATTATATACTTATATACTTAAAAAACTATATTAAGTAAGTATTCCTTATTAAGTAAATATATATATAGGGCCTTTATTTTTATAGCTATTTACCTTTAATTTAATTAATTAATTAATCTTATATTTTATAAATATTCTTTATTAAATATAAGCCTCTTTAGTTTTATTATAATATTTAGTCCTTAATTACCCCCTTATTAATCCTCTTATTTTTAATTACTCTTTTTTATTTAATTCTTTTTAAATCTTTTAATAATAAACTATAAGTAAAAGGTAATAATTATAATATTTTAAGTATTATTTTACTATTTAGGATTTATTAACTTAATAAGGAAAAATAAAGCCTAAGTCTTTAAAGTTAAAAAGTATATAAATTTAAGTTTATTAATTATAAATAAGTCTTATTAAGTAGGCTTAATAGTTATTTCTTTTATATAAGTTTTTAAGTTTTATATTATTTATTTAATTACTTACTTATTTAATATAAAAACCTAATTCTTATATATATAAAAAGTACTTTTAATATTAAGAGAAATATTAATTTTAATAATAATTAAGATATTATTTACTTTAAGGTTTAATTAACCTTTTAGCTTTAAATTAAAAAATAAATTAATTATCTTAAACTTATTTAAAGATATTATCTTAATTAATTAAAAGTTAATAAGAAAATTCTTTAAAGTTTTTAAAGGTTTTAAAGTAATTAAAAATAATAATATTAAATACTTTAGCTAAATAATAAATATAATATAATATAAAAATCCTTTATTTATATTAATAATATATTAATATTATAGCTTATTTACTTATTTAGTTATATAGCCTATTTTATAACTTATTTAATCCTCTTTTTACTATTAATACTAAATTTATAACTTTAGGTTTTTAACTTTAGGTAACCTAAATTTATATAAAACTTAATATATTTCTTCTACAAAACCTCGCAATTACCCCGCTTCTATCTTAGATATCGCAATATGCCATCCCCCTTATCTTGCGCTCTTATAATTTAAGACTATAACTAGCCTATTACTAGCTATTAATTAGCTTTATAGCCTTTATTAGCTTTACTAACTATTTCTTTATATTATTAAGCTATTATTTATATAAGTTCTTAATAATCCTTAGTTTAAAATTCTTAATAAATCCCTTATTACTTACCTTTATAAGCCTTTTTATTATAAAAAATTATTTTAGCTTTTATAATAGCTTAATTTCCTTTTTAAAATAGCCTTTAAAGATTATTAGCTTTTTATAATAATAATATATAAGTAAGAAGACCTTATAGCCTAAAATAGCTTACTTGATAAAAATAATATTATTGTTTTTATTTTAAGCCTTTTTAATCTTTATTATTATAATATAAAGCTTATTCTTATATTTATAATTTTTAAAAGCTATTATAAAATAAGGAATTAAGTTAGGTATTTTAATATAAAAGGCCTTATTAAGTAGCTATAAGCTTCTTTAAATAGTAAATATTATAATAATATAACTATAATTATTACAACCTACATAGCTACATTACGTAGCCCTTATAATTTTTATTAATTATAAAAAGATTACTTCTTTTAATAGTAATTCTCTTTTATTAAATTATTTAAGTTATAATACTTTAAGACTAAATTACTATAAATTACTAATAATCCTTAAAGACCTAACTTTTAAATTATTATTATTTTTTTTTAAGTTATAAAGCTACTTTTAATATATAAATAATATTTATTAATACTTTTATAAAACTTAACTTACTAGCTATTAATAAAGTATTTTTATATTAATAAGCTTAATATATATTATTTAATTATTAAGAAATATAATACTTTATAAATACTAAATATTATATTTTATATAATTTATAAATATAAACTTAATATAAATTAATTTACTTATTTAAAAACCTTAATTATTATATATTTTAAAGGTAAAAAGTAATAATAAAAAAAAGACTATATAAGATAATATCTTTTAATACTTCTTAACTATAAGCTAAGTATAGATTATTAATTAGGTTTAATTAAGATAAGGTCTTTATTATAAGATAGAGAATTAAATAATTAGTTTAATAGTATTAAATATAAAGAGAAAAGAATAAAAATTAAGTTTAAAAAAGCCTCTTAAAAAGTATAAGGAAAGTCTTTTATCTTAAAGGGATATTACCTTTTTATATCTTATTATTATAAATATCTATTTAGCCCTATTAATAAGCTTAAACCTCTTACCTTAAAATGCTTGCTATAACTATTATAATATTAATAATTATTATTTAAAGTATATTATATAATATTAAGTAATATTAATATAATAATACTTATAACTTTAAACTAGCCTTTTAACTTAAGATATATTTAGTATTACTTATAATAAGAGATATTTATTAACTTAGAAAATGTTTTTATAAAAACTAATAATAAAGATAAAGAAAATATTACCTTTACTTACCTAAATACTTATAAAGAGGAAGTTATAAAACTTAAATATAAACTTAAATAGCTTAGTATTATAACCTATTTAGCTATATTACATAGCCCTTATAATTTTTACTAATTATAAAGGAATTACTTCTTTTAGTAATAACCCCCTCCTATTAAATTACTTAAATTATAATACTTTATTATTAGGATTACTATAAATTACTAATAATCCTTAGAGATTTAACCTTTAAATTATTACTATTTCTTATTAAGTTATAAAGTTACCTTTAGTATATAGGTGTTACGATCTCAGTGGCTACGTCACGTATACCCCATAAAAAACTCCACCTTAGTAACTAACCAGATAAGGACCGATAAGTATAGGAATAACGGCGCTCTAGGACCGCATTATTCCAGGACTAACAATAACCTTATATTATATTGCTCTTATATAACTACTATTAGTATATAAAACATATTTATTAGTACTTTCCTAGAACTTAGCTTACTAGCTATTAATAAAGTATCTTTATATTAATAAGCCTAATATATATTACTTAATTATTAAGAAATATAATACTTAATAATACTTAATATTATACCTTATATAATTTATAAATATAAACTGTAACGGTTACACAAGCCGTTAAGCCACAGGGCAAAAGATCGGGCCATAATCGCTATGCAAGCAATTATGGGGGTGCTACAGCTGCCTTATAGAAGCCTTACAACGCTGTTACGGGCACGAATCGTAACATAAACCTAATATAAATTAGTTTACTTATTTAAAAAACCTAATTATTATATATTAATAGCTCTTATTTAAATTATATTATATAATATTAAATAATATTAATATAATAATACTTATTACTTTAAGCTAGTCTTTTAACTTAAGATATATCTAGTAATACTTATAATAAAAGATACCCTAAAACCTAAAAGATATTCTTATAGAAATTAATAATAAAAATAAAAAAGATATTACCTTTACTTATTTAAGTACTTATAAAGGGGAAGTTATAATACTTAAATATAAACTTAAATAACTTAGCCAGTAGTATAATAACCTCTTAGAGAATATAAAAAATAACTTTAATATAGCTAAAAATAAAATTAAAAATTTAAAGAAAAAGGTAGCTAATCTTATTAAGACTATTAAAGTATTTAAAAAAAATACAAAAGATAACTAGAGACTTTATAAGGAGTATATTAAATATATTATAACTTTAGTAGTTATTAAAAAAGACTATAAAGAGATCCTTTAACCTTACTAACCTAACTTATTTAATAGTAATATTAATAAACTTTAAGGATTCTTAACTAGCCTCTAAAGCTATTAGATATATTACCTAATTTAGTTTATAATTAATAAACTAAGAGTTTAATATAATATAAGATTCTTTAAAAATAAAGTATTATAACTAATAAAACCTATTATTTAAGATTATATTAATAAACTATATAAAAAATAATAAGAAATAATAAAGTATATCTTAAAAAAGTTTATTATTTTAATTATAATAGGCTAGGGATTATTTATATAAAGATCTTAATAAATTTAGTAATAAAAAATTATATAGCTATCTAATAAGAACTTTACATACCCTGCAGGTACTAGCGGAGTTAGTAAGCAAAGTGGGGCTAGTAACATAAGTGTTGCCTTATGCCGCTCAAAGAGATAGGCTTTCAATCTACAATTCAATACTAAGAAAATGTGAGCAAATACTGAAGTCGGGTTACTATTATGCGCAAAATGACAGGCCTAGAAGCTCAGGTCAGAGTTCATTCGGTGGGAATAGACGGCATCAGCATCATAGATTGCGATAGCCATGCATATAGAACAATCGGGGCTACTGGAAATCCTGACTAGTAGTCACTCGTCTCTGAGTATGAAACCTATCGTGGGGATCTATCAAGAATTCTGGTCGATCTCACCAAGCAGTATGACGTCAAGTATGTCTTTGGCGAGCAAATCGACTCTCTGCAGCACAGCACACCCGGCGGCCTAATTACCGTGGTATTTTAGATGAGGTTATTGGGTTATTAAACTTGTCTTTTCCTATACCCAAACACTAAATACCCATTGAAAGACTCAATTAGCTTGAGCTATATATTGCCTGATACAAACATCGAAGAAAGAACCTGTCGCTTAGGTATTGGTCACTTGAACGCCTTGAAAAGGGCCAGCTATATAGAATGACACAGTGCAGATCGTAATGGTCACAGTATTCTTTTGCAGCTCAAGTATCATGATCATTTGGACCGACAGACAGTCACTATATGAGAGCAGGTAGTGTTCGCTCAGCAACATGACAAAGAACATACCTTTTCTCCATCAAATAAAGCTTGATCCAAAGCTTTCACAGTAGCCAATTGAACGTTGATAAGTACTTGCCAATGAGCCTTGTGGTGAAAGCTAGACTTTTGTACGTTTACTTCAGTCAGAACCTTGATAAGGCTCCTTTTACAGAATAGGTCCTGAGTACACATGTAAATACCCTTGTTCCTCTCTCAGGAGATGAGAAAGACTCTTATCGTAATTGCAGGACTGTCTCTGGGTCCGCTGGGATTATAGGGCTGGCTTTGAGAATAGTTGGTGGGAAATAGTGGCCAATTAAGACTAAGCTCAGCCGTTTCGATTCTGGACACATTGCCTCACCCTCAATTTAGAGACCCTCGTAGACCTCTTCCTGTACAACGCCATATACAGTAGTTTCTATCACGGCTTGTTAACCACCAGACCAACTTGCATTAATCTGACATTGCTGTAACATTGAAATATCAGCCATACCTAAAATGGGAGGAAATGTCTTTCAGCTGGGTGGGTCAGGGTGTAGATCCCCTGTCATAACCTAGCCTTCTCTCCTAATCCAGAGCCAACATGCATATTTGAGAACCAACATGCAGAACTTGAAACCAAAATTGATAAGTGCAAGTAGGCTCCTGAAATTACAGAGAGGGCACTGCCCCCACCAATAACTTTTTCATAATTCCTTTCCTTCTTGTCTCTTGGCCATGTTGCTCATATGCCAATTGGCGCTTCAACAAGATGTTGTTTAACGCTTTACTACTCGGTCTTTTCCTGGCGACTAGGCCGTTCCTAGTCTTCGGGAGCGCCTCTGTTGTTCGTGCCGGTAGCACGACTGATTACCCCGGGTATAACACACTGAGCCTCGTTCGAAGAACCCCCGCCCGCCCGGGCCGACAGCCAAAAGACTCGAAGCAGAAAAACAGCACATCTTTAGACACAAGTTGGGTCAATGCTATCCTCTTCGCGTACACGGGGTGCGTAAATTGCTACCAGCCACTGAATCCTTAGCATCAGGCCCTAACTGTGTTGATCTGTTTGCAGTGAGCAGGCGCTGGGTTCCAAGCAAGGAAACTCTTCAGTTTCAGCCAGCATTGAAATTACTTGCGCGACATGCTATATCAAAGGAACCGCTACCACGGAGTTCATATATGACCGCGAATTCAACGTCAGCCGCGCTTTTAGCAATTTTACCAACCAAGTCAAACGCGAGATCGACAGCCTGGCAGACGAAACGGTTGATTATATAGAGAGATACATCGATAAGGTGGCAGATAATCTGGATGACGGATTTGACATAGACGATTTCGACCTACCACCATTGGACTACAACTTGAATGTTGACATACCCGAGATCCCGGAGTTCCGACTTCAGTTCCAATTTGATGGATTAGAAGTATACATGTTGATCGACACAGTCCTCTCGGCTGGTGCCACCTATACTCTGAACTTGTACACTTCTACTACACCTGCAGGCTTCGCCGTTCGAGACAATCTGGAAGTTGGTGTTATCTTCACTATTGACCTCATCCTATCTGTAGAAGGAGAGATCAACATTAGTAACGGGTTCCATCTCAGACTGGATGATGGCGTTTTGTTTGACATTGCCATCTTCTCCAAAGAGATTTCAAATCTCACAATGCAAGTCTTGTTTCTGTGACGGTGTCTTGATATGAACTAACAGAAGCTCAATAGAAATGGTGGCGACTTCGAATTTCTGCCAGTCACTCTTGAGAGTGCCGGTGTTGTGTTCAAAGCTGTTCTGCGTGTTGGTGTAAAAGCAGGCTTTGAAATGGCATCACCTGAAGTGTCTATCGCCGGGAAGACAATCGCTCATGTTGGCGGAGGTGTTGAAGTGGGAGTATTTGCCAACATTGCCGAGTTCATCACCAACGTCACTCTTTCCACGGATGAAGACGACGACTGCAGCCTTCGCGTTGAGGAAGTCTATCAACTGGCTGTTGGCGCTGCTGCTGGGGCTTCAATTGCTATTGATGATATAACATGGGGGCCAGTGCCCGAAACTGAGATTCCTATCTTCTACACTACACTGGGACATGCTTGTGCCAGCCAACGAAGCAGCGATGCTTCGTTATCTATCACGACATCCGCGGCACTGGGGGTTAGAGGGAAGAACGATGATGAAGTTGAGATGGAGACAACAACAATCTCCACCAAAGCCACATTCGTTGTTGTAGCATGTCAATCAGAAGGATTAGTCAATTGTCCGATGTCGCTTCAGACAACGTCGAAGTACACCACTACACGGACACATGTTACTCTTGTTCCAACCGACAGCGAGGCCGATTTCCCTGAGTCCGTTAGCCATACTGTTACGAGCTTGATTCCATTCGGAAACGGCGCAAACAAGTTGGTAGCAATGTCAGGAATTCCGTCTTCTTATGTTCCGCCAACCACGACACCTTCGGCTACAGAAAATGGCAAGGATGATGATTCAAATGGCACATCGAATGAAAGGTCTGGCGGAGTTTCCAAAAGTGCCATTATTGGTGTCAGCGTCGGCCTTGGAGTGCCTTTTCTGCTGGGAGGGATCGCTGTGATTTTGTAAGTGAATATTTTGCATTTTCTTCCAAGAGTAACCTTCAGGTTGCATCGGTAACTATCTATTCTTTATGGCGCTCAGTTGTTAACGACTTCTTGTTTGTTAGGCTTTTGAGAAAGAAGAGACGCTCTCTCGCTGGAACATCGCCGGCTCCCGTTGAAACCGTCGAGTCGACTTCATCGTCTTCAAAGACTCCCGGTATTTTAGTACATGAGCAGAGAGATCCATGATTGATCGGCATAGAGCAAATCTACTCAATGTTGCCAATCTTTCTGGAGAAGTCTGAAATCAGGCTTCGAAGCCATGCGGATTAAGTTGAGGCATCGCCAAGAATGTGAAACGATGGAATACAAGAAAAGCCGCCTATCTCCCTGACACTAACAACTAAAATACTGATCTGTTAGAATTGAATCCAGCATACGGCTATCTCCTCTTCCTTCGCCAATGAGAAAATGAATATATGGAATCGAATAAACCTTGTCCAAGTCTGTCATAGACTTCTCAAAGTCGAAGGAAACATGATCCTGTGTTATTGAACCAATTGTGATTTAACCATTCTGCATTACTTCGAAAGATACGGTTACCCTTGATCTTATCGTTTTAAAGTGACTTGTAAGAGCAGAGTGATTTGTATCCTCAGGAACCGTCCTCTGTCGCCCAATCATCAATGTTTTGCTTCAGAATGTATAAACCACAATATCAAAGGCTGTAGTTCTCTCGAACTTCCTGCAGGCTCGAAAGACCCACTCGACGTGAGGCAGAGAACCAGCTTCGGGGGAATTTTCAGAGCCCAGAGCGTGCAGACAAGGGCCCTTGATTGTGTCCCAAACCCAGTTCAGAAGGAATTTCATGCCATCATCAGCTCTCAAATCAAGGTACTTTGCTTGTTTCTGCAGGTCTTCCAATGTCAGATCGGTTAGTTGCTGATCATGAATCCTGTCCTTTTGGATAAGAAATGCATCACAACGGTAGCGACTTATGTTGTTAAGCACAAAGGGGCCATATTTCCCAAACCCCATGACTTCTTTTCCTAATTGCACAAACAGGAAGTCATCAAACTCCGTTTCACTACGGATCTTCACAATAAGGTCGATCAGGTCATCATATGCCATTTGGCGGTATCGGACCCAAATCTCATGAGGAATAAGACTAGTTGATGAAGAGTTCCACAGGTCTGCTGGAATAGCTAGCTGACCTCTCAATGTACGGAATCTATTCGCCAGGTCAGGGTGCTTCTTCTCGAGATCGTCAAGATGTTTTTCTTTGCCCATTATAAGATCTACAAAGACTCCCAGGCCACGCTCCATGAGTTGTAGAGCGTCATACGGTTTGTTGTATACATTGAGGCTAATAGCTGCAGCATCTGAGACCAACCCAAAGAGTTCTGTTAATTTCTCTTCCTTATCTGTTTCTTTGAGTGGCCTCAGGCTGAGAAGGGGGGAAGAAGCTCAATGGCGGTCTCTAGCAAGTCACTGGCTTCTTTCCATTCTTCTCTTTTGGCGTGAATACTAGCAGCCTTTTAAGCAAGCTCAACTCGAACTGAAGGCGTGGCTGTAGTAATTTCTAACTCCATCCTGTAAAATGACAGGGCTTGGAGTTCATCTTGTGGATCATGGAATCTCTCAAAACGTTCGCTGTACCAGACTCCCAAACCCTTAAGACATCCTACTCGATTGAAATGTTCTGTCGGAAGCTTGCTGAGGGCCTCTTCGTAAAGGCTGATGGCTTCATCGATATCCTCCTTTATCAAATACCTCCTAAATCGCTGACCGAGCAAATTCCCCAGGTTACAACGTGCCATTAACCAATCCGTATCGCCGGACGGAATTTCTGAAATAGCCATCCTCACAAGCTCGATGGCTTGATCAAGGTATTCTGTCTTCTTTGTTTCTTGACCATACTTTCCAAGCATGCTTACATAATTGTTCAGGAGGACAGGCCTTCTTGAGTGGTCTTTCGGCTCGAAGTCCATCGCCTTCTGTGCATACTGAAGGCTTCTCTCCAGATCTGGAATTGTTGAGGATATATCAAATCGCCTACTAAACGAACTACTAATCTCATTCCAGTAAGTCTGCTACTAATCCCGTTCTTTCTAGGAGCGCATAATAGGCGTAAGATGAGGCTCTGTATTGACCCTCATCTGATGAGTCGTTCTCTATTGTCGCAAAAGAGCGAAGATCTTTATCGTTGAGATGTTGCAAATCCGAGGCTGCCTTTTCCTCAATTTCGAAAAATTCTGTGCACTGAGAGCTATGGCCTGGCATCGTACTGATACTCTCAGATAGATAACAAAAATGCAGTTGCTTAAGAGATATGCAGGCGGATGTCGCAACAAAAAGTAATGGGAGCGAGGATCGGGCTTATGGGAGAATTGCTTCCTCTACAATTATAAATCTTACGTTTGCCTATATTATATTTCACCTGTCGATCCCTCCCTGACATGGAGACTTGTAGCGCTTACGGACTTTATCCACGGTCATCGCAGAAAGACAGTAAGTAAGCGCGGTCCAAAGAACGGACACACGGATTTACGTATCCTGGGAAGCGCTGAGAAAGATCCGAGAGCCTCGTCTCAGGAAGCCGCCCCTCTTGAATCCCCGGGGCGCCTTCGCCCACATATGATGAGGCTGCTTCCTTGGGACTATTGGCTGACCGATCGGCCAATGCGGCTGGAACACCGCTGTCCCCATTGTCGATGCGCATTTGACCACGAACAGGCATTTGATGTGGGAAAGAGGGGTAATGCAGGTAGATGAAGAAGGCATGGCGGTTGAACTGCGCCCGCTCATCCTAGCACATATTGAGCCGCAGGGAAAGGGGTGTAGGTGCGTCTGGGGAAGGGTGTTCAACATCGCAGCAGTACCTCTTCCAGCGCACAGCCAATCTGCCTTGTTTCCGAGCTATTTTCATATCCGTAGCAGCATTCTGCCTGCTTGGCCACGGCCTATGCAGGATAGATCCTTAAGACTAGGCGGGAAAGAAGTGCTCGTCTCCACACAGCATCGCATGTTGGCATGTTGACAGTGCTTACGGTGTACACAGTTTCAGTTGCTATATAGCATCATCGAATGAGCAACAAACATCAGACAACGGGGAGGATCAATCAGAGCTTCAAATATCATCTGTATTATTCCCCCATCAAGTACCGAGAGTTGGGGACAAGCCTGATCATCTATTTATACCTGTGCGGGTAGGAGTAATAACCCTCCGCCACAACAGCTCTAAAGTCATCTTCCCCAAGCACATACTTCAATAACGGGATACGAGCTATATGTTTCTCCACCCGCCTTTTCCTCTGCTCATACTCCTATAACCTCACAAGCATCCGTGCCACAGTATTTCGAACCATCAACTCATGCGGCGGCCCAGTAAGAAGCACAGTTATCTCGCAATCAATACGGCACTAGAGAAGTTTCGCTATAACGTGTGTCTAGCTGACAGACTCCACCGAAAAGCGTGCTATTCTTCGTTCTGGGTCTTGAAGAAAAGTATTGACTTGCCCACAGTCAACACAGTCGCACGGAATCAATGGTCTGATGTTACTTTTCATCGTGTCTGGCCGCTCGCCTATGTATTTTCCCGGGTAGTTCCTCAGCACGCCACTGATCAACTTCTAGCACCTTGGGTCGGTCAGTGGTGAGCCGCTTCTCTTGACGATTTCCGGGAGCACCTGAATTATGGGCATCCATATTCCATCCAGGTTTTCGGCAGATAAGTGGTCTGCATCGATAACACTCAAGGTATCGAGCAATAGTTCCCGAAGAGTTCCCATCATGGATTCGTCAACCTCGAACAGATCGTAAATGAACTAGATGAAGTCGCGATGATCGACTAGTTCTTCAAAGTTGATGTCTTTGAGGAATAGCTCTGCGAACTTTTTAAACGACAAGACCTGTCTGGTATGACTATTGAGATGGTGGCTCAAGGTCAATTGACGTCATAGATCCTTTCATTCCAGCACCAAACCCAATTCAAAGGGACCAACCCCACGCTTTCTTGTCCTCGATATCAATATAATCTCAGAAATTCTTTTGAAATAATGTCAGTTTCTCACAAGTAACGCCTAGCCATAACTAACATTTATGCTACCCACAGAACAGAGATGGCTGCATCACGATCAAAAGCCAAGCCATTAATGGACACAATATCCGAAGCCCACCGTATGTCCTACCGCATCGGCCGCGGCGAACAAGGCGTCCTAACCTTCGAGCCCTACAAATCCGCCATTCTTCCCCTCTGGCGCTTCCGCACAGTCCCCATCGCTCGAAAAAGCGCCGAAGATCTATGGGCCAAGTTCAATGACTTCAAAGACCAACGCGATTTTGTGGGGATGGATATGACGCGCAAGTTTATCCAGATGGGTATGACGCGTGCGAAACGGTATGCGAATCATGCTGGTGGGCGGAAGTATAAGAAGGGAACGAGGGAGGAATTACCCAAGAGTGATGAGCATCCAGATAAGGATGAGAAGGAGAGGGCGAGTTTGATCTTTAGGGGGTATTGGGAGAGGTGTAAGGAGGATGAGGAGTACCAAAACCTCAAGCAGGAGTTTTTAAAGAAGCAGAAAGATTGGAAGAATTCTTGAAAGTATTCAATAGATGCCTAGTGTTGGCACTGCTCTACCAACTTGCCTGTCAATAGCGGTTGCGTTCTTCGTCATGTTCGTTGTCTTTAGGTGCCCATCGCTAATTCCCACCGTCCTGTCTTGTTTCTTCTTCTCACTGATTCGCTGCTTCTGGCCCAACCATTCAATGGTCACTCCATCACGAAGAGGCGCGTTTAAAACCTGCGTTATAGTATCACTAAGTGCGTCACCTTCATTCATATCCCATTCCGATGGCCACTCTTCCCCTTTAGCTGCATATCTCTCCCAGTTCGGCTGTTGAAGCTTTGCCTTCTCTACAGCGGCCTCGAGTCTTTCGGGGAGCTTGTTGTCATGGAATCCGTTGGCAAACCATATGATCTGCCGTTCGAGAAGTTTTGCAGGATCAACTTTGCCTGGAAACTTTGTGTTGCGAAATCTGAAGGCTGCGCTTTTTGGCTTATTCTTGGCTGCAATTGTAGCCTTTGCTGATATATTTAATGACATCTCCTTGTGGTCTTTGTTGGTGAGATTGGTCTGGTTAGTTGAGGTCTGTCTAATTAATTCAATATCAACTTTCGGTGTTCGTGTTTGTATCTATTTGGAGGAGAGGTAGTTCATCTGGGACCCATATATGTCAAAAACACATCTTTGTGACCTGTCTGTTAGTTGACTGTTCTTCTTCGAGCCTTGTTCTGGTACTCTTTCTTTATCGTTATTCGCAGGCTTTGTTTCTGTACTACGTGACTCAGCGCATTTCAATCTCTGTTCAGCCCCAAAACTCTTTGTCAGTCTCAATCATTCCCTGGGGGTATTGTTTCCCGGGTTTTGACTTCCCAATCTGTGAATGCATCTGGATGTTTGGGTCCATGTCTGCCAAGCTTGCACCTACTCGTTAATGATATGTTCGGCCACATCATGCCCCAAGGGTCAGACTCAGTTCCTCCGCGGCCCTATAGACAACTGTCCTTTAATAATATTATTATATCGGGCCTCAATCGCAACAGTCGTCAATATTAAACAGCTCGTTGCCTTTAGGTTAAGAGGGTTGAGTGTCAATACACTATCCTGATTTGGCATGCATTGCGAGGAAGTTCCAAAATTAACTGTTATGCATTATTATGCATTCTCAACTGGCCAATCAACACGCATAACCTTCCCACGACAACTTTATGCTCACAACAACTAACGCATAAATAACTCAGAACAAGAACGCCTGATCGTCCAGCGCGAGTCCCGACAAGGCATGCATCACCGATAATCCGTGATCAACTCCCTGTAAGACCACGGCACATTTTATGCTAAGTTTTCAGCTCTGTCCAAATTGCGGGGATGATCGCCGTTCTTAATCAGCCTTATGCCCTCCGATGGAACCCTGAGCTGGCCGACTTGACTTCTTTAGGCTTGGGATGAGAATGGTGAGACAGTGAATCATCGGTTAACTGCCTTTGTAAGTTAGATAAGGCTGTAAGTGGCTTGCAGCTAAATATTAAAGCTAAGACGGTGAAATTTTGGACCGTTGATTGATAGCGGTGTGTTGTATTATAAGAAGCAGATATCGCCCCAGCTTAGAGATTCTTGTTCATCATCCTGCAGAGACAGATTAAGCTTAATTCTCAATTCATCATGAAATTCAGCGCCATCCTCCTCGTTCTCGCCCCTCTCGTCTCCGCAGCTGCTTCAAAGGAGGCTGCGGCTGGGCTTCCCGACCTTGCTTCGGCCGGTGAGAAGGGTCATGATCTCTCATCGCACGGCGAGGGACTTCAGCTCGCTGCCAGAGTCTGTCCTGCCAAGTTCCCGAGAAAGTGCTCCCTCGGAAACTTCTGCTGCCGAACCCTGAAGTGCTGTAAGAAGGAATGCTGTCAAAACTCAGCGAGATATTGCAGCAATGGTCGTTGCTATAGATAGATGGCAAGTTAATTAGGATGATGTAAGTTTCGAGACAAGCTTCCGTTGAGGAGAGGTACTAATTGGTTGTAGCATCTATGGTGTGGCACTGGATGGATGCGATTAGGTACTAGGGAGATTTAAACCGGAAGAGGATGCTCTACGCCATGGGATTTAGTTTGTCTGAAACGAGCTTGAAAACTACTAGTATAAATACAAATGAACGACATTTTACTTTATAACTCGCTATGTATACCCCTGTGAGTACAGACTTGGCCGAAATTTGCCCTTGCTACACAAAGTAGTAGAGAGTCGTGGCTTTGTTCGGGACACCAGAAAACAATCTTCGTCTTACTTTCGATCCACTAGCTCGCCAGATGTACGGCCCAATCTTCTTTCCAAGTCTGATTTAGAGCAGTTCTGCTTTCTATAATGTCAAGAGAAGAATATTTACAAACTGGTAACTTCAACAGAGCTTGATCATCTTAAAACTAAAGTCGTGTATCCTTAACATCGAAACTCATCTTGGCCCTTCACCTATACACCCACCTACATCAAAACAACATCTGGCTGAGGGTCATTTTCCATGTCCCAAGGGAACCCATTCCTGAAAAGAAGCTCCTCTTTCGTTTTTCTGTAGACATAACCACCACGCACGAATAGTCGCTGACGTTCATGTTGACGATTCGGTAGAGGCACCGGGCTATATGCTTTGTGGCCTGTGTTACCGCATGGTGAACATGTTGGTTGGTACCCGTTCGGAGAATGCGGAAATTGGAGTCCCCATTGATGTTGATAAAAACTACATCGACTCTGTTGATGATGGCGTTGCCGAATTCTGGAGCTGGTGACGGCCATGAACTGGGGTTGGTAGAAGGGTCAACTGTATAATGGACTGCGGGCTGATGTGCCATGGTGCTTTGATGTGATGAGATAATCGATGCGGCTCTTTTGGCAGAAAATGCCTAATTTAACTTCTGAAAACTGTCCACTGGGAGATTTGACAGTTATTTATACATCAATTCAGCAATAGTAGGTATCAACCCAATCTTGCTTGTTTTGCTGTTGTTACTTCAATACCCCTCTGTTGGTTGTTGTCCCTTGGAATCAAAAGTTCCACTAACCCTGACTTCCTCGCTATGCATCCTACATCGTCACCTGGCCCTGCTTGCTCAAAAGTTCCTCTGCATTTCGAAAATATCTGCTGTCAAGGAGCGCTGACAAGCAGTCAATGCATAGTTGACTTAACTAAACCTCGGATTGATGCAATGTACTTGGCATTATCGTTGACTGCCGAGAGCAATTGTACCCTGTAAAGCACCATTCTGCTAATCACTGAGTCGCTAGGATCAAGATTATTCCAATGTGTTTGGGAAATAAGGCCGTATAGGAACACTTCTCATATTTGCCATCCTAGGAAGCATTTTGCGGAACGCGGTCGTCGGCCTGCCCTGTACCCCGATCGACGATGACAAAGATGATAACGTCGATGAGGGAGAGCAAGCCCCGGTAAGCTGAAATGAAAGAAATGAGCCATTGTGTCGTCGATCTTTATCTTATCTTTATCTTATCGCTTCGTCATTTGTCCATTTCGCGACTCTCAGCCAGCCAGCGTCGCATTTTCAACGCACAGCGCTGTCGATCACCAACATGATTGGACGCACCAGAAGCGTGTCCGCTAATAATTGGCGATCTGCCAAGCACTGCCACCACCTGGAAGATTGCTTATTTCGGTTATATACAGGGTAGTTCCAGGCAATGCTCTGGGAGAAACATTCTTGGCATTGTTTCGTTTCAATTCAAGACTTTTTATTGAAACGATGTCTGAGAGCCCAAGTGCCAAGAGCACGGAACAAGCGGGGCAGCCTGAAAACAATATCCCGCCGTGGTCGTCGCGATTATATCGACAGGTTGGCTTTTCGGCGAAAAAGACGTGGCAGGATAGAGGTGACATTATTCGTCACTCGAGAGAGCTCTTCACTGTAGGTTGACAGATCCAGCACTCAAAGTCAAGCTCACAAGGTCCAGGCTGCAGGTCCAAATGGACTTTCGTATTCTCTGCTGCCAACTTCTTCAAGTATACGACTTCTCGAGGTCAAGCCTGGTAACCCCAGTGATGTGCTGCACTGCTCCCTCCAAACAGTTGACTTATCCGACAACCCCAAATATCACGCCCTCTCATACACGTGGGTGTTGGACCCACCAAGCTTCCCTTACGAGCTGAGATATCTGTCTCAAAAAGTCCCAAACTTCTCAAAAGTCGTCACCAGCGGAGTCGACACTGTAAACCACGCTGTCAATCGCCTTATGGTTCGGTCGCGATCCGAGGTATCAGATCAAGATGCAAAGCCAGCTGAGAACACTACCGACAGAGACAAGATCCTTTGCGACGGCAAAGGTGTCTACGTCAAATCTAACCTATACCAAGCTCTCCTTCAGCTCAGAAAAGCACGTCCGGGACTCTACTGGATTGACGCCATTTGTATTAATCAATCTAACCTTACTGAGCTGGGCCAACAAGTGCAAATGATGAATCGGATCTACAGTTCAGCTTCTCAAGTCACGATATGGCTAGGTACTTGTCCCCATGTTTTCTCACCAGGCGTAGCGAACCTCGTTCAGATGACCAAGACCGGACTTCCCGAGATTACCGAGGCTGCTGAATCCAAAGACTTTTACTACAAAAGAGTCGGAACAACATCGCTTTGGCATTTAGTACTTTGCGTCTTTTTCATCGTCACGCGCAAATGGTTCAAGCGACTCTGGGTTCTGCAGGAGCTGTGCCTTGCAAAAGAAGCCATCTTCCTCTTGGGAGAATACAGGTTTGAGGCTGATGACATTTCTATCGCTTTTGGTTGGATGAGAAGTATTTTGAGCGCTTGGAACACCAGCGGGTTGCACATGTTTGCTCAGATATTGACTTCATTTGGTGACATGCCTGACCAAGCTATCTCTCTGCTGAATTCACGCCGGACTATTTCTGAAGGTGACAAAGTTGGTTTACAGGAGTGGTTCAGGCTGGTCAAGGACCGTGAGGCAAGAGATCCGAGGGACATGGTGTACGGTGGCCTTGCTTTGATTAAGCCCGAGACGCTTCTGATGGATCCAAGCTTAAAACAAGGCTCCGGGAACTCATCAAATGATCACGATAACATTGCACCTGATAACAGACAACAATGGCCGTCGCTACACGCAGACTACGCCATCAGCCTCCCCGCGGTTCTCGAGAAAGTGGCGCTATGTCTTCTGTCAGGCCCCGAGCCAATGAACCTCCTCTCGCTAGCAACGCGATATCGCACTCCCTTCTTTTACGACATGACGAGAGATACATCTATTCACTACTCAGCGATGAAATACGACAAGATGTCAGAGCTTGAACTCGACGTGCCTTCATGGTACGCTGTCCCATGGCTTGAGAACTCGCGGGGTATGAAGCTTCTCATCTGGCAGAATACCAGCGCACCACTGGCAAGCATATCCAAGATGACGAACAAGCCGCTCATATCGGCTGATGGTGAATCGCTGTTTCTCGATGCAGCACACTTGGACACCATTGATTCTTGTGTGTTTTATAATTTCTTCGGCGATTTAGCACATGATATGGAGTCTATGATCACGTTGAGTTCAAAGACAAATGAACGAGCACAGGAAGCTGCGGCGTTGAAGGAAATCTTCAACTACGCTCCGCCATTTCATCTACTAGAAGTGATACTCGACATGACTGCATATACAAAATCGACGGAAAAGTCACCTCTGGAAATCCTTTGTGATCTTCTGACTGCTGGAACATGGAAAGGCTCAGCCAGCAGCAAGATGGTCGGGTTCTGTCAATGGCTTGATGACTGGGTAAACAATTACCTCAAAGAACACGAAAAAGAAAAAGCAAAAATAACTGATGAGACTCCCATCTTGAGAGAATTCATCGCCAAAAGAGAGCCCATCATAGCCAAAATACAAGACGATTACGCCAAACTACGCACAGCATATCCTGATCAACCGTGGTCACCCGAAGACCGCAAAGCCATCTCGGAAGAACGCAAGATCCAAGCCTCGCACTTCGCAAGAACCCTGCAAATCGCACAGACGGTCCGAGCTCTGTTCAAGACCCAAAGCGGCAAACTCATCCTTGCACCGGCATGGGCTGAAAAGGGTGATGTTGTGATGGCGGTGAAAGGCGGCAAGGTTCCTTACGTCTTTACACCAAAAGATGAGGACATTAAGCGGAAGATTGCGTTTAAAGAGAAGTATAATGGTGATATATCGATTTCGGCGTTGAAGGAACGGCCGGGACATAAGGAGGCGCAGAAATGGGATGCGGCAAGTCTGCAGGGTGACATTGAGAGAAAGGACGGTTATTTGCTCACTGGTGAAGCTTATTTACATGACTCGGACTTGAAAGAGATTCTGGTGAGGGAATTGGAGTTTGGCAGGTTGGAAATTGTCTAATTGAGATCATGCGAAGATGGAGAGTTTGGCTCCCATTTTCTGTTACGCACCTTGACCATGACAAACTTTTGCTCCTGAGCTTGGATATGCAAGTTGCCCAAGTTGAGATTGATAGATGAGCTTCAATTTGCACAGACTTGTTTGTGGCTCACCAACTCTCCGAACCTCAGCGGAGCGGCAAAAGACAGCGGCTATTCAACGACTGTGAATGAAGCAATCACGGCGTAGGGTAAATTGAAGATTATGACGCCAAAAGCCACAAACATCGATTTAGACGCTCGCATAATTAAGAGGCTTGGAACTATTTTCAATAATCCTTTTGCCTTTTCGATATGCTTAAAAAAAGATGTAAGCCCAGCGATTAAGCGATGTTCATCGACCACTGTGAGGTTGATCTCATGTCACTCAGATATTTTTACGTGATCAAGAACAGGTCAACCACACAAAAAAGGAAGGCAGTTCATGGTCTGGTCTAGATCCCCAGAAACTGGGCTGTAGCTTAACCCCTGAAAGCCCTACTCGGCACTCACGGGAACAGTCTCAGGCGCTAGTACCTGAATTTAGCGCTGACTCTCAATATTAACCTCAAAAAACACAGACGCCTCAACGGCACCTGCTACAAACTCCGTGAGATCCCGCCCAATCAGTGACCCTTGGTCCCCGTCTCGTATTCCCCAGATGAGATCCACGGAGCAAAAAAGCTTAGCTCAGGTTGGACATCCATCGCCAAGCCAATCGATCAGCAGCAATCTCCACGACGGCAAATCAGTGGGTATCAGCCGACCTGTGCTAACCTCAGGGGTAAGGCGTTCTAGACGCCGCTAGCCCGGACGGCTAAACACCAGTGACCAATAGCAGCGGGCGACAAATTTCCATCCTGTAAGCCACTATCATAACATACGAAGTTATTCCTTGGATTAGTTTCCAATAGTGTTGTAACCGCGCGCTGCCGAAATAAACCTCGGACTTGTCCAATCGCCGTACCCCTGAGCACGTCAATTGCTTCTCAGCTGGTGTAATGGATGATGTGAACTGCTTTACCGTTTGTTAGTACCTTCCGCTATGAGCCGGGAACCGAAATTAGAGCAGTCGTCGCAGGGCTGTTACACGAGCATGTCACTACTGCGTCTAAAAGTAGATTCATCGTAAGAATAGACAAACATAAAAGAGCTGGATATCCTCTACTCAAATCGCTTTTCTTTTCTGCTCTTCAGTCACTCACTCACATCCACTCTTTCCTCGCAACTTCTCCACGTTCTTTAACGAGACAACAGTCCTTCCTTACTTTCTTTTTCTTAAACAACCGCCAACATGAAGCTGTCTGCTGTCACCCTTCTCACCCTCGCCACTGGTATCCTCGCCGCTCCCGTCGCCGAGGCCAACTACGACGTCTCCTACGCCAGCTACGAGGCTCCCAAGGCCCCCAAGCCTCACTACGAGAAGCCCAAGCCCAAGCCTCACCACGAGAAGCCCAAGCACGAGTACCCTGCTCCTCACCATGAGAAGCCCAAGCCCAAGCCTCACCCCAAGAAGCCTGAGTACCCGGTTCCTCACCACGAGAAGCCCAAGCCCAAGCCTCACCCCAAGCCTCACTACGAGAAGCCCAAGCCTAAGCCTGAGTACCAGGCTCCTAAGCCTCATTACGAGAAGCCCAAGCCTAAGCCTCACCCCAAGCCTGCTTATGAGGCTCCCAAGCCGGCTCCTAAGCCCCACAAGCCTGAGTACACCAAGCCCAAGGCTCCCAAGCCTCACAAGCCTGAGTACACCAAGCCCAAGGCCCCCAAGCCTCACCCCAAGCCTGCCTACGAGGCCCCCAAGCCTGCTCCTAAGCCTCACAAGCCCGAGTACACCAAGCCCAAGGCTCCCAAGCCCCACAAGCCCGAGTACCAGGCTCCCAAGCCTCACCACGAGAAGCCCAAGCCTCACCCCAAGCCTACCTACGAGGCTCCCAAGCCCGCTCCTAAGCCCCACAAGCCTGAGTACACCAAGCCCAAGGCTCCCAAGCCCCACAAGCCCGAGTACCAGGCTCCCAAGCCTCACCACGAGAAGCCCAAGCCTCACCCCAAGCCTACCTACGAGGCTCCCAAGCCCGCTCCTAAGCCCCACAAGCCTGAGTACACCAAGCCCAAGGCTGAGAAGCCCAAGCCTAAGCCCCAGGGTTACCAGGCTCCTAGCTACGTCGCTCCTCACTACTAGATTTGCTCTGGGAAGATGAAGGACAGTAGCTGTTTGTGCTGTGGTTATTGAGTGGGTGACTCGTGCTGATTCACTACCATGGTATGACCCGTGCGTGAAAATGCATAGCGAGAGATGGCTCTGGACTTCTGACTTATGAGAGATTCTGGAGGAATGGCAGGTATGTGTTTGGATGGATGGACTTTTGACATTTTCTTCTTGTACCTTTATTGGCTTATTAGTTATAATAACTGCATCCGAATGAACTGCGTTGCTTTAACACTACATTCATCCCTCGTGAATTTTGTGCACCCCAAGTGACAATACTCTCTCTGCTTGATGTCTTATATCTTGGCTAAAATCAATACTCCCATAAGCGGCACTCAATCGCCAAGTCATGCCTGAAGTCACCACAACGTTCGAAGATCCGATCTACTGCTCTCAGCCATCTCCTGTTGAGCTTGGTGACATAGTGCGCCTTAGTATACTCCCAGTAATCAGGAAACCATCCTGAGTTCTCCCTGTCTACGATACCTAAGATCCGACCGTTATGAACCAAGATGTTTCTCATGTTGATATCGGAATGCGTGAACACAATCTCATGTCCTTGGGAATGAAAGACATCTGTCAGCGCAGGTGTTCGTGGTGTATCATTGAAGTCTTCTTCGGAAATGAATGGTCCGAAGAAGTCGCCTCGTTCCTTGTCGTAGCCGCGAGCAGCAATGATCCTGTAGTCATAACATGGTCCATCAATGGCATTGCCGATTTCATACTTTGGCGCTCGTTGCCTTGTGATGGAACGTAGCTGTTCCAGGTATTTCTGCATATCTCGCACGAAAAGGTCAAGATCGTGATCGCTGAGTATATCGATGTATGAGCCAAACCGTTGTCCCGGTAGAGCAGTTGTCAACAGATAAGAGGTATCTGTGTCAGACACTAGACCCAACGGGCGAGGAACTGGAATTTCAGTTTGGCTCCGTTCAAGCTGCAGAGCACCAAACTCAATTGCCAGTGCTCGATGATCTTCGACACTCTTCGTCTTCAGGTACATGCCGAAAGGGAGTTGTTGAGCGTTCAGGCTGCAAGATGGCCCGTAAAAACGAGCACCCAAAGAACTCAGAGAGCGGTAGATCAATATCCGGAGAGGGACTGGCATAAGGCGGCACACTGAGGCAATCGCAAGAGCGACAGACTTCGAGATACGATGCCAAGGTGAAAAGGATAGCATGCTGGGAGCTGGGAGTTGTTGTCTACTTGTAATTTCTTGAGCGATCAGGGTCCACCGTATGGATTTCGAGAGCCTTGATATAGCTGGCAGCAGACTGATGTTTGGTGTTTGAATCCCGGTATTGGAATGATCCATAAAGCGGTCTCGTCGGACCTTGGAAATCTTCTCGAGAAGAGGAGGTCGAGTTGGACCTCCAATTGTGACTTGCGTGACATGATACTGCAACAGCGTGAGTGGAACTTCGGGACAAGAATAAACACAAGGAAGATAGGGGACTCACGTCAGAGTCTTTCGTGGTGGATGTGAAGTGAAAGTATCCTTGGGATAAGGCTTCTGCCGCATACTGTCGTACAAGCCAGTGGTTTCGGGCATCATTATTCATCAAGGCAAGCATTACCGGCGAAGATACGCTCTTTCATATCAGAGCCAAGGAAGACGCTAAAGAGCTCGTGAAACGACTTCAGTCGGTAATTAACTAAGTGTCATACAAGAGAAGAGAGGTTTGGGGTTATAGCGTACCTCTTTCAGCCTGGTTATAGGGAATATTGGTGTAACAATCAGAGGATCCGTAAACAATACTTCTAGACCAGTAATACGGCATTTAGAACCATCTCTCTTTGACATATATGCGATAATGCTTTTGTTCGGCTTGGCTTCTTGTGACAACTGCTCGATGACTGCGAAAGTTAATATGGTCCTGCAGATGGTATGGCTGAAGCAGCCTACTAGTTCCAACTAGCTCTTATCACTCCGATGATAATGCTCTTAAATCGTAGCCTTCTTGCCCGTCGGAGTATCTTTGGAGCATGTATCGAGCAGTCGCTTCGGGGCTGACCGAGTCTTGCAGGAAGCATTCCAGGAGCTGATCATCAGGATGCTGACAGCGGGAGCTGCGGATAGCAGCAAGAGCCTGTTCAATACTGCTTTTACTTGTTTTCAAGCCAAAGGTCTCTCGGTTCGTTCAAGCCGGAGGGCGGTGGAATCACGAAGACAAGCTGGAGTGTTGGTTGATGCTGCGCCTAATAGCCATTACATAATACTGCTGCCTAGAGAAGGATGACAATCCGATCCCCTCACTCAGTGGCTTTTTCTACCTGGCTACAATATCTTGGGGTATTGACATATATATCAGAGCCTTGCTATTGCCATCCAACACAGCCTGAAAGCGCAAATATGTCGCTCAATGGAAATCTCGAGAGCTCATCGATTTACATCGCCATGAACAGCCGTCCTTCTCCAAGACAATATGTTCGTCAAGTCTCTTCTTCTTAACATGTTTATCCGCTAAGTTGGCTTATAAAGCACTGGGGTTTAATTATAACTGATCACTCTGGGCGGCCTGTTCTTCATCACGCATCGAACCTTGAGGGACCTTGGAAGTACGAGGAGAAACAAGGCAACTCAGCCATAGATCTGGCTATGATTGTAATAGCAAAAGTTGCCAGTGTAACGAGCGAAACACGCGCAACGCAGGTCGTCCAGTCCGTTCCTGCAGATGGCGAGCCGTCTCAACGAACCGGGGAGACTTTCACCTGTCGAATCTGGGTTAAGGATGCTCTTGTTAAACTCCACGATAGCGCGGCTATTTTCCTTCCCAACGATATTTGTATGGCTACTATAAGATACAACTATGGTTGTCGGGCTGATAGATTGTTCAGATACCATTGAGACCCAGGCTATATCATATGCTGAAGAGTATGCTGCTGACAGCGAGCAAGGCAAAGGGACAGCAGTTGTAAATGATGCCTTTGGAGCAAGTTCGTCGCAGTCAATGGCAGGCGTCTAAACAAGTGGTCCAGGAGAGATTTGTGAGACCCTATGCGATACTGTACAGCCTGAATGGCAGCAATAACTCGGAGTTTGTTGTTTGTTGTTGATATTGTAACCATCCCAAGACCGACCCAGCCGGTCACTGAATCGCCGAACACCCGCTGAGTAACCACGGCACTTACAAAGCCCATGCTATAAGGAACTTATAGCGCATAACCACTTTGACAGCGCGGCATTTGCCGGTAATTAAGGTCGCCTCACTGTTTCGCTCTGCATGGTCTCACAACGCTCAAGTTCAGACGCAACACATACGCTCAGAGTTGGGACCATGAATGAATCAAGACTTATGGTAAAATGGATATCGCAATGCAAAACTCTAAAATGCAAACTATTCATACATCTTCATTATTTATACGGCTGAACCCCCCAGCCTTTTTTATTGATCCCTTGTCTCTTGAACATTAGGATTTCGCTCATAACGCCAACGCTTTCCATTCTCCTGCACATGCCACCTTGTCATAAAAGCACCCTCCTCCACCCACTGCGCCCACTCAACACCCCATTTCTTCTCCACAGAGTCCAAGAAGGAAAGATAGTCAAAGGCCTGAATGGGGTCCTTTTCTAACGGGTCGACTGAGAGGTCGCTGAGTCGCCACTCGGTGTTGTCGATGAGAGGAACGCTGAGGTGACGGTCGGGATGGCGGACGTCGCGCACGTTGAGCATGGCTCGGCCGGGGTTGACGACGGTGAAGTGCCATTGTGCTTGGCCTGTTTGGTTGTTGACCATTTGCATAGGGCGCAAAAGGGACTGGCCTTCGTAGTTACCGACCAGTGACTCAGCAGCTTTACGGCTGACGCCTTCGAATGATCCACTCTCAAGCATGAGATCGAGGATTGTAGGAAGGACTTGAGTGGAGTGAACAGCATGCTCAACGTTGAAAGCTGGAAGAGATGGGTGAGAGAAAACAAGCGGGACATGATCAGATCCAACGCTAGGATTGTAGTAAGGAGATGCCTTGCCATTCTCGACCAGCGAGACACCATGATCACCAAGGAAGACGATCAAAGTCTCGTTGGCAACACCTTGATCATCCAACATCTTGAGAACCTTGCCAATCCACTTATCATCGTAGCTCTCAGCGTTGGCGTAATGCGACATCTCATCGATGTCCTTTCCAGAACCAATAGCAGTGTACGTCTCATTCTTAGGAATGCCGTAAGCGTGATGACTCGTGCTGGTGATGTGCGTAAGGAAGACTCGACCATTGTTCTCCTTGGCATCATTGAAGGCGTCTCGCATGTAGTCCTCAAGAGGATCCTCCTGGAAGCCAAAGTAGTTGATGTCCTCCAGCTCAACACGGTGCTTGGCGTTCTCACTGCGAAGAGAGTCTCGGTCCTGGGTGTTTTCCTCGGGATAACCGCAGGCAGCCATGAGCTTGTGATGGTTGTCGTAGTGAATCATGGCGGTCTGGAAGAAGTATGACTTCCACTTAGCAGCTGACTCGTCTTCGGCCTTGTTCATGGCATCGAAGATGTGAGGGAGACAGGGCTGGTAGATGTGACGCTTGTAATCGAGGTTGAAGTCGGCAATGAGGGGGTTGAGACCACAGATGGTGCCAACCAGACTCTTGAGAGTGTAAGTACCGGAGGTGTAAGCGTTTGAGAAGTGAGCACCGCCACGCTTGGGTGTCTTGTCGTGCTTGAAGCCATCGTCGTAATCGCCAGTGACATACCGCGCGTTGGGCATCAGATTCTTAAGTCTCTCCTCGACATCCTCAGGAATCTTCTTATCAGGATAAGACTCCTTGAACTTCTCCCACATATGGCCGCCCTTCTTGAAGGGGAAGATGTCGTTCCTGGTACTTTCGAGCAGGAAGAGCATGACATGCTTGACAGAGACATCCTTGAGCTTATCCTTCAGCTCTTCCAAGACAGGTTGATCGAGGTTGGAGATCTTCATGGGATCCTTGGCGGCGTTGTAGTGAAGTTCGTTGGGTGTATACCAATCCTCAAAGCCAGCTAGAGGCTTACCCTTGGGGAGCCAGTCCATCTTTGGTGGCTCGCCCAGGGCTGACTTTTCATCCCACTGGTGTTGAATGCCGACTTGTTCAAACTTGGAAGGGAGTTGGTCGAGAAGTGGTGCGGTTGATGAGACGTCGACGAAGGGGAGGAGGCCAGTGGTCCATGAGAGAAAGACAAGTGAACGATCATCGGGGCGTTCGAGCAACAAGACCAACATAGCGATGGTGAAGAGAGACCAGAAGAAGTATGGCATGCCGTAGTGAATGCGCCTCACGGTTGAAGGCTGCACTCGAACGCCGAAAGTGCTGACTCGTTGCGAGATTCGAGAGTATAGAGTTTGCGACTTGCCATGTTCGACAAAGTCCTCCAGCCAAGCTTCATCGTCAACATCGTCGTACTGGTTGTCCTCGGCAACGACAGGTTCGGGATCGGGAAGAGGGCTGTAGATGTTTCGCTTTCTCAGGAATCGGTTTGTCGCAGTTCGTGCCATAGCCCAAGGGAAATGGATCATGTCCGCACCCCATCCAAACACTCTATAACACACATTTTGGAGCAGCCAAGCAAGGACGATCAAGCAAGAAGCGACCAAAATGAAGGTCACGAGACCAGAAAGGAAGATGGCTCTTGATGTAGGATCGGACACGAGGTTGAGGTTTCGCCAGTGGATCTCGGCGCCGGAGACAAGGTAAAACGTGATGGATACTAACGATAGAGCGACGTTGTATAATATTAATAAACCAGCGACTGCTGTAGTGGCGTAGTGTAGTATTTGGTTCCGGGGAGACCATTGATCGAGGAGGAGTCGAATTAAAAGAAGGACGAGAATGTCTTGTATGAAGAATGTACTGAAGAAGGTGAATAATCGACCAGTAGCGACAGCATTTCGGTGGCTGTGGATATGGGCGAGCTTGGATGCCAAGAGGGCTGAGACAGCAAAAGTAAAGATGAATGGGCGATTGGCAAGACGAGCGCCCAACCTCGTGAGCCAAGATGGTATGCAGACCATGTTTGTAAAATAGCCAAAGACAAAAGATAAATGAGAGGATAAGAATCACACGTTCTTTGTAACTGATCACATATAATGCTTTAAAGAAAATTCACCTCAGAGCTAATAGCCAAGCACCATGATCGCCGTTTCGTTCTAGAAGAAAGACAAGAAAACTCGAGACAAGAAAAAGAAATTGTGGAGAAACAACCGGGAGCCCGGGACTATTATAGCGATTTTTCTTTACTACCTACGCCCATGGCTTTAATTAGCTGCAGTGTCTACCTAGAAGCCCTGACCGAGAAAAAGCCCCCCTTTACGTTATGTAAAATAAAAAGACGAGCAAAGGATCGCTCGCGTGCGTTGTTTCCTCTTTGCTTTGGTTAGCCCTCTGGCTAATCTCGTGTTACGGATTTCGGCACCGTCTGCTTATGGATTGGAGGCGTGTGATTGGCGGAGAAGGGGCATTCACCTGTTTTTAGGGCGAGCCGAGGGGCCGAGTTTCAGTGCGAGCTAAGCCCACTGAGAAAAAGGGGGCAGTGTTGGGCTAGAACTCTAGTGTTATTGGTCGAGGGTACACGGAGACTAACATAGTATGGTATGATGGACCGCAGAAGCTCGTTTAATCTTCTGTACCGAGGTCGTATAGAAAGAGTGCATCACGAGACCAATTTCTTTCTGCTGCATAGTGGCCGAGACTCCGTTCCGTGTGGATGAGGGCGCTAAAGAAGAAAAACCCTTGCTCGGTTATTCCCGAATCTGGACCTGAAAATGAGAGAGGAGCTGCAGCCCTAACACCTCATGTCATGTCATGTCATTGCACGCTTTTTACTGACTCTTTCGTCATACCCAAGGTAGCATGCCAGATGGCAACAAGGTTTCTTTCACATGGTTTCCCCCTTGGTGTAGGTAGGGAGTATCCAAAGCCGTGATCCGAAGTAAAAGTCAATATTCATGTTCGGTATGTATAATGGGAGAAACAGAACAAAGTGCATTATCCCTCGTTTCAAAGGACAATGCATAAACGAGCGAAATTGGTGGGGTCATCGCTTCCCAAATGGCCTGAGTCATAAGTTCTGCCTACCAACAGCTCAGCCCAACTCGGCTCAGCCTCTGTGCTGGCATTCCTTCCATCCAACGTCAGCCACTGACACCAGAATCCTTCCTTCGTGTAGATCATAAAAAAGGTCCCTTCTGCTCTCGCCGAGGAAGGTGCCAAGGTGGCTAAAAACAAGGGACCGGCTACATCGGAAATGGTGTTCTTGTCGCGGAATAGCGGCATGACATTTTGCAGGGGAGGTCCTAGAGTCTGGAATCAGTCCCGCCCCTGGGGCAGTGGGGAAGAGTGACAGTGATGGGTTGCAGTAGATCATCCCACTAGAGAGAATTAGTGCATCGCGGCTAAACGCCAGAATCTTTATGATTTGCTCAAGTTTTTATCCCTTGTTTCGGTATTCATGTCATTGGATAATTCTATACGACTGTAAAGTGTGGCAGAGAGTTAAAGCTGGTCACTACCGTCTATTTAATTAAGTGATGAACAACTAGAAAGTTTTTCCGGGATGGCTTTAGACTTTACCGTCCGGCTACACGGAAATGAAGAACCTCACGTATGATTGGCTACTGAGCTGTCAGTCCAGGGTAGTTAGAACCGTTCCTGGCATTAACACCAAAACAGAAAATGGTCACGAGCTCCAGCTGGGAATAGTCTCTGAATGGCCTTCTCGTATTTGATGACTTATGATACCATGGGGAAACATCATTCCGCTATTGAATTTAGCGCATCGCGGTCCGCGTTTTGTGGATTCGGGACCCCGGAAGGTCTGCAGTTACCGAATCTCGGTGGTTTTACATGGCCTGCGGGCTGTCAAATCCAGGGGTCCGGAATTGCCTTTAACATGTTATACGAGATAAATGACGCCCCATAACAATTGTTCCTAGTGTCAAGGGTAGGTGATTTCTCAATAGATCTGGAAAGAACACTGCCCATCGAGTAGCAGAGGATGTTGGACAACAAATGCCTTTCTGAATATTCGAGAGTATACTGATCTTACTAACAAAGGATAGTGAGACTGAGCAATGTCGTGCTATGCATTACTTGAGGTTTATTTATCTTTCATTCTTGGTACCAGTGCTGCTATTTCTTGCTGGCACATCGCGCTTGTCTAGTAATAGGTAACTCCTGACCTAACAATCAGTAGACCCCGTATTCCAGCTGCATGTCAGATCAAAGATCCTTTCACCTTGCCAGATCAGGCAAATTCTCGTTTTTTCCCTCACGATTCTCGTAAGCGGCCCCTGCTGCCCAACTCATAATGGCCAAGTTATTATATTGTTTAGCACTGGTATGTTCCTGCAAAGGACGAAGGGCGCTTATGGCCGAGAAACAAGTCTCCTATTGCGGTAGTGCCATGCTTCACTCATGATCCGCAGATTTTCTTCCCCTATGCTGTACGCGAGACCTTGTCGTGCCACACAGTGAGTCTAATCTTGTTCTTGTACATTCACGACCTGAGGGAGTATACAACGGTTACCCACCTCGATTAAGCCAACGATTCGATCAACATGCCATAATCACAGTGAGCAATTACAACTTTGACGCCAAGGTAAGTGATAAAATTTCTGGAATACTGTCTCGCTTACCAACTGAAGGCATCAACCTCCAGCTCAAATACAACCTCGCTTGCCTTTCCAACACTAACGACAGCTGAACGAGTACTGTCACAGAGTCCAGGAGGACCACAAACAACAACGCCGATTCTCTTCCAACCCGCCTCAATGTCTTGCTCCAAGAGCGCCCTGACATCCAACCGCTCACCGACCGATATGACCTTATCTGCTATCTCGCTCAGTGCTGGGTCGAGGTCCTGCAAAAGCGGCCGGGAAGACCCTTTCAAGCTCCAAGCTAGTTTGACATTCACGTGCGCACGTGTCCACGAGAGGATGCCAGTGATACCAATGCACCACCGATAAGCAGTACGCGATCGCACTTGAGCACATCACGGGTGGTGTTGCCGCGATAAGGGCCCTCGAGCAGGACAGGAAGGTTTGAGTGCTTTCGTAATAGACTCGTGGTGCCATTGTGCTTTTTGATGTAGAGGGAGATGCTGTCAGTACCTGTAACGCTCTGGGATATGACAATTTGAGGAGCCTTCTGGCTCATCTCCACATCACCCGAATGCGATGATGCTCGCTCCGATGTAGACATCTTTTGTAATAGAGCAGTATTGGTGACGGAGAAAGGGTGATTCTGCCAAGGGCGGAACGACTGCAGTGTAGGGAAGTAGATGTAGGCATGGTAGCCTGGCATGGATAGCCATCTGACGCCAGAAATATCCAGGCGGACGACCTCATCGGACAACTCGACGACATTGGCTCGTCGGACACCGAATTTCGCCACGCGTAGCACACGGAAGAGACGATCAAAGAACCAGACAGCACAAACCATGTATATCCATAATTCGTAAACTCCAGAGAACGGTTTCCAGAAGTAGATGTGGTACCAGCAGCCGACAATGGCGAAAGCAGCGAGGAGAATATGAAGGGCGAGAAATACTTCATATGAAGCGCGACGAAACCACAGAACGCTCTGAACTAGAAGGAGGACTAGACATAGTGTTCCAACGATACCCCAGATCCAATAAGGCTTGTGGGCATCTGTATAGTAGGTTCCAAGGCTGATGTAGGCGGTAAGGAGGGTGATGGAGTGAACGATCGCATGAAGCGCGCAGAGACGGGCCACCCAGCGGTGAAGGACCAGAAAGGTCGAGAAAGGCCAGTCAGTGATCCACAAGAGGATATTGTTGCGCGAAGAGAAGAGGACTGTGAGTGGCAACAGGGCAAAGGAGATATGGCCTGTTCGATAGCCGACGTATGCTAGTAGCTCGGCTGACTCGTTGAAGCCCCAGGGGTGGGGGTATGGGAAGTTCTTGTAAGACATAGCGCCGAGGATGATATTTAGGATAATAAACATAGCAATCCAGAGTCCGTTGGCGTATTGCCGAGGAGGAAAGGCAGTGGGCGGATGTTGTAGCCGCGAAAGGCAGATGGGTAAACAAGGTATGGCTTGATCCTATCTATGGCTCGCGTCATGAAGGGGAGGTAGCCCAGAGTCGAGAAAAGGACTGGCGTTGCGACGCCCACAGAGATCAAAACGATACTGGATGGGTAAACCATTAGCGACTGCTTTAGAAGAGTCGGAGCATGTCTGACTTACACATAAGTGGACTGAACAGCTTCCTCCCAGTCGAAAAAGACGTTGAAATCATACTGATACTGATAATCAGCATCTGCAATAAGCGCTGTGTAGTTTAACTTGTCGCCCGCGATATACGTCCTCCTGGGAGACGCTGTCACATTCGCAAGCGCGGCGCCATAAGTCCATTGAGGAGATACAGTCTTGTCCCCAGTAGCTTGTTGCGCCCAGTATGCTTCAAGCTTTGAGGACGATACTTCTGCGCAGCGAGTGCTAATGCAATTTGCGAGAGTGCGTAGAAAGTCGCCATTCTTTGCGATGCAGGGCGCCGTTGGTGAACCACCGTGTGAGTGCTCGCTCAGATCCATGCTACCGTGGTCCATTGATGGACAATCAAGAGGTGCATTGCCGATTATGGCGCGACAGGCGTATGCGCAGGGAGGATCATACCATGACTGGCCATAGCCTATGAGACCTGTCTTATAGCCATTCGCTGTACGCACCAAGAGGGCCAGTAAAGCGGCAACAAACGACCGCATTCTGACGCCGAGGGCGGGTCGAAATCTCAAATAAAGTATTAAAGTTAAATAATGAAGCCTTGAATGGGGAAGCAGTGGTTATGTAGGGCTGAAATGGGGTTGCATGGGAAGCTTCTTAACTCTACAAGGGATACGCCGACCAATGCTAGTCGCGATAACTCGAACCCTCATAATCGGTAAACCAATGAGTGTTCCAATATTACTATTTAATAAGAGGCATCATGCGCAAACAAACTCATTTAGTCAAGCCATGTTCAACGCCAAGGCCAAAGAGTGCAATGGTGCCAATGATAAGAGGGTTATAATATGCGCAAACTTGCTCATGGCGTTGAACGAAGCAGCCTCCTTCTGGTCACTAACGAATTGTATCGCAGCGATTACATGCATTGCAACCTCAAAGTCTTATTCGGCTATTTTATAAAGATGAAACACAATTTAAGCACAATAGTCTCAATGCGAGAGATCCAACTACTTAAGACAGCCAATCAAGTGACTAGAAGTTGAGTTGAAGAGACCTGTAGCAAGACATCACGGCGATAAATGTGTGAACCTCAAGATAGGCGATGGTATATGATAAAGTAGTGTTCATAGTTGGTTTGAGCATCTCAATGAAGTCTTGCTATGTTACACTTAGAAAATAAAGACCTGCCAAAAATGACCATCCCGGATACAGCCAATACACGCTGACGCCATCAATCGCTCTTGTAATTCTCGAAATGACGAGCAGGAATCTTCTTCTCAAACATGATATCAAGCTCATGGAATGTCCTGCCCTTGGTGCCCGGGACATCCAAGTAGACAGCCAGAATCATCAACAGCGTCATACCAAGGAAGACCCAACCGATATGACCACCCATGTTACCTTCATCCTTGTTGAACATGTACGGCAGCACAGTCACCCATACAGTGCTAGTGATAGCCTGGAATCCGAAAGCGATACCTTGAGACTTGGCTCGCAATCTGGAAGCAGACACTTCACCAGCCACAGCGAGACTTGATCCGATGGCCGGACCGTAAGCAAGACAAGTGAATTGCATGACGATACCGATAGCCAACAGAGTCTTCTCGGACTGGGGACAAGCAGCTGCAATACCCATGATCAGATAGATGATAGCGCAGATGGTCATGCCGACGAACATCAATGGTCGATGTCGGAAGAGAGTCATCATGTAGATGTTGATCAACGACGACAGGATAGAGACAACAAGACCGATTTGCATAAGCTTGATGATCAAGCCACTGCTAAGACCAGTCTGGTTGAGGAAGTATGGAGCATTGGATGACAAGCTCGAACCAACAATCTGAGGCATGTACATGCAGATCAGAATAATCCTTGTACGGCGCCAATTGCTACCCCTGAAGCATTCCAGGAACGAAGCCTTCTCGCAGGAGATGAGTTTCTCAGCCTCGACAGTCTCTTCCATGTGCCTGATACGAGCATCGAGGTCTTCGTCTTTGGAGGAGAGCTTGGCGAGGTGCTTTAAAGCAAGATCGCGCTTATTCTTCATGATGAGATAGTATGGAGACTCGGGAAGGAATGGGAGACCGAGGGCGAGAATTCCGGGGAAGACCCATGCAGCGGCGAAGACGACGCGGAATGCTGATTCGTTCATGATCGTGACGCGAGCGTAGGTTGTGGAGATGGCAATCAAGAAGCCGACGTTCTGCACATAGAATTAGCGAAGTGACAAGATCCTTGATCGAGGGGCCATACCATCATAAGAATGTTGAGAGACAACGCAATACCACGTAAAGGCAAAGGTGTAATCTCAGAGACATAAGTCTGTGTAGTCGACTGGAACGCACCAACAGCAAAACCAGAGATGATCTTGGCCCCCATGAACTGAGCCGGTGTTTCAGCTAGATAAGCCAGAGTGATACCGCAAGAAACGATTATGATGCCAGCGAGGAACACAGCGCGTCGACCGAGTTTGTCTTGGACGAAGCCGGCGGAGATGGAACCGAAGAGTTGCATGATGTTGTAGGTGGCGTTCCAGAGGGATTGCCAGTATGCTGGGATGATGAGGTTGCCGTCGACGGGGCTGGCGAACTTCATCCTATGATTGTGTTAGCCTGAATCACGAGATAGGTTGTAGAGATTGAGCTTACTGGAAGGCTGGGAGAGCTAGACAGACAGCCAGAGCAAGGTTTTCGTAACCAACAAGAGTAGCACCCACTATTTCATCCAGTCAGCACTCATCCATTGCCAGTCTCGACAGTTATTCGGAACTCACAATTTGCGTAAAGAGCCCATAGAATGGCCTTCGGGTTCTTCTTCGCACATTCCCAAGTCGTCATCTCGTGATCCCTCACAGCAACAGCATCCTCAGCATGAGACACCTCAGCCTTCTCAAGCCTCGCATCGTTGTCAAAATCTTGCTGAGTCATTTCGACAGTATAAGAAAAGAAAGAAGTGGTGATGTTGAATTGTCCACTGTAGAGTTTGTGGATGTTGAGATGAGAATACGAAAAACCCTGGACTCGATCGCCCCTTTATCACTTTCGTTTTGACCAACTGGAGACGTGAAATATCTGGCTTTTGTTAGTCTTAGTGGTTTACCCCAGCGGTCTGGACTCCTCTCGTGCGGGGTCCCCGCGATCTGGGGAGAAGTCGGGTTTTCCGGGCGTGGACTGTGGACTAGGATATCCCGACCATGGTCGGTCATCGGGGTAATTGTGAACGCTCGCTGCATCACAAACCGAACGAATGCGCAGGTTTATCTTGTTTAAGCTTCTATTAAGATAAGCTCAAACAAGTTATTGTGTTGAAACAGTTGCAGAGACATCAGCATCCTTGTCTGTCAGTCAACATGGAGAAATCACACGAGACCCACAACCCTCCCAAGTTCGTCACTCCAAAACGAATCTTGCGAACTTCCGGAAGTGTGAAGACTGGGCATGAAGTATTGCCCTTTACATTGAGCAATTTCGACTTAGGGAGTAAGGCTGAAGCTATCTTGGACTATGGGCGCTGCGAGGGCGGTTTCCCCGTCTTCGCTATTGCGTCTGTATCAGCGCCTGAAGGACAGCAACAAGTCAAATTCCAAGTCACTTACAGCGAGACGATAGAGGGAATTGACAATGAAAATGGTATAGTAACTTCCACTACATGCCTTGTAGTGCGTCAAAACTAACTGGATTTACAGGTGATGGCCCATTCTTTTTATTCTCCAATGCCATGGATAGCTATCGAGTCTGCGAACACCACGCCACTGTCATGAACGAAACTCAAACTGTGAAGCCTCGATCCACTCAGGCATCGCAGAGGTATCAAAAGATCACCTTACTCGACCCAAATACAAGCATCGTAATCTCCAAAGTCGGCTTCCAAGCTGTGCGCCCCGAAGCTTCAGTCAAAGCCAACTTCCATTGTTCTGACGAGAAGATCAATCGTATTTGGAGAGATGGTGTTCGAACAGTTGACATGTGCACTGTCGCTCGTGAAGAGACAGTTCCAGCCTGGGACGTCACTGATGAGGGCACTCGCGTTTACGGAAGCCATTGGGCTCCTTGTAGACAGGGCACAAGATGGAGGAATTACAAGGTCACGTTCAAGACAAAGGTTGAGGACAATGGTGCGACTTGGGCAGTTCGGATGATCACCAACGGCCTAATATTCTGCTTAGATGTCCGGAGCAGAACGCTGATGGCTGTTGAGGGACTGTCGAACAAATCATCGATTCTGCCCTCAACCGAGAGAGGGTCATGGGAGCTACCAGAGAGCCTGGACCTTTCTGGATGGTTGGCCATCGAGACAATCGCGGTGGAAGATCGCGTTACAGTCACGATTGAAGGCCATGAGGTCGCCACTGTCAGAGACATCTACATCAAGGCGATGCTTGGTAACACGCTCATCAACACCGGATCTGTCGCGTTTGGCGGACCGCCCGGTTGGATTGCGCTATATCGCGATCTATCAGTTGAGGATCCTAGTGGCCAGACTCTTTATGGGAATTCGTTGTTACAGGCCGGTGCCAATCGTACTTACGACGACTTCCAGGTCGGCACTAACAAACTCGCCTGTATCATTGACGGTGCAAAGCGAGATAGGGCTTCCTTCGGTGGTGATGCCTTCGTCACTGGACGATCTATCGCATACTCCACTACTGACTTCGAGGCCTGGAAAGAAACGATCCAGCTCTTGCTAAGTCATCAAACCAAGGAAGGTTACCTGGGTAATCTATGTCCTATCCAGGCGCCGGAGCATGATGGGCCAGACGACCCGCCATACTACGGCCACTACTCGCTGACATATGCACTTCTACTGGTTGTCTCAATCAAGGACTACTGGCTGCACTCGGGTGATTGGTCTCTCGTGGAGAGGTCATACCGTCAACTGGAACGACAGATGGAGTTTACGAGGGGGTTCTTGAACTCTGACGGGCTGGTGCAAGCACCGCCGTATCTTTCGAGTATGTTCTTTTCCGCCATGTTACTTTTCCATGTACTAATAGTGAACAGTGACGTGGTTCCCCATGGGCGGGCCTGTTTTTGGTGTTTCACTTGGTCTGAACCTTGCATATTTAGATGCTCTTGAAGCTATGGCATCAATGTCTACGGACAGCAAGACTGCATCCCAGTTTTCCTCCCAAGCATCGAACCTGAAAGACTCATTGATTCGCATACTCTGGAGTAGTGAGCGAGGCACTATGCGACCTGCTCTGTCTTTAGACCCTGAAGGAGTCTTCCAAGACGTCAATGCGTATGCAGCGACTTTAGGTGTAGCTCCAGACCATTCAAAATTGGTAGATGGTATCTTTCCATCCACTGAATCCCTTCCATCAGCGTTTCGAGATCTTGAGAGCTGGGACAGGTTTGGACTTACTAGTCCCTACGCATCCGGATTTGCATTAGAAGCTCTCTTCGCCAAGAACGAGGGTATCAAGGCAAGAGAACTATTATCCCTGGTTTGGGGCGTCATGGCAGACCAGGATAGTCCAAACTACTCTGGCGCTCACTGGGAAGCCATGAAGACTGACGGTACACCTTTCAATCACGACGTATCGCTGGCTCACGGATGGTCTTCATGGCCAGTCTTTTTGTTACCCAGATATCTTGCTGGGGTTTATCCTCTTGAGGCGGGGTGGAGAAGAATTGGCGTTGAGCCTGTTCTTGCAGGTTTGGATGAAGTGGGATATTCACTTGAGACTCCCCAAGGGTATCTTTCTGTGGCAGTGCATATAAACGAGAAGAAGGGTACAGGTACTATAAAGCTATTGGTGTCTCTGGGTAGTTTGGCGGTAGTTAAGGCTCCGAAAGGCTGGGTTTTGGACAGTGACGGTGTCATTGAAGGCTCTGGGACAGAGATATCTGTAAAGCTGTCAAAGGACGGTTTATGATAGTGTTCCATCAAGCATAATACAATTTCTATCAGTTTTGCATATTGACCCAACATAATTCGCTGCCATTGCCATCGTATATTGACCAACCCAGTCTCGTCTCGCCCGTCTCCGAATCTCGACGTACAGTCAACTGTATCATTGCAACCATCATCCTTCACAAGCGTCCTCCTTGAATTGATCGATATTAGCTAATGCAGCGAGCGCACTAACTGCGTACGCAAAGACCGCGAAAATCATCAATACCCTTTCGCCGCGTGACTGAACGTAGTGCTGTGGGTCACAACAACAGTCCGGATAACCCGAGTATGGGGCGGAGGGGTGAGTGCCCCCACAACGTCGCTGTGGAAGACGCCTGGACTCGGCTTCTTGGAGCGGCATAAGCGCCACCTGAGAGATGCGCAGTCATATATACACATTTAGAGCACCGCTGTAGCGCATGGTATACACAGTAAAGACGAATTACGTTTAGAAGCTATGGATGTCCAAGCTACTCTCAAGAGTTTATCTCTGGAAGAAAAGGTCAGGCTACTGTCCGGCACACCAGACGACTTCGTCTCAATTGAAGGCATACCCAGCAAGGGTATTCCACCACTCAAGGTCAGCCTCAAGTAATCCATTCTCGCAGTGTGACTACTAACACATTCACTAGACAGCTGATTCAATCAGTGGAATACGGCCCAGTGAATTCAACAGTACACTCACAACAGCATGCTTCCCAAATACAGCCTGCATAGCCTCGACATGGAACACAGACCTCCTGGAGAAGATGGGCGTTGAGCTTACTCGCCAAGCAAAGATCAAACATGCGCAGATGATCCTTGGTCCGACTATTAACATCCAGAGGGATCCTCGCGCTGGACGCAACTTTGAGTGCTTCAGTGAAGATCCGCTTCTCTCGGGGTACATGGCTGCGGCTATTGTAAACGGTATCCAGGGCCAGGGCTATGGAGCCTGTGCAAAGCATTTCGTTTGCAATGACTCTGAGACCCAAAGGCGGTATTACAATGTGGATGAATCTCCGAATGGGCGGGCGTTGAGGGAGATTTACCTCGCTGCTTGGTCATTTCTCTTGAAGAGATCAAGCCCAGAGGGTATCATGACAGCGTGAGTATCACCAATCTCAATTCTGCTATCGGTGCTAAAATATTGCCAAGATACAACAAGGTCAATGGGACTTTCTGCTGCGACAACGAATCTCTGATCGAGGACATTCTCCGGAAGGAATGGGGTTACAAAGGCATCGTCATGTCAGATTGGTTCGGCACTCGCTCAACTGTGGCGGCTATGAAGGCTGGCGTCGACGTTGAGATGCCTGTGCCTGTCTTTAGAGGCGAGAGGCTTGTCAAAGCTGTAGCTGCTGGCGAAGTCAGCCAAGAGGTGATCGATGCCAGCGTCTCAAGGCTTCTCGAGTTGCGTAACCGCACGCAAACGGCACAGAGCGAAGGACCTGAAAAGTCGGAGATCGTCCAAAAGACCAATGATATCGCTCGCCAACTCGCCCAAGAAGGAATTGTTCTTCTCAAGAATGACAAACAAACTCTGCCACTGCCAGCATCCACCGGCTTGATAATCGGAGTCGTTGGGGAGTACGCGAAGAAAGCTGTGTTCACTGGTGGTGGTAGTGCATCATGTAACCCTCAGTATCGCCAAGTTCCACTCGATCTCTTGCAAGAAGCGCTACCAGATGAGAATAAGATCTCACACGCAAGTGGTGTTCGTATGCGCCGTATCATTCCGACCGTACCAGCGGAGCTCGTCACGACGGACCAGGGAAAAAAAGGCGTCGAGGTCTCTTATCACAACGCTGGTCAAGATGAGCCAGTTCTCATTGAGACTTTGGAAGAAGCTGCTATTAATCTCATGGCTCAAGGCAAGCCGGGGCTCAAGACACCTGGCTCTCATGTCAAGATGACTACTAACCTTATCCCGGAGAGTACTGGAACTCACACGCTCGCGCTTCGTCACTCGGGGTCTTTCACTGTTGAGGTTGATGGCGTCTGCGTGCTCAAGGGTGATGCACCAGATATCACAACCGAGCAGTTCCTGTTCAACCTGATCAAACTCGAGTCTCGTGTCGAGCTCCCAATGGAAGCAGGAAGGCCGTACCACATCTCTGTCACCATGCAATCGAGAGAGCCTGTTGTTGGCGAACCTACTCCATATGGCCTTACCCTTGCGTTCGAAGAAGAATACTCCGAAGAACAAGCTATATCAGAAGCAGTCGAAGTTGCAAAGTCATCTGACATCACCATTATCTACGCCGGTCGCAGCGAACAGTACGAGTCAGAAGGGTTTGACTTGGAGGAGATCACTCTTCCCGCTAACCAAGTCGCCATGATCAAGGCAGTCGCCGCTGCCTCGAAGAAGACAGCTGTTCTTCTTCACTGTGGAAACCCGATCGATATCAGTAGCTTCGTTAGTGACGTCGATGCTATAGTGAATATGCACTTCCCAGGCCAGGAAGGACCACAGGCTATGGTTGACATCTTGACTGGAAAGGTGAACCCCAGCGGGAAGTTGACGGCAACTTGGTTCAAGACACTAGAAGACTGGCCTAGTTTTGGAAACTTTCCTGCACTGAAGGATGTGAATGGGGAGTTCAGTATCAAGTACGCTGAGGGCTTGGAGATCGGATACCGAGCCCGGGTGCCGGAGAGCCGGGTTCAATTTCCCTTCGGCCATGGATTGTCTTACACTTCATTCTCATACGCCAGTCTCAACGCCAAATTGGACGCCTCCTCGAGTCCTTCTGTTCTCACAGTCAGCGTTAGTGTAAAGAATACTGGTAGCGTCGGTGGCAAGGAAGTGGTGCAAGTCTACACCTGCCCTCCTGAGAACGGAGCTAATTGGAGGCCGACTCGAGAGCTGAAGCGATTCACCAAGGTTCATCTCTCACCTGGCGAAACCAAAGAGATTTCTATCCAGATTGAGGTCGATACTTTCAATAGCCATTGGAGTGAGGGTTCGCTTGCTTGGGCAGTGGATAAGGGCGAATATGCTGTGGAGGTGGGAGGACAGCGTGCGACTTTTGTCATTTAAATCGGGTATGGCTCAATAGACCCCAAGGTACTTTTATAACCCATTCACTATTTTCATGTTGAAATTCTCATAAGCTATATAAAGCTTGATACACGATGTAATAATTGAATTGTTGTGATGTTGACATTACTAGTCATGTCAACCATGAATAGCAGTGACATTAACATACATACTTACTCACAGCCTATGCACGCCAGGAAAGTTGAGGGGTTTCTGGTTTTAACATACTAGAATAAATTACATAAAATGTTCGGTACATTAAAGCAACAGTAAAGAGATAATTCATTCGTCACGTCCACTGTCTATAGCTCTGCTACCTCGACTCCAATGTCCTTACAGACTTCTAACAACTTAGACTCTTCCCAGTCTCCAGCCTCATCGGGTAGCACGAATCCCTCAGCAGGAGATCCAGCATTTTGAATCACCTCTTCAATTCCCCGACCATTTGCAAAGGACCAGGCACGGACATATCTACTTCCAAAGTCCAAAGTGAAAGTTTCACCCGCCGCAATAACCACCGTCTGACCCTCTCTTACTTCGTTCCAAGAACTGTTATCCCCCGACTTGATCTTCACCCGGAGAAGGCCTTCTTGAACGATGAAGCAATGATCAATAGAGGCAAATGTGAGCCATCTACTCAGAGGTGACTTTCCATAGACACTCGATGACTCAATACTCGACATTGAGAATTTGCCACCGGATTGGGATGAGATAATGAATGGTCTTGACATAACACCTCCCAGAAGCCATCTAGGTCCAGTATTGGCACGCAAGAAGTAGGCTTCCCCAGGGCCAGCAAGTTGGTTCTCAGACTCTAGCCAATCGCCAACCTCTGGTGGCTGGTAGTCACGCTTGAAGTGAACGTCGAATCTGTCCTTGGCCGCCATCATCTTCTGCATGAGCATTGACTTGATGTCTCGGTCGTCGGTCTCAGGAACCAGAATGCCATTGTATGTCTCGCCGACATATCTGAAGAAGTCAACCCAGTCACCTGGGGCCACCAAACCGACAGTTTCAGTATGGGGCCCGAGAAGTAGAGGATTGTGGATAACATGCTAGCACCACGTTAGTTGATGATACAGAACGGGTTGGCGCGGTATCGAAACTTACAGGAGGGATATAAGCAAAGTCACCAGGGCCCATGATTCGGCACTTATCACCACTCCATAGCTTCAAGAAACCCTTTGTCACAAGAAAGACATCATGAGCTTCCTCATGCCAGTGAAAACCAGGGGCATCCGCCAAGACGGCGCCACTAGTAAACACAGCCATGCCGCCATTGGTTTGCTTTGATGAAGCAAGGATTCTGAAAACACCCTTGCTGCCAGGAATGCTAATGCGCTCTCCTTCGAGCTGATCGATCATGTAACTTGTCCTCTCATTGGGAGGGGATGTATGTAGAGGGACGCTCATGGTGAAATTGGGAATAGCGCAGACCGGAAAATTTGTGTGGTTCAGTAGTCAAAGAAATTGCCAAGTATTGGTGAATTTGTGTTCTTGCGTAGGCATGGCTGGTATCATTAGCAGGACCCTCTACTCTTCTATTCCTTTGAGCTCCCACTTCCCGATCCCCACATCACGATACTGAGGCGTTGGAGAACCCCGCATCCTCCCCGGACTTTCCATCTCTACCCCTCAAACTAACTTCAACCATTGGACTCACTGACGAAGCTCAACTTGGAGGACCGGAAAAGCCGCAACTCTAGTACGGGGTCCACTTCTTCGGACGGCATCACCGGCACGCTGATTCACAGAAGCAAATCGGTACCGAGGCTGCTGTTTACAGATACCTTTGATAGACACCAGATCTTGGCTCAAGCTTTATTGAGTGCCTGCGTTTTTGACCTCATGGGAACAGAAAATGATTACTCCAACTTCGTTTCGAGCTGTTTACAAGCAGCTGAGCGAACAAGAGATTGATGTTGACATCTATCTGCCTCCAATCACCAATAACTCCGCAAAACACCCCGTCCGTAAGTTTAAAGCATTCTACCGTCTTTGCATCCATGCTGATAGCCTTGACGTAATCAACATCCATGGAGGGGCTTTTATGCTCGGGTCCTCCAAGATGGTCAACAAAGACCAGGTATCAGATTGTCTAAGCAGAGGATGGATAGTGCTAGCCCCAAATCATCGTCTTTGTCCTCAAGTCAATCTCCTAGAGGGTCCTATGCAGGACTGTCGAGATCTTCTGGCCTGGGTTCATGACGGAGGTCTCGAAACAGCGCTACGCAGACAGGCGGCCTCGACACTGGTACCAGATCTCGATCATGTCTTCGCCTTCGGCACCTCGTCTGGTGGACATTTGGCACTTTGTTTGGTAAGTTAACTTCACTCGAGGTGCGCATTGTAACTGATTCACGTTTATAGGGCTTTGGGGTTCCTCGTCCAGTTGCAGGAATTTACGACATGTATGGACCTTGTAACTTCGCCGATGACTTCTGGACAACAAAGCTTCCTAACATGAAGCTACCACCAGGACTTACAGACTCATTCCTCAACAAGGTATTTGACGAGGACCCAGTCCCCATCACTGGAGGGGTCTCTCTAGAAGGCCAAGCAACGGGGCCTCCAGACTTTAGTGATCCGCGCCAAGCGTATGCTCTGACGCAATTGGCAAACGGTACTGTCCTTGATGCAATTTTCCCTTCGAAGGACTGGAGCAAAGTCGACCCAGCGTTGAATGTTCACTCTTCATTTCCGCCGACATTCATTGTCCACGGCGCAGCAGATACGAAAGTCCCGATTCATCTGAGTAGAAAGCTTTTGGAGGCTCTGAAACAGAATGGTGTTCGATGCGGGATGGTGGAAGTTCCTGGCGAGGAGCATACTTTTGCGGCCAAGATGGAAGTGGGTTCAGATACTTGGAAGCTCCAACGTCAGGGCTTTGACTTTCTCGAGTCTTTGATATCATAACATTCTTGGGTTCATTTGTATCCACCACGGCCCCATTATTTCTGTGAACCCCATATAGGACGCTCTAAGTTAGAAGCGAATGTATGGATGCCGTTGCTCTGTCGCTAATTACGGTATATACCTCTTCCTCGAGGTTGACATCATAGGTTCAGTCCCTGGATTCCGGGAAGTTTCTTCAAATTACTACGCTTTCTTGACATATAAATAAAACCCGTGGATGTTGCTACGTAACCAGGAAAATCTATTCTGTGAAAGGACTGCGCTTTACTGCATCTTCAACGACCTCAAACGCATCGTAACCATAAAGCCAAGGCTGAACCTGCGGGCAAGTCCACCTACTCGGGAACGGACCTCTCAGTTCCTCAGCGCCCAACTGAGACAGGAAAGTCTCATCGCGGGCTTCTTGAGCTGGTCCATCGGGCATATGAAAAGATTCTCGCTACAGAAAAACGAGAGGTCAGTTGCAAACACCCATTGTTTTGAATAGTGAACCCATACCTGCTTGAAGGTTTCCCTAACGATAGCTTCTCCACGCGATTTGCGTAGCGCTTCGTACATAGAGAGAGCTTTTGGTAGTTGATCCTTTGACTTGATATGCCCGAGAAGCAGGCCCAGAACTGCACCATCTTCAACAGCGGAGTTAGCGCCCTGGGCCAGGTAGGGTAGCATCGGATGGCAAGCATCACCACTGAGAAGCAACATGTTAGTATGGTAGATCGATGTTGGCATATACCAACGTGGACTTACACGAAGACGAAGTTTGAATCGTCGTTGATCCATGAATCAAGTTCTTCTCCTAGAATCACTGTTAGCTACCAGGCACGGCACATGGACATCTGGCATCACATACTGTGCATCAGTTTCCACTTGTCAACCTTATCGACCTTGCTGAGAAACCTTCCAAGGATTGGATCCCAGTCGTTGAACAACAGTCGCATTTCCTCCACTGAGCCAGCCTGTCGACTAATATCCGATGGCAGATCGTCAGGAACGAGAAGCACAATGTTATACATCTGGCCACCACGCATTGAGTAGCCGACGGCATGTGCGCCTGGGCCGATCCAGAAGTGCACTGTCGGGCGCTCAACCCATTCTCGAAGCTCCGGATCATCGAGTTCCTTCACATCCAAGACTACCCGATACGCTAAGTCCCCAGTCGGCTTGGGTTTATCGTCACTTCCGAGGAACTTGGACCGACACTTGGACCAGAGTCCATCAGCCGCAACGATGAGGTCGCCGGTGTACTTCGCCCCGGCCTCGGTGGTGACCTCGGGGATGCTGAAATCAATGTTGTGTACTTTATCCCCAAGCTTGAACTGAACGCCGAGCTGTTTCGCCTTTTCGTATAGGGCGAGCTGGAGGTCGACTCGGTGGAGATCAATGAATGGCGCGCCGTACTTCTTGCGAATATGTTTATGGAAGTCTGGCTCTATAGCCAGGGTTCGGCCGGAGTATCGATGAACGGCTAGGGACGTTGGTTCTGCGGCCGACTGCCACAGTCCATCGGGAAGATCCCATTTCTGGAGAATGCGTGTGCAGTTTGGCGTGCATTGGAGGCCAGCTCCGACCTGGTGAAGTTGTTAGGATCTTTATAGACATATCGATGTTAGTGGATATTTACCTCCAAAAGTTCTTTTGCTGACTCCAGGACCGTGACATTATGTCCTGAAATAGAAATGGAGATCGCTGCAGAAAGACCCGCGAGGCCAGCTCCGACAATGATTACATTCAAGTGGGCATCATTCTTGGTGCTGGTCGGTTGCTGTTATAGTCACGAACAATTAGCCAGAAATATCGGGTCCAGATTTCGAGGTGACATACAGTGGAGATTGGCATCTTGCTTGCAAAATAAGAGTGAGGTTTTTGAACGTTGACGAGGAGAAATCACTCAGTATGCGACTAACCTCGCAGTGTTAATTCATCATGCCTTATATGAAAATGGCCCTCCGAAGTTAATGGATGTAGGGTAGTCAGCAGGCTCCTCGGAAGAACCGAGGTTACATGATCATGCCCGGCTTTTCCGCATCTTGAGAATCCCAAGACTAGCCAAATTTAGTTTAAGAAGGATCTTTCACAGCCAATGAGAGCTCCAAGACAAGATCCAGACCAGCATGGCCCAGCTTGTCGTTCGTGTTACCCCAGATTTGCCTCCCAGCTCGAAATTTACATCTGGGGTCTCCGCACGGCAGGTCTCAAAGCTTCGACATTCTGGGGTATCACGGTGAAGACTTTTGCACATTCCCTCATTATACTGATCCTCTTGTCATGGATGAATCAACGGATTCTCAGGCTCCGCAGGGACAGGGCAGTAGAGCCGCAGCGCAACGTCCAAGGCGGCCACGAGCTGCTCGCGCCTGCGATCTCTGTCGATCTAAGAAGTACAAGTGCGACGAATCTTATCCTTGTTCATATTGCCAAAGTCGGTAACTAAATCTCAAATGTCTGGATACAATATGATGACTGACTGTTGGAAGGTCGCAATGTCGAATGCGTCTACAAAGGTCAGGATATGTCGCGCATGCGCATAACATCAAGGTATATCTGCTTGCGATATCTCCATTCTGCTCTTGGCTCATTCGTGCGACCATAGCTATGTGCGGCAATTGGAAGAGCAGGTCAAAAGCCTGTCTAGCATCGTGGAAAACTATGAGAAGGCAGCGACCGATGGACCAAGTAACAGCCCCGAAGCGATGACGATGAATGTGTCTTCTTCCTTACCAATTGCACAACATACAACAGTAATGGAGGCCTTCCCTACACCCAACAGCACTTCTTCATGGCATACGAGAGAACAAGAGGTCTCTGGCATGAATACTCACACAAGAGATGTCGAATTCTATGGTAGCTCTTCGTCAGTAGCTCTTCTGTCGCATGTCCAGCGAACTGGAGAGGAAGACAATGCTGATGATGATGCGGGCGCTCTTCTTTCTTCTTTACACAACCCTGCTTTTGACCCTAGCGGATCACAAGATACTCAGCGAGGGAGAAGGGGCACTGAAGAGTCGGATCACTCGCCTTGGTACCTCCAATGCCGAAATTTCATAGACGCTTTCTTCTCCACCATCCACTACATCCACCCAATCCTGGACAAAACATCCTTCGTCCAACGCTGCGAGTCCTTATGGGCGGATGAAGGAATAGAGAACAAGAGGATCACAAGTTTCGTGGCTTTGTACTATAGTATTTTATCCATTGGTGCATTGGTTGGAACCAGAGATGACGAGCTTATCGATGGAATGACCAACCTTTCCTGGAGCCGGAAGTTCTTTGATCGAGCCAAGGACTGTTGCAATAGGCTTGGAATGGTTACTGACCTAGATATGGTCCAATGCTACTTTATCCTGGTAGGTAAAACAGTGACTCTGATCTGAGCCAAACTGATGGCCACAGGCCAAAGTTTGTCAGAACGAACTGCATCCACACCGTCAGTTAACCATTGCCATGTCTTACATCAAGTTATACTAACTGTTCCTAGTATCATACATGTATGTCGGCCTTGCTATAAGAACTGCTCTGGCAATGGGCATCAACCGTGAACCGGGACCGAACAGCAAGAAGCCTCCCTCGTTACTGAGAGCAGAGACAAGAACGTGGTGGTACGCAATTCCACGATAGTTTCTAAAGATGATTGAGATACTGATGCTTGATAACAGGGGCCTTTACTCTTTAGAGACGTAAGTATTCTCGACTCGCAGTTCTGTTGTCACAGTTCTAACGCCGTGAAGTGAGATGTCTTTCGCGATGGGCAGACCAGACACTTTAGGAGCGGACCTCTACCATAACCGACGCTTTCCTCGTATCGGAAACGGTCAGAACGAAACCGGGATGGATTCAGAGATGTCCGAACATCCTTGTTGCGCCATCATCGAGCACATGGTGCAGTTCTCTAAAATCACAAGAAGCATTTGCCTTAGCATATATCTACCTGAAACGACGATACCCATGATGGTGGCACTGGCTGGCCAAATTGAGAGGGACCTGGAGGCCTGGACACAAAAGCTTCCCGAGGCTATACGGCCAGCGGGATCATCAACGCAGGTCCCGTCTTTGAGAGGCGTCAGGGATGTTCAGTGGGTAAAGCGACAGCGGCTTGTGTTGAACCTGAGTAAGTCGATCACAGTGCAACTGTCATGATGGCCTGCTAACGATAGGTTCAGGATATCATAATCTTAGGATCCTGCTATTTGGGTCCTTTCTCTTGAGGTCAACGGCACAGGAGAGGGCGACTATGAGTGATACCAAGCATGGTATCCAGAAGTGCCTTGAATCAGCAAAGCAAACGATTGAAACCATCTACCAAACTTACCAGCACAGTGACTTCTTCCGTACATGGTATGTTGCCTCCAACAACAAAGGCGCAAGGCTCTGACAAACGTGCAGGTTCTACAACACGACATACACCGTATTTGCCGCCAGTATCATACTGGTGTATATGACCCAAGAAGCAGTCGAGAGCGAAATGCAACCCTTACTTCGTCTTGTTGACATGGCAATCGAGATACTCATGATTATGGACGAGTGTGTCGTCGCGCTACAAGCGGCTAAGCTATTACAAGGAGCGAGAGAAAAGGCGACACAGAAGCCGTCGTCTCAAGCTGTTGCGCCTGTGAATCCGGGTACATCTTGGCCTGATGGGATGGTGTACTTGAATCATTACTGGGGACCTCTGAATCTGCTTGATGGAGACTTGGATCAGAACCTCGATATGTCGTCGATAGACTTTGATGCTGCGAGCTTGTTTATGTCGATGCCTCATTAGTTCAATAAGAATACTATTCCAATTGAGTATTGAACGGAACATCGAAAGCAAGTCAAGTCATATTGATAGTATATAATAGCTATGGGAGAGAGTAGAAATCGAGCAAGGTTCATAACAGACAACGTCACATTGCGTGATCTACCAACGAATGCAGATCGCGGGATAACCTGATCAACATTAAAAACCGTGAACATTGCTGTCCTTTGTCCATCTTCTGAATGTCTTGCCATAGAAATAGAAGACTGCCCCCAAGCCGCACCAGAGAACTGTAAGTCCCATGTTGGTCATGAAAACAGGGATGAATCTTCTCAAGCTGTTAGCAACGGACCTTTCGCAGATAGAATAGGTGATAACTTACCCTGACTTGATGGTCCATGGGGTGACGAACTTGCCCATACCATAACCCCAAAGACTCTTGTTGACCGTAATAGCAACGAACAGTGATCCGGTGACTGGCTTGTAGCAATCCACTGCGTATGTACTAGCGATACTAGGAAGGGCAGCAACTTGGATGCCAGCTGATGAGTAGCCCAGGACGGCAATGACTGGCCACGGCCAATGCCTTTCGTACCCGATCGAGGTAATTACATTGCCGAAGATCATGACGATGATGTAGGGAATCATCGCTGGTAGACGCATCTCTGGTTCTCGAATACCGCCGTTTCGTGTTGTTGCTTTTGCGGAAACCCAATCACTGAAGGGGCCTGCTGTGACGAGTCCGATCAAGGCACCGACGAGGATAGAGAAGTTGAGGAATCCTGGGATCATTAGCGTATGTAATCGGGCATTTGAAGAGTTAGAAGCTTACCGATGGATTGAGAGCTCATGTTGTATGGAGGAGCTGCAAACACCTGAGACTGGGTGAGGTTGAGAATCAGGAAGTTACTGCAACTCCAGCTGACCACGAAAGAAGCAAAAAGTACGATAGGATAGGCGAAGAGTCTCCATGGGGTCCAGATATCCAGAAGAATATTTTGGAGAGGGGCTGAGTTAGGCTGGAACAGTCGCCACTGCAACTTTGAAGGGGTTCCTTTACCCAAATGCGCGTCTGCAGCAGGTTCACCTTGGGTTTGTTCAGGCGTTCCAACAGTCTTCTCCATATCACCATGGGAATGCGAAGGTTTGTCCTGAGTTGTATCAACAGGCTCATTGACTCCACGCTCAGCCTCAATCGAGTCGATGCGCGCCCACTTGGTCTCAGGAAAGCCGAAAATACCGAGGACGATTGACAGCGCAGTGACAGCGACATTAAGCCACCAGAAGTTCTGCCATCCAGTGCGGTCTGCCATTGGACCAGCGATGATTGGCGCAACCATGAGTGAGCCCATATAGACAACCCAGTATAGCGCGTTCCATGTTCCGCGGTCGTGGAGGAAGAAGATATCGGCGATGACGGCGGGTTGGAGGATCTCAGAGGGTCCGGCTCCTATTCCGTTGAGACTGTAGATGTTAGTAAAGGCCTTGGAAGAGTTTTGGAGGTAAACTTACACACAGGCTCCCATGAAGATGCCGTAGGTGGATGCTTTGGCACGAATAATGTGGCAGGCGAGGCAGATCACCTGCGAAGCAAGATATACAGGTCGACGACCAAAGGAAGTAGAGATAGGTGCCCTAAAAAGGTCAGTAACGGGTATTTACTCTTCAGCAGCCGATAATTACCAGAAAAAGTTACTAAACCCAAGAATAAGGATGGTAACCCCCGTAAACTGAATAACATCCTCAAGGGTACTATTATAAGCACGAATCAAGTCAGGAAACATAGGCGCAAGAGCAAGCGGCGCGAATCCCTGAGTGAACGTCATGGTTGAAACGCAAAAGATTGCAGAGAACTTCCAGAAAGGGGACCAGTTGAGGGGGTCATGAGGATCTTGGGAAGGCTGGGGAACGAGGACTTGATCCGACTCTTTGGCTCTGACATAGTGTTCTTTGCCAACGTCTGTCATGATCTCCGTTCCAGGGAGGACTTCGATGTGAAGTTCATCCTGGATGGTTTCACGTGCCTGTTGAAGTCAGAAGGAGTTTGTGTACGTGGTGATGGCTACTAACCTCTTGAGTAGGCATTCTTGCGGTGATGCACGTGTTCAGTATCAGTCGCTTGTGTAATTCCCGATATTCTGATCTACCAGTAAACTCGACATAATCGCTCTCTATTTATCTAAACTCGTTCTATAATCTTTATCACTATCACAACCTCGATGATCCCATCTCCAACATCCCCAAACGCCTCGGATGACTTAATTGAGCTAGCTCCCTCCTTTATCTGTATTAAGCTATGAGATCCAGCGCCCGTAGGATCTCGGTAGAGCCCTTCGGCAAGTGGCCAGCAAGGGTTGATGAGGGGATCTTCTGCTAATCTAATTTCTATCGGCGTGATGGACCCGAATGAGAGGACGTACGGGGAGATGGCGGGGTAATAGAGTTTGCGGAGTAGTTAGCGCCGGCAGTTAGTTACTCAAGTGAGTGCATACCAAGCTGTTTTGGTCACTATTGATGCTAAGCGAGCTTTATTGTATAGATCTGTCCCAAATTCTATTATGATGCTTGTGAAGTATTTTATTTATAGTATATTTATACAGTAATTTTCAGTTGTCCATAGACTGCTCGAGTTCAGAAGGCGCCAGAAAGCGTAGAAGCAATTCCGTGGATGATAATGAAGAACGCTCTAGATTCACATGCTAACCGTGCTATAGAAAGGGGCTGTCCATTTTCAGAATAGGCTTAGAGGTTGCATCCTCAGATCGGCCATCCCACATTCTAAGATCCTAGTCTATCTCGGATAGCCTCCATAAGCAATGCGTAAGCGGCGTCATCAAAGTCGACAGTCTCTTCCTCTGGTGCCCAGCCCTCGCCATCCGCATCCAAGTCCACATCTCTATTCGAATCCCATTTACTCCAAGGAGAGTCAAGTGCAACGTCATACGAAACGTATTGCATCCGTGTCTTTCGCTTTTGCACCAACCCCGTGCCATTTAGATACTTCCCCAGTGCTACCTTTTTCGATTTGTCATGGCGTGTTTGATAAGAGTCCTGCATACCAATGCCGAGCTCCTCTGGGTCAGTGCATGCGAAGTATCTGTGGCGATTGTGACCAAAAAGCCAATTCATCTCACCCTCGCCGATCTGTGCGTACTCTTCTTGTTGCAAGATAGCCTCCGAGGTGAGAAATGGGCAATCGCCATCTCCCTCTCCCATGACGAACTTCTTGAGTCCTGTCATGCTCACCCTCCATCCTGACAGCACGTGATGCCATCTTGTACTATACGATCTATCTTCAGTGACCGGCGGCAGCCACTGCCCCCTCACTGGTAAGCCGTCACGTACTGTGCGGGTGACTGGATATCCGTCAACTGTCAGAGGCCCATATTGCTTGGCTCTATGCAAGATAGGACATTCGTAAAGATAGAGCTCTTCCAGTCCACCGCTTTTATTGCTTGTACCTAGGGATGCAATCCAATCTGTCTGTCTCTTGTCAGTGAAGATATAGTGCCCAAGGGCCAGAACCTTGAGGATTGGCAAGGCCCCTATCTCGGTAAGATCCATTCTGAGGAACCACCCCCAGTAGTCAGTGTGGAATAGTGATAATATCTGTAGTTTCTCGACCACACTGGGTGAGAGCCATTGTGAGGGTAAAGATTGGAAGAATGCGCCTCTGAGCACAGTGGAGAGAGTCGTGCCTCCCAAGCCCGTACTTTTTCCCGATTAAGAATTTCAAATCGATCAAGGTCGGTAGCTGGAGAAGTTTGTTCCAAGCCTTCGATTCGATCAGTCTGGGGTAGTTGAAGGTAACAAGATTCGAGATAGTAAGCTCTTTGATCTTCAACGGTTGCCCTGACGGTAAGACGGGGTCATTGTGTGCGTACTGCAGCTCATCGTTCCCTTCCTGTACGGGGTCGCAGCCGAAGACGTTGTTCTCATTCTCCTCTTCCCACAGCCCCGTAACGGCCTGGGGAATAGTATCTATGATTATGTACTGACACCACAAATCCCCTTTCGTAACGAGCCTCCCAAGTGGCATCGAGAATTGGCTGTAACGGAAATGAAGGCAAGTCAGATTTTGGAAGAAGCGCACATGGCCGAGAGTGTCGAGAAATTCGTCAAAAAGCCAAAAGGACTCATCGCCGTGCTGAACGTCTGGGTTCTCCTCGCTGACGATTGTCACCTCTTTGACAAAAGTTCTCAGTGTATCAGAAAGTGCAATCTCTTTGAAGTGTTTAGAAGATTCACCTTCGGGCATGAGTCTCAGGGACTCGAAGGCGTGAATTGTCGCCGCATAGTTTAGCTTTCGAGACACCAATCTTGAGCGAAGCTGATCCTGTCTGGATATATGAGAGCATATCAACAATAGTATCTCAGCTGGGAGACGAATGTCAGCGCTGGGAAGGTCTTCCATGATAATGGTCGCTGTCTGGGTTCCAGTGATCAAGGGCGGAGGTTTTTGGAGGCGCAGGCTTTGTAATAGAAAACTGGAAGGGGTTGTCTCCTGTTCTTATCACCGAAAGGAATGAGTTTATGTTTACAAGTGCAAGGTTCAGACTGGTGCGTACAATAGTGGTGTGGTTGATCAAGTCGGTAATGGTTAGTGAAAAGGGTTGCGTTATCTTTCTCGTTGACACGTTGAATAAAGTTCTCTTAAGAGACTTGACCTTTTAAGCATTTCAGAACACAGTAAACCCACGCCACCTCTAGCCTGTTAGTACCAGTGTCAGACAAGAGTATTCTGTGTTCTGGGCGTCCGAATTTACAGAACACTGGCACAATATGAGGCTTCTATCCAGATCGAACATGTTAAAACTCGGCTGATTAGTACAAGGCGGAACAAGCGTCGGCTCTCAGTCACATAGGGGAACATGATGCACGGTATCGGTAACGTCCAGTGTACCATGTCACTGACATATAGTGACAGTGGTAAACTGCGTGTTCTGCGCAATGTCTTTATCAGAGTGAAATGCCCATGGCGGGTTCCAAGCTTGAGCGCTGTTTTGATTGGTTCGGAGTTGCCCGTCGCTCTGAGATAAGCTATCCCAGCGATAACCGAGTCGCCTAGTTCTCCGTTAGTCGACTAGCTCACATATAACACATTCCCCGCCTCCTAACCCAGACTTTCATCATCATCAGTTCATGTTCAACTGCTGATGGTGCAATGGAAGATACACGACCTAACAAGCGCGCACGACAAGCTTGCGAGCCATGTCGGTTAGTTTCTCACGTCATTGAGGCCATCTCATGGTTAATAACGGTTATAGTCGCAAGAAATCTAAATGCCCTGGAGAGAAGCCCATATGTTCATATTGCGAACGCCTTGGTCAAATATGCGTATATGAATCAAGCTCTGATGGCCAAGGTCAACGCGCTCGTTCGGACAGATCATTGGTACGTCAACAATTGATAAGCACATCTGTCAGCCACTAATATTGGTCATCTGGAAGGAGCTTCGGATGGAAACTTTAGAAGAGAAATTGGACTTGTTTATCGACCGCCTTGAGTAAGTGATGATACGAGGTGTAATAGTTGATATGAGGTTTAACAGATGCGTCTCAGTCCTGTGATCAGAGATTCCCGTCGATGCTCAGCTTCGCAGCACGGAGGAGGTCATACACCGAGTTCGATGGTCGGCATTGATGAGATGGCAGAAGCGATTGAGGCTGGAGAGCCTAGACAAGCTCCAAGGCAAGAAAATAACTTTTTCAAATATGGAATACAGCCTGACAAAACATTATAGCCCATCGTCACTACTCGATTCCCGAAGCGATGAACTAGCATCTCTCTATCTAACCTGGCTCCATCGGCAACCTTTGGTCCTCTTCAACGCCGAAACATTTGCAGAGTCACTACCAGGTAGGGAAGCAGAGCTGATCTTGGCACTACAAGCATTATGTCTTCGATTTCCTCCTCGGCTATTGGATCAGCAATATTGCCAACGTCTCCACGCCATGGCTCAAGCATCAAGGCAAATTGTGATGAACAAAGCCTTCGATAGCCAGGTAGACTGTTCCGTTTTACAGACGCTATGTCTTCTAAGCCTTTTTGAACATGCAGGTATGATATCACAGGTCCATGCCGTCTTGGGTATGGCTGATTAGAGAACCAGAAGGAAATACTGTTCAAGCAGGGCTATATCTCAGTACTGCGATCCAGTTACTAAGCGGGATTCCGAAAGGGAGCTTTCTCGGTGACGCTGTCGAATTCAACAACTGCATTCGAAGCATCTTCGTGCTTTATCACTTACAGGGCAGTGTTTCCTCCAGCGTATGGCCTACCGCTATGTCACACGGGGAGGACTCTTCCCTTGGCACAGCGACGTGCTCGGCATGGTTGCTTGCGCCGGAGCAGACTGTACCATGCGATATGGATCGGGGCATTATGAAATACACCACGCCTCTTGCTCAAGTATGGCGAGCAGTCAGAGCCTATGCCTCTCGTCGTGTTTTCTCGGACACGCTACCCCCCTGGAATCCGCGTTCCGACTATTCACAAGTTACATATCGTCATCTCGAGATCGATTGTAGTGTACCACTTAAATACCGATTCTCTGCTAATCAGATTGACAAGCAGACTCCAGAGTCCTTGCAACAAAACAGGAGCTATTGGGGTCCTTATCTGTTCACCCAATTCGTCTATGCCTCCATTCCCGTTATCTTGAATCACCCATTTCTCTTGTCAATGCGACTACGACACTTTCGACACACTATGCCTCAGTCATTTGTTAACAGCTCTTTTGATGCGATAACTCGACACATTGGATGGATCATGTATCATCTTGAAGTACTGGAGAAGATGGATTACCGAGTGTCTGACCCGACGTTGGCACATATTGTTGTGGTAGTTGCCACAATTCATTTACAGCATAGCTTTGTTGAAGACCTTAACCTACGAGAGAAGGCTCAGGTCGGATTCGAGAAGTGCCTTGAGTTCTTAAGGTGCATGGGTCTGACATGGTATGGTGTTGCTGTCATGGTAAGCCACTACGAGAGTGTTATAGGGACAAAACAGAATACTAATCACAATTAAAGCATGAAAATCTCCAGAAACTACAACAGAGTATACAAGTTGTATCTCTAGCCAGCGACGAGCTTGGGCTGGAAAGCCCGATACAGCAAAAGTTCACCATCGATACTAGACTTCTCTGGGATGTTCTATCTTATGAACAAGCTGGTAGGCCAGATGCACGTGCCGATGAGTCTATTTACAGCGGTTCATCATCAACGCATCAGGATGCGGCAAGAGGTGGGAACGAGTCTGGTGATGGGTATGATTTGGTTGGATCAGCTGGTATCATCGGGCACAAGACTGTTCCAAAGGACACGCCACTCTATGCTCCGGGTGAGGGCGAGATTGTAAGCCCTATCCGAGGTCGTATCCCATCCGATGCTTCGGGATTGCTAGGGTCTCTGCAACAGAATATTCAGGAAGGGTTTGGATCGGCTATGGAATCGGATAACATCTTTCCACAAGTGCACGATTTTGGAAGGGCCATTGACGAGTGGTTGAGCCTTGATTGGGGAAATACAATGCTTTAAAGTAGTGAGACTGGCTATCACATTTTCTGTACATGTATTACTTGCGTGCTACAAATATTGGTAACTAGGTCAAAATTATCACCACTTGAGGCTATCAGACCCAGCACATGCTTCCAGTTTATTGCAGAAATCAATGTCGTCCTGCCCATTCCCGGACTGCCCATTCTTCGGTGCAGCTGACCAGATCTCATGCCCCTCAGACTCTTCCTGCTGATGATGTTCCATGACCAGTTTCCGCGTAGTTTCCTGGAAGAAGAGAGGGCCCTGATTAGAGGCCTTATTAGCACAGAAAATCATGGACTTCAAGGTCGGCTCGTACCTTTTCTACTCGAGGGTGCAGTTCACCATTGACAAATATGCCAGCGTTCAAGTTCTTCTGCGCCGCATTGCAGAGATCCTTGTCTTCCTTGAGAATCTGCTTGAAGCAGTCGCTGATCTCGTTAAACTCCTCGTCTGAGGCATTGTTGCCTCTGTAGACCTCGTACTCCATCTTGGTCTGCGATGCGGAGATGGGGATGCAGCGCATAATGTAGAAGAAGGTAGGCCTGCAAATTAGGAAGAGGTTGCAAGTCGGGTGGGTTTAGTTTACTTACGAGATCGTAATGGAGGCATTGGGATAGTAGAAAGTACTGTAGATACCCATGCCGTCTTTGTCTGGCTTATCGACATTGAAGTGCTGTATATGACCACCTGCAGTCTCAACCCAGTATTTTGACAGATCGGTGAGGGCATTGAGGGCAGGGTGTCCAGTAGGACAGTGGTAGCACTGTCATCGTTGTGTTAGCACCGGATCTGATGGGAAGTGTTGAAAAGACTCACTTCGTTGTAATTATCTGCCAAAGTCTTCCAGTTATAGTCGCCAATCATTTCCCACTGATGATCAAAGTGATAAGCTTCCATGTCGAATGGCTGAAGGCGCGGTTGAGTGTCAACAGCAGCAAAGTCGTCCTCCCAAGCGACAGTGGGAGTAGGGCTGGAGTCCATGTTGATCCAGATGAAACCGAGTTTGTCGATATGCACGTGTATTGGGTACAGGTTATTGGTCGACTTGTCGAATGTTGGAACCTCTTGGTATTTTGGAGCCTTGGCCAATTTGCCATCAAGTCCATAGGACCAGCCTTTGACTGTTTAGCATCTCGCATGCATGCACCGTGAATATAAGCTTACCATGATACTTGCAAGATAGAATATTCACTCTTCCTGCATCTTGCTCTACCAGCGGAAACGCCCGATGCCGACAAACATTGTGATGAGCCCTGATCTCGCCTTGTCGGTCTTTGATCAAGAAAAAGGTAAAGCCAGCCTGGGTTATACGCAAGAAATCACCTATTTCAGTGAACCTCGCCTTGTGTGATACGACTATCCATTTCTTGGAAAAGATTGCTCGTCTTTCCAGTTCATACATGGCTGAGGAGCGGTACCACGACGCAGGTAATGCCCGGGCAGTCTGGGGCTCAGCCTCCTTCGTTGTACCGAAACTGAACCAACGACTCATTGTGATTTGTGAGAGTAACTAAGTTGGAGCGAAGCAATCTGGTATTTCGGCAGAATGAGGATTAGGTTTGGAAGGTAACTATCCTGTCGTGCATGATAAAACTCGTCTATGAAACCAAGCCTCTAGTCAGGCCCTTATACCTCTTCTAATTATCGTGCAGCCCACGTGCATGATTTGTCTTTCTCTCTAAACTGATCCAATTCGCATTTTGTTTACTCCGCAATTTTCATCCATTGATCCCCCCTCCCCCCAACTTCCCACCATGGCACACTTCCCTTTGAGCCAACAACACTAGCGTCAATCATGATTTCTCACTCGAGCCCTGAACACGGCCCGTTTTCCGTACCCACAGCATCTGACCTTGTGATACGGCCTTATCTCAACGCTAAACCCTTTCTATCTTCCGCTCTGATTGTCTCTTCCGTACCCACCCAGACTCGGACCGCTTCCGGCTGTGTGTGCGTTCTTGTGAGAATGCCATGATAAGCAGTGGTTTGTAAAGATGTGTTGCTGGAATCTGTTCAGAGGCTTTAGTGCTACTAGTATAATTCGTTCTCAGAACTGATAGTAGTAGTCGCAGTCGGAAATCTCAATTGTCAAGTCAATTTTATCTTGCCCTTTCGAAAATATGGTAATTATGTCGGCCGAACAACAGCAAAAGCCGAATCATATCCGTTGCACGATCATCGGAGCTGGGTAAGTAGTACCATTGTCGTTTGCACTCTATCAGTAATTAGATTGGCTGATTATTTCGAATTAGAGTGTCTGGTATTCTAATGGGTAAGTTACTTGCCACTCCCTCCACCGGAAGACTGCTCTGACAGGCCCTAGCATACAAGCTAAGGCAGCATCTCAATGACTATGTTGACTTTCGGATCTTCGAAAAATCGCCAGATCTCGGAGGAACGTGGTTCGAGAACAAGTATCCCGGCTGCGCCTGCGACGTCCCAAGCCATTGCTATCAATATTCCTTTGCTCCAAACCCTTCTTGGTCCAAATTGTTAGTTGCCAACAGTTGAATCCGTGCTCAGTGCTAACCCGACCAAGCTACGCATCATCTGATGAGATACAGGGTTATCTAAAGGGAGTTGCTCGGCACTTCAATCTCGAGCGGTATATATCCTTCAACACCAAGGTGATCTCAGCACGCTGGTCCGAAAATGAGAGTACCTGGACTGTACAGTTGGAAGATGGGTCTCTGATCACATCGGAGATACTGGTCAATGCTGGCGGTATACTCAATCATCCTCAGATTCCGAACATTGAGGGGCTCTCCGACTTTACTGGTCCGTTACTGCATACAGCATCATGGGATCATTCGATTGACCTCCGAAATAAACGGGTTGGCGTAATCGGCGCCGGAGCCAGTTCGATCCAATTAGTCCCCTCGATTCAGCCTCTGGTTCAAGACATGAAAGTATTTATCCGCACGCCTTCCTGGATTGCACCGCCAGTAGCTCTGCCCGACCCCAATGCGACGAACTACACTTACAGCACAGAAGAGAAGACTATTTTCGAGGTAAAGAAGGACATATATCTTGGTACCAGAAAGGGATTGGAGGATCAGTTCAACGGAATGTTTCGAATCTTCCTCAAGTCGAGCCCAGAGCAGAAGAGAACACGTGCCATGTTCGAGTCCCGCATGAGACAGCTGATCCCTGATAAAGACCTCCAGAAGAAGCTGATACCTCCATTCGAGGCGGGTTGCCGGAGAATCAACCCCGGAGAGGGCTTCCTTACCGCTTTGCAAAAGCCAAACGTCGAGCCAGTCTTCGACTCGATCGACAGAGTGACTCAAGGTGGCATCGTGGCTGGTGAGAAGGAGTATCAAGTTGATGTGCTTGTGGCGGCTACAGGATTCAACACGACCTTCAGACCTCGTTTTCCAATAATTGGTCGGAATGGTATCAACCTTCAAGATTTATGGCAAGAAGATCCAGCATCCTATTTGGGCGTAGGTGTTGCGGGCTTTCCCAATTACCTCATTTTTTTGGGACCAAACACTCCAATCTCGAATGGAAGCTTGATGGGTAGGTAACCAAGGTATCGCCGTTGGTAATAATTTACTGACCTTTGAAGGTTCTGTGGAAGCGACCGCTGACTACTTCATTCGTATCCTTCACAAAATGATTCGCCAGCGTGTCAAGTCCTTCGAAGTGCGAGTTGATGCTCAAAACGACTTCAATACTCACACCCAGAAGGTTATGCAGGACATGGTATGGACTGGGACATGTCGAAGTTGGTGTAAGTCATCCTCCTCTGCCACTGTCGTCACAGCAAGCTCACCATCTTCCAGACAAACAAGGAACAAACGGAAAGGTGACCGGACTCTGGCCAGGTAGCTCTCTTCATTACATCCAGGTACTGGCAGAAGATCGCTGGGAGGATTATGAATGGACCCATGAGTCGGGGAGGTATAGCTATTGGGGTCATGGACTGTCGTGGATTGAGGAACCTGATCTGGACCCATTGGGCGCAACAAAGCAGGATATGGTTGAGGCAATGACAACGCTGCCAAAGAAGGACTCTGACTTGAGCTTTTATTTGTGGGAGAGCAGTCCTTTACCGGAAAGTAGTTTTGCAGATGGGCTCTCGGAGGAGAGAGTGCAAGATGGTGGGCACTTGGCATGGAAGGAAGCCTTGCATGCCACTACGACTTCGGATGTTGATAAACATGCTACGGTAGCTTGCATCACTGTGCCTGTTTAAGAGAATAACAGATCTTTACAACAAGAAGCCATGGTTCAAACAAATTCAAGTTCAGTGACAATGTGGCGTAGTGAATGTTTTCTGAAGGTTGGATAAGAAAATATAGGGCTTGGTGGTTTCTCAAGTGGTGATTTCTTCATTTACCCAGAGTCATACTTAACGCTCTAGCATATGCGTATTTCCGTTAAATATGAAAGCATGTCTCAGGGCTTGGTAGGGTTCAATATAAATCGTAACACTAACCGATTTATCGTGGCCAGTCACGGTAAAGACTACGGAGCGCTGTCAATTACGTGTGACTTAAGGTACTGTCAACAAAGACTGTATTATCTTGCTATCTACAACTTTGCGCGAGGCTTATAGCTCCATAGCATCGGTAATGGTCCGTCGGGCCCATACACAGGATCATCCTCTGGCATCTCTACTTCTTTGATAGTATCCAGAAACACGGTAGAAGGTTTCTTTCCCATTTCATTCCGCCACTTAGGACAACCCTACAGATCATTAATAATTCATCACCTACAAGGGCAGAAGGGAATCAGACCTTTGGGTATACACCGATGTACCTGTAATCCGAAGAGCTTTCGAGGGATGAATGGGCTGTTCCGGCGGGTAGGACGACAACATCTCCTGCCTTGACAGGGACCTCTGCACCATTCCCGCGTTGAATCTTTCCTAGTAAGAGTGTTGAAGAGCCCTGAAAGATGCCTTGATATTCTGATGAGAGTACTGCCTATAGCGGCATGATTGGAAAGAGACTCACCGTAGCATTCATGGCTGTTGGGATGGAAATGGCGAATGGCAATATGTCCCCAGGTTCCCTAACCATGACTTAGCTTAAAAAAACAGAGAAACGAAAAAACCGAAAAGAATCATGACATACTCTCTTTTCCCAATGGTGCGTTGTCAGAAATTGCGTTGCTGTCTCCTCTGTTCGCGGATGAGGTAGCACATCGCGATACACAAGGATCGGAAGTCGGCTGTTAGGCGCGTCTTCAGTCCGGGGAACAAGGTAGCACTCAACGCTTGAACTCATCATGGTAAAGTTAGCCGACTCTCGCAATCAACGCCCAACACTCATCATTTATCGCCATCTTAACTTAGATACTTTACCTACCCCGCGTTTGTTGATAGGAAGTGCCCAGGAACACGGGCCGCTTCCGTGTTTGCGGGGTTGATTAGGATCAGGTGTCCAGTTCTGGGCTTGATAGCTTAACTTTGATAAGGAGAGGAGGCGGTCCGTGGTCCGGAGGCTTGTAACTTGCATTGGATTAGGAAAGGTTATCTTGTTAGTGTGTTGATAGGAAGAGGTGAGGCTTGCGCGAATGGAAGAGCTGTGATTAGAAAGGACTTTGTAGATAAATCACGGTTCTGCGTCCTAGCAGTCCCCACCAGTCTCAAGATTGCAATCCTCATCAATCATAATACCATCTTTGAAACTGTTTTTCGATCCCCTTTCCTTCAAGCAGTTATCATGCCGACCCACCAAGACAACACGGATGCAGTATCCATTGCCGAGAAGCAGGACGGCAAGATGTTCGAGACATCCCTCGACCACGTCCCAAGTCATGCAAACGGAACAGTCGCAACTATCGATGGTATTGATCCTGCGACTCTACACAACGACGAAGTGATCACTCAGGCGATCCAGGCCATTGGCTTCGGCAAGTTCCAATGGCAGCTAACCTTCTCCTGTGGTTTCGGTTTCCTAGTCGACCAGGTCAACACCATTACATCTCCACCCCTGAAGCCCAAACTGACTATTAACCCAGATGGTACTTGTCTCTATTAGTCTTGTCACGCCTCAAGCAGCCATGGAGTTCGGTCCTCGATACGCAACTCTCCTATCTGCATCTTCGTATGCTGGCTTACTCGTCGGTGCTCTGTTTCTTGGTACACTGGCCGATAATATCGGTCGCAGATTAGTCTGGCAGGCATCTATCTTTGGATGCTCCATCTTGACCACCATTGCTGCTTGTTCACCTAGTTGGGCTGCCTTGAATGTCTTTGTGGCTTTGATTGGATTGTTTGCTGGCGGCAACCGTAAGTCTAGTCCTCATAAGCCGTTTGATTACAGCCTTCGGCAGTTGCTGATCTTAGAACTTGATACAGTGGCTATCGATTTGACCCTTCTGGCGGAAGCAATTCCCCAAGAATGGTCATTCATCCTTTCAAGTCTCGCTGGAATCTGGGGCCTCGGGAATGCTGTCACGGGACTTATTGGTAATTGCCCAATCGCCTCGTTAGTACCTTCACTGACCTTTCACAGCCTGGCCTCTCCTCGTCAACTTCGGATGTCCCAGCGGCTCAACCCCCGACAATTGTAGCCGCGGCGATAACATGGGCTGGCGATACCTTTATATTACGCTAGGTGGACTATGCCTCGTCATGTCGCTTATCCGAGCTTTCGTCCTACGATCCCTTGAATCTCCCCGCTGGCTCGTATCTTGTGGAAAGATGCAAGAGGCCGCCGAAGTCATCAACCATATCAGCAGAATGAACAAGTCAGATTATCACGTCACTGGTGATAACTTCCTGCAGCCTGAGCAGGAGAAGGCTGATGGTGAGGTGAGGTCCTGGCGTGCGAATATTGATCGAGCTTCAAGACTCTTTTCTGGTGCTAAGCAGATACGTTTGATGGTTGGTCTCATTATGATCTGGGCTCTAATCGGAATTGCGTAAGTCTGGCTCTACATATCCCATGCCATATAACTAATAAGAGACAGATATCCACTTTACACCATCTTTCTACCATACTATCTAGCAGCTCACGGTGCCAACTTTGGCGAAACAAGTAACTACATCACATATCGCGACTGGACCGTCTCCTCAATCGTCGGTATCTTCGGCCCCCTCCTCAGCACAATCCTCGTATCATCACGCTACTTCAAGTCCAAACGCTCAATGCTCTTAACCGGTATCATCTGCGCCGCTTTCTGCGGTGCATTCACCTCCGCCAGAACAGCAGCACAGAACCTCGCATTCTCATGCATGATCAACTTTTCGCTCAATGCTCTTTATGCTATTGTTTACTCTTATACGCCTCAGGTTCTTCAGGTTCAGAATCGTGGGCTTGGTATGGGGTTGCTTATGGCGGTGGGGAGGATGGCGTCGCTTAGTGCGCCGTTCATTGCGACCTTTGCGGATGTTACGACTTCGGCGCCGATTTGGGTGGCGTGTGCTTGTTTTTTGGCCATTGGATTGATTGCGATGGGTCTCCCGGCGGATACGAGACCTTATGTATCGAAGAAGATTCAGCAGTCCAGTGTCTAAGTGATTATTGGTATTCGTTAAGGGCTGGAACGAATCCTTCTCTGATAAATATGAGGGCCATGAGATACATCCTTATTTGAAATATTTATCACGTTGTTAGCAGTGAAGCATGGAGCATACAGTCATGTACAACGGTGGAGCTCCTCCTCGACACATGAAAGTGCAGGGTAAAACATTCGTCCAGCGATCTTTTATCTGCAAAGAAAGTCCTAGCCAAATATAATAGGCCAGATCACCATCCAGCATACACCACTCCCTCATATCCCTTCAACACAATCCCATTCTCAAATGTATCCACATTCTTCCCCAGCAACTTCCCTCCCCAAGAACCCTTCACCTCAACCTTCTGATCCTCCTCCGAAAAGTTCAGCAAAACAAGTGCTTTTCTTCCGTCGTAACTCGTCATAGTATACGCAAAGACCTCCTCACTATCCTTATACTCATCCAAGATGTCAAACCTTCCATACACAAAAACATCCTTCTCCTTCTGTCTCAACTCCAGAACCTGCCTCCAGAAGGCTAAGACGCTATCGTCGTCTTTTTCTTGCTTGGCAACGTTCCACTCGTTGTAATCGTCGTTAACGCGCATCCAAGGTTTATCGCTGGAAGTGAAGCCTCCATTTCGGTGGGCGGTCCATTGCATAGGCAATCTACCGTTATCGCGAGCCTTGAGTCTCATTTCTCTCATGATATCTGACATATCAACCCCTGGTCCTCTCTTCTTGAGCACACTGTTGTAATAGTTCAACCCCTCGACATCGATGTAATCCTCAATCTTCCAAGATTCAGGCACATTAGCCATGCCAATCTCTTGACCTTGGAGAAGAAACAACGTTCCACTGAGTGTACCAAGGTAAATCGCCAGCATCTTAGCTGCCTCTTTCCGGAACTGAGGCTTATCGGATCCATATCGCGAAAGAGAACGTCCAGAGTCGTGGTTATCCATGTAAACGGAGTTCCAGCCGTCAAACTTTGGCATAGCACCTTGCCACCGACTAGTAATAGCTTTGAGCTTCGAAAGTCGAAAGTCATCACGTTCGTATTTATGATTAGGACCAAAGTCCATATCAACAATATCTCCCGTGAATAACATGTTCAGCTCATGTCTGTCCTTGGCAACATAACTAGCAACGCTCTCCTCATCCTTTGTGAAGCCTAGTTCTCCGACTGTCATGCAGTCATACTTGTCGATAACTTTCTCTCGCATCTCCTTTATATACTCGTGCATACGTGGACCGCTAGCAAAGTATTTATCGCCCGGTTGAAACTCGGCATCCGGTCGAGTGACAGGTGCGTCAGGAAGGTCAGGGTGCTTCGACATGAGATTCATTGAGTCAATGCGGAAGCCGTCTGCGCCTTTGTCAAGCCAGAACTTCATATCGTCGTATGTAGCCTCGCGCATGTCGTCGTTGGCCCAATTAAGATCAGGCTGCTCGGGGAGGAAGAGTGAGAGATAGTATTGTTCTGTCGTCTTGTCGTATGTCCAGGCGCTACCACCAAAGATGGAAGCCCAGTTGTTGGGCGGTTTGCGATTACCGTCGGCGTCGAATTTTGGATCGCGCCAGAAATACCAGTCTCGTTTTGGCGATGTCTTCGATGATCGTGACTCTTTGAACCATTCATGCTCATGGCTGGTATGATTCACCACAAGATCGAGCAAGACCTTGATACCCCGCTCATGACACCCTTCGATCAGCGTCTCAACATCTTCAATCGTACCGTACGGACGATGAATGTCGCGATAGTCTGAGACATCATAGCCCATATCATGCTGAGGACTCTTGAAGATAGGCGACAGCCAAATAGCTGTAGCGCCTACTGAACGAATGTAGTCAAGCTTTGAGATGATGCCAGGCAAGTCACCCAGCCCGTCACCGTTGGAGTCAAGAAAGCTAGCTGGGTAAATTTGATAGACAACTGCTTCTTTCCACCATTGTCGATCGGGAGGGGTTGAAGCTGACATGATGTTTTTTGGTGGCGCGGTCTGAATGTTGTAATGGTGAAATTACCAATTTGTGTCTGAGGTTTCTTATACCCGATTGTTACTTCCCGGTCCGACAATTCTTGTGTTCAATAATTCTCATGTAACATCAAGGAAGAGGATCGGGTGAATTCATGACTTGACTTCTCCATGTCGATCTCGTGCCCTTTCTCTCTGGGCTGAACTCTCAAGGCTGAATTGTGATTTGTTGATGGCTTACCCGAGACCTGAGAGGTGCACCAATTCCATCGGACCGACAATATCACCAATAATTGTCTTCTCCAAACGCACGGTCCTGTTTTCTCCAGACATCCCAGGACCAATAGAAATTCAACCATTTCACCCATGGACCCAGTTTCTCGATCTGGCTGTGAGGATGGTGACATGCTAAAGTCTTCTCGGCCGATGAGATGGGGCGATTTTTCGCTCTCGCTGTTCCCCATGGGGCTCCATCCATCAGAAAATGTTCAACGTCTCTGGGGATAATTCTCCAAGTCTAATACTCATGAATTAACATATAATCCTGAGGGCATTCCCTCTGAATAACCAGCAGATCATCACCACACTCTCAATCATCTCAGTCACCCTCTACACATTCTCACAATGACTACCAAGGTTGAAGCCATCGCGACAGTGTCTGACCATGTCGAAAAGGCACCAGCCACAGACTCAGTCGCCATCCAAAAGGCCATTGACGCTCAAGACCTCACACCCAAGCAACAATACCAGCGTCTCTGGTCAAACCTCAAGAAAGACAAGCGCTTCGTCCTATGGTCCATCTACATCATGTCCCTGGTCTTTGGCTGGGGTTATGATTCTGGTCTTTCAGGTGTAGCTATTGCTTTCCCCGAGTTCCGCAAGGTTTACGGCGAGTACTACCAAGTCGGAGATCAATATGTCATTCCGGCGCTTTGGCAGTCTCTTTGGAACGCTGCTAGCACTATTGGTCAGATCTTTGGTGCCTTTCTGGCTGGTCAGTTTGCGGACTGGGTTGGTCGCAAGGCTGTTCTATGGACGGCTGTCGCTCTATCTATTTCATCTTCTTTCGCACTGGTCTTTGCTCCCAGTCTTCCCATTCTATTCGTCTCCAAGCTTCTTCTTGGTCTTTCCGTCGGTCTCTCAACCGTCACGCCTCCTCTGTACGTCACAGAGAATGCACCCGCCGCTCTTCGAAGCTCTCTCAGCTCCCTCACCAACGTCATCATCGTCCTGGGTTTCTTCCTTTCCTCCATCACTGGCTGGGGCTCTTCCAAGATCAAGGGCGAATGGAGCTTCCGACTTGCCTTTGTCATGACATTCCTTGTCCCTACTCTCTTCGCCATCGGTCTTCCTTTCCTGCCAGAGTCACCTGTTTGGTATGTCAAGAAGGGACGAGACGACGATGCCCGAAAGGCTATCTTCAAGCTTTACGGTACATCTATTGATGTTGAGGAGAGACTTGAGTTCATCAAGTCTGAGCTTGAGGTCACTGCTGGTGAAGCCAATATGGCTAAGCAGACTAGCTGGAAGGCTATCTTCTCAAAGGAGCACCGAAGCAGAACTCTTATTGCTGTCATGGGACTCCAGTCTCAGAACTTCTCTGGTGGATACTTTGCGAGTAAGTAACCAGGCACTCTGCCTACTGATTCGGATATTAACTGTTGTAGACACATACCAAACCTACTACTTTGAACTCATCGGACAATCCGACCCCTTCGGCCTCACTGCTATCTCCTCAACCCTCCAATTCCTCTCCAACTGCGTTGCCGTCTGCGTCTCCGATGTCCTCCCCCGTCGAAAGTCCCTCATCGGAGGCGGTACACTTCTCTGCTGCTGGTCCATCATCATCGCCGGAACTTCCCTCGCAGGCACCGCCAACCGAGCCGCCAACACCGCTCTTCTTACCTTTATGATCACCTGGTCGATGCTTTATACCGCGACAGTTGGATGCTTCGGATGGGCTGTCGCTCAGGAAACGGCTGCTCAGGCTACACGTCCCAAGACTATTGCTTTCAGTCTTGTTTGCCAGCAACTTACCGCGCTTATGCTATCTTCCGTCTTTCCCTTCTTCATCAACCCTGATCAGCTCAACTGGGGCGGAAAGGTCATGTTCTTGTTTGTTGGCGCTGAGGTCTTCATTCTGGCTACACTCTTTTGGTTCCAGCCTGAGACGAAGAACAGAACTTATCATGATATCGATTGCCTGTATGCTGAGGGTGTTCCTCCCAGAAAGTTCTCCGAGTTTGTTGTCAACGATGGAGCTGTTGTCCGAAAGCCCAGTGTGGAGAAGGAGTGATTAGGCTAGCAGGTGTTGAGAATGTGATGGGGGCGATGCTCTCAAATATCGTGGATGGGCGTCGCTGGGATTGGAGTTTGCAATTTGGTCGTCTTATATGGAATGGAGAAAATGAAAAACTTTATAGTGTTTGAACATGATCACATATCAAATGAACCTCCTCCTCCTTTCGCCAATGGTTCTTCTTATGAAGGCATTTGATGGCCATATCTCGTAGTAATATCCCCGCCGTTTTGGCTCTATGAGCCCATTCTGGAGCAGTTAATGCGCTAAATTCAGTGGATCCAGTGGCGTCCAGCCATGACGAAGTCCTCTGTTGTCCGCATTTATATAAGTTAAAACCCAACCCCCGCAAACTCCAAACCTTGTCGCAACTGATGCGCTATCCTTCCAATTAATCGAGCCATGTCCTGTCCAGCGCCATCAAAGCCATCAAAAGTCAGGCAGGCGTGCGATGTCTGTCACAAACGAAAAATCCGCTGCGATGGCTGCCGACCATGTCATAACTGTCAAAATTTGGATATAAGCTGTACCTATTTGGCGGTACCTAAAAAGACTGGACCGAAAGGACCGCGATATGCGCGAAGGCCCAGACAACTACCTGCAGCGACAGCATTTTCATCTCCTACCAGCCCTGAGAATGACTTCCCTGGTACCAATTCAACCACCACGGCATCTCCACCATGTCCGAAGCAGTTCTCAGAGTCACCTCAAATGACGGATGCGGTTATTCGATGGTGTCTCGATGCATACTTCAAGCATAAATACCCACTTACTCCAATTCTACATCGCCCTTACCTCGAGCAAACACCAAGATCAACTGAACAATACGGCTTAATAACAGCATGTTGTGCTGTCATAGCTCTCTCGCCGGAAATATTACCGCCCTGCCCTGTCGAGGACAATTTCACGATTCCATCGGCAGACTTTTTGATAGCGGAAACTCTTCGCGCAAGAGAGTTTTGTAATGTTATTGAGCATCCGTCTTTGATGCACATTCAAACATCATTCTTTCTCCACGCCTCGTTCTTCTCGATGGATAAAGACAATTCGGCTTGGTATTATCTGCAGGAAGCTATAACAATGCTTCAGACGTTGCGTTTACATGAGGAGACAACCTACAGCGATGCAAGCGATCCGGTCTTTGTGAAGTACGCTCAGCGAATGTTTTGGGTGCTCTTCATCACTGAGAGAGCTTATGCATTGCAGAGGAATCGCCCAATCAGGTTACAAGACACGTTGAAGCTTCCGGAGGTTGACCCGACGTCCTCGGAAGCAGAGATCTTGCGCGGCTTCCTTGATCTTATCTCCCTGTTCCGTCCATTCGGTCAGGACTTCATCTCGCAGTGGAACAGTCCAACATCATCCACTTCGACAGATTTCGCAAACCTGTTTCGATTGCAGCATCTTCTCAAATACGCGCTTCCGAACCCTTCAAATCACTCCCAAGTTCAGCAAGCAGATCTCCTCATATCGCGTCAATGGCTCAAGATCGTCGTCTGGAAATTGTGCGCTTCTAAAAGGGTTCTTTCCACTGCGAATAGCGAAGATGTCATGTCGTTGCACTACCCTGCCAACATAGCACGCGACATCGTGTTGGTGTCACAATTAGTGCCAACACAAGCCTTTGAGGCCAATGGCATCGGAATCGTCGAGAAGGTGTTTGATGTTGGCTGCTCGCTGGCGGATCTACTATCGTTGGTACCGCTGGAATATCAGGGCTCAACTATGGATGTTGGCGTTATTGATACGCTTATGGAGACAGTGAAAATTGTCGGGACGAGATTTGGAGGTAGTTACCGGCATTTGGACATACTGGTTGACAAGGCGAGCGGATGCCTTCTTATGAACGTGGATCGAAGTCTTCCTCCACCAGATTATGACGATTCGGATAATATCAAGGAGATCTGACGTAGCTGATAATTTTCTATATATAAATAAGTACTTATATGGAAAGCAAACACTATTTAATCTCTTTATCATCTTATAGAGCGGCCCAAGGACTCATCATGATCCATTAACAGCTGTTCGATTTCTTGATATCGATTTTCAGAGGCCCACTCCAGAGCTGTTTTCCCACATTCATCCAGAAGGCTTGTGTCAGCGCCATAAGCAAGGAGAAGCCTTAATGTCGATGTATACCCCCTGTGAGTTGCATAAAACAAAGCCGATCCACCTTCTACTATATGTTCAGGTTCTTGCTCCATAGGAACTCGTCTAAACGCAGAAGAAAGTAGACGCCTTCTCGGTTCAGGCTTGCGAATGGCCGTGGCACTCGCATTGCAGTCAATTTTTCCAAGGTTCCTCATGACAGTCTTTACATTTTTTCAACGTATATTCACCTAGCTAAATTGGCTAAGTAGTTTGAGAACAAAGCAGATACTGTAACTCTAGATTGGATATCGTCTCTGTTCATCACAAAGGAATACCAATCGCTGTTTAGAGTGTGATAAAACTGACAACGATACTCTCAAAACCAGAACGCTATACATTGATCCTGTGGAAAGTACTCGAGCGTCAGGTTTGCAAAGCCGATATACTTAATCCTCCAACCTTGACTTGACAACCATGCTCGAAGATGAGCTCAGTGTACCGGTTCTAAAAGCGATGTCCCTCGGCTTGTTGATCTTGTCAAGCATTTTACTCCACCAACTCTTAAATTCACCAGTTAAGAAGTCCCGAGGAGGATACAAAGAGTTGGGGAGTCGGTACATGTCTTTTTCATTTGTCGTGTTTCCATTATCAACGGTGTTGTGGATGTTCTAATAACCAGTCAGTAAAAGACCTTCATCCGTTCAAAGATACATACTAGTCGTCCGCATTTAGCGAACGTTGCGTGCTTTCTTGACGAATTTCTTTTTGTAGGAAGAAAGATCGAATTCAATGGACATACAACAACACCCTAGGCGGATATAAAGGCTCTCTCTTTCGACCGGGCCATCTCGACGCGGGTGCTTAGTCTTCTGTAATTTCTTTTTCTTCTTTGGAAGAGGAGGTTTTGCGGCAGCATTTTGATGACGACAGTTGCGTTTGTTGGGTTTGGTTGTCTTGTTCTGGTCGTTTTGAGGTTGGGATCGGCAGTCTTGATGGTTGCTCGAGTATTTTGGGAGTTCGCAAGATTGCGACTTCAGGTCTTTCGTGTTGCTGGATTTTGTTTCATCTGACTTCTCGCACAGATCTATTGAAGAATCTCGACACATGCCGTTGAAACCGTGGTACTGGACTTCCTCGCCCAGGGAGGGGTTAGGCTTTTGGTCTTGAGGACCGACTGTCATTTTGCTGTTTGTTTCGGACCCTGGGTTACTGTCGTGTATGAAGATTCTTTGAAAGGAAGTGTAGGAGTGCGAAGGGGTGACAGGTGACATTTATGTATATTCATTAGGTCCCATCGAAGAATTTTTAAAGTTTTAGATGCGAATGTATTTCTGAATAAACCTTTTCTTAGAGAGTAATATGAAATCTACTTTGCCGCTCTATCATATTACAGGCTGATTTGGGCTCGTGTATCACCAGTAAGGTTTCTGTATGGTACATGGGAGCGCGATGGTTAGCTCGTGAGTTTAGAAGGCAACACTTCACCCCAAACTATAGGACGAGATGCAACACACAAGACTAAACTTTGGACAGCTGACACTTACAACACCGAAAATGACATTCTTTTCCACGATATCAAAACTTTGATACTTAAGAGCGAGCAAATGAACGAGTGATACACTCCCATCAGTTCAATATTTAAGATTAAATTCGAAGCTTCAAATCGGCATTACGTGTCCACATTGGGCTTCATTTCATGTACCTACCACAGCTCTACGTTTTACCTATGCCTGTCTCGCTGTGGACGTATGCAGGCACAGAAGAGGTCTAAGTGGCTGTAAAGATCAGTTCCTGACGCATCCTGTTGACTGGACTAGCAGCTCAACGGATGTCTAAGCCCCAAGCCCATATAATCATGCGGTATGAGTGAAAGGGGCAATAGGACCAGGTTTCTAGCCTCTGATAGGTTAAGTGATTGAATTGACTATCATAGGCACTTAGAGGGCCAGGCCACATGTTCGGTCCACATTTCCCAAAGGAGCGACGGAGTCAGCAAGAGGAATAGACAGCAAGTAACCAGTCGGCATACAGAAACGAGCCATTCCCATAAGATGAATCAGCGGAATTGATATGGCACTCCGTCCCTCCTTGAGGAAGTCTAGAAAATAACTATTGCGGAGAGTCGACTATTTAAACCCCAAGCACCCTTCCGTAAAGTTTGAAGACCAACACAATCTTGATCACTCTCAGCAGGTGCCGAGCGCCCATTTCACACAGAAACACATAATTCGGAACTCTTAACTTCAAGATGACAACCCCTAAGCCCAATATTCTTGTAGTCCTCACCTCTGCCGATAAAGTCCCCAAGACTGGAAAACAGATCGGATGGTACTTGGTAAGTAAAGACAGCCTCAATTAATCCTAATCACCACGCGAATGCCTATTAGTGAAGTTTGTTTACACCATGCTGATACATATAGCCCGAGCTTGCACACCCATTTCACGTTCTCAACCCTCGCGCTGAACTCATCTTCGCAACTCCAAAGGGCGGCGAATCTCCACTCGATCCTGTATCCGTGGAGCTTTTCAAGGATGATCCCGTGTGTAAGGACTTCCTCGAGAACCACGAGTCAGTTTGGAAGAACACTCTCAAGCTGAGCGACCTAGCTGGCCGTGCCTCGGAGTTCGATGCAATTTTCTACCCGGGCGGACACGGCCCGATGGTAGACCTTGTCCACGATGAGCACTCAAAAGACCTCCTCCGCGATTTCCACTCTCAGGACAAGATCATTTCAGCTGTGTGTCACGGGCCAGCTGCTTTTGTCAATGCAACTGCAGCATCGGGAGAATTGATCTTGAAGGGCAAGCAGGTCACAGGTTTCGATGACGTGGGCGAGGAACTGTTCAAGTTCACGGATGATATGGACTTTAGTCTTGAGAAGAGGTTGGGTGAAGCTAGTGGCGGCAAGTATGTGAAGGCCGATGAAGGTCCGCTTGCGGAGAAGGTTGTTGTTGATGGGAAGATGATTACAGGACAGAACCCAGCGTCGTCTAAGGGTGTCGCTGAGGAGATCGCCAAGGCGCTTGGAGTATATTAAAACACAAGTATTCAGCCTACATAACTAAGCTTAATGCACGAATAGAAATCCTTTACATATGAGAATAGATCTATCAACTCTTTATTTCACATCGATCCATGCGATTGAGAAATCCGCTGCTGGGTAAGCTCACACTCGAATTCAAGCTTATCTCCTACCGACCCAATCATGGTTGTTATCTCAAGCGATGTGGATCCCAGTTGCTACCAGGATCGGCTTTAAACAGCTTCTTCTAACTCCGATTCAATGGTTTGGAAGGATATTAGTGCTGACAAGGATCTTAACCCCCTCCATAACTTATCACTCCGAATATCTTGAAACCCGTTTAAATCGAGCTGAAATATGTTTGGAACCTTCTCTGCTTCGAACACACCGCCTCCGTCAAGAAAGGCCAAGCGCAATCAAGTATCAAAGGCTTGCGACTCATGCCGACTGCATCGCGTCAAATGTGATACCAATTACCCATGTCAAAATTGCTCAAAAAAGGGATTACACTGCAATAGCACTGCTAGACAGAATGCGGGATGGAATCTCTCTCGCGCCATGAGGTATAGACTTAAAAGATCCTGGCCCGCGCTGAGGTTGCTTGCCTGGCTGACACGAGCAACAGCGAGATAGATCGGCTGAGAGAACGAGTGAGAGAGCTAGAACGACAACTTAAGGATATGAGTATTCCAACGCCGCCAGATGAGGAGTTGTCGCGTTCCATGTCAAACGATTCGTCTCGGAGCTTGGTCTCACATAATAACGAGGGAGTTCAACTCGACACCACGACGGCCGTTCAGTCATCGGCTACCAGTACTCAATTCTACGGGCCGTCATCCACGTACTATTTCATCCATTGTATCAACTCGTGCCTTAAAGCTAGTGACTTGATCCTGAACAACGACCAAGAGACTCATAACTTGATACCCAACTCTGCAAGCAGGTCTATGGTGCAAGTGATCTGTACTCCCGATCCCGAGTCAGATGAACGCCAACCCTCGGGAAACTCGGTGCCGACCAGAGTCACACATGGGTTAACTGAAAGTACTTTGTCTGGGAGAGACTTGTCAGCAACTCAAGAAGCCTTCTTTCTTGACCTCTTCTGGGACTCATGGCACTGCTGCTACCAACTTCTCGACGAGGCAGAGTTCAAGGAGCACTACAAGTCACTATGGGATGAGCCAAACGGCAACACAAGAAGAGACTCCCCTCTTGTTGACATCGTCTTGGCCCTTTGTATGCAATTCGGCGTCACCTCGCTTCCACGTCAGAGTGATTACAAGGCAGAGATCAACTCTCGCGACGCAGCTGTTGCAGGCCGTTGGTTGTACCAACGCTGCCAAAGACTCATATCGTGTGACTTGGAGCGGCCTGCACTCGAGACCTTCCACTGTCAACTGTGGTCTGCAATTTACCTGGCCAATGCTTCTTACCAGAACATGGCTCAGAACATGCTCGGTGTTGCAGCGCGCACAGCGTATACACTGGGGTTGCATATTGACCTAGGAGAAGACCTACCCGTCAAAGAAAGAGAAATGCGGAAACGAGCATGGTGTATCCTATTTATGACTGAAACGAGATCCTGTATTCGTCTAGGTCGTCCTTGGGTTACCCAATCTCAACAGATCCTACCATTCTTACCTACTGGCGAACAAGGAAATGTTGCAAGTTGCGTTAATCAGTTGAGCTACACTACAGAGAGAGCGAAGCTCACCGAGATAGCCCGTTCGGCCTTTGACGACACGTTTAATCACCGATCCAGAGCCATGACTACAATGTATACTCCCGAAGCAGTCCCTCAATCTCACAGTCTTCCAAGAGCGCTTACTACTGGTATGGATAAGCTTCGCGCTTGGGCTGACGCTCTACCTCAGGTCTTGAAGACGGAGAGACGCTGTGGCGGGAGCCCTCTCTCCACTGACCTCTCGGAGATTGAGATCGAGACTTTTGCACCCATCTGGTTGCGAAGGCAGCGGTTGATGCTTGAGCTGTTCTATCATGAATTGATGCTCACACTTGGAAGGCATTGCATAAGCCAATCCTTGACTCGTTCTGATTACACTAAAGCCTGCTTGGATCCTCAAGCGGTAGAAGTAGCAGACCTTTCAGCTCTACACGCAGCAGCAACGACAAAGCTTTTGAATCAGGTGTACCAAGAATACGATATCTTGAATGGATGGTACGAGCCGTTCAACTGTCAATGGAACGCAGCAATAACACTCGTTGGCTATCTCTTGGCAAGTCATAACGATAGCCCCGTCACATCGGTCGCTCGGACGGCGCTCTCAGAAAGTATCACAGTGTTGGAAAGAATGGGAGAGTTCTTTGGCACAGCTTCAAGTGCGGCTGGGGTGATACGGACACTCCACCAGAAGCTCCACACATCGGTTGGAGTGCACGTTGCTATGGACAACAGCACCATAATAGCTGACCCAGATATCGACTTTGGCGAATTGGGGGCTTTAGACATGTCATTTGAGGGTATACTAGGGACTTTCGGCACAGATTCTGAGTTTGAGAGTCTTGGGTTTGGCATTGATGTGCAAGCTCTTCTAGCTAATGATGATGAGAATGCGGCTGCAGTATGATTGTCGCCAAACAGAACTGTCTAAGCTAAGCCCCAAACTTTGTAATGTTCTCCAGAACCGCGTCCCTCCATCCCAGTACCAAATCCTGTCTCTGACCCCTCGGTGATACCTCAACTATTGCCGGCAAGAAGTCAACCGCTCGCTGCATGTCGTCTTGCAGTGACGAGGTGTACTCGGTTTCCTCGAACAATGTGCAGCCCTTTCTTTACAACGCTGCTTGAAGACTTCCAATAATCTGTACTTTTCATCCAACGATTCTGAAGTGTCGATCCCGTTCCAGAGAAAGGAGCGCCTTGGGTTCCACTGAGGGTAGGGAACGACGCCAGCGAACTCCCAGTCAAGAATTCCTGTGGATTTTCCAGAAGAAGGGTCGAAGGTCATGTTGGCGAAGTGTAAATCTTTGTGAGCGAGTCGTAGCTTGACGTTGTTAAGCTCGTTGTCGTGTTTCGGGAGGGCGGCTACGAAGGCCTGGAGTCGGGGGATTTAATCGTGATGGGTTTGGATGAGTCGGATGTACTTGGTGACATGTGCTGTTATGTAGTCGACGTATTTTTTGTATGATCCTCCGATGTTAAGAGTATCCACTATCTCACCCTCAGGCCAAAGCGCCTAAATATCTGGAACTTGCCAGAAGGTCTCGTCCATAGGGGGCCAAGCTCAACTTCGCCATGCTCGTCGACAAGCAAGCCTCCAATAGCTTCCCATGAGAGTTCCTGGAGTTGGGTGAGGAAGCCGATGAGCTGGTCAGGAATTTTGTGTACCCATAATTAGCGATGTTAATTTGAAGTTGAAGGTGAGAGGAGAAGAAATAGTCGCGCAGGAAATGGAGAATGTTATAAGCTGAGTGTTGAGGAGGGAAGGAGATGCAAGGCAATAGACGGTGCTTTGCGCCATAATCTATGCATTAGAGATCAAGGTCGTTCTCAATAATTCAAGCTTTTGTTTTAAGAATTTAAAGCTAAGGGTCCTGTGGCTTGAGATTCTCCTGTGGGTGGTGACGCCACGAGGTAAAACGACAGTGGCAGGGTAAGTGAAGTTGAGTAATGCACGAAGCTTTAAATTTTAGCACGTTATTTTAGGTTAGAAGCCCTCAGCTACCTGGTAGGCCTGAATCCCATTGGGGACATCTGAGTTGTTACCTTTTTCCAGTTGACGAGTAAATTGGAGGGGCCATCCGTTATGGATGTTGGCCATGATCTGCGTAAGATACATCCAAGCCAACACTGACCGGGCGATGATGATGTGACAACCGCGCCGCACGCCTTGTCTGATCAGGCAGCAACATGCATCTTCAAAGTGCAATGCTGATATGATTGGTCTTACATGCATTCACCCTTCTGCACGAATATACTTAAACAGAAGCGAATACCCCTCATTTTCAGCCCCAAGTCAAAGCCCTCTTCGTCTTCTCTTGCCAGCATGCAGAGTCACAATTCAACCATCGTCTACCCCAGCGTTCCGCCGAATGAAGCGGACCCGCGCTCTCGTATCAATGTCATGATTGACATCTTCAACGCTGGTCTTTCATCACGTGCGGGCAGCAAGTTGGACAGAGGCTTATATCACGAGATCTTCACTGCATACAAGCTCGTCCAGGATTATAAAATCACGCATGGCAGCCAGATCTCCAGACCCCTCACTGATTTGGAGAAGCGGCAGGGTCTGAATGGCAGCTCGCAAATGATCACGGTGCCCTTGCAGGGTAACAAGTTCAGAGAACTGGACATGGTCTATAACGAAGGCGGATCTACCTATATCGTTGAGGCCAAGAACACCAAAACTGTCGATCACAGTCAGCTCCAGCCAAACATCCAACTGGCACAGCAAATCCAAGGAGCCTTAGTGTATGCCATTGGCGAAAAGGATAGTCAGGAGCGGGCTCTCAAAGAGGCATACAATAAACTTCAAGCTCAACACCAGACTAGCAATACTGGGAACTTCCCTGCTTTGCATGTTATACGAGTTCCGGACAAAGTCGCGGCCATCCTATCGGATAACAAGCCGATGAGTCTGCTGTCACTGTCATCGACATTCCAGGTTTCCCAGTTCAACATAGCCGAGGTCTCGGGGGAGTTTGATCACGAAGAACGCGGGTTTTCGCTATTTAAATAAGGTGGTGCATGAATTAGTAGCAAACGCTTTCTGTGGAGATGAATAGGGGAATGATACCAGGAACATGTAGCGGTACATTCTATGAGACTTTAGTGTATTTCCAGCCCATTGTTATCTTTATGCCTCAAGAGAATCTGATGAAGAGTAAGGCGACCTCCCATTGCCTCTTCTCGGCATCCATGGAAGCAAGCTCCAGGCAAATCTCATGAGCAGCCGCAAGAATTCCCAAAGTTCTCTCAGCAGGTCCAATAGTGCATTTGTGCTGTTGCGCTGTCCTACAAGCCACGCGACACCGATGACCAGGGCGTAGGTGAGGAGAGGCATGACAATGAAGCTGTTACGAAATGCCGAAGGCTCTGGCACAACATCGCTGCCTTCTGTTGGGTTGTTCAGGAACGGTAATGCCCAAAATGTCTACTTTGTTAGCTGTGATGCTGAGGGCTTATGGTGTATGTCACTTACCGCTAAGAAGCTCACTGGTGTGAAGAGGACCGTCACAATGGTGAAGACATAAATTGCTTGATTCAACGCCATAGCTTTGGTTGACTCTCGAAGAGACGTAGCGTTGAATAACTATAGGCACCGGCCGGTTAATAAGGCCTTCCTATAGTATCGGAGAGTGTGAACATACTCCATCTCGCAGACTGTTGATCTCCTCGACCTTCTTTCGGACTCGCCTTTGAACTGCACCAGCGCGTTCGTCTATGCTTCTGATGGCGGCATTGAAGTTCTCTCTCGCTGCAGCCGCACAGAAGGAAGGGTGTCCGAGAGAGGGATCCTTTTGCAGTTCCTTAACACTAGGCACGATCTCATCCAGCCACTCGTCGACGATCCTAAGTAGCTGTAGAGCAACAAAGTAGTCCTTAGAGCGGTTAAAAGACTTATCGAACATCAGATCCTCCACTCGCGACTGGTCATCAAAGTCGTTCAACTAAGAATGGATATCAATAATGCTCTTCAACGATACGGAGAGGAAGTTGGGCGGCGTCTTTCCTACTTACGTCGACATGAACAAGTCCATCTATGGCGTCGAGTGTCTCGCCCCATGCGTCCATGCATCTTTCAAAGATTCTACAGATCTCGAAGAGATAATGTGTGATAGGGATTGCTCTTTCCCTTGCCATTAAGCCATAACGTTCCCAACTAGCTTTAACCTTGTCGATGTTCTGAAAGTCCTTTTTGCCTATAGGCATCCAGTCATCAGATAAGGAGAGTATGCTGAAGAGGCCTGGAGTTCCTCTTAACACTCGGAAGCTTACTCGTGCTCGTCTCTCCCCCAAGCAAATCGCCTCGGACCCGTGTCGTATAGTCGCAGCTTGTCGCTTGCTTAACAGACAGTCCATATCGGAACATGTATAATCACTGATAGGCCTAAAATAACGAATTTGCCAATGAATGGCATGTTGTTCGGGGTGACCTCCAGGCACATTGCATCCTCCTCGGAAATTGGGGGAAAAGAAGGATGCCGAATATCCTACTCGAAACGAGTTCTGATCGTGACATGATTTGCTGAAAGGTTCGTCGTAGCTCAACGCCCAAGCAAGAAGGTTTATAGGATGGTGTTGGTCTCCCTTCTTTTGACTATTCGATGAACAATAGCTAACAAGGTCTTCAGTCGTCATGGTGTCTATTACATAGTCCTTTTTCTACTTACATTATTTTCCCCCTAGGCCGATATCGTGAAGCGGGTATCTCACCACCACCCATGTCCGTCAGAGGCTTATCTTGTCAATCAGTTCACGGGACTACTAGTTGTATAAACATACCATTCGTTCCCGTCGTTCTTTTAGAGCGGCTCTGGCTGCATAGCACCAACTATGCCATAGCCCCTCATAACCGGGGTAGAGAGGATTTGCAGGTGGTAAGTTCTGTATGGTTATTATAAGCTCTCGGCCAGAGATGTGCAGGTGGAAATGAGAATACCACCCGATTCTGATAGATGGCTTTTAAGTCATCTTGATATACCTTCCCAACAGATGACCAATGGGCTAGAACGGCGGGACTGCGGCCGTCACTCTCAACGACATATGCCTTTGACCATTTACGATCTTCAGGCCAGGCGTCGCGAAATGCTTGTTCAATTCGGGCGGCCTTCTTAATTCCCATCTCAGTTAACCAGCCTAACTCCACAGTTTCGTTGACAGCAGATCCGAAATGGAAACGGAACGTTCTAGTCTCCGTGTCACTTATCGAAATACCTGTAACACTTTCTTTGGTAACACCCAGCTCGTACATCATCTTGTCTCTGATCTTGTCAAGAAGCATGCGCTCAATCTGCGGGGATAGGCGCTCAATTTCACCGATGCGATTCTGGCCGGATTGACGTTGAGGGGCAGGGGCAGCGCCTCGTTCCAGTCTAACGTCTTCTACCAAAGAAGCCCCAGCAGAGTTCAATTGTACACTTGGGTTCGCCGACTCCATGCCTCGAACTGGCGTATCAGTAGCTTGATTGAATGAAGACCGTAGACGCTCTGAGGTGGCGGAGTGGGAAGTAAGTGGTCGGCCGTTGCTGCTTTCGGCCTGCGAAGGCTCTAAGCTTACTGCATTATTATCCTCAGGTATCGCTATTGCCTGAGTAGTTTTGCTAGGCTGAAGCTCAACTTCCGTTGTATTGTCGTGTATCGACCTATGACTTTGGGAGCCTTGTGACATTGTCGACTGTTAGCGCCAAACGCCCTATTGGTTAAAATAATGAGATGAAGAGGTCAATGTAGCCCCTGGTGTGAGTGGTTGTCGAGCAGCCTTTATAGATGATCAGACTTCTCACTGTCGGGCTGCTGTGGGGCGATATCACCTGTAGGTGAGCTTGTATAACCGCCTGTGTAACAACCCAGTCCTCAGCTCATGCATATCCCGGGATGTTTCAACCAATTACTACCAATCAGATGGACTACCTCACCTAAGTTTGCCTTGGGGCTTGTCCTTCGTTGGCACAACACATTATTCAGCCGCTCCGAACACGACTTGTCACATCTATTCTAGTACTAACTCTAGTAGTTCTAGAGGTCAGCATCCTGGCGTGACAGAAGAATTGAGGCTCTGAATCAGGACGTGAAAATATGCTACCTGAAAAGCTGACTAAATTAATACTGTAATACCCATACAAATGTAAATGTTGTATCCAAAATCCTAACTTTTCTGCTATTACTACTCAATTGAGACTTATACGCCATACCTTAATTAATTCACAAAGGCTTTCTGGCAATACACAGAACATAGTAATATGATCGCTGTACGTACTATCCTAACAAACAATGCATAAACAATCATATCTGCAGCTCCTGCAAAGCCCCAACCAACACCTTAGTAATATTCCTCGACATCTCCGATTTCTTCCCCAGACACCAAAGCGCTCTAATACAATACTCCGCCCGTCTCAAACTATCCTGAAAATCCTCACTATCATGCCCCAACAGATCCCCCTCATGCTGCTGAAAGTCATCCGCCATGTCCAAATGAAACAAACACGCTTTCGTAAATCCTCTGATAAGGATAACAGTCCAAGGTTCTGTCAACAGTGGTCCCTCGCTAACGGCGAAGTGATAATCTGGGAGCTGTGCTGCGTTTATACCGGCTTCTTGGAACAATCTTGGTGTTGTTACTTGTGCCAAGTCGGCGAGTTCGATGGCGCTGGCCTTTCGGATGCGTGCTGCGACATTACCGCTAAGTCGCTTTTGACGGGCTTGATCGAGGCCGTAGCCGTTCTTGTCTATGAACTCCAGTACGTCGGCGAGCATCAATGCGCCGAGATGCCATGGTACTGCGATGCAGAAGAACCAGCTTCTAATCCGTGGTGGAACTGTATCGTAGTGTCGTATCAGATCCCGGAAGAAGGCCCCATGCGTCATGTTCCAGTATCGGTATAGTAAAGTCGTCTGTTGGATGATCTCCTCGATTGCTTGGGGACACTCTCGTTTTCGCAAAGCATTTTGAAGATATGATAGATGACGATAGATTAATATCTTGACGGGTGCTGACTTGGCAACCATTTGCATCGCATCGTCATATGAGCAGGGCCACCTTGTTCCGACTGTTGGTTTCGTCGCATCATCTTGGATGAACAATTCCATTTCCCATCGTTGACTTCCTCTTCGGCTCTTCTGAGCAGCTCTCATACTGTCTGCGAGTATTTGGTCTGCATCTTCATGCTGGCAATCCTCATCAGCTAGTGCGACTGGCCGTTCATTCATTGATGAAGAGACTGTATCAAACATGACAGCAAGCCAGTAAAGCAGCCCAATGGTGCGTCTATTCTCCTCTGTCAATCTTCGAAGGGCGTGCTTTTTACTCGTCTCCATGAAGCCAGATTCACTAGCTTCAAACCTGAACTTGAGTGCGTGAATCTTCCTCGTTGCCCGCTCAAGGTATATATGAGGTCCCTCCTGCGACATGATCTCAATAATCTCTGGCATCGCGTTCTCTTTAATGCCTTTGCCACTTTTCGTCGTCTTGGATCCAAAGGACTTCTGTTGGTAGTCATCGCTAGCCCAAGGCTTTTGCGTAAGACCAAAGATGAGTTCAGCGTAGATGACACGATATGACTCAACGTCAACAACATCTTGTAGTGCTCTCTTTGCTTGCTCCCATACCGATTGCTGTAAACTCTCTTCAAACTCTTGATTCAGAGCATCAGCTAAGTCGTCTGCTTCCGTGGCAAAGTCGCTCGTTGACATTGAGAATCTTTCTTGTCGGCGGTTGCCTTGGGCCCATTGTGTTGTGAAAGCCATAATGACGAGGTCTAATACTCGTGACGCCGCTTGACTCTCAGACCGCGTGAGGTTGATCAACCTCGCTGATTGAGCAGCTCGATCTAGTTCCACGACGCGACGATACATCCTATTTGACCAAGCAGCGCCCCATTCAGGAGGAAGGTTCGGGTTCTGACGGGACGGCCCTGGGGGCGCATCGGAGTTGGGTTCAGGCGCTGGAGTAGCCCGCGTGACAACTTGCAGCTTGTACGGGCAATTCTCCTCAGCTAGCCAGCAAGCAAGGTTATTCTCCAGAACGTCATGATATATCTGAAGAAGACTCTCGGTGATCATATATCGATTGGAGGTCTGCATGATGATAGAGTCGCTAGTGAATGGCGAGGGTGAGAAGTTGGGATATCCAGACCAGTCATTGGAGGGTAGACGGGCTCTTCGCTTTATCTGAACGGCGTTTTGTCCATTTGCTGGAGATTCTGTTGATGATAGCGTGTCTAGAGGCGCGGAGTTGATGTCCGAGAAGTCCAAGTCCCAGAGATTATTGATGTCAAAGTCTTGTGAGCCAGAATAGGTTGTCGAGTTGTCGATGGTGTCGGTTGCTGCATGTGAAGTCTGCTTTGTAAGTTCTGGGAGTGCGTCATCAAGAACGTCCTGTGCGACAGTCTGTGAAGCACTCTCTGGGCTTGAGAAGCTCATCGCAAGGCTCTGAGCATCGAGAGTTGGGTCCATGGATAGGAAGGAAGGGACGTTTGTGTTGACGAAGGGATTGTTCCAGGATAGACCTTGGCCAGGTGCAGAATTTTGCAGCATCTGCAGCATATTCGCTGCGGTGATGTCGCAGTACTTTGCGTTGAGTGAAGGGGCAGTAGTGGTGGCGGGAGACTCATTTCTCTTTCTCTTGCTCTGGGAACTGTCGTTGGAGGTGCTGGTGATGCTCGAACCTGTTTCACTGACTCGAGACCTTGATCGAGTCTTTCCCCACTGTGGGTTCAAGCTGCATACCTTCTTTGTTCTGATGCAGTAGGAGCAGGACTTGAGTCCTGGTTCCGATCCTCCATCTGATGAAGAGTCATGGTTAACGGCCTGATTTATCATGGTGGGTAGCATGCATGGCTAGAACTTACATATTTGCGACCCAGAGGTGGGTGACGTTGCATCAGGTGAAACTGCCGCCTTCTCATTGCGAATATACCCATCGCAGGCCTTCTTAGACTTCCTGCAATGGTCGCAAGAGTGGTTTTGCCTCCTAACCTTCGGTTCCGACATGACGTGTCTATGCCTCTGAGAACAGACGCTTACTACCAGGATAATAAAAGAGGGTCTAACAAGGCTGAGATACCAACAGATTAGATCAAGGTATAAGGTGAGTGTCAGTGGAGAAAGAATAGAGGAAAGAAACAAGATGAGAGAAACTGGCCCATAGATATTCAGGGCCGTTCCACCGACCTGCCCTCTTTCCCCGCACGGCGCTAACCCGTTTACGAGTCAACGACATCGTTAGTGAAAGCCTCTGCAATTGGTGTTGGTGCTATTGGTTCGTGGTTGGTTTAGTGGACTGGGCGTACCCCAGTCTTGCGGGGAATGGGATGGGGGTGGATCACGCAAACGAACTGTCAGAACTGATACCGTTTGTCCGTGGACGGCACTTAGGATGAATGTGACAGTACAGTGCAACTGTCTTTAAGTATTCTATATCCTTTCAGAGTTTATGGCTTGCATATCGACACTCGGAGCATTGGACTGAGTCATGAGGCAGGGACTTTGAGTGCGCTGGCTGAGACGTTGCGACCGTCATGTAACATACTGTTGAGGTTCTCAAGCAGTTGCAGTATTAAACAGAATAAAAAGCAAGCTTTAGCCTTAACTACTGTTCATTACAAAATCATCCCAGCAGTTCTGTCATTGTTGTTTGCGTTAACCTAATATCTCTACCCATTTTGTCCCTTCCGTCTTGGCCAAGGATGTAACTCCCTGTATACAAATTTGACCTAGTCAAAGAGCCGCGATACAGCCACTGTACTATCTGTATACCAACTAAAACTTATACCTTCTCCTCCTCGGAGTCAATGTCCTTCTTGATCTTGGTGGCACCAGGGATTCTAGAAGAGAGATCACCAAGTGGGAGAGTATAAGGGAAGTCAACCGACAGGAGAATATGGCTCAAGAAGATATACCAGCCCAGAAGTGAGACAACAAAAAGGATCGCAGCACCAGCGTGTTGGTATGTAAGGGCTTTATCGGATTCGCCGTTGGCAACAGCAAAGAAGGAGGCGGAAAGGCAGGAGACTGTAGTGGAAGCCATTAGTGATAGTCTTTCGCTAGGAGTGTTGGGAGCTTACAGCAAGGAACCAGAATGACCAGGATAGTAAACAACACCACATTCGTCCGGATACTGGCGATGGCGAAGATGGCACATAGAATGGCCATCGAGATCAGAAAGAACGAGAAGGTCGCGTAGAACTCGCCTTCCTTAAGGCCATCTGCAGTAGTACCAGTCTTGGAGTAAAGACCATAAGCATTATATCCTGGAACAATGGTTGAACCAAAGGTGAACCAGAAGCCGCCGAAGATGCCAAACACGACCGATGGAAAGGTATTGCCTAGAATCTGTTGTCATATACTTGTTAGAAGATTGTTTTTGTAGTATTCGTTCGAGGGGTGACAAACCCATTCGCCGATGCCGCCTAGGAGGAGAAGAAGACCGCCGAGCCAAAAGTAAGCGCCGCTAGAGACTGATTAGAACAAAGATGTTGGAAGAAGACAGCCACACTTACACGTTTGCACCAGCTCCAAAACCCCCTGCACCTCCCCATCCAAGCAACGACATGGACGCGGGAGTTGTACAGAGAAGGAAGCCTCCCAAAGCTGATCGTCGCGTCAGTAAGATTCAAGCGACAGAGGGGACAGCTTCTTACCCAATGGTGTCGGGTTGCCCAACTTCTGTCGCAAATCCCCCTTGACTCGGCTATGAGGCGCCAAGTACAACTGCTCAAACAACTCAGGAGACATCGAGATACTCCCAGTAGTATGGGCCCTCTCCAGATGATCAGCGCCCTGTTCAGTGAACGTCTTGATAGGTGATGTAGACATGTTGATCGGTGATAATACTGGAGCAATGTGTGGGTAAGTAGTGGAGTGACAGATCCAGAAAAAAACAAGAGAAAGATGGCACGACCCAGAATATGTACTCAAGAGGATTTCCCCCACGATTGCAATCTGGGGTAGCTGGGTTGGAGATTAGGTCGAAGCTCCCTTGCTCCGGAAATCATGTACCCGGTTGGAAGACATGTACCCCGCTGGAAGACATGTATCCGGCTGGAGGACATGTACCTAGCTAGAAGAAATGTACTTAACTGTAGGTAACGGTAGTCGGTTCCCGATTGGAGCTGTGAATAGGAGGCTCTTTGACGGAAGGCACGGAAAAGCCACGTTCTGCATCAAGTCTAGACGAGTCAAGAGGGGGGACTTCTGTGAAGCTCAACAGTTTCGGCACCGGGGTTGTCTAGGTGCGCTATGCCTACCGTGGCGAATGCATGATCGGCTGCGGTGCTGGTCCTTGTTGCAATGGCGCCTGAGTGGTGGTCTTGGGTTGAGATCTAGCTAGACGCACCGGAGTGATCCCCGTGGGGTTGCATCTCCCCACGGGGAAAGGCTTAGGCATACGCAGAACTTGAACTTGAGTTAACGCCAGGGAGGACACATGGCGGTATGGACAGTCTAGTCAGGTTGATGCATTGCATATGCCGCGTGAATACTACGTGATAAGGAGCAGGGATCCCTGGAAACGAAATTGCCCTCCTCTGCGTCTATGTTTGCTGAATCTGATCAGCCAACTCAATATGCATCGTTGGCAATCCTACAGTGCATCGATATCGATTACTTGTTTATTCGTCTTGTTGTTGATCTGCATATTAAGGTTTCTAGCTCATAAAACACAACATAGACTCACAGAGTAAGGCAGAGTCGGAGCCGATTCAGTGAATCCAACAACTAGCTCAATTGGGTAAAGCTCGTGCAGATCAGCCAGGCTGGGAGGGTTTATGAGTCGGCTCCGCACTACAGCTGCCGACTGAGAAAGATGTGCGGGGTAGAATGGTTGGACGACAAGTCTGGGGAAATACGGATACGGACTTCTCCACATGCTGTCAACAATCCTTATTCAATGTCACAAGTAACTGTCGAATCTTCTGGGCACAAAGGACCGCCGGCGGCATGTTTTACATCTTGATCATAAGAGTCTCGAGTGGCGAGAGCGCGGTTCGGGATAATGGAGCTTCCTCATCAGTGTCATTGCTACCAACTGCAGCGAGATTGTCGGGATGTCAACGTAGTCTGCCGATCGGTTTAGCATCATTGATTGGTGATATTTTGATAGTCGTCTCTCCAATGACGGTGATAGGCTTAATATCTTGAAGTTAGTGAGCAGATGTGTTATTTGCAGTTGAGACCTGTGGCTGAGAGCTTATATTCACCACGCAGAACTTAGTGAGCGTTAATGTCATCAAGAGAAAGGGTTCGCGTACTGCATCCAAAGCAAAGATAATGCTGGCTGGCTTGTATATCGAGCAGTTCGCATTTCCATTGACTAAGTTCTTAAGGTGTAGACATTGTCATATGGAGTGATAGTAACATTTGCCTATGTTCTTGTCATTGAGTAATAAGTAGATGCCCTCCTTCCGACTTAAGTTAAGCTGGTTCCCGCCCCATCGCACACTCACGATACCTACCCTGAATCGAAATAGTTCCAAGCAAAAGGCTCTCATAAAGCAGCATATACCCATGGCCTGGTAGCTGGCCATTTTTTGAGTCATGATTTATATTAATTCTCTCTCGTTACAAAGCTTGAACCTGGTGCTCAAGAGTCCTAAATGCTTCTGTGGCTGGCGATCATTCCTCTCTTCTGCCGATATCTCAATGGGTCTTGGCGTTAGCCAATGAATCGTAGTACAGGTCAATTCGCGTCTTGGGCACATTCTTCTCCCTGTTCACAAGAATGGTCTTCACCGCCTTGAGGAGAGTTTCCTCCAAACTCGTGAACCCCTCTAGTTTCCCCATCTGCCTCAACACCTTGGCACTCCTCTCATTGTCTACCTCTCCTGCATCTACAGCTGACTCTTTAACATTCTTGAGCAGAACCTCGCCCGGAAACCGCCGATGAAGTATCTCGAGAATCACAGTCCAGCAATATCTCCCACCGAATGCAAGAAGTCGCTCGTTATTGACATCGTCGAGTGTCAGCGCAGCCAAGTGCAGCAGTACCGTATCCTCGACATCGACGTACCACTGTGACGGTAGAATAGACGGCGCATCGGGATACCCTTTAACCACAGCATCGATCACAGCGGCGGAGCTACGGTAGCTCATGCTCTCGGGCGATACGGCGATACCGAAGTTGACGTTGGGAACAACTGTGTTGAATGAAAAAGATGGCTTGTGCTCGCGTACCCACGCAAAGGCGGCTTGTTCGCTACGTGCTTTGGCAGCTCCATATAGCATGATCCCATGCCATCGCGGATTCCCTTGGCCATCCCACGGCTCGGATGTCTTGTCAATTGCATCGATGTTCCAGGTATTCGCATTGATCTTGTATGGTTCGCCAGTCGTCGGAAGAGCGCACGCAGCTAGTGACGAGGTGATGACAACACTCCTCACGGTAGGGACCTTCGCCGCCGCTTGAAGAAGGTACAGATTCGAGTTGATGGTGTCGTCGATGATCGCTTGGTTCTGTGGGTTCATGTCCATGTTCATAGCGGTATGAACCACGCCATCTACGCCTTGGAGTGCTTCATCAAAGACACCATGTGTCGAGATGCTGGTAACTTCGACTAGCTCGAAATTGGGGCCAAAATGCGTCTTCATCCAAGTATTGGCATCGATGGAGCGTACGGTACCGCGGACACGATAGCCGCGCTGAAGAAAGTCTTGCACAGCGACACTAGCTATGTAGCCATTAGCGCCTGTGATGAGGATTAGACCTCCTGGGGGGACTGAAGACATCACGGGAAATGTTCCTGCTGAGTTAAGGCGGGTGATGGAAACGAAGGGTTGATGGTAACATGTTAAAGATAGAATGAGAAGAGAGGCTTTTATAAAGAGACAGATGTGGCATTATTTCTACAAACATAACAATAACCTCATCTATTAGCCCGAGTCTTACATGCACTTAACACGCCAATTCCCCAGTCGTTATCTCGCATCCCCAAACAAGTCTAGTCCTCTTCGCATTCCCAATCAGGGAAACGAGACTCCACTCTGACTCCCTCCACCTAATGAGATGCAGTAAAATCATGCCCCCTTCTCAGACTCTTGCTTCTCTTCGTTCTCCCAAAACACATCGCAGACGATGTCATCCCCGCGCTTTTCCAATACGATCCTCGTTCCAGGAACGAGTGGTCAGAGTCCTTCTCTGCAGACATTTGGAGCGTTGGATCAGCCAAGGAAAAAACGGCCCCATCGGAAGAGTCGGAAGGGTTGTGATGCCTGTAAACGACGGAAAGTCAAGGTATGAACCCTTGACGTTTTATGAGAGGCTTGGATTGACAGCGGGTAGTGTGACGAAAGAGTGCCCTGCACGAATTGTCTACAGCGCAATGAGCAGTGCTTCCAGCCACATTATGTTCACGTTGCTCTTCCAACTGTGGCAAAGCCTATTGATCCGGTTCCTTGGATCAATCTAATGCATCTTGAGTTATTCTATCACTGGGATAAAGAAACAAGACCGACCCTTGCATTTCCCCAGATCTGGCCCATTGTTATGCAACAAGCCTTCCATGTAGACTATAAACCTTCCAATATTATATACTATTGCTGACATACCATAGGAAGATTTCGTCATGTCGGCCATACTCTGCACTTCGGCAATGCACCTAACTTCCCTCTGCCCAAATGAGCCCAAATACAAAGACGCTTCAGAGCATCTAATGGCCAAAACCGTGCAACTATTCCGCAAAAACTTATCCCGTCCATTTAACAAGCAAAACTGCGAAGCACTCATGGGAACAGCTCTTCTCGTCAACTACATATCATGGTTCGATCTTGACTTCCTCCACGGCCAGAATAAACTGGACCTTGCGAAAGACCAATTATTTTTCCTGACCCCTGGAATAATTGAGCTCTGGTTTCGGGCGATGCCCATCTTTATTGACCAGGGAAGCATTTTCGCTGGCGTCGCGAGGCATTCTCCAAGATTTAATATTGAGCAGGCTCTTGTTACTTGGGGCCATGATCCGGAGCGCTTTGTTGGTTTGTTTATGGAGATCTGGGATGATCCTCGGTATCAGGGGGAGAGTTGCCCAGTTGCAAGTGACGAGCCGACATCGTGCGCTTGGCGACTTCTTCTGGGCATGGAGAATCAGATACCGCATAACTCACCCAGGTCTCCTCCGGCTGAAGCATCATGCGATGAGGATACACACAACCAGTCACTCACGCATCTCAAAGAAGTCATTACTGATGTTACGGACAAGTTCACCTTCCCCAACCACCCCGCTGCCTCCATCGTTCTGTCATCCCAGTCCGACCGTTCAGTCTTCGAAACCCTCATGCACCGAGTATCTCCTCTTCTGAGCTGCGCATCACTCGTGGCGGGCCCAATGCGCTGTGACATGATTTCTTCTATCAGCACCGACATTGAGGAGCTGTTCTTTGGGGTTCCAGTTCTTTGTTCTGGACCTATTGCCCGCTGGATTGGTAGCGGAGATTCGAGAATTCTCTTGTTGCTGTGTCACTTTTACCGTGCTGCACAGATTTTACTGCCTAAGAAAAGAAGTTGGTGGGGGTATACGAGAAGTTGCGTTATGGAGCGTTTGATCCTAGATGAATTGAAGTCGAGAGGGCTTCATGTCGACTTTTATGTTTGACGGCAGGTTCAAGAAAGTGTTCAAATCCGAATCTAATTCAAGTGGCTATTCGAGATCGTCACGACGGAAAAGGGGGAGGGAAAAGCCAACGATAGCTTATTGTTTCACTATCAAACTACTCTTGAACGGAGCCAGTCATGCTTGTCGCTATCACCGTAACTAACTTCCCGTGTGCTCAAATGCTGAACACCATGAACCTGATATGCAGGTGATTCAGTTTAGACAGTTCCTAGTAGTAATTGATCTACGTTAGATCAACTTAAGGATCCAGAGCTGTTCAGTTGAGAGATCTTTCAGAGATCCACGCTGTCCAACGATACGGGTCCTTCAAAGATCACATCGTCAGTAATGTTTTTCAACCTTCACAAGTAAAAGTCCACTCACCCATACTGAGCGCTGCCACCCTGGAGGGTAACAAAAGTTCCAGCAGGAATATTCTCAATCCTATAGCTCAAATTAATACCGTTCAGTTCCTCTTGTAGGCATCAACTTACTTGACAATAGTCCCATGAGCTGGGAAGTATCCAACAGGTCGAATGCACCAGAGCTGATGCCCTCCAAAACCGCTATATTGCCAGCCAACGATTTCAGTACCGTCAGCTGTACCTCCGTTATATAGATCCATAGCTCCTGTTCACTATCAGTATAAAGCCATTATAACTCTTTGAGAAAGTAGCTTACGCCCAGGAGCTCTGATGTTCTGAAGTCTGAACTGGGGCTGATCATCAGAGCCGTGCTTATACTTGACGCACTTCCACTGTTGGTTCTCATTCAGATGGCCTTGCCAGCCAATACAGGGGGTGCCGTCAGGAGGGTTTGTAAAGCCTAAACCTTAGGTTAGAGATAGGGATAGAGTGTGGAGAGCATCATACCATCTTTCAAATCGATAGCGGTGCCGGTTGCGAAGTTGACAAACGCCACGGTCTTGCCTTCCAAGTCATGAGCGCTGATCATGTGGTCAGACATTTTGATGGTTCTGCTTGGGGGTTGATTTGAGTAGGCTGTTATTGGTGTGATGAGGAAGTGCTTGTTTGTCGACAGAGAGAGGACAACAGCTGGTCTTTATACCTTTTCCCATCTGTTTGGATGATATATTGATATCTTCAGAGTCCAGCTGGAAAATGATGATCCTTCCCCTACAATATACCATTGTAGGGACATGTAAAATCCCGGTGAGGGCGATCATGAAAACTTGTCGGATCCACGAATAAGAAGGTTGCATCAAAGTTCTCAACGAGAAGTGAGGCCATCCAATATCTGCAGGAGGGAACTATAGGTCAACAGTCCACTTGCCGCTCATACAGAATTGGCCATTAACTATATTTTCAGCTAACAGCTATCCAGCCCTATTCATAAAATACAAATACGGTCGCTTTCCGCTTGGACGCTTCAGAATCTCACTGCATGATGACAAGCCTCAGCTAGCCACAATTGCATAGACCCACTTCAGGTCGACCAATATCAACTATGTAGTTTGAATAGTGGTAGTATATTGTACTGCACATAATGATATGACAGTAATGCCGGGAGCTGCGTATTGCTTATCTTAGCATATCCCTCTCAAAGTCATGCCACACTCCCTGGTCTCAGCTCACTCAGATCAACGCCAAGTTTAATATTACTACTCTCGTGATATACTGACAATGTCTCTATTTAGATATCCCCATCTTCAATCACTACCCCTCCCAAAGATATTCCTGCTTGATCCCGGGTATCAACTTCCTCAGCGCCATACCGTAATCTCCGCCATTAGGCGTCCTCATCAGTGTATGAATATGGAACTTGGCAGGCTCCTTGTTATTCAGAAAAACGCCTGAATGATGATCAAACTCAAATATCATAACCGGACTCTGGATCCGATAGTAGAATGGATCACTGTCACCATAACCTCCGATCCAGCACCAGTAAGTCTCGTGGAACCACTTTTTCAACTGTTCCACTCGCAGCTGTCTCGCTTTTTCGGGTAAGTAAAGGAAAAATTCATTTGCGATACCGAGGATGAGATCCTGCTGTTCGGTTGACATGTCTGACACAAGAATTCCTTCGTACGGAACGATTCTGTTATCGCGGTAAGCACCGCATAGATGTCGTTGATCATCATGATTCCATCGCCCATGGGGCATGGCGGGGTCTTTCATAAGCTTATACACCTGCGCAGCCTTTTGTTTCTCCGCTGAAAGACTTTGCATCAGACGCAATCCAAGACTCTCTTCCCTGTCTAGGATTCGTGTGCCTTTATATGGTCCATCATCGATGAGATTCGGCTCAGCGCCAGTGAACCATGGCGACACAACGATCTGAGTCTTGTAAAGAAAGATATTCAGACACAGATGATGCCCATAGAATGAGTATCCCCAAGGACGAGATGTTGACGGCTCACCGAAGAGAACAAAATTGTAGGAGAATTCGTTCATGATGGCAGGTGTCTCAACGAGTTCACCTAGGAAATGATTCACACGCATGGCTCCGAGTGCCTTTTGGTAACCTTCTGGTGAGAGCGTGAGTTCCAGAACTTTAAGCGCTTTGGATCTCAACTCGTTTGAGATTTCATCGAGTCGGATGCCTTTGTCGCTGAGGAGAAACTCTGGGTTTGACCATGAGCGCCATTCTGGGCTGTCGATATGATAGCATGTCTTGAGCTTTTGATCGTGATTCAGGTTGACGCAAAGGTTATTTGCGGCCTCGACGATAGTGTCTATGGGTATGCCACCGTCTTGCAGCTCAAATAAGCCGTCTCTAACCACGCCTGCGGCAAGTCAGTACCGATTTTGAACCACGGTATAGAGAGTACGTACCATCATTTGTGATGCCCTTATAAGGCTCTTGGAATAAATTGCGCCAATGTAAGTATAACCCGTGAAGCCAAGGCGGCTGGCCCTCTTTCTTGAAAATATCGGCGTATTCATACGCATCCTGTTTCTTCATATTCTGGAATCGCGGCTGGTTCAAGTCGGGGAGGTGCTGGCGAAAGCCCCCATCAGAGCCTGATTGAGAAGTCATGATGTGTGATTGACGGTTGCGTTCGTGATAGCGAAACTCAGTGCGGGCCTCAGTGCGTACGAAGCTGGAGCATCAACGTTAAGATCAATTTGTAATGACGCGGTCCCCTCCAAAATACAACGGATGTATCATACGTTTCTGGTATTAGATATCCGCCGTTCTTACGACGACTGTAAAATCGGTAGTAGTTGATTGGTTTGCGGATTTTCCGTTGCATCACCAAATGCGGGGTTGGAGTGGTGAGCGGGATATCCGGGGCTCCGATACAGGAGACCGGCAGATGGTAGCGGAGTTACTGAGCGTCTTCATTCACCGGAGAGTAAATAATATCACGAGTACAAAGTAGATTCTGAAGACGAACACACTGATTAGGACTTGAGTAATATCAGAATTATTCACGATGGCTTCTTCTGCATTCAAGCGTAAGTGGATCCAACGAATGCTGCGTGTGCCAAGCTAACAATGAGACAGGCCTTGTGCGCTTCGTTCCCAAGTCAGCGCCTTCAAGCATCTTGATCGGAGAACCAGTGCAAGCTTCTCTTGACGTCGGCCTAGCGTCTCGTGAAGGAAAAGACATCGCTGTCAATGTCTTTTCAGGACGGTCAGTCTTGGCGCCTGGCACTCGAACAGACCGCACTGAATCCGTCGAGCGACTCTTGTCACCTTTGGCGCAAGAGGAAGTGGGAACCATTCGATGTATCGGACTGAATGTGGGTATCATATTCAATTAACAGACTCAGACTGTGAACTGATTGTTTGCAGTACGTTCAGCATGCGAAAGAAGTCAACATGGATATCCCAACAATCCCCACGCTGTTCCTGTAAGTCCGATACCAACTGCTCATAGCAACTGTACTAATCTATGTTGCAGTAAGCCTAACACAGCACTTGGTGACCCGTGGCCAGCCCCTACTCTGCTTCCCAAGATAACTCAAAACGATGGAAGCGGTGATTACGAGTCTGAGCTGGCGGTCGTCATTGGCAAAGCAGCCAAGAACGTTTCTGAGGAGAATGCTATGGACTATGTTCTGGGCTTCACGGCAGCCAATGATGTCTCGAGTCGCGTTTCGCAATTGAACCAGTCCCAGTGGTGCTTCTCCAAGGGATTTGACGGGGCATGTCCTATTGGTAAGCTGCTCTTATCTTCCTGCATCCCGTAAAGATGCTAATCGGTAACGCAGGTCCCGCTCTGGTCTCGACTTCAGAGATCCCTGACCCTTCCAAATTCCATATCCGGGGTCTGAAGAACGGCAAGGTCTTGCAAGACTGCTCACTGGAGTACGTATCACCATCTTCCCTTCTTCCAAGGGTTCATTAGCTGACATCATGTAGCGACCTCATCTTCAGCGTTCCCAAGCTCGTCAGCTTCCTATCTCAAGGAACAACCCTTCCCGCAGGAACCGTCATCATCACTGGTACACCAGCCGGCGTAGGCATGGGTAGAAAGCCCAAAGAGACTCTTTCCCATGGCGATGAGTTCAGAGTTGAGATTCTGCCACATGTCGGAACATTGGTTAATACTTTTGAGAATGAATAGTCAGTAGTCAATAACTAGACAATAGACAGTATAAGGCAAAAATATATATCATTTATTATATATAAGTGGCAAAAGCGAAGAGTGGTATAGTAGGGGAAGGGGGAATTATAATTACAGTTATCTCTGTTCTTTCTTTAATTACAGTTATTCCTGTTCTTTCTTTAATTGCTGTTATTTCTGCTCTTTCTTTTTTTCTGATAATCAGGGGAAGAGGGAATTGTAGGGATGGACTGGGGGATTTTGAGTTCTGATTCTAGGATCAAGGACTCTAACTACTACACCACTCTTCGCTGAGGGTATCAGTGCGATTTTGGAATATAAGGGGTTGACACCTCGGTTGTGTTCAGCGTTAGTCATCCATGAGGGCGAAGCACGGAAGAACACGTCTGGGTTTGAAGTCAAAGTCTATCATGGCTTACACTCCTGTTCCATACGAAGTTCTGTGTGGTGATTATAAGCTCTCAGTCACAGGTCTCAACTGCAAATAACACATCTAGCTCACTATTTAGACATTCCACCATAACGCCTAACTAATTACTATAGGTTAAATACACTTTGAAGCAAGCTCTGGGATGCAAAGGTCACTCATACACAAAGGTCAAACATATAACACAATATTTATCTCAAGAGTATAACCAAAGAGACATAGCATAGGATATCTGTGGTTTCCCTAATTCCAATCGCTATTATAATAGGCCAAATATCATGTCCTAAAATCTAGCTATCTAGCAGTGGAGGAACTTTGTCAACAAGGTACTCAATAATAGCATCCACTCAGGGTTGCTGCCATATATCAGAATATTAGTTAATACTTTTAGGAATAAATAGTTAATAACTAGATAATTAATAGTATAATGCAAAAAGATATATCTTTTATTATGCATAACTGGCAAAAGCGAAGAGTGGTGTAGTAGTTGGGAGGGGGAATCAATTGCTGTTATTTCTGCTCTTTCTGTGATTACTGTTATCTCTGCTCTTTCTGTGATTCCCCTTATCGGTGTGGTGTGGTTTCTTTGATTACTGTTATCTCTGTTCTTCCCGTGATTGCTGTTATCTCTGCTCTTTCTTCAATTGCTGTTATTTCTGCTCTTTCGAGTACAGAAGGGCGAATTCTGGGGGAGGGCGGAATTCGTCGGGGTTGTCGTCGGGTTTCGAACTCGGGGTGTCGTGGGATGGACGTGGGGATTTTGGGTTCGGATTCGAGGATCTGTTCGGGGGCCGTAACTACTACACCACTCTTCGCTGGGGATACTGTCAGAGATTTTGGGATATAAGGGGTTGGCACCGAGGTGTTTAGCGTTAGTCAGCTGGAAGGCGAAGCACGGAAGGGCATTTCTAAGTTTGAAGTCACAGCCTACCATGGCTAGTCTCAGTCTTACACTTCTGAAACGCTTTCAAGCAAGCTTTAGGATGCAGAGGTCACGCTCAGACAAAGGTCAACAACACAACATGATATTTATCTTAAGAGCCCAGCGAAAGACACATAGCATTGGAGTTGTGTGGCTTCCTAAGTTCCAATTATTATTGCGGTGGCCCGAACATCATATCCAACAGTATATCTAGCTATCCAGTAGAGGAGGAACCTTTTCAACAAGGTACTCGACAATAGCATCCGGTCCTCTCTCAACCTGCAGTCCCGTCGGAATCGCGTGAAGTTTGATGTCAGGCACAATAGACTTTGCCAGAGAGTGAATCTGCTCCGCCTCTTCCGCTGACCACATAGAAGCCGAGAACTGATGGAAACAAAGTTAGAGTTATCGCATAAACTTTCTGTCATTTCTCACTCACCAATACATTGGGCTTGTGCTCTGTTACTTTCGGAACAACCTCATCGATGCCTAGCTTGATTAATCACTTATTCGCTCCGCTCAGTTGATAAACTCACTCGAACAGTTATCCACGTGAATAATCTCATAGTCATCTTGGAGTTCGGTGATTAAGCGTCCAATGAGGCGCTTTGCGCGCTCTGGCGCCGTGTTGACGGTGACAAGTCTGAATGGTCCTTTTCTCGTAGACATTTTGATGATATTGCGCTTGAAAAATTATTTGGTCAAGTGTTGTATGATGAGAGGTTAGTTATAGATCTTTACAGGTAGCTCGGATATAGCTCGTCCGTTACCCCGCGGGTCTTCCGAGAGATGTGGGGACGGCAGATTTGGGAGGCCGGTCACGGAGGCAATGGATACAACGCGTTCTAGCGTTGGTGATTAGCTGATTGACTCGGGAAAGAAGGCATATAGGTATATGGCGGTATTGGTCGATATTTCTTTGTTCCAGGTTTATACTTGGCTTGAGCTATTCGAGAGTGATCTCAGGTCCCATTAAAGACGAAGTGCAGCCAATCATGCAGTTCAAACACTGCCATAAAACTTCACATCACTAACCAACAAACGCACGCGCCGTCGAGAGACGAGAAAGACTGAGGCTTGATTTTGGCAGCAACGGTATTCACCAATCCCTCAATTATAGGAATAATTGAAACCAGTATCAAATCTTCTGTTCTTTATGTCCTAACTACACCTATCTCCTCAGAGAATATCTCTGATTCCAATAGTCAAGTCCACAGTACCTCCTCAAAGACCCTTCATTAGCTTCTTCTCCATCATAGAGCTATCCAAAATCAAGACCATCTTTCAACAGAGCACACTTACAAACCCTTTGATGATTATTCCTTCGGACTATAGTTAACAGAATAAATGCAATTAGAGGAGCCACAATCCTGAATCTTCTTGCGATACTTGGTCCCGTCTTTTCTCTTGAGCGTTCTCCACTCGCAACAATCGCATGGGACGCGATCTGAGCCTGCTGCGGGCCGGACTTCGGTGTTTTCCATTTCGCACATCTTGAGGGTTTTTGGTCAGGGAGTATTATTGCTAGTATAGTTTTTGAATAGTGGAGGTATTTAAAAGGTAAAGAGGCGCGTTCTGTGCTGGAAGAGAATTGCTACTTATACTTTCTGGTTGTTCGTGATCTGGTATCTGCTCAACTATGTTTGTTAAAATAAGACATGAATGAGAAGCACTATATCGCTGTATTCTGTAAATTGTGTGCTGACCATCAGTATAATAGTCTTATCTTCACGAACATACCATAGCAATTTCATTAGCTACAGTTAGAAGAGCGAGACGTCTATGTGGTACGGCTTCACTCTTAAGAGTCATTAAGAGACACGCGACAGTGTCGCAAATAGACATGCAGTCAAACGTGGTAACACCGGTATTCTATGTCTCCTCCAGATCGCTGCTTTGTTCGTCCTCAGCGCGCCCACGTTTATCACGTTACCCTCGGGTCACCCATTCGTGAAAGGAGTTACATTGTTTGTCCAACTGTCACATTAGCTATGACGGTCTGTGAGAATACCCATTTCATGGAATGCGTTGAGGCTCGCCTAGCAGGTCCCTTGATCGTAGTGAGCAACCAAACCGACGTCTAGGCTAGGTCCTCCCTTCACGGAACGTATTGAATAGAGCAAGAGTGATTCACTATTCTTATTACTATACTATTGCAGTTTTGCTCAGATATTTGTCAATGTTGATTACACCTTTGCAGTGTCCCTACTCAGGAACTCCTGACTAAACGCATAATCAGTATACCCCCTCGCTATCTTGGGAGTATAAAAATACGTCCTATCATATCCCTCCAACCCAACACCCGTCCTCAAACGAAACACAAGATCCGGGTTCGCAACAAAATATCTTCCAAAAGCAATCAATACATCATACCCCTTGTAACTCTCATCAACAGCGATCTTGGCTGAATCGCTCTTGAATCCGCCCGACAGGATCACAGGACTTGTGTTGTTCCACAACTCAACAATCCACCGAACTGTCCGTTGACCACCGCAATCAGCGTCGTCGTTACCACGTATACGAGCTTCGATGAGGTGCAGGTATGCTAAACCAAGAGGTTTGAGTTGTTCGATGAGGTAGTGAAACTGTGGATCTGGGTCGTCCATGAGCATGCCTAGAAAATCGCTGTAGGGACTGAGGCGCATTCCCGTCTTATCGGCTCCGACGGCTGCGATGACAGCTTTTGTCACTTCAATGTGAAACCTGGCCCTGTTCTCAATACTTCCTCCCCAGAGATCAGTGCGTTTATTACAAGTATCTTGTAAGAACTGATCAGGTAGGTACCCATTCGCACCATGAATCTCAACGCCATCAAAGCCAGCTGCGATCGCGTTCCTCGCAGCAGATGTATAGTCCTTTATAGTAGTTTGTATCTCGCCTTCTTTCATTTCTTGAGGAGTTGGCATTGAGGAATCAACGGGAACAGCGCTACTGGAGAGAAGAGGGTAGTCGTTCCTCTGAACAACTTCAGGGTTGCTAGCTCGTCCTTGATGCCAAAGCTGACAAAAGACTTTGCAACCCTTTGCGTGTATGGCGTCGGTTATACTGCGCCATGCTATGACTTGAGCGTCGGACCAGATGCCAGGTGCGTTGTCGGAACCGGCTGTGCTTTGGGATATGAAGGTTGCTTCACTGATGATAAGAGTACCAGGCGTTGATGCACGTTGTTCGTAGTATTCTATTCACTGCGGTTAGGGTTCCTCCTGTAAATGCCTTATTATGCCACTACTGACCTCTTGTCATGGAAGTTGGGCAATGATCATCGTCGCAGCGGAATCTAGTCAGAGGCGCCATAACAACTCGGTGCTCCAACGAAGTTGACCCGACGGCCAATGGCTCAAAGAGTCGTGACATGATATCTCTGCCCACAAAGAATTTAGAGTTGAGATAATATCAGCTTCCAATTTAAAGTATTGCAATATAATCACAGCACGAAAAATTCCTGGGAGTATTAAACCCCCTGCAATAAATATGCATTCCCAATACCCACCCGTCCATCATCCCCACCACTACTCGGTGGGTGGCATTGAAACCCACCCTTATCGCAATCATCCGGAAAACTCATCCATCCATCGGAACAGAAGATGCCGATACAGAAGCAGTACTGCACCAGCCGTTTTATTTCCGACAGGGCCATTCTTGGCCGACAGGGATGTATGCGAATGCGCTCGTGTTTTGTCGAATGAGGGGGATTCGGGAATAAGGGTTCCTGACGGGAAATATGTGAGCTGAAGAATTTGATGATGACATTGAGAAATTGATCATCGTTTCTTTTGCTGTGTCCAAGATGGGGGTTCAGTGTATGTCAGAAATACAAGGATTTTGGCGACGGTGATCATCTCCTTCCTCTCTCTCGTACAGTCTCTATCTTTTCCAGAGCGAGAAAATACGATACCGTCCAAGTTATCGTCATCATGAGTCGCGATACTAAGAATCTGGACACATCGCAAGCATGTTCCGACCGAATCACCCAGGACGAGTCACCAACTCAGGTTGCCAACGATGAGAACCTACGAATCGACAGCAGCTCCAGCACACAAGTCCCCGACCAAGACCAAAGCGACGCCGAAAGCATAGGCGGCCAACGCAACAGCGATCTCCCCCGAAAACGCCTCCTAATCTCCATAACCGCTCTATCAGTATGCCTTTTCGTATCGTTCCTCGACCAAACGAGCGTGTCAACAGCTACACCCGCTCTAGCTGGCGAGCTTGAAACAGGGACTTCGACTTCATGGATCGGAACTTCGTTTTTAATAGCGTCTACGGCTTTTCAGCTTATCAACGGCCGACTTTCGGATATCTTCGGTCGGAAAAATATGCTTTTGCTGTGTTTGTTTCTTATGGGTGTTGGAGATCTAGCTTGCGGTTTTGCGAAAACTCCTGTACAGTTGTACGTCTTTCGGTCGATTGCTGGTGTTGGTGGTGGGGGGATTAATAGCTTGGTCATGATTATCGTCAGCGATATCACCTCACTGCAGAATCGAGGCTACTATCAAGGTAAGTTGCAGCATATATAGTTATCAAGCTTCTGTATTGACAAAGATCAGGAATGCTGGGCGCCATCATCGCTCTCGCCAACGGCGTCGGACCCTTCTTAGGCGGTGCGATCGTTCAATCTGCGACTTGGCGATGGGTTTTCTGGATGATACCCATCATCACTCTGCCTACTACAGCAATTATCTGGTTTTACCTTCCTCTGAAGCATCGATCCGGAGAATACATGGAGAAGATAAAAAAGATCGACTACGGAGGCATAGTTCTAAACATTGCATCAACACTACTACTTCTGATCCCCATATCTGGAGGAGGCGTCACATATTCCTGGACGTCAGCTTTCTTCATCGCCACCGTCATCGTCAGTATCTTGTTAGTTGTCCTCTTCGTTCTGTTCGAATGGAAGTTGGCAAAACTACCGATTATGCCTCTTCGACTGTACCGCGCGCCTCATTGCTGGGCGCTGTACCTGCAGTCTTTCTTGACAGGATTGGCCTATTTCGGCAACTTCTTCTATCTGCCGTTATACTTCCAATCGGTACTCGGATACGACGCGCTGGTTGCCGGTGCTCTCATCTTAGCAGTGGTCATCCCGACATCGCTCACGTCTATCCTTTCGGGACAGTACATGAGTCGCGTGGGAAGCTATATGCACTGCATCCTGGCTGGTTTCGCTCTCTGGACTCTTGGGAGCGGACTCACGCTTATCTTTGATCGGGACACTAAACTGGGCCCGCTGATCACCATTCTCATCGTCGAAGGCGCGGGTATTGGGTTCACTCTGCAGCCTACGCTTGTTGGGATGTACGCGAATGGTCGTAGTGAGGATCGCGCGGTGACGACTGGTTTGCGAAACTTTATCCGCACAATTGGCGGAGCTTTCGGAGTAGTCATCTCCGGCGTCATTCTCTCTAACACGCTGAACAAAGAGCTTGGTGGTAGAGGGATCGTGTCCAACGACATGATTGCTCAATTGACGTCATCGACGTACTCGTTGAGCAGCATGGGCTTGTCGCAGGAGGATCAGGATGTAGTTCTGGATGCGTACATGAAGGGTTTATACTATATATTTGTCTTCTTTACAGTATGCTCGGGATTAAGTCTGGTTCTTACGTTTTGGGTTGGAAACACGAGTCTTAAGTCGCCAGCGAAGACCGAGGACGCGCCGGATTCAACAAATCGAGATATTACGGAGGATGAGAAAGCTGCGCAGGTCGATCTAGAAAAGGGACAGCGATAGAGATAGAATTTCATTTATTAATACAAGAAATAAAAGTTGTTGTCAATTGACCTTTAAACATTGCTCACAACGAACTTCACTTGGTGATAAAGGGAACACGCGTAGCTTGGAGGTACCGGAGACCCTGTTCAAGACGCGAAACGTGGCGGCGAGAAGAGGGGATGGATATTGTCAAGAGACTATCAGGGATACTTCAAAGGGCGGGTGAAAAGCATTGTTGTTCAAGTCGCTCTGTTAGTGCAGCAACTCAAAGATCCCTGCTAGCCAAGGTCTGGTGCTTTTCCCGCAAAAGATGAAATAGATATTTAGGGACGTGGAGTCTGTGCACCTTCACCAAAATTGATGTATTGTTTGCTTGGGTTGTCACTAATAGATTATTATATTAACTATTATAACCGCCGTTATCTTGTGCAAGTAGAAAAACCACTATGACGTGTAGGATATAATCGTCATAGATTGGTAAGAAAGCCAAATTACCCAATTACACCTTGTCAGCCATAATTCGCTGTTTATCTTATTCTTCAGGTGTCTGTTTCTCTTACCCTACAGATTCTGAGCAGTCGTCTCCCTGTCCCGATCCGGTATAGCCTTATCGTACAGAGTCTGGAGTGATAACCGGGAATAAACTGGAGTCAACTAGAGAGCTTATCGTCCCCAGCCATGATGCAACGTCCGTTATCAGTTCGTCTTCCCCGCGTTCCTTATCACAGACACGATTCATGACTCCACGCTAGTGGTATTTTCCTGACCCGGTCGGATATAGGAAGGTCGTAGGAGAGGTCGGGCCAAAATTCGCCGAAGGGCTCGCAATAAGTTGGCCGGCATCGAGATAAGGCATTAATACAGCTTGTTTATAGTCCAGCCATCAGTCTACAGTTCAACAACTGTCTAACTGTGTTGATCTAAAAGTTTTATTCTCGGAGTCAATTGGTATTGCCTATCATGCCTACAACTTACGCATCGCACCCCGATTACGGCTTTGAACGCGACTTCAAAGGATACGGAGAGAAGGGCCTTGTTGGCTTGAAGTGGCCCAACAACGCCAAGATCGCTGTATCATTTGTCATCAACTATGAAGAGGTATGTTTCCGAGCGCGTAAATTCCATAGCAATGGACTAGATCGCTAACTCTCGTGGCATCTTAGGGCGGTGAGCGCTGTGTTCAAAGTGGTGATGGAGTCTCAGAAACAAACCTCCGAGAACATCCTACAGCACCACGCATGAACGAGCGCGACCTCAACGGCGAATCAGAGTATGAATATGGCTCTCGGGTTGGTTTCTGGCGATTGTTCAAGCTCTTCAACAAGCACAAGATGAAGTTCACTCTTTACGCTGTTGCCCAAGCTGTTGAACAGCAGCCTGAAGTAGCTACTCGTTGTGTCGAAGAGGGTCATGATGTTGCCTCTCATGCTTATCGCTGGGTAGACCATCATGATTGGTCTGTTGAGAAGGAGAAAGACCATATTAAGAAGGGCATCACTAGTTTGAAGAACTTGACGGGATATGCTCCTAAGGGATGGTACTATGGTCGTCCTTCGTCGCACAGCCGCACTCTAATTCCCCAGGTTTATGAGGAAATGGGTGAAGAGCTCGTATGGGCAAGCGATACATACGCCGACGACGTACCATACTGGATCGATCTCCCCACCGAGCGAGAAAAGCCCAACCCGAAGGGCTGTCTCATGGTTCCATACAGCTACGACTGCAACGACTTCAAGTTCCACGTCGTCACTGGCTTCCGCGACCCTAGCAGTTTCTACACTCATCTCAAGAACGCCTTTGACGTGTTGTATGAGGAGGGAGAGGCGGGTGAGCCTAAGATGATGACTATTGGCTTGCATTGTCGTATTATTGGACGACCGGGGCGGTTTAAGGCTTTGAAAGATTTTGTTGAGTATATTGCGCAGAAGGAGGGTGTTTGGGTTGCGACGAGGACGGAGATTGCTGAGGCTTTTAGCGAGCAGTTTCCTTACAGGAAGGGTCAGTTGGCGTGACGCATAGGATAGCTTTAGCCTAATGAACAATGTTTCCACATAAACGCTATGAATCTTTTTGATCTCCTTGGGATGGACGTGACTGAAGCCTTAGTAATAATCAGAGGTAATGACAATACGACACTTGGAACAAACGTCTGCATTGTTTGCGTTACAGAATAGTAGTAACAGCTAGTCAAACCCCGCTGTAGTCCTAACCTCTGCTCAAATCCAAGTCTCCCTCCGACAAGTTCCACACATCCTTACAGCCCTTTGCCATACCAGGTGGCAGGTTTGAAGTGGGCAGATCTGTAGCGCTAGGATCTTCACCAAGAATCTCATTCCACATGTGCCATCCATGCCAACCGCCAGGTGCTTCCTCATCAACCTCCATGAACGCTTCTTTAACAGCATCCGAGACAAGATCACGCATTGTGATATCGTCTGCTTCGTTGCTCTGTGAGTTGGATTGAGGCTGATGCGATTGGCTGGCACTGAAGCTTGGCCGATCGAAGTTGGTCTGCAAAGGCGGAGTCTGATGCACACCCATTCCAGTATCACCGGAAAGTCCACAAGGGCTCATGAGAGTCTTTAACAGACTGCCAGACAGTGCATCGAAAATGTCGCGATACTTGACGGCGCCAGACCACTTCTCTCCAAATACAGTAAGACTTTGAGAACAGGCTTGTGTAGCCTCGACGACATGGTAGCTGAAGAGACTCTTGTCCTTCCAGATACAGTACATCAGAGTAAGTCCAGCGACGAAGCAGCTATGTAGCGATATCATGGTATATGTCAGCGTTCTTTGTTGGTTCAGTCGTTTGTATGCTACGCAAACGCATGCAGCTGATCGCGCTGTTGTGATGAACCGAGGATCGGTGGTGGCTAGAGACGGAAGCAGGACTGTGAAGAGGGCTAAGACAGCTTTATGATATTGACTTTTGATGCGAGTTAGTATTGTTCTGAGAGAATCCCATGCAGGGGACTACACTCACAGACTGTAGAAATCGCCAGCGTCTTGGTTGGTGCTCTCTGGGTCATAGAGCCACGTAATCCTTCCATTATCTTTTGGTGACTGAGGCGTTGTCTGAATCCATCTGTCGAGATCGGAGCGGATGGCGGCCATCTTCTGATCCAGCTTAACTCGTTCTTCAACTGGACCGGAGAAGATATCTTTATCAACCCTGAAAACAGTGCGGTGAATGCGTGACTGGATCTTTTCCAGTTTGATGATGTGGATGAAGGGTTCAATATTACACCACTCAACCGCGTGTTCATCGTTGAGAGATGCATGGGTCAAGTCCCAATATTCTCGTCCAGGGTTGGGCATCTGATCTCAGTCAGATATCTCACTCTAGCGAGGGATAAGGGTAAGGGTGACGTACTGAAACATTGATATCTCTATCAGATATCGCAAAGGCCCTACCAAGAACAACGCTTGTTCCCCGGTCAAGACAATAACATGACCAAAAAGCCCTTCGTCTGATCTCCAAATCTCTCGCAACATCTGCACTTGGGGGTGGCCCTTGTCGCTCGCGATGCAAACCAAGCTCTATACATAACGAAACCGCATAGCGGACTTGACTCCAAGCACCAGCTCCATATGGCGATCTCTGGCCATGAACAGCAAGTAATAAGAGAAATTGAACGGTAGCGAGGTTATGCTGCTCCAGGATATAATCCATCGGTTCAATAGCTGCAAGTAAGTGTTTCTCAGGATCGACTTGTGATGGTTTTCGTGTAAGCTGCTCAAAGCGTGCGGCGATGGCGTAGATGAGATGCATGATGCTTCTTTGGGTCATGGATAGAGCACCCTGTTGATACTGGACTTCGAAAAGGTCCGTGTACTTCTTCCTGTCTAGGATGGGCCATCGGGTATGCATTCGATCGAAGAATATGTCGAAGAGATGGCGAGCCTCATCTGGGAAAGGAAACCCGTGGGATGGTTCGTCAGGGTGAAGATGCAGCGCGGGTGCTAAGCTCTCGAGATATGGATCGTCAGAAGGATGCGTTTGTCTTGGGAAGCTGCCCTTCCTGGTTCCATTCCTAGAGTTATGAAAGATGGACCGCTGTATCATTCGAGCAATAGCAGCACCCGAACTTGAACCCAGGTATGATGGATCCGGAGTTGCCTCAACTGTGCCTGAGGCACACAAAGAGAGATACGCGACGCCATCGATGATAGAGTTACGTTCATAGCCATCTACATCCTCTGATATGGAACCACGATGAGATGACGAGGACTCAGGATAAGTCTGTACGTTGATCGCGTCATTGTCTTGGCCATCAGCGATAGAAGACGGCGCGAGGGTCTCGAAATGATCTTGTGCATGATCTGGCAACCGGGCCTCAAGAAATGCGATGCGTTCTTCAAGAGCGTTGATGTATAATGTCTTGCCTCCTGGGTATTGCGGTCGGATTGTTCTCTCGTAGATACATGGAGTACCGACCCTTTCGCAGGACTTACATGTTGGATGCGAGCCATCGCACTGAAGTCTTATGTAAGTATGTTCCGTAGCTGTTAATGAGTGTTGAAGGCTGAACTACCCGCTGTTTTCGTCTCTTGCATCGTTTGCAGGCCAGTGCGACGCGACCCTTGGGACCTGCAGCAGTATCGGACTGCCTTCCAATGGGTGTCTAGCAGGTATTAGTGACGTTGGTCTGGATGAAATGGACTTTGGCTTGAAGGGTTACATACGAGGCCATCATGACGCACTGGAAACCGGTCTTCCGTGGCCCCAGAACCGATTCCGTTGTCGTCCATAGTTCTCATGCTGTTTATTCTAAACCACTATACGTTAACGCCCGCTCAAACCCTCCATGGTAGTGCGTGATTTCTCGAATGATAGATTGTTAGACAAGATGAAAGGTGATCGACTTAGTGAGCCGCTACTTCGTGAACCAGCCACTCGGCAACCCTCCATCGGCTGTATAATAACCGCGTAACTGCAAGGCCATGGCATTGACTCACATGCAAATCACTGTGCTCACTCATACAACGTTTCGGTTCCTTGAAGCCGGACAGGATGAACAATCACGGATTGACTGATAAGACAAAAGGAAATAGAATTACTTCCCCAGACCCCAGAAACTACACACGTTGTTTGCATGTCAACCCAGTGGATCCGTTATCTTCGGGTAACCTTATCTTTTGCCCAGACCAAACTAGACCCTGTAGCGTTACATAGTGAACATCACCACACATGTTATCGAGAAACCATAACCATGATTGGCTTTGCTTCTTATCAAACACCCCAATCGGACGGTTCAACCCCGCCTTTTATCAAGGCGCTATATCCGGTGCGACTCAGGGACCACGCCACTGGAACTGGAACGTGAGTAACGTCGGGAGAAAAGTACCCGATGGATCACTGATAGACGCTGCAACTCTACGGTAGTAGCTAAGGCTTGGTAGAATAGATTGGAGACCATGATGTAAGGTTGGGTATTAGATATGAACGAAGAGGGTCCCAATTCTGTGCATGGCGAGAGACATTGTCCAACAGCTCGAGAGACTACGGAATTACGAACAAAGAAACGAAGTCATGGTTAATCTCCCATCTAGGAGCGAGCTCACAGCTCACTTCCAATCAAAGGAAGCTTTTGTCAACTTTGTCAAGACATCTGAAACGGCAGATGGTCAGACTCGAGTTGGTAATGAGCGATGGTCTAATAAAGATCTTGAATCTACGCCACCAGAGCATCGGAACTGGACATGGTAAGTTAGTTGTTCACCGAAGAGAGCATTTGAGTAGTTGAACTGATTGATGAAGGTATAATTTACCACTGTACTGGTTCTCCAATCAGTTCAGTCTTACGGGATGGAACACTGGATCATCGCTCATTGCGGTTGGTTTGGTATGTACAATATTCTCCCGTCTGACTCTACAGTTTTGAAGAAACTGACTCAAGGCAATAGACCTGGCAGCAATCGTTCGTCTCGTGTGTTCTAGGCGCATTACTCGCTTCGCTGGTTGTCATCTGCATGGCCAGGCCCGGCGTTCAATACCACATCGGTTTGTAAGTTGCACCGTAGCGCTCCAGCTTCGAAGCATCATTTGACATTTTGACAGCCCTGTCCTTGCTCGGTCAAGCATGGGCATGTACGGCGCATACTTCTTCATCTTCATCCGAGCCATTGTCTGCATCGTTTGGTACGGGTAAGTAACATCTCGAGATACAGATGCACTGTTCAATGCTGACAATATTCGACAGCATCCAAACCTTCTACGGCGGGTCGATCCTCTCAGTAATGCTACGCTGCATCTTCGGCAGCTCATGGCAGAACTTTGCCAACACCCTTAGTGAAAACGCCGATATCTCATCAAAAGTCCTTCTTGCTTTCTTCCTCGTCTGGCTCATGCAATTCCCATTCGTGCGTATCCCTAAGATCCACTTGCACCAATAAACAATGCTAACGTCAGGTGCAGATGTGGGTTCACCCAAGAAACATCCACTACGTCTTCACAGTAAAAGGTTTCACAATGCCCATCGCCGCATTCGCCATCTTCGGATGGTGCATGGCCAACGGCGGTGGTTTGAACGGCATGAACATGGCGTCCAAAGAAGCTGAGGCAGCTGCTTCTACGACTCCTCTTGGATGGAGTATAATGTCTGGCATCAACGTCATCATGGGCGGATTATCGCCCATGTTGGTGAATCAGCCTGATCTGGCGAGATATTGCCAAAAGACTCGTGATGCAGGTCCTCTTCAGGGCGTTAGTGTCTTTGTATCCTCTGTCATTGTCTTTTTCTTGGGTCTTGCGTCGACGGCGTCCATGCAGACTGTTTATGGAGAGGCGTATTGGAATATTTGGGATTTACTTGACTCTATCTTGGATCACCATTGGAATGCAGGGGCTCGCGCGGGCGTTTTCTTTCTGGCGCTGGCTTTTCTGTTGGGGGTCTTTGCGACCAACTTTGGTGCAAACTCGATTCCCTTCGGGTCTGACATGACGGGCCTCTTCCCGCGATGGCTCACCATTCGAAGAGGGCAGATTGTCTGTGCTATTCTGGGAATTTGTGTTGTTCCTTGGAAACTTATGGCCAATGCTCAAGCTTTCTTGTCATTCCTTGGCAGCTACAACATCTTCATGGCGCCTCTATGCGCTGTCATCATTGTTGACTACGTCTACGTCCGGAAAGGCAACATCCATGTACCATCATGCTACGATGGAAGCAAGCATGGTCTCTATCATTTCTGGTCCGGCGTCAACTGGGTCGGCTGCCTTGCCTGGATCGGGGGAACTACCATGGGTCTGCCTGGCCTCGTTGGACAGTATCAGCCTCATCTTCTCTCTGATGCATCGCGCTACATGTACATGATGGGTTGGCTTCTGACATTTGTCACCGCTGGAGTTGTCTACGCCATTGGCGTTCAGTTCGTCAACATTCGTGTATTCCCGGCTGGTCGCGCAACGGCCAAGACTTGGGAGTGGTTGGCTAAGGATGGTAGGGAGGGTTTCTATGAGGATGAGAGGGAGGGACAGGTCATCTATGCTCAGGCATCACCTTCTGCTGATAAGACCGAGGGAGAGGTGAATGCAAAGGCAGATGATTCGTCGCTGTAAGTAATGGAATTTATATTAGACTGTAATCGCCGGATTTAGCTGCACGGCTTCATTGTTAGTACCCGAAAACTAGTAACAATATTGATCTTCACACTCTTTCTCGCAGTCTGATCTTGGCCCCGATGCTGAGTTGACCTGATGAACCATCTTACCAAGGGAAGACATTTAAAACTTGCCATATCTTCTAGCTCAGACTCTGTATCCGCTATGAAGCTTATCATGGCTTCCTTTTGACCAAAGCTTCAAATCAAGTCATCGACAGCGAAATTCTGGCTTCCGACAAGCGCTAAGAAGTGTTCCTGTCCCGTCAAGCTTATCTCCGTCGGCCAGTTCGTTCACCGGATCCACTCCTCTCCGCATCGGATGCAAAAATACCGACCGATGATAAGCTGATAAGATCAATAAGCCGGGTCCCGGGAATAGTTACCTGTCAGGTCTTTGAGGCATTATGTCATCCTTCATAAGAACACCAGCTTCGTTGATCTCGCGGAGTGGACAGGTTGTCATATCCGATCATCTGAATATTCTTTCAACATATAGAGCTGTTTGGCAATGCTGGTCCAGCCGTATCAACTCTCGGCAACTGACGTCGTTGCCAAGATTCGAGATGGCCAGCTCACGGTTGAGGAGTATACGCAGTCACTCTTGGCACGCATCAAAGAGCGGGATCCCATTGTGAAAGCCTGGGCGTATATCAATCCTGATCAAGTGCTTAAAGAAGCCCGAAAGTTGGACCAGGTTCCTAAGCAAGAGCGTGGGCCGTTGCATGGTGTCGCGATTGCGGTTAAGGATGTCATCTACACGAAGGGTAAGTCTGCAATATCACACCATATGGAATATTGATTGGTTAACGACGAGAATTTAGACATGCCAACGCAGTTTAACTCACCTATCTACAAAGATGATGGTCCTCAGGTCGACGCAGCCAGCATCATCATCCTACGTCAAGCCGGTGCGCTCATACTAGGCAAGACAACCACCACGGAATTCGCAGCAACAACTCAAGGACCTCAAACAACAAACCCACACGATAGTTCTCGTACACCTGGAGGTTCCTCTTCAGGTTCTGGAGCAGTTGTAGCAGACTTCCAAGCTCCAATCAGTCTCGGAACACAGACCGGAGGAAGTACCATTCGTCCAGCCTCTTTCAACGGTATCTATGGATTCAAACCAACGTGGAACTCAATCTCAAGAGAAGGCCAGAAAGTGTTTTCCCTCATTCTTGATACGCTTGGCATCTATGCTCGTACCGTGGAGGATCTGAACTTGCTCGCTGATGTATTCGCTTTGAAAGATGACGAGCCACCTAACCAAGAATACTCCATCAAAAACGGAAAATTCGCAATCTGCAAAACTATGGTTTGGCCTCAAGCTGGCACTGGTCTTATCAAAGCAATGGATAAAGCCGTTGAACTCTTACGATCAAGCGGCGCTACGGTCGAAGAGATTGAGATTCCAGAACATCTACAAGATTTACCAAAGTGGCACTCCATTATCTTCAACACCGATGGACGTACAGCTTTTTTGCCAGAGTATAGAGTTGACAAGAGCCAAATTGCGGATCAGCTTGTTGGACATGTTGAGAATCGCCTTAAGATCTCGAGAGCTGCACAGCTTAAAGCTTTTGATGACATTGCAGCGGCTAGACCTGTTGTCGATGCTATGTTGGGTAAGTATGATGCTGTGTTTGTGCCGAGTGTACCGGATGAGGCGACGGAGGGTATTGAGGCTACTGGAAGCGCGGCGTTTAATCTGATATGGACGGTAAATTACTTCATAACCCTCACTGTAATGATCTTTGGGACTAACATGGCATTCTTGCAGGCACTACACAATCCTGTCATCAACATCCCCGGGTTTGCTGGCGAAAACGGCATGCCGATTGGCTTGTCCCTCGTGGCGCCGAGGTACCACGACAGAAAGCTTCTGGTAGTTAGCCAAGAGGTTGGAAAGCTCTTCGAGGTGTCCGGGGGATGGAAGTCACAGATAGTTTAGATGCAACAAACGAATTATCGTTCAAACCGTGACTCAATTGACGTGATATCATACATGCTCTAAACAAATGCTAACAACTATTTATAACCCTTATAAGTAATAACAAACCCTTCCCTCAAAAAGTCTCCTCGCCGTTCGCGAAACAGCACAGCTCTCAATCCCATCCTCCCCATTCTTCTTAACAAGAACAGGAATCGTTCCCTTACTATGCTCAATAACAATCTGTCTCGTATTAACAGTATCCTTCCTCTCTCCCTGCATATCAGGCGATGGTGTACGCTCTGGCGTGGGAGGTCCGTCGGTAATGGGTGTAGCTGATAGGTCTGCGGCGATGGTGCCCTGGATGCTAACTGCTGATCCTAGACAGACTGCGCCGGTGAGTTGGAGCGTTGGGTGGGGAAGACCCATGGAGTAGGATTGCACGTAGATATCGGGAGTTTTTGAGTTGGCGCGGTGCGTTGGTGATGAGAGGAGTGCGATCTTGGGTGTGCCGCGGGTTAGGCCGGCGACCTTTGTGCTTGTTGCCAAACCCATGTCGACGGCGCCTTGACATCGAATTGCTTCGACCAAAGCGTGTTGTGTCTCTGGTGCAGCATTGGCGCCCAGGATAGTTGTGAAGTCTGAGGAGCTGATCATGACGAAAGGGTTGGCAGCGTCGATAAGAGTAGCGCGGATCTGGAAAGGTGCCATCTCGGGCAGTAACGAAGAAGGATCAACGTGAAGCCACTGCTGTTTCTGACCAGAAGGGAACAAGCTTCCCGCCATGCTACCGGCGGGATCGACAAAAGAGCACTTGACTTCACTGCCGGGTGATTTAACACCAGGGATGATAAAGTCGCCATCCTCCTTGAAGTCCCCGTTGCGATCCAACTCAACAGTCTCGACGATGATTCTGCTCGTGTTGGTGTTGAAGATCCTAACATCAATCTCCGTCTGTCCAGGCTTCGGTGTAACAAGTCTCTCCTGAACAGCAAACGGTCCAACACCCGAACTCATGTTTCCACAATTTCCTGAAAAGTCCACCGACTCTTTCCCAACAGCAACTTGAACAAAAGTAAAGTCGACGTCGGCATCTTCACGGTTCGAGAGTGAAATCACAGCAACTTTTGACGTTGTTGATGAACCACCACCGACGCCGTCGACTTGCTTAGCATCGTTGTTTCGCGAGCCCAATGCTGAGATGAGATGTGGAGCCCATTCGGATTCCTTCTCGGGGAGGTCTTTCCGGTGGATGAAGAGGCCCTTGGATGTGCCGGCGCGCATTAGCACGCATGAGAGGGCATGGCGGGTAGGGTAGTGCTCCTGGGGAGTTTCGATCTCGATAGCCATTGTGATTGTTGTGAATAAGCGATTGTAAATTACGTACTCAGGACTGGGAGGGTAATGAAATGGCAAGAGTTAAATAACTCGCAGTTTTGCAATGCATTTGCCATTTTGTTCGTAATGTAATTGATCTCGGCATTGGCGATGCCGGGGAATAACACTCCGAACGATTCTAGCAGGGAAGAAAAACTGGAGATGCCGTGGGAGACAAGCTCTTGGCTTCCCGTCTGCCCCATAATGTATGTCCCGTCTCTGACGATATGTCCCGCGGGAACGAAAAACAAAGCGGGAAAAGTGGCGATTTCTCATCTTCCCATGTATTGAAACTCACCCGTACTCGACCCATTAAACCCGAAAATCGGATCCTCCAAGAACGCAGCATCTTGATTCGCCGGCCAGAAACTCGTCTGCTGCCATGAATTCCCACCCTCGATATCCCCAGCCCCAGGCGGCACGGGAGTAGTAAAACTGTTCATTCCTCCCGCGGGAAACCCTTGGGGGAAGTAAACAGGCTGTTGACCTGTCGATGTGTGGAGATAGTGCTCCCCGTCGACTTGAGGTATTTTTTGGGGTTGTTGCCCGGGGTATGAAGCTTGGCCGTACATGGTTGGTTCGTTGCTGTTGAAGTCGCCCTCGCGGAGGAAGCTCTGTATGATGCCATCGATGTTGATCCAGTCTGAGCCAGGTGAAGGCACCGTGCTACCGCTGAGTTCGACTGGGTGCATTTCCTGATTCGGCGATGTTTCCGTCTGTGCGTTCCCCGTATTCTCCAGTCCCTCATACCCAATTTGTGCTTGTTGTTTCTGTAGTTGCTGCTGAGGCTGTTGATCACGCGACTTAGTCGCCGGTTCAGCCTCCAGCGCGTCATCCGGTAAATCATCAACAACAACGCCGTATTTGCTCATGAGCCTGTGGATAATAACCGCTGCTTTTTGAACCGCTGAATTTGTCTCTTGGTTTTCTTTAAACACAGCGAGACATGTCATTAGATTAACGTAGGCAGCTGAGCCTTTGCCGTTTTTGGCGGCGATGCGACAGTGGATTGTTGCGGCGACGTAGGTTGCGTAAGAGATTAGGTAAGGGGCGCGACGGACGGAGAAGGCGCGGTGATAGGCGCGTAAGAGACTGCAGATGCTGGAGGCGGCTGCTGAGCATTTTATTACTGAGTCGACGGAGATGGAGCGGAATGTGTTGTATAGATGACCGTCTGCGACGAAGGGGCGGTGGAGGAGAATCACTAGAACATTGTACATGGCGCTGAGATGTTAGTATGGAGTGAGCTCAATTGTTGTTGGGGACTTACTGAAGACTGAGAACATGAGGTGGAGGGACCGTAGCATCAGGTGCATTCGCAACCTCAGGCTTGAGATGATCCGGTAAAGCCGTATGCCAATCGCGTAACTTCTTTTGAAGCTTATCCAACACTTTCGACAGCTCAGCAGGACTTTGGTCTGTTGTTCGAACGGTGTATATGGTGCTCATGACATCGCTCATGACAATAGACAACTTGCACAGCGCAGTGAATGTCGAGATACTGTAGGCTGGCGAACCAGCGTAGTCGTTCTTTGACGTCGAGTACGCAAAAGGTTGCCAGAATTCGAGCTCAGAGTATGTATCGATAAACTTGATCGGAACCATGGCGTCGTTTTCTTTGAGGGTGACGGGCCGGCCTTGATACAGACTCTGAATCTTGTCGACCACTATGTCTATTAGTATTTGATGACAGTCATGTTGGAGGTACATACCAAAAGCTCCCCAGAACACACGACGCCGTATCTCAAGATCTTCATCAGAGAACTGATGCGAATTCGTCAAGTCAACATGCAACCCCAGATCAATGAGCATACGAAACGCCAACCCAGCATAAAGCCACGCCGCACTCCTCTCATCACCCAGCGCAAACAATGAATTCGTCATGACCAACAAAGCCTGAATCGTCGTGATGTCGCTCCTATCCAACGACCCTCCAACCAACTCCCTAACCCTCTCACGATACCGCCATCCCGCAGTCCTAACATCGTTAATGTCCTTTCGAACTTCGAGTCTTGGACTAAACTTTGATGAGCCAAAGTATATAGCGTTGAGGAGCAGTTTGGAGAAGTATGGTCCGCCGCATGCCATGTCCCGCATGAACGCGGGACGGTAGGTGATGAGGAATGAGTGGTGTTGACGGTTCCAGTGCAGGGAGAGGAGATGCATCCCCAGGTCGGGATCAACACCGTCAAAGTCAAGCTGCCCCTTAGCGAAATGGATCTCCTCCAGTTGCCCTATCTCACACATATTAGTTACACCGCTTAAGAATTACAAGTATAAGATGGTACCCACGTTGCTTAGCTGCCTCAGCGATAAGACCACGCTCTACCCAATGATCCGGCATCCGCGGCTGCACCTCCTGCTCAACAGGCCTCTCCTGCGCATTATCCTCAAACAGAGCACTCGTGCGCCCATGATACGTCGACTCTCCGTTCGCAAGGACAACGACTCTCGCGACGCCTGAATCCATAGGTCGAGGCGCAGAATCAGAAGGATCCCAGGATTGATGGCGAGGTGCTGCTGCTCCATCGCGTGTTACTTGCTGCTGACTACTACGCTCACTCGCTGCCTCACTGTCGCCAATTGACGAGGCTGCCTCATTGGCGGGGGCGCTGGTCTGACGAGCATGGGCGGCGGGTGATTCTGTGCGTGCCTTGACGCTACGGGTCTTTGTGCGCTGATGGCGCTGGCGACCAGCTGCTTTGGTGACATCGGGAACGGGCTCGTAAACGCAGTCTTTCTCGTATGTCTGGCAGTTGATACACTTTGGTCTCTGACCGTTACACTTGATCTAGGGTACAGTATTAGTCCCGCGGGAACTCGCCTACCATATGAGGGGGGAAGGGAGGGGGAACTGGGGTAATGGGGTAATGAGGTAGTAGTCTCACTTTTCTTTTGCGGCAGAATGTGCATGCTTCTGTAGCACGCCTGCGGACGCGGGTAGGCGAGGGCTGTGTGCGAGCGTCTGCGGGCATTGTTCGTCTGCTTGCTTTGGCGCGTGGGAGAAAAGGGAAGATTGTGAGGGACGGGAAGAGACGGGAAGAAAGCTGAGTTGATCAATTCCACTCGGATCCACTGTTGATCCGCGGGTCGTAGTCTCTGAAGGGTAAAGCGTTGATTTATCTCCGTTTTCTTCCCTTGACCAAAAGTTATGTTTTCCCGTGAGCCTCATCCCGTGGCCGCGAGTTTTGGCAAGTCTGCTATTATTAAACTGCGACTATCCTTTAAATGTTAGTAGATGCTGTTTTCATTTGCTAGTTTATTATTATTTATTTCTCCCCGTTTGTCATCATTTGCCAAGTCTTGACCGTTTCTCTCACCTTGTCGACCTTCACCGTTACCCCAAAAATGGACGCCATCGCTACAACACAACCTATCGCTAAGCCTGCGGTGCCGAAGCAGGTTGTAGCACAAACAACGCCTGCGCAGAAGAAGAAGATTACTCCTGGTATTTCCTTGGCTGCTGGTGCTGTTGCCGGTGGTATTGAAGCCACAATCACAGTAAGTCACTTCTACGACATGATAAAACGCGTTCAATTATTAACGGGTTTAGTACCCCTTTGAGTGGGCAAAGACAGTAGCTCAGCTCAGCGCCCGCCAAGCACCCGCTGGAGCAGTCGTCTCCAAATCTCCATTCGCCGTCATCGGCCAAACAGTCCGTTCAGATGGTATCCGAGCAATCTACACTGGATGCTCCTCATTAATCGCTGTAAGTATCTCCCGCCAATTTAATCAACAGATTTGATCTAATAATTATCAGGGAACTGCTGCCAAGGCTGGTGTTCGCTTCCTCTCTTTTGATGCCGTAAAGGCTCAATTAGCAGATGCCAATGGGAAGCATTCAGCAGGATCAAATATCCTCGCTGGTATGATCGCTGGTGCTGTTGAGAGTGTGACTGTCGTTACACCGACAGAACGAATCAAAACTGCCCTGTAAGTCACCTTTCAAATATTCTCTGAGCGGAATCACTGATTGATATGTAATAGCATTGATGATGCTCGCTCAGGAAACAGACGTCTCAACGGCGGATTCCACGCCCTGCGAACAATCGCAGTTGAGCGCGGCGTTCGTGAAATCTACCGCGGTCTCATGTCCACCACACTCAAGCAATCAGCCACTTCCGGTGTGCGAATGGGTTCTTACAACATCCTAAAAGACACCTTCAAGTCAGACGGCAAGAACCCCTTTGTAACATTCGGCATCGGTGCCATTGCCGGTGTCATCACAGTCTACGCTACACAACCGTTTGATACCATCAAGACAAGATCGCAGTCTGCGAAGGGCACTGGTATGGGCGAGGCTGTCCAGCAAGTTCTACGTGATGGAGGCGTGAGAGCGTTCTGGAGCGGAAGTACTATGCGATTGGGACGGCTGATTCTTAGTGGTGGTATTGTTTTCACGGCGTATGAGAATATTGCTGGGTTGTTGATGGGGATGAAGAAGTAGAGTGCATATTGGGAGTCTTTTGTGTTTTGGATCTCATTTGCAGGAAGTTTGGGTCGGAGTATTAGCTTATGGCATTAAAAACGATTTCATGTATCATTTATAGACGAATTTCCAATTTACTATATCCATTTTGTATCATCATTTCTGGACATCTTCTGTGAATGCGACTCTTGAGGCCAAGATGTTGATACTGCTACAAGTTACTCTAATTGATACGACTTCACTCCGCAATCTCTCCGTATTTTATCGCATAATCATAATCAATGCTTATCAGATCCATCGTACAAGCTTAAACATAACCGTAAACTCATGCCGATCTCACCGAGGCAATTCTGGACCCTCAACGGCGATCGTCACAAACATGTCATGTCAGACCGTGTCTACCCCAGACCTACCGCCCAGATCTATCCCAACCCTCGGACTTCCCCGCATTACCTTCGCCTACCGAAAACTTGGTCCGTGGAAACTGGAGTCACTTGACTGCCCCCTCCAGGATCAGCAGCATCGGCCTTCCCCAACTTCTTCAGCCCAACTCCGAGCCCTTAGCCGACAAATATCTCTCTCCATTCCCCCGTGGGGGAGAGAGTCACCGGGAAGGCCTTGGCAAAACAACTCCCGCGGGAACAAACGACATCCTCGCTAGAGAGTGTGTTTCCCCCGCAAAGCAGATTCGAGACCGCATGTTACTGGGGTTCTCCGCGTCTTGCCAAGACTAAGTTAAGGTTATGCGTAACCTTAATGGGGATAACGCTAGGGGGGGCGATGAATTTTCAGTTCCGCACTGCGGCTGACTCGCCAGTACCCAGATTCTCAGAGTAGCAAACAACATGACGAGAATCCTGCCAAGCTGTGTATAAAAGTCTTGGTAGATCCTACCCCAGATTTCCCTTCTTGCCCAGACTCATCCTCATCCATCCATCTCCAGCCCAGTTCCACACAGCTACCCACCAGCCAAGTGTCTTGGAAACAAGAATCGCCCAGCATGACTGTTTCGCAGAATAACGAGACCGCCTCTCACAATGAGGACCGCTTCGATGAGAAGGCAGAGGTCGCGGCTGTCGAGAATGCCATTTCCTCTCCTGTCGGACATATTCCTCCCATTGAGATTCAAGCTCGTTTCCCTCTCCTGCGCGATCTCTCTCAGACGCAGATGGATGCGCTGAACAAGAAAGTTCGGAGCAAGGTTGATTGGCATATGATGCCTTGTGTCACACTCATGTTTTTGATGAAGTAAGTCAAGCGATGCCGAGCGACAATCAAGATAGCCAAGATGACCAGGACTAACAATGAGCTTAGCTACCTCGATCGCATCAACGTCTCCAACGCTCGACTCGCTGGTCTGCAGGAAGATCTTGGCATGACTGATACCGTTTGGAACGCTGGTATTTCGACTTTCTACGTCGGTTACCTCATTGGTCAATTGCCCGGTAATCTCCTCATGGCCAAGACGAACCCCAAGTTCTTCCTGCCTACCATCATGCTCATGTGGAGTGCGGGTACAATCTGCATGCCTGCTATGACCAATGGTGTTGGATTCTGTGTCGTTCGCTTTTTCATTGGTTTGATGGAAGCTCCGTTCTTTCCTGGTCTGACTCTCATGACTTCATCTTGGTACACTAAAGAAGAATCACCCTTCCGCATGGCTATCTGGCACGCTGGTAACACCATATCCAACATCATCTCTGGTTTCTTGGCTGCTGGTATTCTCGAGCATATGGACGGTATTGCTGGTATGCACGCTTGGCAATGGTTCTTCCTCATTGAGGGTATTGTGTCCATTATCGTTGCCGTCATCTCGTTCTTCGTTCTCCCCTCTTGGCCCAACGACACCAAGTTCCTTGATGAGCAGGAGCGTGAGATGGCTCAGTACCGAATTCTCGTTTCCAACGGTGGTATTGATGAGAAGGTTGGTGGAACTTGGGATGGTGTTCGTGATGCCGTCAAGGATCCCTTCACCTGGTACTTCTGCCTCATGCACTTTGCCCTCGTCACTGCTCAGAGCTTCAAGGATTTCCTGCCTTCTGTAAGTACACCCAACCCACTATTCTTGTGCCTTACTAACATCCTCAGATCATGAACACCTTTGGCTTCAACAAGATGACCACCTACCTCATCCAGGCCCCTCCCTACGCCCTCGCTTACATCTCCGCCTGTATCATCGCCTGGTCCTGCGGTCACTTCATGGAATCAACATACCACGTCGTCATCCCCATCATCCTCTCTGCAGCTGGTTGCGGTATTCTCATCGGCACCATCAACGTCGCTGCCCGATACGTCGGTATCATCCTCCTCGTCTGTGGTACCTACAACGGTCTCAACTTGCAACTCTCGTGGGAAACAACCGTCGTTCCCGCTCCTCGTGCTAAGAAGGCCGCTCTTATCGCCATCGCCAACTGTATCAGCCAGGTCAGCCATTGGTTCAGCCCTTACTTCTACCCTCGAAGCCAGGAGCCTTTCTACCGCATGGCTGGTGGTCTTCTTCTTCTCGGCTGTGCCTTGACTGTTCTCTCTGCTTTCCTTGTTCGATGGAGGGCTCAGAAGCTTAACAAGAAGCTTGATGAACAGGAGGGATGGACTCCTAACTCTGGTGTTGAGCGTGGCTGGCGATATAAGTACTAAGTGTATCTGAAGACTTTGGCTATTATGGACTGGAGTGATGGGCTGGTATCTGGACTGAGAAGCGTTTTGGGTAGCTTGAGTTGTCGTTTATCCTTATGATTCATCGTTACGAGTAATGAATATGTTAGCGCTTCATCTTCTACAGTGGCATGCCATTTGTGACTTGTTCCGTGCAGCATGGTATTTGGTCATCAATCGCAATGAGTTCGCCGGTATCGGCAAGGTAAATCTGATTACGAAGTATAATATATGCAATTAATGCTCTTCATACTGACGCACCTCGACTGTTCGAAGAATATGCGAATCATCAAGGCTTGCTCCGTGTCCCCCATTCCCATCTCCAGCACTACTACCCTCAGCCGTATCATCCCCTGCACGTACTTTAGTGGTAACGTACGACTTGCCATTAGGAATGAGGATGTTCTCATCACTCCCCATATCTTCATTATAGTGAACGCTCTCTGGTGTATGCCCTGTGTTTCGCGATCGCTGTTTGGACGAACTCATCATCTCAAACTGCGACCTTGAGTAATTGGACGAATAACCTGGCTTGTCCTTGTGAAGAATGGACTTCCATAACATTGGCATGAACGGGAAGCACGCGCAAACAACTCCAATTCCACACTCAGCAATTCTGATCCTGGTTAGCGGCGTCTGGATGCATGACTTAAGTGACTCACCCAGTGAGGTTGATTTGCAGAAAGACGTAGGTCTGATCTGGACTTTCCCCATTATGGATGATAAAGACTAGCCTAACAAGGCTAAAGATGCAAGCGATACCTCCGACTCCAAAGATGGCGATGATCTTGAGCTTTGCGATAAGCCCAACTTGGAGCTTCTTGGTAAGAGGGCACGGTAGAAGAAGGACAACGATGTCGCTGAGAAGACTGATGATGTTATCGACGAGAATGAGAACTCGCTGATTGAAGCATTCGCCATCGGTGGTAGCGCCCCAGAACATTGAGATTGGTCGACAGATGAACATCTTGAGAAACAGCATCGCGACGTAGTAGATGCCCATGACTCCGAGGAAGCCATATATCCATTTAACGTAGGTCTTATAAGGGGCGAAGATGCTGGCGAGGAAAAGAAGAATGGCTGCTTTGATGGCAAAGACTGTTGGTCCGTAGTTGACCATGGTCGCATAGACCGTCTGCGACAGGCTTAGCCGGCGCTTGGGTTGATGGGGCTGGTTTCAAGAAAGAGACTTACCTGGTTATACTGCGTTATGAGATGATCTGGGACATCCCATTGGTGAAGGCCACCGCCGTATCTCAACACTATAGTTGTTAGCTTCGAGTGTCATCGAACCTTGGCGATATGTACTTACTCAGCAGACACATAGTAGAGTATCCCATGAAACCAATCTGAATGAAGGTTATTACTTGAAACAAGAATGGGGTACACCGAACACATAACGTACATATCCAATGACACATGCAACTAGATATTCACGTTAGCAAGGGAATTGACTTTGTAGTGAATATGGACATACTGTCATCTAGCCGAAGCCTCATTGTCAACCTGTAACGGGCCCACAGACGTAGAAAGACAAATATTGAACAGACAGACATTGCAATTACATTAGAAGCAATGCAGATGTAGTACAGTTCTCGATCGGGATTGTCAAAGTTGGACTCCTTTCCCGGAGGCGGTTCCATCGCTGGCTTGGTCATGTTGACTGCAAGTTGACGGGAAATGCTTAGATGGCTTGGAGGGAGTCCAGAATAGTCAAGATGCAGAACCAAAAGTCAGAAGAGGAAAACTCAAAAACAAGAGTGATAGGAACAGCATATCAGGGCCATATGTACCCACTGTAAGCCAGAGATGCAGGTAATAGGAGCTGCGACATGGCGGCGAATCCTCCGTTCTGTGATCATCCGCATGGACCAGTCAAATTTGTTAGGCCCAGGATCTTGAGGCAACAGATGTAATAGTCACAGATAATATCAGTAACTAATCATGTTTGCTGCTATCACATGGATTTGGACGAGTGATGGACCGGTCTGAGCAGAACCCCTGAGAATGGCCCGGTGTTCCTGTCGCCTGCATACTCAGGAAGGTTCCTCGCCTGCTACCGAGATCAGTGCCCGTCGAGGTTCAACCAACAAGGTCAGATTTGTCGAGGCAGACGTTGGTATCAGATTCCAGGACCTGCGGGAAGAATACGATTGGCTTGCCACGATAATAACATCAGATTTAATCTTCGGCGCTCGTGAGGGTTTCATTGTGTGACATGGTCTCTTTGACAAGCCGCAAATGTCCAGAGAGAAGAGTCAACAATCACAATTTTATGTATTATAAGGTACCTAGTGCATAATATTGTGAATATATTCCAAAGAAGCTACCGAAATTCGACCAGTCAAATTGACGGCCCGCAACCTCGGCACATAGCAAGCTCTCAAGATAGAAAAGATCATCAAATCATATGCATGTTGGTCGTCCCGTCGTTACATCGCTTCTATACTCGGCCCATTTATTGTCGATCACCGTTTAAAAACCCCCGCCGGTTTAAATCCCCGGGCCGTCTGTCGATTTTCTTTTTCTTGGTTACGAAAGCATTTAGTGATATGATTACTTGGCGCGGAGGATCCTTGTATATACATGTGCAATTGCGGATCGAGTGGTTGTCGCGTAAAGAAAGTTTCACGGAAGGGTAAAAAAAGCAACGATAATGATACGATTTTATTTCTCAGTTACAGTGTATGTTGAGCCATTCAGCGGTTGGTTATAACATGTGAAGAATTGCCTAGAAGATAGCTTGTGCATTTGGTGGCGAGGAAATACCGCCTTTCATGTTAAACGGCGTCGATGACATGAAGAACGTCCAGCGGTTCAACTGCTTGCATGTCTCTGCCAATCTCTCCAGATCAAACAATTCGCCTATCCTTATTAGCACTCTGAAGCTCTGAGCAGAAGTAACTTACCAATTGGCATCCCCCAACCAGCCAACATATACTCATGCATCAAGACACCCCCCTCACTTGGCGGATATACCTACAATCCATCAGTCCCTGAACCCAACCAACTCCCTCTGCAAAAGCTTACCTCCCAGCTAATAGCATCACCCGCTACAGCTGCAAAGCCTGTGTTCCATATCCACTTGAGCACGTCCATTGTTCCTTCAACACCTGCATGCTGAGGACTGGTCGTAGCCGCATATGCCTTCTTGGCGTCTACATCCATGGAATGCTCCCATTCTTTGATCACGCCAATGCGCACGAGAAGAATATCGCCGCGTTGGAAAGTGATGTTGCATTCTTTGGCAATCTGGTGGATGTCGTTGAGTTTGATGGTGTGTAGTGAGAAGGTTGAGTATGTGATGCCGTTCCTTTCAGCCCATGAGGCGTAGTCAATGAGAACTCCACGGCCTGTAATACAGTATCAGACATGTAATGAGTGTTAGAGGTTCTGACTGACCTGTAATTCCTTCTTGAGCCCAGTGGTGAATACCAATACGGTCATTCGACCTATCCAAAATCTCCTCCTTCGTCGTCCCTCCATAAAACACCCTCTCTTTACTCCCCTCTTCTCTTGGCATAGAAAAGTGTCTCAATCCATCCCACTGACTACTCTGCTCTATCAAAAGTCAACGCAACCCATTAATCATCTTGTAACAATACTAACGTGGATTCATAACGTAAATATCATCAAAAGCAACACCATCCAACAGCGGCACCATCTTAAGCTCACACGGCTGCCGGTTAAAGCACGCAAACTCAAGCTTATTCAGATCCCAACCGAGATTAACGCGAATCCCAGTCTTGATCTGTGTCTGTGCGGCTGAAGCCACCCGCTCTGGCGTGAGGAGGACGAGCCGGCCTAGACCTTCTTCTCGACTTCCCGGTTGGCCTATCCAGACGCGTTTTGGATCGGGGAGTTCGTCCCATTGCTTTTCCATAGATGAGGGGTCCATTTTGAGAAAGCTGAGTGATTGATGCAGGAAATTTGTAGTAAATGAGCTTGTTTATAGCATCGTGATGGTGTACCCCTCATGCCAAAGAGCTGCATGTCAGGCCTGTTCCACAAATACTGCCATGATCCGAGGTTTTCAAGACAAGGATCGGTTAACGGATTGCTTGTTGTCTCAGTTACATGTTTCTCAGTTACATCCAAGTGGGTAACAATATGCAGATCTGTCACAACAGGTAAACCACGCTGTCTATCCCTGTACGCGGCAGGCCCGTCGAAACCGGCACGTCTCTTCCATCTCCCGGTGATCTACATGGGCTGGGGTTACAGTAGGAATGTGACTGTCAAAAGACCCGAGACAACCACGCCGATCGTAGTTCTTCCCTCTCTTCTCTGCTTAATTGACTTTTTTTTCCCTTTTCATTTCTTTTTTTTCTGTCCCGTATCTTCTCGAATTATTTTACGCCGCGTGTACGCGAGAATGCCGCAGACTGGGAACCAGACGAGCTTGTACAACAAGCTCGTCATTACTTTTGTTGCAATTGGAGGGACTGTGAGTTTGGCCCCTCGTATTCCCGTTTAATTACACTCTAATCTCAGTAACTCTATTTGCGACATGCTAACATTAACTCACAGACGTACGGGTATGCAGCCTCAATTATCGGAAGCACAATTGGCCAGCCGGGCTGGTACCAATTCTTCAATCTTCCCGCCGATGGTGAACCAGGCTACGATACTATAACGACACCAGCGATCGCGACTGCAAATGGACTCTTCTCTGCTGGCGGCGCGTTTGCGTGTCTCGTTCTTATGTGGGCTTGTGATTATTATGGAAGGTTGAGGAGTATTCAGTTTGGATGCGCTTTGGGGATCCTTGGTGGTGTCCTTCAATGCGCTGCCCAGAACCTTGCGTAAGTTCTTACCGTGCCCTTGCTGTGATGCAAAGTCTAATCATGTTTCAGTATGTTCCAAGCTGGGCGATGGATCATGGGAATGTGTGTTGGTCTGATGGCTACCGTTACACCGATGTATCTCTCCGAGATGTCAAGTCCTCTCGCACGTGGCTGGCTCGTCGGTCATCATGCCATCTTTCTCGTTTTCGGATACATGTTGTCCTCATGGATTGGCTTCGCAGTCTACTTTTCCAAAAACCTCGAGTTCGGCTGGCGCTTCCCATTAGCCTTCCAAGTCTTTCCTCCACTGGTCTTGCTTCTTGGTTCACCTTGGATTCCTCGCTCACCAAGATGGCTTATGTCCAAGGGCCATCGTGAAGAAGCATGGTCTGTTCTCGTCCGGCTTCGCAAGTCTCCTAATGATCCTGAGGATCTGGTTGCCAAAGAGGAGTACTACCAGATTGAGAAGCAGCTTGAACTGGATGCTAAGAAGCTTGAGGTTTATGGGGGAAGTCCTTGGAGGGCTGTGTTCCAGAAGAAGAGCTATCGCAAGCGCATGCTCATCGGATTCATGACGCAATGGGGTGCCGAATTTGGAGGTCCTCTCATCATCGTAAGTGTCAATCTCCCTGTCAGCATCACATCTAACATGAATAAGAACAACTACGCAGTCATCCTGTATACCAGTCTAGGCCAGACCGGATATATGCCGCTTCTGCTGTCTGCTTTATGGTTGACTACAGCCGGGTTGATCTACAACCCTGGTGGTGCATGGCTTCACGATAAGGTCAACTCCCGTCGCAAGATGTACATGACTGGCTTCATCGGTATCGTCATCACCACTTCAGTATACTGCGCCATGATCTCTCAGTATGCTGGTACAGATAACAAAGCAGGCAACGCTATTGGCGTACTGTTCATGTTCTTGTATCTTGCCTTCCAAGGCACCTTCTGTAACACAACCATGTATCTCTACGTCTCAGAGATTTTCCCAACTGAGATCCGATCCATCGGCATTGGTTGGTCTCTCTTTGGGCAATTTGCTGGTAAGACCCCTCTCATCCCCCAAAAAGAAGAGCTACTGACATGTCTAGCTACCATCATTCTCCTTCAGACAGCGCCCATAGGATTTAACGCTGTCGGTTGGAAATACTTCCTTCTCGTCATCTGCTGGAGTGTTCTCTTCATCCCTGCCATTTACTTCTTCTGGCCTGAAACTGCTAGACTCTCTCTGGAAGAGATTGGTAAACAGTTTGGTGATGAAGTAGCTGTGCATATTACAGATGCGACAGATGAAGAGCGCGCAGCCATTGATAGACAGTTGATGGGAGAGATGTATGGCGAGAACAAGGCTCCAGGTAACGCTGCGAATGAGATCCCATCCAGCAAAAGTAGCCAGAATATCGCGATCAAGCAGTAGGTTGGCCATCGCTTGTCGCAGATATCAGGTCGGATGGCATCAGCATATAGTTATATAATTACCTTCAAAGAATTGGGGATCTATCGAATGTACATCTCTCTAGCCTCAACTGCTGATCTGCGTGACTGAACTGCATATTTCCATGACTTGAAGCGCTACGGAAAAGCCAGGCGCAACCTGAGCCGTACATGATGCTCTCATGCCAAGACTCAAATGAGCAACCCATTCCTCTCCCCCGGGATTCCCAGCACCGTATCGTCAAACCGAAAATTTTAGTGCTTAATCTCACCACTTAACAATCACGTCAAGCCGTTCATCAGCAGCTTGCCCCCACCCAATTTTCGGAGCCATACGCGGCAAATGTGACGAGTGCTGGGGTTACAGCACTAATGCCGAGCATTCACATGTTCACCAACAGCCAAAGGAATCAGACCCTGGGAAATTGATCGACAAGCTGCATAGGGGGTCTTAGCTGTCTCTTGTATCATTCTCGCTTGAAGCGCGGAATGTGCCGGACAATGCTCCGGCGAACAACCCTTGTGTTTCACTCCATTGTTCTCTCAGTTAATGAGTGGCTACAGGTATCAGCATCTAGATTGCCCTCCCCCCATCAACATCAAGGTTAACACCAGTGATAAATGACGCCTCCTCACTCGCCAAAAACACCGCTGCTTTAGTAACATCTCTTATCTCCCCCATCCTTCCAAGCGGAACATTCCCCAGCGCCTTCTGAACCTCCGGCGTGATCTCTTTCCCAATAAACGTGGGAAGAAGACCTGTCATGGTCGCCAGGGGACAAATAGAATTGACGCGTATTCCATCCGGACCATATTCCGCTGCAAGACCCATGGTAGCCTGTGCCTTTGCATTAGTTTTGCATGCTAATATGGGCCGACTTAACTTACGTTTGTGATTGCTCCCTTGGATGCGTTGTACCATACTAGACCGGGACGAGGTCGATGAGCGCCTACGGAGGCGATGTTGATCATTGAGCCTTTTGTGCCTTGTTTTTTTATCTGGGCTGTGAAGGCGTTGCTGCCGAGAAAGACGCTCTTGACGTTGACGCTCATGACCTTGTCGAATTCTTCCTCGGTGACCAAATTGGTACTCTGCCAGCTGTTAATTTTTCTTCCATCAATTGAGCTTCAATCTGCTTACCTTGTTCTCGTAGCTTGTACCAGCATTATTGACCAGAATGTCAAGATGTCCCCAGAGCTGAACAGCTTTCTCAACAGCACTTTGCCAATCTGCTGTCTTAGTGACATTCATGGTCTGAAATGCAAATGATTCAGACGTCGCGGCTACTTTTCGGCCTGCTTCTTCGTTGATGTCGCAGATGAGGACTTTGGCACCCTCTTCAGCAAAGTGCTCGGCGATGCCTTGGCCAAAGCCAGAAGCGGCGCCTGTTTATCTTTCTTAGTCTTAATCAGAGATGCAATGAGGGGTGCATACCTGTAACGATAGCGACTTTACCATCTAAACGACCCATGACTGCTGTTCAAGACTTGTTAACTTGTCTAGACACTGAGAAGTGACTGAACCGACGTGATACATATACTTGCCCCTCACGTTCGTCGTTCTCGAGAATTGATTCCCTACTACGATGGGTAACCAAAAGGGTGCAGATCTTAACCATGTACGGCAGGTGGCTTGAACTCTAGGCATCTGCAGCGATGAGCCGACTCGCTGATTGTGTTGGTGGTCAAGAAGTGGGGAACCTTGCCATGACCATTACTAACCGGGTTCTTACGTGCATTACCCTGGAGAGAAGCATATGACGAGAATAACCAACAGCGTTCATCAAACTTGAACTATTCTCACTGAAAATCTTGTTTAAATTCGGAGAAGACAAACGGAGAGGTGACTCAGGCCGTTTGACTCATTCCTCTCTCATCACTTAGTGACGCTACTGCTGAAGATTTACAACATATTGAAGGTCAAGACAGAATGGCTTACTCACTGCCGTTCAAGGTAAACGACTGCATCGAAACAAACTCAACTCAACTGATCTTTTGAAGCTCAATCGTCCCGACCTTCTCACCACCGATTCCTACATCGAAGGCCAAACCAAACCCGCCCTCTCCGGGTCAACCTTCGACGTACTCGGTAAGCCCCCTCCCCATATCACAAAATCTCACCGATCTTACACAGCATTCAGATCCTGGCACCAATAAGCCATGGACAAGAGTCACCAACAACTCAGCCGATGACGTCGACGCAACCGTTCGCGTCGCACACAAAGCATTCCAATCATTCAAGAAAACCTCCCCTCGAGCACGTGCCCAATGGCTTCTCAAATGGGACGCCCTCATCCGCGAGCACAAAGCCGATTTAGCAACGCTCTTAGTGTATGAGACGGGAAAACCATACATCGAGGCCATTGGGGAGATGGATTATTCTTTGACTTTCGTCTCATGGTTTGCCGGCGAGGCAGAGCGCATTCAAGGGACGTGTTTTGCTCCATCTGCGCCGGATAGACGAGTCGTTACTATCAAGCAGCCACTCGGTGTCGCGGTAGCATTAGTGCCGTGGAACTTTCCCGTTGCTATGGTTCTGAGAAAGGCTGCTGCTGCGTTGGCGGCTGGTTGTACGATGGTGGTTAAGCCATCGCCTGAAACGCCGGTTACTGCTATGGCTTTGGCCAAGTTGGCTAGTGAGGCTGGATTTCCAGATGGTGTTCTGAATGTCTTGCCGACTAGTCTGGAAAACACCCCTTCGCTCAGTGAAGCGCTTTGCAAGCATGAGTTGGTTAAGAAGGTCACTTTCACAGGGTCAACGCGCGTCGGGACCCTGGTTGCGAACCACTGCAGTTTGGGTCTCAAGAAAGTTGTCCTAGAGTTGGGGGGCAATTGCCCTTGTCTTATCTTCGACGACGCCGATATTGAAGCAGCCTTGCGAGAACTTGTTGGGTTAAAGTGGCGCCATGCAGGTCAAGCTTGCGTTACAGTCAACCGCTTCCTTGTGCAATCTGGAGTATACGACAAATTCCTCCAGCGCTTCGTCGAAGAGACTGCCAAATATGTCGTTGGCCACGGCGCTGCTGAAGGAACTACCCTCGGACCTGTCACAAAGCCTGAGAGTTTGGATCGAGCTGAGCGTCTCATTAAGGATGCCGTCGGGAAAGGTGCTAGAATCGTGACTGGAGGCAATCGCGTTTCTCCAAAGGGAGGCGAAGGCGGATATTTCTTCGAACCTACCATTCTCGCCGACATGTCCCATGACACACTAATCTCCTGCGAAGAGTGTTTCGCGCCGATCGCAGCTTTCTATAAGTTTGAGACGGAAGAAGAAGCCGTTCAGGCAGCTAATGATACACCCATGGGTCTTGCGAGCTATGCATTTACCAAGAACGCAGATCGTATCTGGCGAATGCTTGAGAATCTCGAGGCTGGAATGATCGCGTTAAACACTGGTGGGTAATTCCCTGAAGACTTATGACATGTGCTAACGAGATACAAGGCAACTCCTCTGCGGCTGAGTCACCATTTGGAGGGATCAAGATGTCAGGCTATGGAAAGGAAGCTGGGAAGGATGTTGCTGTGAACGAATACATGATCTCAAAGACGGGTACTATTACAGTCGATGGACTTGTTTAGCCAGTAAATAATTTAGTAAACCTTGTTCTCTGTATTGAGACCTGGCGATGTCTGACATCTACTGTTCATCTGACGAACATTATGCGTCCATCGTCAGACCAAAGGATTCTCAAAACAACGTGCTACTCTCTTGACCAATAGTAAGGAAACTCCGGGGATATGCTGACACGGCTCAGGAGGTGAAAGGTGACATTCTCAAGAGCTTTTGAGGCATTGAGATGTTGAGAGTAACTTAATACGGACTAGAGCTGACACGGAAATCCGTTTGCTTCTCCAGCACTGGCCGTTTAATGTCTTGTCGCAAATCCATGTTCTTCAATTTCTTCAACTTCTTTTTCTCCTTTCAACATTCTCGAGACTAATTGAGCCTTTTTTTTCTGTGGCGTTAATGCCCAGGATGGAGATAATACCCGTCTCTTGGAGCGATCAGCCAAACCCCATCCCCAACCTCCGCACGCGAACATTCTTCATAACAGACCATCCTCTCGACGAGCAAATCCTCAAGAACGGTCTAGATAAGCTGATCAGAAATCACTGGCGAAAATTAGGCGCGCGCCTTTCCCCATCTCACGGCGATACGCGCTTGGAGTACCATTTACCGCATGTTTTCCCTGACAACTATGAACTCTTCAAATGGTCATCCGTGAGCGCCGGGTATTCGTATGGCGAGACTTATGAATTGTCGAAGATTCTACATCCCGGCGATGGTATAAACGTTCTCCCAGCTATAGAGAGGATAGACGCGCGAGTGAGACCCCATGATTGGCCTTTTGAACGGAAGGATGAGCCGCCTGATTCGCCGTTGTTATATGTCCACTTAACGAGGTTCTCTGACGGGGCAGTTCTTGCCATGAGTGTACCGCATGTGTTTGCTGATCAAGGTGGGTTGGCCAATATCGTCAAGGCATGGCTCGCTGTCATTGAGGGTAAAACGCCGCCCGAAATGATGGGGTATAAGGATGATGTGCTGGGAAGTGAGAAGCTCTCCAACCTTGAGGCTGACCCAGGCGAACGAATTGGACGGATGCGTATACGCAGCATGAAGGATCAGGCGTTGGTGACTGGAAGAATTGCTCTCGACCTGGTCAGAGACAGGAAGGAGGAGTCTCGAACTGTTTTCCTACCGATGCAAGTGGTAAAGAATTTGAGAGAGAAGGTGAGAGAGCGTTTGGATGGTAAGCACATTTTCGCGAGTGAGATCAGCAACGGTGATATCATCACCGCCATCTTTACAAAAGTAGGTGATGATTTACCAAAGCGCAGATATGCCATGCTAAAAATTCCGAATAGCTTGTCAGAATCAATTCTGAGTCTAAGTACGAAGTTTCGCTTTCCTCAACTATCAACTGTATGTCTATCTAGCTATTCACGATATCAGCTAACAAGCCAGTACGAGATCGCATTCTCGAGCTTCAAGGCGAAAGAGGTGAAGGGTATGTTCATAACGCCGTACACTACGCAACAGCAAAATTCGCAATCAAACCCGAAACACAGTTAGACGAAATTGCTCTGCAGAATCGCATAGCCGTGAACGAAGCCTTAAAGGAATCTGATATTAAAGCTGGAGTTAGCACTCTTCGAGAGGTTGCTAAAGCGGGCCAAGTCATGCTTATATGCGAACCTCATCACAAACTCTACAGCTCTTCGAACTGGAGTGGTTCATGGCAGGGTATTGACTTTACAAAGGCTGCGCCTGCGTCATATGATTTGACAAGCCATAGAAAGGAGATGGTGGTTCTTGGACAGAGTAAGACGCTCAAAGCGCCGATGAGATGTGAGTGCACTGCCATGCTCATGTGTGAGATACTAATTGGTTGATAGATCGTGTTGTGATTATGTGTCGAACGAGTGAAGGGTTCTGGTGCGACTTTGCAGCTCCGGTTAAGACTATGAGGTTGGTCGAGAGGTTTTTTACGTGGGATCCTTCGTTGGGAATCCTTTTGGAGGAGATGGATGCCGACTTGAATATTCGAGGGTACAAAAAGTTTAAACACCCATGCCTTATTCTATAGTACACCGATATGAACCATAAGTTTGCCGTGTGCACAAAAGTTTACTCCCCTGACACTTGTCAGTGTCCTCCTAGGATCTACCTACAGCCCTCTCCCAAGACTCTCGAATAGTCCCCCAATACCTCTCCGGATCCTTCCTCATATGCCCAACATGTCCACTTTCAAATAATTCACCTTCAACGGGATATCCAGCTTCGCGTGAAGCGGCCATGTGTCCCTCAACATGCTGCCACGGGATAAGAGAGTCATCCTTCCCGTATAAGAAAAGCCTTGTGCTCTTCTTGCTCTCCCACTGCTCATCGTTGAAGATCCTGTGGCTGAACTTGGGCGCAGATTCTCTTCCCACAAGATAGTCGAATAGGTGAATCATGCAGAAGAACCAAGCGCATAGAAGTTGAGTTACGATGAATGGCCAGGGGAGCTTTGTTGCTGGTCCGATGGCCATGGCGTGAGACCATCGTTTGAGGTTATCCCACGTAAGATCTGAAGTTCCGGGAGTAGAGTCGTAGACCGTCAGCGCATGGGGCATCGGCCGGTTGTAGGTCTCTTTGTAGGCATTCAAGGTGGCTGAGTAGTTGATGGCTCCAGAATTCGATAGGACATGGAATAAAACCGAGCTGTCCGATGTATCATTGGGAAAGACCTCATGGATAACCGGAAGCATGTCATCTGTCCGTTGAGTCACATTATCGAAGAACCCTTTGTAGATAGGCGACAGAACCGCGACTTGCTTGGCATGAGGGTAAAGCTGTCGATAGTCATCGGTAAACTTTGAGATGTGTCTTGGAGGTGCATCGCCCCAACCGTAGAGCACGACTGTACGAGGATGTCCCGGGTTTGGTTCGATGCCTGTCTGTTCTTCGCCGGTCCGAACGAAGATTCTTTCCGATAGGGCCGTGAAGCCGGGGAAGATACTAAGCCCTTTAGCTTTGCTCATGGTAGTTTAGGATGATTCGATGACCTTTGGGGGTTTATGGAAAAGGAGGAAATGTCGAGAAGCTGTCGCTTATATAGAGATATATATCGCTCCACCCCTAGCAGGCTTTAGAGGAATGTCTGAATAAGCTTATTGTACTATTCCAACATTCCGGATTGGCAGAGAACACAGGTAGCGACGCTCCTCTCTCACGTCAGATCAGCTGATGCCTTCTGATTGCCTGTTTGTTGAGGCACAGTGGTTCTGGACAGGTAGCTGACGCAGAATGGTAAGCGCTATCCTCTCGGCTTATGGGATCATATAACAATCGCAAGATTCCATGGATTAGGACCCTTGGCAGCGTTCGAGGTGCTTTACCAGGATTGACTTGAGTTTCTGGCTCTAGACAGGGGCTCCTGTGCGATCTACCGATAGTACTAGGTGTATAGTTATCCATAGGCTATACTGCGGCTCCTATAAATAAGCCATGATATTAGCACCGTTCAGCGATGGAGAGGTAGACCGTGGCAGATGATGCTGATGCTAATTTGTGTATTTACATTGGGATAATAATTATTTCCATTGCTCATTATATTATTGATGCGTGATATAGAAGTGTACGCTACTATTCATGAAATGCTTGTATACTCTAACAAAGGACTCATACCATTCGCTCTTGGTCCGAGGTGGATGCCTGGTCCTGGGTTTCCGAAAACACAACCTTGGTCTCCACCTTCTTCACAATGCCATTCTCCCAGTCGGATGTCCTTCGGTAAGAGTCATCGCGCGACATATCATCCAGTCGGACATGACCTGTGCGACTCGCCGTGATCAACGTTGTCATACGACCGCTCACCAACTCGTCACGACCCCTTGGTCGGCCTCCTTCCTTCGGTCGAGCGTCTAGTTCTCTCGAGCTCTTGACTATGTGGCCGAGAAGGGAAGCGACGTTCATCTCGATGTATAATTTGAGAAGGTAGACGAGCTGGTGGAATTGGACATAGCTAAGGACATGTTAGGAAGGGTGCACCTGAGGTACAAGGTATACTCACACGACAGGACTAGGGAGAAAGGTAGCTCCCATCAGAACACAATCCAACGACACAGATATCACAACCATGATGACGTTGAAGTGAAATAGTTCAGTATACTTGGTCAACCCGCAAGCGATAAGTCTCGATCGCACAAGGTATATGAAGTAAAGGTTGAGCGATAGATCGACGATCAAGAAGACGGCCTTTTCGGTTCGATCCCAGACGATGTTTGTTTCTTCGTATAAATGAGAGATCTGTAGACGGGCCGGGATCCAGATGCAGAAGCCGCTGACGTTGATGAGGGTCGCGATCAATGCAACGCCCCATTTGACTCTGTTGATGTTTGTCTTGTTGGCGAGCAGGAGTGATATTCGGTTGATGATGATCTGAAGGGTGAATTGGATCTGCATGCTCCAGGTACAAACTGGAAAGGGGGGTGAGCATATGTCCAAGGTAGAACAAAGGGAGACATACTAATGAAGAAGAAGACCCAGAAACTGCAGAATGATCGAGTCAGCGCGCTTTGATATACCAGGTCGCAGCATGAACTGACCTTGGCGGAGTAAACCCCCGCAGCCAGCAATAAGTAATAATGCCCATACAGTTACACCCAATCCAATCGAGTCAGCACATGATGATGTATGTGCTGAAAAGCCTTTTTCTCCGGTACGCCTGCATCGTCTGCTTGATAGCCATCGAGGCAGTGAACATCGACGCACCCATGCTGAAGCCGAAGATCAGACTGACGATGTTCATCTCCAGATCCTTTGGCGTTTCGGCCTTGTACCACGGAGGAATCAGAAACCCCGCCATGGCTAGAACGTGATCAGAAACGATTACAAAATCTCGATGTGGTGGTTCTCGCAAAAAAAAGATAAAAAACGATGCCAAGAGTACGAACAAGAAACGATGGCTTCTAATAACTAACGGCTCAATACGAAAATTAGGAGATCTTCCCCTGGTTTGGGCATTGTATCCACGATATGCAAAACCAAGGGGGCTTTAACACTAACGTTAGCTTCGATCTCGAATATATACGAGTCAGAGCCCAACATCACCAACGGTCAATTTAATGCATGAAGATCGCAACCCCAAAGTCATAGCGCCGGCCGCGATCATAACGTATTGAGCAATAACCTCGAAGATCTTTAGGCCCAACTGTTGCAGATTTGGTGCTCGGCTAGACCGCTATCCGTTAAGCCATGGACTTTTGGTTAGTCTCTTGACTCGGGAAATTGTGAATTGGGATGAAAGAAAAAAAAGATGGGTGCCGATAAGGTTCGGGATATTATAGCTGAAACTTGCGCTGAGATGGTAAGCGAAATCTGGGGAACGAGGAACAAGAGCTTTCTGTATGCATGCATGCAGTCAAAGGTCCAATAGGACGTAATCTTGAGGAAATGCTGTCGATATGCCGTTCAGATATTGATACAATACACTGAGACACGGGTCAATCGGCAATGATGTATCGTCGTAACGGCAGACCCCCAACTGTAACAACTTGTTACTGTAAGCCATAATGTAACCAACTCTTCTGCTGGGGCTTCGAATTGCGCTGGAACACCATCCACTACCGACAAACCTGCTCCATCCCCCGTCAGGTCTGCCCCTCTGAAGGCCGACGTGACCATTGGGTTACAAAATGGCGTTTGACTTTTCATGGAACAAGCATGGAACAACTAACCTAGCAGCGGCACAGTGCTGTCGATGCACTAACAATGTCAGCCTTAAACACTAAACCCACCATATTGGCTGGAAGCACCGGGGGATCTCCCCCGTTCCCTGGCTTGTGATGTTTTATCGGACCATGGCTGTTTTATGTTTTTCCGGGGTTAAGCGGGACACATCCAATTGGTTTGATCTCTTTACCTATGTTGTTGATCCATGAATATCGTATGTTATTTCCTTGAAGTTAAGATGCTGCAATCTGTGTGATTAGTGATTAGAACAAAGCCTTTTCTTATGCGAGCCATGGGAAATAATGATCATTGAAGTAATCTCGATTAAGTACTAAATAGTATAGGTGCTTAATCACTGTCTGTAAAGGATAGTGAGCGCAGTAATCGCCTCCGTTGGGTTCGCATTGCGCGGGGACCGACTCATGGAGCCGTAATCTTGAGCCCTGATTTAGCATTGTCGATCAGTGAATGCGGGGGACGATGAAGATTTAATTTTAGTAATGGTCATAACTGATCAAAGCTCGATTTCTTACTCTCAACCGAACAATAGAATGATGGTCTATGTTCATTCTGTTCTTCGTTGTTGTTTCATGATGAGGCCAAGAACTAATTGCCTGACCATCGCGCTGAGTTCCTCGTCTGTGTCGCTAAAGTTAGACCGGTAATCAACGGTTTTAATTGCTGATTTTCAATTCATGGTATAAACGTATACAAGCGACAGGAATTGACTTTATTAGGTGCTTATTAGACTGATACTTGCATAGAGAAATTTTAGACTTGGCCTGTTGGTTGATTGATATTTGAAACTTATAATATCTCAATGATATATATCAAGCCAGCATATTAAGAGTCCCAGTTAAAAGACAAAAGTCTCATTGGCGTCTGGCATTGAAGGAATCGAAGGCTCGGATTTATTATCCAAAGCCTTCAACTAAAGTGATGTTTTACATGATGACAGGGACAACGGCCTTTGCTTTGTGTTGGTCAGTATGGATTGTCTAAGAGGGCAAGGATAATAGTGACAGCTCCAGGCCTTTCGAGTCAACATATGGTCTGGTGTCAAAGCTGCCTCCAGTTTCGACTGACCATATATTAAGTGTTTGCTCATCTTTCAGTCTGCAGTCGTGACAATTTACAATTTTGTAAGTGGGATAAGGGCGAGATTGAGAAGAAATCGTCGACAGACTCAAGGGTCAGGGAGTTGGTAGTTATTAAGTATGACATTAAGCGATTATTAACAGTATAGCTAACTCTGGCATTTAGATACTACACAGTATGAACTAAAACAACATTGCGCCAACTACGGCGGCCATCAGTCCCATACCAACAGCTCCGGTCTGACCAGCAAGTCTCATGCCAGAGTTTGGCGCTGTCGTAGCCGATGTAGTAGGAGTCTCAGTTCCCGAAGCGACGTCCGAAGTACCGCTGCCTGAAGATGCCTCTGCAGTACCAGTAGTAGCAGCCACCGCCACGGTCGTTGTCTCAGTACTGCCAGTGGAATCAGTAGCGGTCGTCTTGGCAGCTGTCTTTGCACTTGTCGTTGACGTCGATTCATCCTCATCGGCACCAAATTCTTTGATATCCAACACATAGGTTCCGTTTCCACTGACACCATCCTGCTCAAAACTAGCCCAACTGGGCTTTCCGTTTGTTCCCAAGGATACACAAGCCTCACGGTACGCGTTACTGGCGCAGATACTGTTTCCGTCGCTGGTTACGCCACCACCGGCGTTGGTGCACGAGACGAATAGCTGTGTGACGAGCTTTGCGGTATTATCGAAGAATTCGTGGTCCGAGTTGGAGCTGAGACAAGTACGGCAGCCGTCCATGGAGCCGTACCAGCCATCTGGGTTGGGAATGCACACGCAGTCCCTTGTTTCTTCCTTGGGCCATTTAAGCTTCTGGCACTTGAGCATAGCCTGGTAGATAGGCCAGCAGCCGCAGTCGTCCAGCTTTGAAGGGCTATCGTCTGCTTCTTTGGTCTTGGACCAGCCGTTGGGCTCTGCTGAAGTGAAGCCAGAGATGGCAACGAGTGTTGTGAGAGTTGATGAGAAATGCATGGTGGAATAGGGAGGTATAAACGAATGACGATGTTTTGAAACGAGTGACGTGAACGGAAGTTCGCAGAGGCAAAAGAAATATGAGATGATGGGCCTTGGTGAGATTTTAAAATGTGATCCTGCCTCACCGGATAAATCTCAAAATGACTAGCGTTGTCAGCTGTAATTTCCGGGTTTAGGCGCCAGCATCCATAATTCGCCCGGTTGGCTTCCGTGAGATCTTGGCGTGATAAATCGCACGATCGGTTAGAGATGCTACGAGTCTGTCGAGTTTCTCCTTGTTAGATCGTGATACTCAAGTACTCTTTGCCTACAGGACAGCAGGTTTATTCAATGTATTGGCTTGATATCGCGATGAGATATCATTAACTTTGACTGTCAATCGAGATGTTTGGTGCATGTTGAGATTTCGCCAAGCAAGAGTCATTCCCCAGATGGAAATCCCCGAAACAAGGGTGCCAGTGGATATCCCCACTGCCCCTGAGGAGGAACCTTGGCACTAACTGGCTCTGAGTTGAAATGATCTGATTGAAGATAAGAAACATGTATCCTTGCCCGGAGAGATTTTCATGTCGGAAGCTAATTGGTTACAATGCATTGCAAATCTCAGGGATTGCAGCCTTGTGAAACCCAATCGGCTGTAGCTTTTTCAAGCAGTAACTCTTGGCTTGGCAGTTACTGATCGTACACCTGGCGGCGGAATAACGGCATCGTCTTTTGATTGATTAGAACCGTCGTCCTGCAAATCTGGCTATCGGCGTAGCTTTTAATGCTGGTAGAATTCTTCAATCCTCGGCAAGTGACCCTGCATCTTGAGGGACCAGACCCTGATGTCTAGGACAAGGAAATGAAGAGATTGGAGGCAAGAAGACATATTGTTTATATGAATGAGAACCAGTCTATTTAGTCTATCTCTACCACTATCTATCCAAATTGTATGTCCCTATCTTACGGGAATGAGCCTTAGTTGCTGGTCATATACTCAGCCAAGTTGTTGGCAGCCATGAAATCCTTCCACTTCATCAATTCAAGACCGGGAAGCTACACGACGCATCAGAAGGACGATTTCTTCGCTGGAAGTTCTACATAATAACTTACCTCGCTAGCTTGAATGAACTCGGGGCGAGCATAGATCATGCCAAAGTCCCGGAAGATCAACAGCTGCTCCGTAAAGTCCAAAGCGCAAGTTTCGTCCATTTTGCTTCTCAGCATGGATTGAAACTCCTCTGAAGAGAGCTCGTTGTAGCGAATGTCGATGCCGTATGCTTTTAAGTGTCAGCGATGAACCCAAAGCGAGTCCCCGGTGTCCATGAGTGCACAAGTACATACCAGATGCCATGGACTCAATCTTGTCGCCTTCGGAAATGGCCTCGGAAAAGAAGGCAATTATCTTTTCGCGACACTCCTCGGGATGATCAAGGATGTATTGAACTAAATTTCCCGTATCAGAGATGGCGACGTTTGGAAGAGGCGTCGTTTCAGGGAGCACAAAGGATCTCATATAAGTCCCATCATCTTGCTGATCCCCGTGTCAGCGTATCCGCCACCAAGTTAGGCGACAACGAACCTTAATGGGCAGATAGGTACGCGGCTGGGTCAAACAATTCTCAAAGTAATTCGGAAACAGCACCGCAGTCGTTTTCTTCCAAAGAGCAGGCTTCTCCGTCTGGATATATTCCGATACAGCTGCCTTGCTCTGCCAATGATAGACATGGGGATATTTCCCATTGGAGATAGTATTGGCGTCAGGCAAGCTTGCCCAGATAATCTGTTCGAGATGAGGTAGGTCAGCAGCGATATCCATGATGCGCTTGCCCTGTTCTTCTTCTTTGGTAGCGGACATGTGTTGCCAGAAGTCGGTCATGGCGAAGATGATCTGGGCGTCTTCGAAGACTCGTCGGAGACTGTCTGGGTCATCGACATCGGCTTGATGCATTTCGATGCCAAGCTTCTTCAAAGCTTCTGCTTTGGGGGAAGAGACATTCCGGGTTAGACCGCGGATGGTGTATCTGTCCTTCGATTTGGCCAGTGTTCGAACGACGGAGCCTCCCTGAGCAAAGAATTGGTTCAACCTGAGTGCGCTGTTGGACAGAGATGGGGTATCGTACCTGAAGGCCGGTCGAACCAATAACAACCACTGTCTTCTTCTGTTGAGCCATAGTGAGACGGTGTTGTAACAAAGGTAGGAATTAAAGCCGGTTTTCTCTGACGATAGATTTTGTGCTGGAGAAAGTCATGGGAATTCTGGAGAGAATTGCTTGCTTTTATAAGACATAGTGGAATTTTAAATGATTCCAGAGGCAGTGGAGTTCTGCAAGAACTCTTGCAAGCTTCAGTTGGAACTTTGCGACATTGATGTCATAGACCCTATTAATTTCCCGCTGATTCAGCGGTTTCACGATGCCCAGGGTCCACAAGTGCCGGATTCATGAGTATGCCGGAGACCGGCAACAGGGCGGAACAGTCGCCAACAGAGTCATGCAAGTCAAGGAACTCAGTCTAATTCTATAACAAAAAAATACCACTCAAGATCCGATCGGTCATTGAAAGTGCTGCGAAATGCACATCAAGTTGGATACGTGAAAGACGGGCCATCCCGATTAGCGCCGATTTGTCCAACCGTCGGCTTGGAAAACCTGAGGCATGTTTCGGCACTCGGCAATTTTGCAGGTCATCAATTGTCTCCAGATGCAACATACAGGTACAACAACAGCCACATGATGCCCCAATCGACAAGAGGCCGAAAACCGCGGGCTTGCGACTCGTGTCGCAGAAAGAAGGTACCGTATGTCCCCTAATCGTGCGCAGATAAAGGCTTTGCCGGCTGGGATCAAGCCATTCACCTTACCTGGCATGAGCGATGATCATTCGTTATATCTTATGACACTGATGAAGTCAAATCCCCAGGCTGATTGGCTGATGAATAGATTCAATGTGACCGAGCTGTACCGCAATGCGACTACTGCCAACATCATGGCTTGACCTGTACATACAACCAAGCCGCAAAGACAACAGGCTCAGCCCTTCGGTACATTCACATTTAGCCAATCTCATGGATATGATCATAATAACAAGTCACCACAGGTATAAGCTCTCAAGCTTTCCGAAAACCGCATCGTCGAGTGAACGGCTCAGTTCTTCTGAACAAGATAGTGATGCGGAGTTCACTCCTCGCGGTGAGTACTCTTCCTTCCGAAATGCATGTTTCCCGCAATCGTGCGATAGCTGATACATGATATTTGTATTCAGCTAGTGATATTCAAGATCATAACCCTACTTATCTAGAAGGCTTATGTCTATTGAACGGTTATCCACTCTTCGGCCAGCAAGCTCAAGAATGGATCAGAAGCAGAACAGGCTCAACGATATCACCCAGCATCATCGGGAAATATCGCCTTCCTTACCTATGTTCTACGAGACCACCTCTTGTGAACGATAGGGTTTTGAAACTACCCGATCCTCAGATTGTTGAGGAGTTAGCAGCGCGATTTTGTTCGTCTACACAATCACTTGTCTTCCCACTACTCAGTCTGAATCGCTTTATGAGCAAGACTATACCTCTCGCATATACAGAGTCAGCCGGCAGTCATCTCCATACCATGAGTGCCAAGTCTTGTGTGTATGGAGTGCTGATTATAAGCGATATCTTTGGTCTTGACACAGGCGACGATATGAATGACATAAGCTGCTGGTGTCAAAGATATGCTTTGGAAATCGAAGGTTCAATACCCGTGATCTTACGCGAGATGAGGGTCGACGGGCTTGAATCGTTGATAATGCTCGTAAGTTCTTCTTGGATCAACAGGTAACTATGCCTCTGACATTCAATGGCTCTATAGATGATCTACAAATACTTCATGGGAAACTTGGAATCCGCATGTTTTCTTGTCTCGATCGCTTCACGCTTTTTGTTCCAACTTGGAGCCCATGTTTCTCCTTCACCTTCAGGACCCTACGACAAGAACATCGAGGTTCATCATATACGTGACCTCTTTTGGGTCTGCTATTGCATCGATAAAGACCTGTCTCACAGGACTGGTCAACCACCTACCATCAATGATGATCATTGCGATCTCAGCTTACCTCCCAACTATGTCCAAATGCAAAGCTCCAATATCTTAAACTCTAGTCCATGCCCTGATCGCAACTCCTCTACCGTGCCACTCTACCCATGGGACATTCGACTCTCCATCATCAAATCCAGGATTTATAACGACCTTCACTCGATAGGCGCCTCCAGACAATCGGAAACAGAAGTCTTGAGAAGGATCCGGTACTTAGATGAACAGTTGGAAGCCTGGAGGGTAACACTGCCTTCTGACCACAGACCAACCTTGTCATTCCTGGAGCAGACGCCTGTTGACGCCCATACAAACACTCAGGCAATCATGCTCCGACTATCGTATCATCATTGCGTTATCCTTATCCATCAAGCCCGTTGCAGAGTTTTCCCGTCAGATCATTCCGCTATGAGCTTGATAGACGACGGCCATAGGATAAACTTTCAGATTCTAGTCGACGCTTCAAGATCTATCTTGATCTACCTGGAAAAGGCATTGCCTGTACTAGCCCACGAATGCTTCTGGTACCTATGCTTGTCACACTCTTCCATCGTTCCGTCACGTCAAGACTAACCTTGTCTTTTAGGGTCATCATCTTCTATCCGATGACTGCAATCTCGACCATCTTCTCTGTCGCGCTCCTCGACAGCCGATCGGATCCAGGGAGCGAAAGACTAAAGCTGCTGCAAGGCTTTACGCGATTGATTAGACAAATTCCTATCAAGAGGCTTACAGTAGCGGAAATATCTCATTTGGAGTTTATTGAAGAGGTTGTCGGGGAGATGAGCAGATTGGTATTGGCTGCGCAGTGAGGAGATCCGTCATGCTAGCAGGTAGTGTCGAGTAACAACGTCATGAAGCGCGAACTAGTCCAAAACCTACCGATCACGAATGCAAGACTAATTCCGTACAATGATCCCAATATCCTCATCAACCCATAAAGATTAATAACAACAACGGCCTTAAGATGCTACCTCCGCTTCTTTGACCGCGTTAACTCCCAATTGAAGTTTAGGTTAAGTGGGGCGAATGCGAATAATAAGCACACTTGCAGATTCCGTCAGCAAAGACTGGAGAAATAACATTGTCCGATCAAACACCGTAAAAACCCAGCAAATCACAGAGTTTGAAGTGAGACTATACCGAATTTGGAAGGTGATCTCTGATTGGTCAAGATACTATCATCGTCATGTTGCGAGAGGCGTATGTTGGATATATAAGACGGGAGATTCTCTTGTAATGGATAGGAATATCTACAGACCAGTTCATTAAACAAAAACACTTATACCTCAATCAAATACAGGATTTAAAGCTTGTTTACAATGGAATTCCCCAACCCTTCTCTCATCGGCGGCGCAGCTGACATCCCCGTCAACTCTGCCTCTGCCATCCTCACCTTCACACCAGTCACTCTCCCCTCCAAAGACCGCAGAGTCGATCTCGACCTTAAAGTCACCGCCCCCATCACAGGAGAGAATCTCCCCATCATTATTCTCTCCCACGGCCATGGCCCAAGCAACTACCTTTCCTCGCTCAAGGGCTATGGACCCGTTGCAGATTGGTGGGCAAGTCATGGCTTCGTCGTCATTCAACCTACACACTTGAGCTCCCGTCAACTAGGCTTTGAGCTGAACGCTGAGAGTATCAGTGAGCTATTCATGGAGTCTCGCGCCAAGGATTTGGTTCAGGTTGTTGATAGTCTTGATACCATTGAGACTACTGTTCCTCTTCTCAAAGGCAGGCTTGATAAGTCCAAGATTGCTGTTGTTGGACATTCCCTCGGCTCTTTGTCCTCTGCCCTCCTCCTCGGCGCCGTCAACACCGACCCTCGTGATGGTAAAACCTTCAAGGCCGCTGATCCTCGCATCAAAGCCGGCGTCCTCTACGGTGCCATCGGCGCAAGTGACGATCCCTCTGAAAACGGAAAAACCATGCTTCCCTTCCTCGACCTCGACTTCTCCGACATGACTACACCCTGTCTTGTATTCTGGGGCGACAGCGACGTCAGTCCGCATCTCACAAACCGAGGAGCAGACTGGCATAACGATCCTTACAAGCTTTCACCAGGACCTAAAGCATCTTTCGAGGTTAAGGATGGGAAGCATGGGTTTGGTGGTATCAGTGGATGGGACGCGAAGGAGTGTCAGGATGAGGGGATGGAGAGGTTGGCGGCTATGCAGAGGGTTACGTGGGCTTATTTGAGGAGTCAGTTGTTTGGGGATGATTCTTGGGGGGAGGCGAAGAAGGCTATTGGGCAGCATCCTGAGATTGGAAAGATTGAGGAGAAGTAGCGGGCATAGGAGCATTTTGGAGTTCTACACGAACATAGTCTCTTGCACAAATACTAAATATCACTCTATTCATTCTTATTCCACCCATTTGCGAGATCCCATCCGTATACGTACAAGAATGAAGTTGCAGTCACATTGACGGCACACATTTTAACTCTGGTGATCTGCATGTAAAACCTCCGATGATGCCGAAATTGCAGGGATATTAATCCAAGGGTACATCGGCAAGTCAAAGCTTGAATGGTGCTTTGACAACTGCCGGCTTCACGTAGCATTTGCATAGTCATAATTAACGCATTAAACTCAATTTCCCCTATTGATCTCTCAATTCAGGAACAATTGCAGCAATGCTAAATATTGATAAACATACGGTAATTACACCTGCGACGCTCCAAAAAAGTAAATTTGAGCAACGGCACACGCAATGAATTGCTCTTTAGATTAAGAATGTTGTAGTACCCAGCCGCTGAGACAGTCCTTCTAGGCATATGGTACTCACTCATTCAAGCCATAATGTTTTTCCCACTCGTTCTGTGCACTTTTGTGCTATCAGCACTCGCTTCACCTTCTACCCCCATCTCTGAGCAGAAACTGGGGGGTTTACGGTATCCCAAACAGCGCGGTCGCCATTATGATTACACCGGGTTTGAACCCAGCCAGAAGAAGCGCGCGGATGATATCATTGATATGTTTCGCTTTGCGTGGAATGGGTACTACGAGCATGCATTTCCTCATGACTCTTTGAGACCAGAATATAATAACTACACGGATGATCGTAATGGATGGGGCGTCACTGCTGTTGATGGTCTTGATACTGCGATTTTGATGGAGCAGACGGATATCGTTGAGATTATTCTGGATTTCATCCCGACTATCAATTTTACTAAGACGAACACGCCTGAACCTACTACCGTTAGTTTGTTTGAGACCAACATTCGGTATCTTGGTGGATTGTTGAGTGCCTATGACCTTCTCAAAGGACCGTTCAAGCATCTCAAAGTCAACAAGGACAATGTTGATGCACTGCTCAAGCAAGCTACTACACTAGCCGACACGCTGAAGTTCGCTTTTGATACGCCATCCGGAATTCCCTTTGGTTCACTCTGGATTGAGAATCAGACATCTACCGACGAGAATAGTCTTGAGGACGGAACTGCCTACGCAGGACTGGCGGCAATGGGTACCCTCGTTCTTGAGTGGCAGCACCTTTCTGATCTCACTGGCGATCCTCAATATGGTAAGCTGGCTAATCGCGCTGAGTCGTATTGGCTTTCTCCATCTTCTGAGGTTTGGCCAGGTCTCACTGGAGGTCGCTTCAGTCTCAAGACTGGTGAGATTCTTGATGAGTATGGCGGTTGGACGTCGGGTAATGACTCAGCCTATGAGTACCTCATCAAGATGTACGTCTACGACCCAGACAGGTTCAGCCATTACGGCGAGCGTTTCACTCTGGCGGCCGACTCTACCATCAAACATCTGATCTCTCATCCGTCATCGCGACCCGACCTGACAATGGCAGCCGCATTCACCGGTAGACAACAAGTCAATTACACCGAATTCCTCGCATGTTTCATCGGCGGATCATTCATCCTCGGCAGCTCAGCCCTCGACCGCCCAGACTGGCTCGACTACGGTCTCTCCTTCAGCGAATACTGCGCCAACGGGTATCGCTACACAGCATCCGGCATCGGTCCAACCCTCTACAGCTGGGATCTCAACGAACTCGCCCAGCCCGAAAACATCAACCAGACCGACTTCTACAACCGCGCGGGCTTCTTCATCCAGGACGGAATCTTCCAGGGCGGCCAGGCCCCCGAGGCCGTGGAGAGCTGGTACTACGCGTACCAGAAGACGCACGACCAGTACTGGCGCGACGTGGCGTGGGCGTACACCCTAGCGCAGAACCGGACGATGCGCGTTGGCGGGGGGTTCGCCAGCATCAACAACGTGCTGTCTCCGTCTGGAGACGGAACGCGCGGTGGCATCATGGCTAGTTTCATGCTCGCTGAGACGCTCAAGTACATGTGGCTTATCCAGACGGAGAACAAGGGCGAATGGGATGTCTTGGAGGGAGGGGAGAATCTGTTTGTTTACAACACTGAGGCTCACCCGCTGAGAGTTGCTGCGAAGAGGCCTGTTTAACCTTGTTTTTAGAGATTCAGCCTAGCATTGAACGTGGCGCTTTTGGCGTGCTCACTGCCTCCGCCGGCAGATGCAGTCTCCGAAGGAGGCGAAGCCAAACTTAAACATTGTTTTGCGTCAATAAAAATGTCTAATTGCGAGCTTTGCCAATATCAGCTGAACCAACCTCTTTTGCTGGTCTTTTTGGCCCATTATGTGTCAGAAGACGGTGAGGTGGCTTTCCTGTTTCGCTTAAAAACACCAAATGTTGTCTGGTTGGCGCTGCCAAGAGCCCCATAAGGCTGATGTGCCTCAAAGCATATTGGGTGATGGGAATGTGCATTTTCAGCTTTGGCTACTAGCGCATAACCGGCTACATGGAGGGCTTTACTACCGAAGGTCTAGATTCCAAGAGGGGAAGAGGGAGCTTGCCGAGCTGAGAGAGTGCATGTATATAAGGGAATGGCCAAATCTTGTGTTACAAGTTGGCCACAAAGAGCACCTCAAGACATCTTGACGATTGACGATTGACGATTGACCTCTGTAGTCTGTTTACTTTCTTCCTTGTCATTCCATCCCACTTTCCAGCGCCATCATGCGCCTGCTCAAAGGCCTTGTACTAGGTCTCCTCCTTGAGAGAGGCCTAGGCCAGACAGAACCTCAGCCAGACGGGGGAAATCTTGCAACTGTTGCCGACCCAGTCGAAACAGATCCTGCAGATGCGCCTGTTCCAGACCCGACTGTTCCATCAGATGGCGGTGCGCTCAATTGAGCTTTTTTCTTACTACCGACTGACAATACCCAGACACTCCTTCAGATCCCCCGGACCCAGCTGATGAACCCACCATCACAATAGACGACCCTCAGCCCACTGACGATGGGTCCGATGCTAGAATTCCAGCTCCAGATCCCACTGATCAACCTACCGATGTCGATGACCCCTCAGCCATTCCTGATGATCCTGCAGAAACAAATACAGACGATGAGGAGTCAGCTCCCACCGACCAGCCCGCTCCAACCGACACTGAACCCGAGCCTGCTGCAACAGACGTCGACGCTACTCAAACCAATGATGAGGAAACTCCTCAAGAGACAGATACCAATGGTGAGGAAGCTACGCAGACAGATGGTGACACCGATACGGCACCCGTCGTTTCAACAGAAGCCTTGAACTCCGCGGCCGAAGAGACCCCAGAGGCTACACCTCTGGCTTCCGACACCGCAGACGACCAAGCTCCACAGACGACCGAAGAGCCATCGGATGAACAAACCGAAGAACCCACCGCTGACTCTGAACCAGAAGAGTCTACCCAGCAGGAGACTAGAGGAATTGTAGCACCGACAAAGACTGAGAAGAACGATGCGAAAACGACTGATGGCAATGGTAAATATTCAGCTGCTCCTTATGCTAGTGAGACAGAAGGGGGTGAGGCGGAGGAGACGGGATCGAATGAACAGACCGCTGATGGAACAACGCGCAAAGCTGCAGCTACAGGTAGTGGAGGCAAGGAGGAGAAGACTACACTTGCTACTTCCAAGGGAGCTGCGCCGACGTCGCCTGCTGAGGATTACCCGATTGATCTGGAAGAAGCTGTTTTAGGCGACTATGCTGAGTTCAAAGGCGCCGGCGACAAGACCGTTGTGTAAGTTTTCCCAATTCCCTATCATGCGCATAAGATTAACTTTAATAGTATTCTCAAACCCCCTCCCAATGAGGTAGCAAAGTGCGATCTCCCACCAACAAGCGACGAAGACGTTCCCGAGGGTGAAGACGTCCGTGTCGTCCTCTCCGTCAAGGTTGGCGAACTCAGCAAAGGCGCCAAAACTGGAAACCGTCTTCAGATGCTAATTGATGGTTCGACTATTTACGATAAGGAGCTTTTGGGGACTGGTGGTGAAGAGGAGAGTATTCAGAGTGACAAGTTCAAGGCTGCGCTGGATCAGAAGGTTAATGTTGTTCATAAGGCGGGTGATAAGCCAGTGCAGGTTACGATTCAGGATGCGAATATTAGGAGTGCTATTAGCGGGGGTAGTAGAGGGGGAAGCGGAGGAGGTGGAGGGTCTGGTGGCGGATCCGGGTCTGGGGATGATGGTGGTGACTCTGGTGATGGAGGCTCTGGTGGTAGCGGAGGCGGAAGTGGCGGTGGAAGTGGCGGTGGAAGTGGAGGTGGAAGCGGTTCAGGCGATGGTGGTGGTGGCAGCTCAGGCGGAGGCGGTTCTGAAACTGGCTCAGGAACAGGTGACAAGGAGGCATCACCATCCAGTGTTTCTGACGGCGACGGTCAAACCAACGTTGCTGGAAAGAACTTCATGGTCGGCGATGTACTCATGTATGCTCTGCCTCTCGCTGTCGCTCTTGTGGGTTGATGACCTGTAATATTCGAGGTTCTTGTATCTAGTTCGCGGTGTTTGAGTTGGAGTAGTACAAATGGCCGAGCTATCGGATTAATAAAGTGTAGATGCTTGCTTGAGCTAATGAGAACATGATGAAGAGATTCTTGCATACGTCTTGGTACTTATACGGATCCATACCCAGACGACTTTCCACTGTGATTTTAGCTCAAGCTCAGTCCCTACAATCTTGAGACAAAGATCAACGCCATGTTTGGGAATTAAGACCCTCATATAGAAGCTGGGTCGCCACGTTAAAATATGTAGTTTGCTACTGTTACGCTCTTACCGTTTCTATTATTAACAGTGCATAGTGGTTATTTCTTATTACAATAGGATTAATTACTTGAATAATGGAGTATTCAATGCAGTTAGGCATTCAGATAGTGCGTTTCGCGCTGACTCAGCGCAGAATTCCCCTGCAGCCTGATTGCGGCCTTCGTCGGACTTTTCAACAGCGTCAAAACAGCGAAGAGAATACGAAAACCCCAAATTAGGCACTCCAGTTACACAAGTGGCATTTGAAGCATAAAACCGGGGTAATAATGATGTTGCATTGGTGGGGACGGCGTAACTGATGCGTTTCGACGATCATATCATCACTTCGTTTTCACGGCAGGTTTCTTAAGCCTTCGAAGCTCAGGATAAGACGGCTTTGAACGAGTTCCGAATACCGAGAGTTTGGCTGAATGTGCTGTAATGGATGCTGATACTGGTTTTTCAATGGTGTTATTTCAGTTATGCTGGACATTGGTACAACGACCAATCCATGCCATGAAGACCAGTCAACCTCAACAAGGCGGAGTAAACCCACATGGAACTATAAAGCCTTGGGTGGCTTGTCAAGGGACCCCAATGGGCATTCCAGAGCCCAATGATATATAAACTGCCCTGGGAAACCCCTCTTGCTCATCCATCTTCACTCTTGTTCTCACAGCTTCATCAAACTCAACTCATCATGTCTCCCATCAGCAATTCAGACTCTCTCCCCAATGTCTTCCAAGACTTCATCAGCGAACACCCAAACATCAAATTCACTCTGCCTGGCGAACCAGAATGGGCGGGGATCACGAAATGTTTCATCAGGACATCTAATTCTCCCAGCATCGTCGCCAGGCCCCAGGATGCGTCTCAGATTCAGGATCTGATTCGTCATTGCGTCTTGCACAACGTTGACTTTGTAGTTCGCTCAGGGGGACATGATTGCACTGGCAGAAGCCAGGTAAGAGGCGCTTTGACCATTGATATGCGTGACATTCAATACATCAACATTGCGGAAGATAAGAGGACAGCTCGGATTGGAGGCGGGATCATTACGCGGGAGTTGACGAAGGCTTTGGATACTGAGGGGCTGATTACGCCAACGTGAGAAATCACCACTGATCTTTACAAGGCTGGCTAACGAGAGAGTAGAGCTCCGAATGCTTCAATTGGATATGTCGGTTGGGCAACACTCGGAGGCTACGGCCCTTTGTCTAACAAGTATGGACTGGGAGTCGATCAGATCGTCGGAGCTAAGTATGTCAATGCCGAAGGTGCGCTTATTAATGCGGCTGAAGAAGAGTTGATGGCCATACGCGGCGGAGGCGCTTGTCTTGGTGTGATTACTGAGATGACTATTAAAGTATACTCTCTGAAAGAGGTAAGTTTGAGCTTGAACTACATGGGGTTGGCCTTGACTCAATGCTAATCTCAACCAGATCCTGGAAGGGACTTTCGTGTTCGGGTCCTGCAACAAAGAACAAGCCTGGACTTCCTTCGTCGAGAGATACAACAAGCTCACCGCCAGCGAAGACATCCCAACGCGTCTCTCCCTCCAACTCACCGGCGTCGCAATCCCCAACATCGGAAACATCTTCAACGTCTCATGCCTCTGGGCCGACGACGATCATGATGAAGGGCGTAGGTGGATGGACAGGATTGCCGACCTAGGCACCTGCATCAAGGAGGTTGTGAAGCCAAACACGTGGCCCGCTCACTGTGAAGAGAAAGAGAAGCTCGCCGGGTATGGTGTATACGGTCGAGCCCGAACTCTCAACTTGAAGGCTCTCACCCCCAAGACCATTGAGATCTTGGCCAAGTACAACGAGTCGATCCCTGGTCCAGGATCTCTCTTCTCGATGCAATTTCATCACGACCCTGTTCAGCCGCTTGACTCTGTGTTCGCGCCTCGTTGTGATCACTATTGGCTTGAGATCATCGCCACCTCCCGTGAAGAAGGAGGCGCTGAAACGGCGGACCAGTGGGCTTTGGGTTTACAGCGAGAGCTTGTTGAGTATGACCCTGAGAATATCCTTGACCCTGCTTATGTAGGCTTCGTGGATGATGGAGAGATGGATTTGAAGAAGGGTTTTGGGGATCGTTATAAGATTCTCATGGCTACGAAGCAGAAGTTTGACCCTAAGAATGTTTTCAAGAACACTACTCCGCGGCTTTTGTATTAGCAACCAGTCATTAGGCAGTTCTCTCTGGCATGCGAGAAAGGCAATTCACGTTATAAGGAACGGCAATAGCCTTGGAGAAGCTCTTTGGGATATCTACTACCTACTATACTTAGACTGCAATGTGGAGTTTTATTCTTACTTTACTTTCGCCTTAAAGAGAGAAACAGGTCTCGAGCGAACCCTCCTTGTCCCTCGACTACAGTCATAAATGGAATTGCAGATAAAACAGTTATCGTGTTCCTGTCACCCGTTTTATCGGCTTAAAGCTCAACATTATGGCCAGCAAGTACTTCCATAGCAGATTAAAAGGTTGTCTCGAGGTTGCAGTGTACAATAGGGCCAATAGTCAAGGGGGAAAACAAAGGCAATCTCGGACTGATGGGAGGCCCAGACACGCACGCATTTACAGTTCAGCTAGGATAACTTGTTCACCCAATTATTGGCGTTAAATCACACTATCGGTCCGATATAATGAGCTAAGGCGCAGATCTCACACAAAACTGATTCCTTAGTGCGTTCTACCTATTAACCCCGCATCAGTCCTCACTATCCGCGGTGGAGCGCGAATAACGGAATCATCTACCCTTTCCCTGTGCTCAACAGTCACATCCAAGGTCTCATGACGGCAGATGTCGTACAAATCGAGGTCCCTTTGCCTACTGGTGGGTCTGCTAAAAGGAAGCGGGTAATTCTGTTCCATCTTGTATCGGCTCAACCTATCCAGTGCGGTCTTGAAGTCATCTAGAACGATCGTATCGGTGAAGCACTTAAATATAAAGGCAAACTTCCAGAACGGATTGATATAGCCGATCCGGAGGACTGGGGTGACGGAGAGAATATCGACAGTGATAAAGATAATACTAAGGGCCATGCTCAAGAGTAAGAGACCGAAACGGGGGCATATGCGGATAATTTCCATAAATTTGAACTCATAACGGAATTTTATATTCCAGAAAAGGTTAACAGCTGTAAATATCCACCAAGGGTCGCTATCACTATCAGTCAGTCTGCCAAGTGTCCGATAGAAATGATGCATACCGGCAGAGAGCCTCAAGCGGTCGGGTTGAGACAAAAAGGTGATTGTCAGTAGTGTTAAAGTAGGTGAAGTTGGCATATATCTCAAGGACCCAGTACGGTTGGACCAGAATGATGCTCCCGATATATATGGCGTTATTCCGCTTCGACAGGAAGGGCTTGTTTTTCATCCAAGCGACGACGTTGTGTAGATTCCACGAAACGATGAGCAGAATGGCAGTCGAGGATAAATACCATCCCCAGATCGGAGGGTCGAAAAACGTAAAGAAGCCATTTGGCATGGCCAGGAGGAGCTTGTGAGGTTTGTGAGATGGATCTGACATCGAGGGGAAAACACTCACCTCCGCCAAGATCAACTTATGCAACATCACTCCACGTCGCATGTTAGCTAAAGTAATGCCAATCATAATTATCAGAGCGCCGATCATGCAGCCCTGCGACCAAGCTTCGAGGGTGAGTCTCGCTGGGCTCGAGGGCCATGCCCCAGGGACTGACATCGTCACTATGAGCTATTACATTAGCAAAAGGGTGGTTCCTTGGGGTAAACAGACGATGGAGAGGGGAGAGCTGCGACGGGTGGAGGCAGGGTTAATATGTGTAGAAATCAACGGGCGCAAACCCCTATGGTAGAATCGTCTGGGGTGCAGGTTAAAGTTCGAGACTAAACTTGATCTGCACATTCCCCATGGGGTTACGGTGGGATCACAGGTGTGCATGGTACGTCTGTGCCTTTTAGCGGGAACATTTACGATGCAGAATGATGACCAGTCTACTAGCCTATTAAGAATCGAACGTGAATCGTTAATTGGGACACACACGGTGGGTTTCACGACAACATGAAACTAGATCCCACGTTTGTTTCATGTCGTACTCACACTCTGTTGGACTGATTCGGCATTATGAGCGAGACCAACTCACAGTGAAATCTGCTCGGCTTGCTTTAACTGATAGACAAATCTTATGATATCCCAACAAGATATATCGAGCCAATACACTAACAAAATTCCCATTAACTAAAGTTTAGGCAGTCTAACTGTATAAGGCTTGCTCGTTTGGGTTTTTTGGATGATAGACGGAATCTGGAAAGAGTCCTTGAGGATCCCATGAGAGTCTTGTTACTGTCAAGCAGAACATTAAATGTTAGACGCTGTTTGAGAATACTACTCTAAGGCTTTGAAGGTTTGGATGTGTAAACAACTACCGTCGAGCATAGCGTGGCTCTATAGTAAGTATATTCGAGTTGACATGATCGCAAGGCTTGTGCGTTGCGTTGAAAACACCATCAGCGCTCCCCTAAATGACCGAGCTTATGATCCAACATACAGTCAAAAATCAGATCTTCTTTCTTAATAGTTTTACTTTTTATTCCTCTATGAACCGTGTTACCATTTCCATTCTCCTGGCAGCTATCTAGTTCTTTCCAAGCTCCTTCGCACGGTCAGCAGCAGCCTTGACAGCCTTATCCACAATATCCTTAAGACCAGAGTTCTCAAAGCTGACAAGAGCAGCATGGGTGGTACCGTTGGGGCTGGTGACGTTCTTTCGAAGCTGAGAAGGCTCATCAGAGGACTCAACAAGCATCTTTCCGGCACCGAGGCAGGTCTGTGTAGCGAGGCGAGTAGCTTGCTCCTCGGAGAGACCAAGGCCGATACCGCTGGAGATGAGATGCTCGACGAAAGCGAAGAAGTAAGCGGGGCCAGAGCCTAGACGTGTTAGTGATGTTGCCTTTTGGAAGATATGATTGTGAACTTACCGGAGATACCAGTGACGACATCAAGAAGTTCCTCCTTGTCAACCCACTCAGTAGCTTTGCTCACACTCCCCAAAAGTGCAGACGTCAACTCCCTCTCCTCCTTGGTAACATCATCCGCCGCATAAAGCCCACTCGCACCCTCGCCAACAAGCGCAGGCGTATTCGGCATAACACGCACAATATGCGGCGCCTTACCCGCGTCACCCTTAAACCACGCCGCAATGCTCTCCAGCGTAATACCCGCCGCGATGGAAATAACAACTGGAAGACTATCCCTCTTCGCCCAAGCAGAGCTAAGCTCCTCACAAACGCCCTTTGCTACTTGGGGCTTCACAGCGAGGATGACAACGTCTGCATCGGCAGCGGCTTCTTTGTTATCGGCGGTTGTTTTGACGCCTAGGTCGGCCATTTTGTTGCGGTTCACGTCCCAGGGTTCGGAGACGTAGATGTTGGATTTGGAGATGTTTTTGGCGAGGAGGCCACCGATGATGGCGGCGGCCATGTTGCCGCCGCCCAGGAAGGTGATTTTTGCGTCTTGTAGTGAGGGAGTCATTTTAGATGTGTTTTAGAGAGTGAGTGAAGAGGAAGGGATGAGATGAGATTGGTGGTGATTCTATTTATCGTGGGGTTGAGGTTTGGTGATACGTAAAAGTTTGGGGTGATGGCCGACCCCGCATCGGATTAACCCTGCGCTACCCTTTTAGCTTTGGTGATGAGCGATAACGGCCTGACATTGGAAGCAATTCGTGACAAATTCGACAGCTTTCCGTCGGCATGAAAGAGAAGAGATGATGTTCTCATCAATACGTTTGCCCACCGTAGTTAGAATCGCGATGTTTTTTTATTTCCTCTCAATGCTGTGACATTCGGCTCAAGCTCGCTGACAATTTCCAAACGGTCAATCTTAGTTGCGCTGATCGCAAAGCCCGTTGTCGTAGGCTGAGAATCCTATAGCTTCATATCTTTCTCTTCTCTCTCGATCGACTCTTAGGTAGGCTGAGTGCTCGAATAATTACCAAGCCACCCGAGTAAATCTTTGTCAACCCCACGCCCTTTCGCTTAGAGGCGGCATTGTCACGATCTAATGATAAGATAAGAGCAAATTGTGACGATGGCCCAGCGCATTCGGAACATGCTGTGGTGACTCAATTGAGGTGATGCCTATGAATATTGTAATCTTGCGACACATTATATTATAAACAAACATCAAAGATTTGTAACAGACGGGCTTCTCAGCATATGATGTTGCTTGCGATTTTGCGTATCCACCAAATCTTCATCATGACTGAATCATGTGCATCAATAGGCGCGTCTTTCAGACAGATTGGGTTTTATAGAAAGTGAAAACAGCAGATAACTGGAGAATATTAACAGCCAACACTTCTCAATTATTATTTCCACGTCATCAGCTGTCCTAATGCCTCGAATCACGTTGGCTTCCTGCTTAGCTCTGTCGATGTAGGGTATTTATTATTCACCCAAGCCTTAGCGGACATGACGTCATTGATAACCACCGTCTTTGAAGCAATTCACGACAGATATTTCAATGAAATTTATCATTCATTTTAATTCATCTCAGTACATACTCAAAGCAAAATCCTATCAGTCTGTTTTCTTTCACCCTCATCCATAACTTCTCCCACGAATTGACATTACAGCTGACTCTTATCAGGGAACTTGCGGAACATATCAGCAAGCTTATCAATAGGCGCCGCCATGAGTCCCATAACCGACTCAAAAGGCGGGTTCTCTCCAGCGCTAGGATGACTCCTCGTCGGCACAAACTGCTTAGTACGAGCAAACTGTGTCGCCAAACTCTCCGTCTCTTGATCCTGCGACTTGATCGCCTGCTCAAGAGCGGGTAAGTCACGGTTCTCTTCCTCTTCAATATGCTTCTCCAGCAAACCCCAGATTTCTTTGATCTTGGGAAGATACTCAGGGTCCTGGGCTTTGAGGTTCTGGAAGACTTTGAGCAGTTCCTTTACCTATAGAGCTTGTTAGTGAGTTGATGGTGAAGTGAAGTGGTTGGGGAGGTTTACCTGATGGTGCTCTTGACGATCTTCATCAGCTAATTGTTTTCCCTTGTCACCCATGTACTTCTCCATGGCAGGGTAGACAATGAGTTCTTCGCCGATAGAATGACGCGCAAGTTCCCAGACGAATTGGTTACCAAAGCGCTGCTGGTGATCATGATCGGTGGAGTTGACTACTTCATTATAGTAGTCCTTGAGCTCGCGGTGGTCTTTGACAATGGCGTCCGAGACAGCGGACATGGCTGCGACTTGAAAGCGGATGGGTTTCTGATAAGATCGGAAGTGTTGAGGTCTGATAACTGCGCGGAGTTGAGGTGTCAAGATGGCACGGATTGAAGACATGTTGATTAGACTTGAGGTTTAGAAGGTTGAGGATGAAGCTGGTTTACATAGAGCTGTAATTGTCATACATCGGTATACATATATGCTGCGACACGAGCACCATGACGCCGAAATGACCCCCTTCTCACAACCTTTGTGACGGCCATTCCACGACAAATGACGGATTATCCAACACCAACAGTGATGCCACTGACGATGTTCAAAGCTTCGACCAATAACAGAGCAGAGTAACTTAATTCCTTGCCTATGATTCGTCTTGTCGTGAACCCCAGAAGGATATCTCATTTCTCCGGGTCATTAGCTCCGGTCGGAAGACACCGATGTCTCTGATAGGTTTGGGGAGGCTGGGCATGCGAATATGTGACACGCAAATTACCCCAAGACTTTTCGGATATGCGGGTTTAATTAATGAGCTTAACGTTTAATGGATCGGGATCTTGATCTTGGGGACTGAGCCAGCTTGTAATTGTCTCGTTGAACGGGTGAATTGCCCAACATTCCGCAGCGCCCACTATACGCGGGACAATACCAGAGCTTCAACATCACGACGTCAATAATATTAGTTAATAGTATCTACCAAGGTAATTGCTATTTACAGGGAACCCTTACAAGATGGTACCTGTTTCAATTACCGTGGTTGACTCTCTACATAAAAATCGCCAAAGCATTACGCCATAGTCAAGTCACAGCTACGCCAACGACTTTGACGGATCAACCCGTCAGTATCCACTCGCCCACCGGTGATACAACGTCAAACATTTTTATTCCCAGAGTCATATTGTCATTGACTTAGGTCTTTGGAATCACCGGAGCTTTTACCCTAGCAAATTCATAGACAGTGAGTGCTTGACGGCATGATTACGAACTCGAGTGCGCTGTGCATCTCGATTGCATGACGGAACGATTGATAATGATTCTACGCATCATAGTGGAGAAATGCACGTCGTTGTTGTTCAGATAGCCGATGGATGTAAATAAATTGATAGATCTGCTCGTGCATATTCCATCTGCATTCGACATCATCTTCTTCTGATTAATCATGTCAGCCACTTCATTCCTGCGAAGTGCGGTACTCCTCGCTGTAGCGGGTACCGTCAACGCTGTACCCGTTGTATCAGAGGCTCAGACGACAGTCTCGTCTTCTGGTGTAGCTGGTGAACCTATTCCATACAGTTTTGTGACTTCTCACGGTCCTTACACTGGAACACCTACTACCACTGGTGCACTCTCAACTACAGTTCTTGCATCAGCTATTCCTGCGCGTCCTCCTCCCCCCGGATCCTTCGACTACCCTGCCAATGGAAAGTTGAACGCCCCCCAGCCTGCTCCCTACACTCCAGACGGCGGTGTCGGAACAAACGGGTCTGCACCTGTTTATCGCGTTCAGAGCGATTTTGACTATCAATCTCTCGCTCTCGCGCTGTACCAAGAGTGGATTGAACTCGATCTCTTCCGCTGGGGTCTCGCAACTTTCTCAAAGGAAGAATTTGACGCCTACGGCATCAACGATGAAGACCGCTTTCTGATCGAACACATGGCTCGCCAAGAAATCGGCCACGCAACAGTAATCAGCAACATGCTCGGCCCCGAAGCTCCCAAGCAGTGCACGTACAACTACCCCGTCTCCAACGTCCCCGAGTTCATCGACTTTAACCAGAAGCTCACGCGCTGGGGTGAGTCTGGTGTCTATGGATTCCTGCCACACTTGAACTCTGGGCCTGCGGCTCAGTTGCTTCTGCAGAGTATTACTATTGAGGCGAGGCAGCAGATGATCTTTAGGCAGTTTGGTGGCACGTTTGCTATGCCCGAGTGGCATACGCCTGGTATTCCGCAGAGTTGGGCCTGGACTTTATTGGCGCCGTATATTTCGAGCTGTCCTTATAACCAGACGAGACTTGTCTGGCAGAACTTTCCTTCGTTGAATATTCTTAATCAGCCTAATCCTGCTCGCATCAACGGGTCGGCTGTTTGGAACGAGACGACTGGTGGATATGCCAACACATTGTCTACCAAGGACATTGATGACGATGAACTCTGCGTCAACGCCACAGAGACCGGCGAGAACTGCAAAGCCGCTATTACTCACAACCGCACAATCCCCCTCTCCTATCCCGGCCGTCAGGTCTTCCTGAACTGGGATGCACCAGGCAAGCCCGTCGGTCCCAACAACAGCTACATCACCTCAACCAATGTCAAGGAGCCCAAGTTTGCAGCGTGGGTGTCTCAGCTCAACGTTACATACTCTCCTCTCCAGAACGTCAGCCTTGAGGATAGAACGGCGTATACTATCCAGCCTAATGTTTCGACTTGGCAGGGTGATCCCGCTATTAACGGAACAATGTTCCTTGCTTTGACGGATACGGATCTTTATGTTACGCCTTATAACCTTACGCAGATTAACCCCCATGTTGCTGCTTTGGCTGTTTACCAGGCCGGTTAAATGTGCTCAGGATAATGAGTTAGGCTTGAGGGCTTAGACACATGGACCAATAGTTGGATGTTTGGATATGGCTTATGGATACCTGTTGTATAATTCTATTCTTCATGTATTATATCACGACTTAATGATATTCACATATTTACATGGTAATCGTTCTGAAGTGATGGAACTCAATTGCGTGACAATAAAATGAAAAGCTATAAACACAAGCAAATTTCCTTACTCAGATGTCATCATAACCATACAATCCCTCCTCCAAACCCTTGATCTGCAGCGCCAACAACTTGGAGTAGTATCGGCACATAGCAAGGTTACCTCCATGGTACCAGAATCCAGGATGTCCACTCTTCTGCCAAATAGTCCTCATCTCACCCTCATCATTGAAACCCCAAACATCATTCACCTTGTCTGCAATCGCATCCCCAAACATAACCCTCGTCTGCGTTCTCATGTTCTGGTATCCCGTCGCAAACACAATCTCATCAGCCTCAAGCTCCGACCCATCCGCAAATCTCAAACCATGCGGCAACACAGTTTCGATTTCTTGGCCATGCTTAACCTTGATCTTACCATCGGCGATGAGTTGAGAAGCGCCGACGTCGATGTAGTAACCGCCTCCGCGCTGGAAGTACTTGAGTAAAAGACCCGCGCCATCGGGACCCGCGTCCGTCTTGAAACCGGCTTTGTTGAGACCTGAGAGGATGTCCTTGTCGAAGTCTGCTTGCTTCTGGCATGTTGTGACGGAGAGGGCTTTGAACACGGGAATAGGAAGGCCGTGGATCAAAAGATCGGCATCGTCGACTGGGGGACCGTCTTCGGAGTAGACGCCCTTGAGACCGATGTCGGTGATGGCTTTGGAGGAAACGACGTGGGTGCTGGAGCGTTGAACCATGGTGACGTCGTAGCCCTTCTCGAGGAAATCTTGAGCGATGTCGTGGCCTGAGTTGCACGATCCAACGACAATGGCCTTCTTACCCTGGCTGTTGTCGCGGGCACCAGAGAACTCGGAAGAATGGCACAGACGATCACCCTTGAAGTCGGAAATACCCTTCATATCAGGCATGTTCTTCTTACCAGAGTGACCAGTAGCCTGAATGAGATGTCGAGGGTGCAGAGTTCGTCGCTCCTTGGTACCATCATCCTTAGTTCGCTCAACAGTGACATCCCATCGCTTCTTAGCATCATCCCACTTTGTCTCAACGAGGGAAGTCTTCATCCAGATGTTGAGCTCAAGAAGGGTAGCGTAGGCCTCGAAGAACTGAGCGAGCTTGTCCTTGGGTGTGAAGATGGGCCATTGAGGGGGGAATTGGAGATATGGCATGTGATCGTACCAGACGGGATCGTGGAGGACGAGTTGGTGGTATCGCTTGCGCCAGTTATCGCCTACGCGATCGTTTTGGTCGATGGCGAGGGCTTCGACGCCGAGCATCTTGAGACGAGCAGCGGCTGTGAGGCCAGCTTGACCGGCACCTACAATTGTTAGCTATGAAAAATACTTTATAAAGAAGAAGGATGACTTACCAACGATCAAAACAGCAGGATCGCTTCCATCAGCGAAATCGGCCTCAGCCTCTCGTCGCTGCGCCCAGTTCTTTCGCCCAGGCTTTCCACCATGCTCAACACCACGCGATCGATGATCATTAATCGCCTCCTCAAAACCCTTCAACTCCTGAATTCTCGTATAAAGCGTGAAGATCTTCCACTCCCCATTCTCCTCAATCAACCTCGCAAGACCCAATCCCTTACCGCGCACAGTCTCAATCTCGAAAAAGAACTGCACGCCCTGGACTTCACCAGCGCCATCAATAGGCAGAAACTGGGGCTGTCTCACAGGAGCTGAGCTGTCAACCTCAATCTTGGTAAGACGAAGACCATCCTTTGACTCAGAGCAGGACTTTAGGAATGATAGGATGTTGGCGGGTCCTTGGACGGTGCGGAAGTTCCAGGATAGGGCGAGATGATCGCGCCAGAAACCGTCTTCGGAGAATAGGCGGGCGAGAGAGGTGTAGTCTTTGTTTTTGAGGGCTGAGTTGAAGGAGGATACAAGGGAAGTGGCGATTTCTTGGGGGTTGGAGGAGGAGGGTTTTTTGGTTGCGGAGGGGAATTTTGCGAGGGCGATGTTTGTTGAGCCTGGGACTGCCCACGCTCGGGAAGTCCGGGGAATGCTCTGAGGGATAACGTCGCCCATTGTGAGTGCTTATTGTGAACTGTAAGTGTGAGGGTAGAATGAGAGAAGGATGAAGAGAGAGTTGTTGATGATGATGGAGTGAAGAGGGGAAGATGGTTGGGTTTAAGTAAGGCAGCCTCAAGTGAAACATGCATAACCAAACGCAAGCCGACAGTTTCTAAGCCCGCTGATCGACGTTACATTTCTTTTGCTATTGGGCTATTCCTGTCAAACTCTACTGCTGTGCTTCCCCACGTTTCACTGAAGCCCGCCAACTGTTCAATGCCCCTCCCCCGCTCTTTTTGGCATCGGCCCCCGCACTTTGACGAGCGGTTCCGACTACGGTGCCTACTTTTGGCGGAGTCGGCTCCGGGAGATCTTCCGCTGGCGGTTCCGTGCAATTCGGTGCTGAGGATGAATAATCTGGGGAATAAACATTGGGGTAGTAAGATCTCGGGGTTGAGGAAGATTTGAAGTTGTCGTGATGGGAGGCTGAGGAGATGCTTTTGGTAAATGATTTTGAGTTTGGCTTGCAGGGTGTTTCACCGGTATCGGGTCATACCTGCAGATACGACTGCAGAATTTTAATTCGATGCCTGCCGTTTTCCCTTGTGAAGCTTTACGGCGAATCCTTCAGCTGTTCACCGCCAAGATAAAGGAATTTCTGAATAGAAATCGCTGGATCAAACTCTAACATAAATGCCGAAGCGGCTGCCGCTTTAATATTGGCTGCCATTGGAGGCCCTTGCATGAGACCCTGGAATATGGCAGCAACTGATGCCATTCGGTACATGGTATGAAGTTACATGGCTCACCATTGCGATCTGCTTATATCTCTTGGCAGATGAGGCTCTTTGAGTGACGTCCAGGATTAGCTCATCCTTGACCTCGTCAGCATCCTGCCGCTTTGGGAAGCATGATATGAGATGACTGGCAAGCACTGGCCGGAACTAGGCAAGGATTCTCTGGAGTGAGATTTTAAGCTATCTTGCCATTCACTGTGCCTTTCTTGACTTGACGCACGATTGAGTGGTGCCTCAGATTGCCAATAATTCTCATCAATGCCAGGCGAGTAATAACCTCAAACAATAATCCACTTCCCAAGATTCTACAGGACACTCTATCTCAGAAGGTCTAATTAGTTTCTGATGATCTCTCCCCACAACTTCATTTTAGGAAACCTACAAGTTTTTAATCTTGGTATAGTGGCCCTAAATCTTCACGTTGAAGCACAAAGTCAGACCTTACTGCCAGGGGGACCAGTCCTAACGAGAAGGGCATGGCGGAGTGGTCGCAATGAACTCACTATTACCGAATGCCCGGGGTATGGATTCTTGCACTATCTACTTATTTTGGATCCTTGTGCTACACCAATCAAGCGATGTGGTATCGCATCTGGCTGACGATGTACTGTTGGTCCCTCTTGAATCTTGGGTCTGAGAATCGTAGAAGCCTTACTGTCTAACATAGAATGTTACCATCCTTTCCTTCGCGACTAGTCACCACCTTTACCAATCTCCAATACCATTTACATGCCTCAACTTGCTTTATTTTATGGCTATCTAAGACAAAAGCTCGATTGAGCAAGTTGAGGTATGAACACTGGTAGAGATCTGCAGTCGGTGTCTTTCGGAATTACTCCAATAATCTTGATATAATCACTAAACCAAGACAACCTTCGCCACCCATTCCTTCAAGTCTGGTGCTTTGTCAAGACGGTGCCCCACTTGATCTATGCAGAAGTATCCGACCCTCTGATATGATTTCTCGACAACTTGGAGACTCCTTTTGCAATCCCCCTCAACCATCTGTACAACAAGTCCTTCGTGCGGTGTTGTGTCATAAAACCGACAGCGTAGGAATAGCAGGAACGCACGTCTCTTCAAAGAGGCAGATGACGCCAAACTATCCAGAAAAAGATTACAAGTCCGTCGTAGCTCAACAGGACTCCCAGGTCCTAGTAAAATGCAATGAAGCCCCGGCCTTGGCTCTGTATCTTCTGAGTCTGCATCCTCAGGGCCCAGCATATCAAGCCGCAGCAGTGGGGCTAAGAAACAGAGTTTCTTGTTCGCTATGCGAGCAAGACCTTTTTCTTGCCAACTTGATGGGAACGGCTCAAGGTTCTCCATCCAAGAGCCCCAGGCTCCCAAGGCGACTGTCATGAAGTCAATCGCACCCTTTGACGACACCCAAGACCAGGTGGGGAAGTTGTCACTAGTATCTGGTGAGCTCTGCGGGTCTTCTGACCTCCAAAGCAAGTGTTCAGCACACTGCGATCGGAAAACACTGGCAAAACAGTCGACCCCATGGCGCTTTGACAAAAGACCTGCGATTCCTTGAATAGCTGCAAGTCTGTCACTGGAAAATGATAGATGCATCCGAGAGTATCGTTGTACCAATGCAGTCCAGCCTTCTCCTAATGCCTCCTCTTCCTCAGAGCGTAGAATCTGACATATGTATCGAGTAGCTTTGGCCAATAACCCAAGTTCAAACACGCAATCATTTTCAAGCTTCGACCGTTCAAGTCCATTTCGACCTGAATCGTCCCCGTAGTCATCTGGATTCTAAGACATTGCAAGACACTTGTCGCACAATTTCCCGTCGGACGTAGGGATATCTCCCTCGGCTTTGGAATTCAGCCGATACTGTAGCGTTGATTCGTTCATTGGCAGCTGACTTGTGCCAACTGTTATGGAAGTATCAGATCTGAACCTTGAGTGTTGACGGGGAACAAGTTATAAAAGTCAAGTTATCCCAAGATTTTTCAGCGGTGGAAATGCTGATATTGTATGTGGCAATTTGATCAGGCTCAGACCTCCAATTTGCGCAAGCGAATTCATGCCTCACACCGCCAGAAGTCCAGTATGGGAAAGCTATGCGATTGGACGATTGTCTAATAAATACCTGCACAAAGCCGAATTGGGAAAAGAAATTGCTGGCGTACAGCGCGCCTCTAGCCTCATTCTGGGCTAGCGGCTAAGCCTTATGACACATAATCAATCGTGTAAGGCAGAGACCTTAGTTGGCGCAGGTAGCTAATAATAACTCCTCCATTCACGTTCTGTTTTGATATAATATTTTACTTACCTCTTTGCCTTTGGCCTCTTCATACATTACTTGACTTAAACCTTACCATCACGTAGATTGAGTTGATCAAAAGCTTGCTATTGATTTGTTTCACAATACTCGCCGCTCATTACCTTGACTGTCACTTATGCCCGTGTCATTATTCATGATAGTGGATTGCCATCCATAGAAGCAGTACAGAGAAACGTTGCCATTGATACATCTGATCTTGTTAATCGTCAATTACTTATAGCAACTCAAACACCCAAGCAAGCTCATGCTGCCAATACTCGTCCGCCCTTTCGGATCCAACCGCATTTCTCAAAAACACATCATACACATACAAAATCGCAAAACAATCCTTCAAGTACTTCTTCAAACCCTCTCTCGCCTTTTGGTGAGCTTCGTCCGACCCATCTGCCAGCGGATCAATAACTGCCCTGTCCCCTTGAAGAGTACCCTTATGTCGGCCGGCAGCCCATGATTCTGTAACCCCTAAAGAATGCCAAAAGGCTCGATGCGGAATATTCTGTGCGGGGAAGTCGTAATTTTCAAGGGCGTGGTTGCTCAGAAATGACAATAGCTGTTCAACAGATAGTAGCGGCACCTGTTCGGCTCCACGAGACTTGACAGCTTCGATGAGGTTTAGGAATATGTACATCTGCAGCGCCACGCTAGCGACGAGATCGAGTCCGAAGGCGTGACCCCAATGAAGCCCTCGGAGATCTGATAATGGAACCTCATTGGAAAGGCGGACAAGCGCGGATAAAGCCTCCCGTCGAGTGGGTTTGTCATCGGCCATAGCAGCTACAATAACCAACATCTTTGCTGCGTCGGCCAAGTCGGCATCAGCGGTGCTGTAGCATGGGTCGCCTTCGCTGTCTGGATCTTTCGCCCGTCGTTTCCAATATTCGAGATCCTCATGCGACGAGTTCAGCGGGTTGTGCAGTGCGGAGTTATCCTCATGGGGACCGAGACCAAAGTGGCGTTCAGCGAAATTGAGCACACCGTCGGAAAACAACTTTCCACTGATTTGTGTTGGATCAATCTTCGTGATCTCAGTATCGGAGAATTCCCTGATAGTCACCAGGAACACGCGGTTGAAATGACTGACAGCCGCTTTCTGCTCAGGTAAACCTAGCGCGGCCAGACTGTAGTTGGCAACTTGATCAGCTGGTGTGAGAGAGAAATGGGGAGCAATCAAGTGCCATGGAATCTTGTGGTCGAGATGCATTTTAGACTGGATTGAAGATCGTTATTTCTGCTGTTGTTTAAATAACTGTGCGTGATATCTCGGCTCGCAGATCTGAAACCAAAGCATGTTTTGTATTTATGTCTATATCCAATAGCATTTCCTCTATGTATATGAATGCCCTGGATATTGCATGTTCAGAGTAGTATACTTAGATGCAATTATTGAATCTCGAATATCGACTAGAGTATAGGAACCCTGGAGTTATAAAGAGAAGCTGAGTATAGCTATGCCCTTTTCAATTATTATACCTACAGAATGTTTTAACTTAGTAGACGGGTCCTCACTACATACCTTATAGTAATAATCTCTTTCTGTTGACCTCACTTCAACCCGGATTGATTAGACTGATTTTCGTCGTGCCATTCAAGGGTTCCTGAACGGCTAAGTTGGTTAAATAAGCCATAGACTTTCCACTCACGTCAGACGTAGGTAGCCGTTACATCATGACGTATCGCCCAACAAACTCAAGATCGATTGCGGGGAAAGACCATCATGTCCAAACCTCCTGTTATTCTTTACCTCAATTAATTCCAGTTCAGACTTCATCAATTTGTCTCATCAACTGGTAAAGAACCATCGCAAATCTTGGCGCAATGCTGTGGCGGCTCCCTCTTCTCTTCGCTGCGTATGTCGGCGCAATCACAGGTGATGAGCAGCAGGTGCTTGGCTCCGACATCACTGATCTAGATCACATTCGCGAGAAGTACAGTTGATCTCTGGTCGATTGGGGGTTTTTACTAACCTTCACAGACTTCTCGAGGCCCAGATCATTCCCACCGTCATTGATGACTTCCCGCCTGCTCTGGCACTTCGCGCATCGTGGAAGCATGACTCGGCCAACCTGGGCAATACTCTAAAACCTGGTCATCTCAAAAAGGCTCCTTCAATTCATCTTGACAAAGTCGAATCGGACGCGCTCGTCGGTACTCAACTCTCCAAGCACATGTCCTATGTCATCGTCCTCACCGATCCCGACGCGCCATCCCGCGATGACCCCAAATGGTCCGAATTCTGCCATTGGATCGCAGCAAGCTCTCGCCTCGAATTCTCAACAAAGTCCAAGCATCACCTCAAGGACATCATCAAGTATAAACCTCCCGCGCCGCCGCCAAAGACTGGAAAGCACCGCTATGTCTTCTTCACCTTCATCGCAGCCAATGGAACGACCAAGAAGCTACACCTGAGCAAACCAGAGGAGAGGAAGCACTGGGGATCGGATCATGCAGGCCATGGAGTTCGTGAGTGGGCGCATGAGAATGGTCTTATTCCCATCGGTAAGGGCGATCTAATTCCCATCTCGTTCGCCGAGGTTAACAAATGTAGCTGCGAATTTCATATACGCGGAAAACGAAGAGCAGTAGCCCCAACCACTTCACATGTCAAATGCACGAGTTTCCTAGCTTAATTGATTCGAAAAGGAAGCTCAATCATATAGTTTAAACGGTTCCTTGGTTTTCATCCTTCAATTCAAGAATGTCATTCGTCGTCGCGGACATTGTTCCTATTTTAGAAACCGAGCGGTTTAGCATCGTGCAACCCCGCACCAATACACGTTGTCTATCCCACCACGATCTATGCAGATCCAGGTCCTTGAAGCTTAAACAAGCAGGTCGGCACATAACAGGCACTACCGGTCTTGGCGGGTAGAGCGAATGAGTTAATCGAGCTTTGGAGCGTGACCTTCGGAGCAGAGATCGTTACTACATTAGGAAGGTAATTGTTAGTCTCGGCATGCGATGATCGGAGGTATACTGCATTGATGTTAACTTCGGAGAATCTCTTGTTCGGAGAAGAGGTTTAATGGGCACGGGGTTATGGGTATGTATAAATACTACAGATAATCTTGATCAGTTTTAAGTTTCTCGTTCATCAGTGCAAGCCATCAAAATGAAGTTCAGCACCTCTCTCTTCACTCTCATCCCAGCCGTCTTCGCCCTGCCTACAGGCGAAGATGCTGCTGTCTCAAAGCGCCAGAGCGCCAACACAGTGACAGATCAACTCCTCTTCAGCGTCACTCTACCAACATTCACTGCTCGTCGCAACGCTCGTGATCCTCCTACCCTTGACTGGACTTCCGATGGCTGCACATCTTCACCCGATAACCCCTTCGGCTTCCCCTTCGTCCCTGCTTGCAACCGCCACGACTTTGGATATAACAACTATCGCAAGCAGAGCCGTTTCACTGTTAGTGCTAAGGCGCGCATTGATAGCAACTTCAAGACCGAGTAAGTTTCTTTTTCCAATTATGGAAGAGCCAAAGCTAATGGTATATAGCCTGTACTACCAATGTACCTCTTCAAGCGCTGCTAGTGCATGCCGTGGTCTGGCTGATGTTTACTACGCTGCTGTTCGAGCCTTTGGCGGCGGTGATGCTACGCCTGGAAAGAGAGATGAGGATCTTGTTAAGGAGTACGAGGAGAAGGTTGCAATCTACAACAAGCTTGTTGAGGAGGCCCAGGAGAAGGGCGAGCTGCCTCGTCTTGACTAAGAGTCGGAGATCAATTCTGAATACCAGTACATAGTTAAAATTTTAAGAACATATTCATGATCTACTACCACTGCTAATATCACTCCCTCTCCGTATTCGCTTGATCTCTTGAAAGGTGTTCGGGAAATGGAAGCCATTCCCTTGGTGTTATTTTCGTTACCTATCGTACCAGAACCTTTGACTGCGACCTGAAAGAAACCTCTCTGATCTTTGGCATACTATTCTGCGGGCAAGTCTAGCTAAACGGCTTCAAGCTTCTGCTGACTGCAGAGAGAGCTCCTCTTGCAGAAACCGAGCATCACCTTGCTCCCATGGATGTTCAACCTCAACTCGTCTTATCATACCCGCATACTTCTCACTCCTCGGCTTGATTTCATAAGGAAAGTCTCGAATATGGCCAATCATGCCTGGCATGATACTTATCCCCGGTTCAATCTCATTGCCCTGCAAATCGACAGCCTTCTTGATCTTGAAAGCAGCTAGTAACCGCGAGATAGTGATAAACAGACTCTCGTCAGCTAGAAATCTCCCAGGACAAACTCTGCGACCGAACCCGAATGAGGCGAGATCGGGATTCGGCTCATTTCTTGGTTCCAGATATCTATCTGGATCGAAGGAAGATGGGTCAGGATAGATATCTGGATCATGGAGGAACCACCATGTCGCTGGCAGGAAGGATTCTCCCTTCGGGATGACGAACTCTTTGTAGTGAATATCCTCATCTGCTGTGTGAACGACCCCCATCGGCGTGACGGGAATCCATCGGAGTGTTTCCTTGATCAAGGCGTTAACGTATGGGAGGTTCTCTCGATCTTCAAAATGGGGAAGTCTTTCGATACCGACAATGGTGTCAATCTCCTGCTGTGCTTTCCTCTGAACATCCGGGAATAGCAACATGGCTAGAACAAAGCCACGGATGGATGAGACAGTAGTGTCAGCCCCCCCCAGCGTACATCACCGCAGCACTTCCCTTGATAGCACTCTCACTATCTGTATCCAGAACCTCTCCACCGTTGTCGTATTGCTTGACAAGTGAAGAGACATATGATGGTCGGTGAGACTGCTTGGTCATTTGTTGCCGAACGAACTTATACGGTACGTCAACCACCTTGCGCATATTGGCGTTCCAGCCACGGGCAATTCTTTTGAACGACATTCCTGGCAGAGATTCTGGAAAGTACCGCAGGATCGGCAGGATATCCACCGGCCAACTCATAGGGACGAATGCAAGTGAGAAATTGTGCATCATCTGCTCTATCAAGAGCGCCAATGGATCTGGTTTGTGAGGCTCGAGGATGTAGCCGTATGTCATCTTGAGAATTATAGCGCTAGCTTCACTGAAACAGAGAAGTCAGCAAAAGACTGTTGTTGGGAAGGGGGGCACTTACGTCTTGATATGCGTCGACAAGTTCTCCGGGCTGTCCAAGATCCGCAACAACAAACGACGAGATTCCACGTCTTGAACATCACGGAAACGCGATGCAGCAGCTTTCGTGCCCAGCTGCTGATGGACCAGCTTTCGATGCTGCTTAAACATCTTGCCGTAAGGTTTGAAGCTGAGGATCTGACTATACCCGCACATCTCATTCCCAAAGATGAACTGTGGCCTTCCCGAAGTCTTTGTCGATGTTTTCTCTAGGATAGAGTTTGCAGCATCACGATCGTGGAGTATGATGAGGGATTGGCCGAAGATGGAGACATGGCTGATAGGACCGTACAGGTCTTTGAACTTGATCCAGTGTTGGTATTCTGGTGTTATCCCATCTGGCATGTCTCTAATGTTGCCAAGGATGGGGAGGGGCTTGGGACCAGGAGGGAGGTTCTTGCGAGGCCTGGTGCAAAGGTAGAGTATTGCGAGGACAACTCCTACAAGAATTAAAAGTGCAGACAGCATGATGGAGTTTGTATGGTCGCACCAACGCAGTAAAAGTAAAGGGTATACTTGAGTCACGAATACCTGGATCTTTGTTTGAAGATCTTGGTTATGAGAGAGCGGAGAGATCTATAGGTATATACCTACGCCTCTGGGTAAAAAGCAATTCTATATCACGTTGCTTCAGGACGCATTATGCCGTCACTCACGTGTGCCAAACAGAGACAATGTCAACTCCTTGTCCTATCGCTGCATGAGGCTTGGGAGGGCATCAAGCCACCTCTTGATCTCCCTTAGCATACCTAATGAGGTGAGTCGTACATAAATGCAGAGGGTCGCATTTCTACTCGATTCTGGGGTTTTGTACATTAAATACCAGTTGTCATGCATATCACTCATAGGATGCAAGGATAAACCAAGGCGCGATGAGGAGACAAGAGAGTACTATGCCTGAGAATGTACCATGTACTTGCAGCATATGTAGGAGCAGCTGACAGATTATTTTGTCATGCATATCATATTGGGTGCGAGTCGGCGGCAATAACGCCAGCTTTTGAAAATCCTAGAGGCTGCATTGAGCTCTTCAATATTACTGGATGGCTGCAGGAGACGTGTTTCCGCGGTTTGTCTTGCATGCATATCACAAACACAAATAAGCTGCTTCAGCTTTTAACCAATCAAGAGCTTTATGAATACCATATCATGTGCACGCATATCAAGGATGGTACCCGCTTCATGCATGTGCTGAACAACGAGGAGACACTATGGGAAGTAATTGGAGGCACAACGTTGTGGCGTATCATCAGTAATCTCTCAGAAAGACCCGGCATGACCTCCTCGGCTTCAAAGATCGCGATTATAGTTATAGCTAGCAAACCACCGCCGCATTGAACCAGGTTATAAGAACTTCCATATCCTTCTCACCGTTGCAAACATATATTGCATGATTCATAATAGTGGCAATATTTGTGATACATGCCAACTATTTCCATACTAAACGCCGATTCCTGACGGCTCGGGCCGCTCGACTCTTCCTCCGCTGAACGGAATATGTGATAGCCCCATCCTGTGCCACTTATGTGCATGCATCGACATATATCACCTTCCCCGTTGACACCTTCCTCATACATATGTATGCTCGACGCAACCCCTCTTCCGTTTCTACGATGGGGAAATGAGTTGCTCACTATCAGGCGAAGCTACCAGGGCGCTGCAGCGGTGCGGTTCGATCTTATTGCCTACAAAGGAGAACGGCCAAGGAGGCCAATGTAATGTCAGGCTTTTTACCGTTGCTCGTCACGCACAGTATACGAACTACAGTGCCGGCAAACTCGAGTTACAACTGACAATCAGCGAGCATTTGCCAACATAGTCACCGTCTGGTTCAAGCACCAGAGTATCAACGTCAGTCATTGTCAAAGCGGCGGCTTTCTGCGTCACCTGGACCTCCAAGTCACTGCTCAACATAACGGAGGCATCATATAACTGCCAAGGCCATATGATTAGAAGCTGCATCAGATGGTTCAAGAGCAAATAGCCATAGCTGTGTCCGATGCTGATCATAGCATTTAGGTAGAGATAGATGATGGATATAGTTCTAGCTGGAGAATGATACCGTTTTTTACTTTACATAGATGATGTCCAATTGCAAGAAGACTGATCGAATAGATGATAATTAGACATAGGTTATGTGGTCGACCTTGGAGAAGAGCTGTAACACGATGCATGGCAATCGAGCTTTGCGGGCGCTTCCCATGGTTGTAGCAGTACATAACCTGATACGAGAGAACAACTTATACACATGATACATAGCCCTATAAGTGACAAAGGTGGGATAACGAACCAAAACCACAAAACCAAGACAAGTAACACAGTATATCCAGTCATTTCGATGGAGTGTGAGGGCTTCGATGGTAAACACCTAGTAGATGAGCGTCCCACATAACCCTCTGTTTTCAGTCGATTAACGTATCACCACAATCCCTTATGGCTCCCCGTGACGGCGGCTATAAGGTTAGTTGAACTGCCTACATCATTTCAATAGCCATAACACCTATGAACAAGCTGACCTGTCTTGTAGTTTCACAGTTGATGACGAAAGATTTGATGTTTGTTATTGGTATACATACCATGATTCAGTATTAAATTGATATGCAAATAATGTTATTCGATAAGCCGCAATGGGTTTTAGTAGTCTTTATGGCTCAAGTCGCAGAGGAAAACATATGTAAGTACCATGACGGCAACAGATCCTAGAACCATAGGCTGGAGATAAATACAAATACTACCAATCTGGACTTCTTTAGCTCCACTCTGATTATGTCAATGATTACAAAAGTTTGTGAATTTTAGGTTTTTTCCGTCACCATTCATGGGCATCTCATGTTGTTGGTGCATATGCATATTGGGTTTTCACATAAGAGTGAGCTTGCGATGTATTTGCCGTTCAGCGGATACTTTCAGGCTAGTAAAAGGAAGAAAGAGCTGTTATATTTCTTCGTCAGACATCATTTCATATCGTTTGTCATTTTCCTAAGCTTTAACCCATCATCAACCTCCATTGTCTCGAATTAGTATTGATCTTGATTACCCTATTGCTTCAGCTCATGACTCGCCCGTGCTAAAGCCGGGCCACTCCTCCGGCACTTAAACTCGTAACCCCGCTCTACGAACCAACCATGACTCGCAATGATATCAGAACCTAGTCTCAAACAAGCAACTAGATTGCCCATTCCCAAGTGGGGCCTCAAATGCGGAGGCTTGACCAGACATTCACCTTGTTCCCCGCGCAATCTCTCCCTTATCTGACTCCGGATCGCTGGGCCCGTGACTTGTTTCAGGCCTTGGCATATCTCAACAATGCTAATAGTAACGACCAACGAATCCCCAACTTCAACCTCTAACTATCAACCTCTTGAAGAGAATTGTCGACAATGCCAAAGACTCGCGTTCGTGTAGTGGAAGGATCATGTTGGCCCTGCAAAAAGCGCAGGATTAAGTGCGATCTCGCAAAACCAACCTGTTCGCGCTGCGCCAAAGTCGGAGCCGCATGCGATTACAATCAACGGCTCATTCGCTGGAGTACACGACCTGCTGTTACAGTACCAGCGATTTATCAGATTACTACGCGCGATGAACAGCTCGCCGCTTCACTAGCAGTATACGAGAAACGCTCACTGGATTACTTTCATGGAAGGTTCTGGCCGCTATTGACGACTGCTTCGAAGCCTTGTGCGCCGCCGACTATGGTTGCGCTGCAGCATCGTGTTGTTCTACTTGCGACGTGTGTTCTGGCTGATTCGCATCGGTGGTTGCAGGATGGAAGGAATAGTCGGAGTATTTTGAACGTTAAGAGGATGGAATGTTTAGCTGCGTTGAGAGAGGAGGTTGATGGATGCTGTTCAAAGGAAGACGGCCCATTACAGACACTCCTTTTTGCTGTTCTGCTACTCTACTTTCACGATGGATTTCTCGAGTGTGCGCAATCATCGGCATCGACGTCAAGTCACAGAGACGGAGTCTTGGCCATCGTCAACCAACTCGGCGGCATGACTACTGTACTAGGTACAGGCCAAGATCCGCTTCATATGATGCTTTCGGAATTCGCGACGACAGATCTTACCAGTGCTATGCTCACGGGACAACCGCCGTCGTTTCCACCGGCTATTTGGGAGGTTGTTGATCGAGGACCTGTTTGGTGGGGACGAGATACACAAGGGTATTGTTCACTATCGACGGTCTTTCAGCAGATATCCAGTATGGCGTTTTATCTTGAGGCGACGACACATATGATTGAGGAGTTTTCGATTGAGAGGATTAGGATTTTTGAAGCGGCTTTGAGACCGACGTATGCATCGTTGGCTGTCGAAGACTTGACGTCGCCTCGTTCATCACCGGTTGATACACCGTCAACGGAATACGACACTGAATCAGCACAAGCCTTCAGCCTCGTTCGGATCTTCCAGCACGCAGCACTCATTTATCTATACCGAGCTGTCTGCGGTCTACCAGCAAACCATGCTCTCGTGCAGCAACATACACAGTCTTGTCTAGACTGTATCTTCAGCATCCAAAAACCATCCAAAATTCTCAACTGTGCTGTACTACCTATCTGTATAGCAGGGGCGCATTCACAATGCCCAAAGCAACAGCGCTTAGTACGTGGACTTGCAGGGTTTATATATGATGAGATACGGTTCGCTTCGGTTCATTCAGTCATTGCGGTCTTGGAGGATATTTGGAAACGAGCGCCTGAAGAAGATATGACGTGGAATCAGATGTTTGCCAACTTGAATCCTCAGGCTATTATTCTCTGAGGTTTTGTTTGTATACTACTGGCGTTGGAGGTGGGGTTTATGTAGGAAGCTTGGGTTCATAACATGAATGGCCTTCCTGGTGTTGAAAGAATAAATATCTGTTCAATTTGGCTTATAGACCCTATTACCAGTATTGATGAACCTTTGAAGTTTCGAACCAGCATTAGTCTTCCTTCCTTCTCAATAATGACCGTAGCATGCCTAAGACGTCCATACCGATGTTACCCTCGTTCAGATCATTCCATGGACTTCATCCCTGTATAACCGTACCTTGCTAATCAACTCCACCTTCACCTCCAACACAAACCACCAATTTCCCCTTAGTCCTGCCTTCTTTCAACCTCGTATAAGCCGTCCCCGCATCCTCCAACCCCAACTCCTCCTCAATAACAGCCTTGACATTTCCATCCTTCATCCAACCCGCAACTTGCACAAAGTCCCTCTTGTTCGCCGTCACAGAATGATACTTAAACTTTCTCTTTCCACCACCCAACCACCTTGGCAACAGATTGATAGTAAGAAGGGACTTGAAGGTCTGAAAGCGCGGTGGCAGACCAACGCAGACATACTGCCCCTCGGGCTTGAGATATTGATGGGACTGCCAGTAGAGATCTGGATCGTTGAAGACCGTGTCGAGAATGAAGTCATACTTCTCTTCCTTCTTCTTGAGTACTTCAATCGGGTCTTCGGCTTTGTAATCAATAGTCTCATCAGCACCAAGGCTTCGACAAAACTCGGTATTGGATGCGGAGCAGGTGACTGTGACATGAGAGCATTCCAAAGCTTTGGCAACTTGGATGGCAAAGACACCGACGCCTCCACTACCACCGTTAATAAACACTCTATCCCCAGCCTTAACAAAGGGCGAAAGACATTGAAAAGCAGTCGTCCCGCAAATCCCAACACAAGCCGCATCTCTAAGCTCAACACCATCCGACAAAGCAGCCATGCCCTTACTCCCAACAACAACATACTCCGCCATCGCGCCACCGGTCGGCAATTCCGTCCTTCCAAATACCTTCTGACCGGCCTTAAAGTCATTCAGTGTCGTGGAGACAATTGTGCCAGAAAAGTCAAGACCTGGCGTGACGGGCTTGGAGAAGATGAAGTTGGCGAGAGGCATTTCAGCAATTTTGTAATCGAGATGATTGACTGATGCGTAGGCGACTTTGACGAGAGTCTTGCCTTTTGGAAGAGACGCGGCATTTTTTGGGAGTTTGGCGTCGGTGATGAGATTGAGGTTCTTGTCGATGCCGCCTTTGATTGAACGCCATTCGGCGGCGCGCATTGTTAAGGGAAGCGTGCTATTTGATGCCATAGCGGTAATTCCTGAACTTGTCTGTTAGTGACTATAGAAATTATCGATCGTGTTCTACGACTGCACCGGCCCCGTTAGCGAGACCTTATAGAATTGCTGTTCTTTGAGGTTCTGGCTGACGACAACGTGTTGGTGGCACATGATCAGGTGGTGTCGTCTTGGCTGGGGTGGTCTGATTGGTGATCAACCAATCTCGACTGGGATGTGAGATACTGTGCCAATAGGTGGACTGTTAAGAAATTATAGGCAGTCGTCATAAATGTGTCCCACCTAGGCCATTTGGTAGGTGCCCCGACAGGTCTGATCTCATGATTTCCCGCCCTCCTTCATGACGCTTCCGATTGAATGCACAGGTCGGGGTCCGCGGCTTTTCAAGGCTTGGGTGGCGGCGGGCTGATGAGAGCGGAATTCATGGTGAGACTTATAATCCGACGGGGTAATAAAGGTGTTCTGATCGCAAATGATTTAACGTCTCGCGCACTGTTGCCATCGGCCCACTTCGAAGGTATAGACTTCCAAACCTGTTAGTCAAATGGAGTCACTTGTGTAGGAAGAAAAAGGTAGAAGAAATGATCGTGTATTCATTGTAAAAGTTGGAGGAGAATGAAGTAAAGTCTATGTGAAACCGTCTCCTCCAAATGGGGATAGAGGCAGTTGTTTGTAGGAGTTGAAGACTATCCAGCTGCCTTTCAAGCCAGCTCCTAGAGCGAGTCGTCGTCCTTCTAGGCAACAACTCGGCTAAAACCAGGGCTAACCCTGACTATCTAAGGATAGTGAGTATATCCATCCTCACCAGGCTGGATGGTTCCATTAGTAATAGCTGCAGCATGACCACGAGCCATGTAACCAGCAGCGGGGTAGTACTGTCCAAGCCAAGGGTAAATCTCCTTAGCACCAGGCTTGTTCCTCCAATCGCGCATCAGCTCACAGACAATGGAAAACAGGCTAACGACCTGAACACCAGCATCGCGCATGCGATCGTTGGAGATGTCGCGGATAAGAGCGGTTGTAGTGCCGGATGCTTCCATGTTGGCCCAGACGGAGTAACCCGCGTCACGGAGGGAGAGTGCGAGGAAGGTGGTGCAGACGTCAGTGGTGATGCCGGCGAGGATGACTTGGGATTTGTTGGTGGCCTTGACGGCGTCGCGGAATTCTTCGCTGTCCCAGGCGTTGACTTGGCCTTGGCGTTGGACGAGGGGGGCTTTGGGGTACATTTCGCGGATCTCTCGCATGAGAGGACCGTTAGGACCTGAGTTGTCAGTTAGGAATTTTGGGGTATGATAGGTTTGGGAACTTACCCTGATCAGCTGAGGTAGTCAGGATAACAGGCATGTCGAAAGCCTGACCAAGAGCAGCGTGAGCCATAGACTGGTGATGATACAGTGTAGGATCCCAATCTCTGGTCAATTGGTAAAGACCTTCCTGGATATCGACCACGAGGAGAACCTAAGACTCTTAGCATCGTGAAGAAGCAGATGGTGCTGGGAAACTCACGGCATCGTTCTTGTCAAGACGCTCATACTTATAACTGCTCTTAGCAAGAGCAGAAACAGAGAGGACGCCAGCGGCGATAATGGAACTGAACTTCATTGTCGAAAGCCTTAGGTTGCTGGTTGGTATTGAAGCTGTGAGATGGCTGTTGAACCTGGAGAACTTCCTCAAACTTGGGTTGTTAACCAGCTATATATACTCAAAACTCCAACCTCGATGTGTTTTCTGCATCTTGCATGCTGCAATCTCTGCATGCTGTAAGACACTGGTGCTAAAGGTCCTGATTCCAACTCAATCCATGCCCAAATGCACAGTCGGAAATGAAGTCCGCCGCAGTCGGCCGAAGCTATCCTCACGCATATTGGCTGAACCACTGCCCAAGCCACACGGAGCCATGAGGAGCTATCCGAATATGCATAAGGTCGGCCCGCTGCAAGACCCAGTTGAAGGTGTACTGTAAGCCTTTGGCGCGGGTTTGTCATCGTGCAGCTATTCCTTGTCCCCGCTTCATGCAGGGTTTAGTAAGCTGTAGTCACCATCTTTCTCAGCAAAACACTCCATTTTGAATGCGACGGCGATGTGAAAAGATGGAGATCTACCGACGGTTAGTGTTTGGTCGGGGAGTTATTGACCGTTGGGTTGAGGTTATTTTTCGTGGCTTGATGATGTTATCGTTGCGGGTCGGCACTGATGCAAGACCCTGGGTGAGGAGGACAGGGATCCCGATGTCCCGATTGGCGGATTGGGACGAGGTGACTTTTTGAAGGCCTCGGTGAGAAACTCGTCACTGACGCATGCTTTGATAATACTCTTTGTCCAATGCAAGTTGCAGTTGAGGTCGAATTACCCCTCTTCGGGGTCTGTAGTGTAACGGTTAGGCGGGGAAGATATTGGCATGGATGAGGACCCTTAGACCTTCATATCGAGAGAAGATGGTATTATGCATGTGTTACGCAGCACTCGGAGCTTTCGGTCCAAGTTGACCATGAAGGAAAAGTCCTCCAGTGACATTCTTTTGGTGCGTGACAAATACTGAAGAGGGTAACGCTGCATCAGTTTCTCGTGCAACCCGAAGAGGTAGGCAACAAGTACCGGTGATTTGGAAAATTCAGATATGACGAAGAATGTGTACGACAAGATCAAATATTACATAATTCGTTTCCGCCTATCATTTAACCACAAAAGGGACATATATAGCCGTTCTACCATAGTCTTGTCCAAATTATCATACATAAAGTGATATGTAACTACAGCGTCTGGCATTTCCAGTCTTATAAACACATTGCACAAAGAACCTACGTCCCCCATTGAATAGATATGTATATTCTGCCAACCTGAGGGTGGGGTGGTAGGTCAATCCTAGGGAAGCGAGTTGTGTTATGAAGATAGAAAGCGATATCGATATCGATAAAATAGTCAGACTTGGCTCAACCATTTTGAGAAACTTGATGTCTGCATTCACGTCTCTTAAGCGTACCTATTTAACATCATGTTGAATATCGTCAGCGACGGCCTCAGCCTGCCATCTGTCGAAAGCTTCCGTCGAACCGATCTGCGTGAGCAACTCGTCTAACTTGTCCTGTATATGACCTGCCTCCTCACCCTCTCCCCACGCCATTACACTCGCAACCTTGGCTTGCTTCAACCAGGCCACCGCAAGCGCCAAGTTTCCAGCGCACTCGCAGATCTTTGCAATATCCTCCATAGTATACACTGCGCAATCATCATGGAATATTGGGTCTGGGTCTGGCGTTTCGAGGTGCTGTTGCCCGACTATATCGAAACAAACGCTCAGAGCGGCCGGCCAATCTTCTTGGTCAATGTATACATGCTCAACGTGCCTTAGCAGTTTGCGTTCCTGCAGAGAGATAGGGCCTAACAGGCTGCGAAGGGCACGAACTCCTTCATTAGCTACCCTTAGAGATTCTTCATAGTCACCACTACGGCGTAGAAGGGCACAGAGCCTTGACGTGGCGAGCTGAGTGAGTTCGTGGGCAGGCCCAAGTGTAGCGCGCAAGCGATCAACCACTGATGTAAGCGCACGCAGGGAGACGTTCTTATCACCTTTGTCTTTCATGAGCGTGGCTATGACCAGAGAGATAGGGTGTTGAGGATGTAATTGCGTGCGTGCAAGCTCATTGATATATGCAAGGACAGCATCTCGAACAAAAGGGCATGTCGTGGTGTTGACCGGAGAGAGGGTACTCAGTAGCTCAATAATAATAGTGGCAGTTCCCTCGTGAAATATTGCAGGAGAACCCACTGTCGAGTTCTTCAGCAATCGGAACCCTCGAGTCTGGCTTTGGCTTGAGCCGCGGACTTCTCCTTTCGCGATTTTCATAAGGTATATCGCGAGGTCGGTGTCTTGCCAGAATTGTACCTTTTGCACCGGTGCCGAGGGGTCAAAATTACCCGTTGTGTAGAAGGTTCGGATGCTGAAAAGAACAGACTCAAGGTTAGAGTCTGGGCGCTGGCGGCGAGATAGGGGACTTGGAACTAGAGCGGCAGATTTACCAAGAGAACCTTCCAGGTAGCGACGCATCTGTTCTGCCCTTTCTTCTGATAGTCTCTTATCCTCTGACGGCTGTTGATGGCCTATCGTTGTACCCGATAGACTTGTTGATGACCTGCTGACTATCTCCCAGGTGCTTTCCTCTACTTGTGCAGTTTTATTTAGCTTTTCGTCGTCGTCGTTGCTGAGAGTCGATGCTTCGAGCGATATAGTATGGGCTTCCTGCATTGATATAGTGAAAGTCTGGAATTCTCTCCGCAAAGAATCCATTTGCGCTTCAAGGTTAGAGAAGCCCTGTGCTGAAGTTGTATTGGTAGCTGCGACGAGCTCGTTGGTGGCCAATTGGACCTCGAGTCCAACAACTCCTAGTTCCCGAACCATCTCAATGTTGAGCCTGTTGAGCTTCTCTAGCTTCTGTGAAAGCTCCTTCTCGACCTTGAGTGAGACGATGGAGTTCCAGAATTGGTTTATTGCTTTTCTTTTGCCCTGGCGATTAGGGAATAACGGCGTTATCATGTTGTGGATTTCCTGCAGTACTGGATGCAGTGAATCGGCGATGCAGGTGAGACGTTTTTCCTGAGCAGGATCCAGATTGCTAAAGATGTGAGAGCCTCCCCTGCAGCTGTAGCAAAGCCTGGATATGGAGTCATCAACTTCTCTCAGGAGCTGTGCGAGCTGACCAGGGACTTCCTGCAGGTCTTGTAATAGTTTTATAGTGGCTAGCAGAGCTTTCCCAGCCATTGATACAAGCTGGAGTCCTGCTGCAAGACCGCCAACAATGGAGAGTGGGTCGGCCATGGTTGGAAAGTGGAAGGATGGTTCTCAAATGAAGTTGTTAGTTTTATCAAGCGTTTCTAGTCGATAATCCAAAAGTAGTCGATGCAAGCTTGTATCCGCTGTCTGGAGATGTTGGGCGGGGAATAACCAACGTTGATCGCTGAGGGGCCAAGCATTTCTTAAATAATAGTGGAGAGGTAGCCAACCAACCGTCACGAGCATGTACTGGGCGCAGACGCTCTAGTCAGCCTGGAGCTGATCTGACATGCATACGTGATTCCATTAGCCATTGAGGATCCGCACATAGCCACAGCCATCTTCACTGGAAGCCTTATGGATTGACGGGTATTGAAGGCTGTGCAAACTTCTGGAATAAGTCTGAGCCATCCACCATCATTGTGCACCTTTCTGCCTACTATTATTACCTCATGTTTAAACACTCTCTGGAATGGGATTTTGAGTCAGAATTTCGGGTCTATAGCTATATGCCAGAGTTATACTCTTGTCTCGTCCATAAGTTCTAAGATGCGCATAGCCTGCCTGGCGCTATGAGAGGGTCGCGAGAATACCCCTGCACAGGGACAGACCACTAAGGACGTGTAGACTTCCTACAAACGGACCATACTCTATTTTCTCTACTATCGACAACAAGGCTAAAAACGAAATTGATTGGTGATGAATCTTCCTCCGTAGGTCTGAAAGCAAAGTCTAACACGCTAGTGTATTATCGCTTTGCTAACTGGTAGTTTCTCCTCAGGGATATAATAGCGGCCCTGATCAGTAACGAGATTCAGCTCGTCCGGGTAGAAAGCCTTTGGATTCTCAACGAAGAAGATCCCCAGCCTCTCAAAGATTATCTTTCCCGGGTAAGGTCTCCTCAGAAGCAATCCTTCCTCAGAGGTAAGACGAAGTGCCCACATTTCTGAAGGATTGCTCGAGGTCTCCTGGTCGAAAAGTCCTGTCGCGGCAATCAGCGACCAATCTAAGTTGGGATCACCACGACCTTTAACTAGAGGTCGTCTCTCGCTGGCTTCTAGGAGGAACGTGTGCTTATTCATGGCATCCTGGGGATACAGCTTGCAACGCACGCTATGATCAGGATGATCCTTGGTTTTGTATTGCGAAACTCGTAGCTCGCGCATGTAGCCGTAGACCTGGAGCTCGTACGGATCTGGGAACTCCTTGGTCTCAACAATGTTGTACTCCCATCCCTCTGGGTCGTGACACCAACTGTTTCGTTCCAGGTTCCCTGGTTTGCAACATGGTGTTCCGTACCGTGCAAATCCTGCAAGCTCGTCTGTTTTCGAGCCAGCTCCTTGACTGATAGGTCCGACAAGTGCCATCCATGACCACGACGGCGCTTTTCTGATGGTTTTACCCTCATACTTAGGAACTGTGAGTGCTGGTAAGCCAGCATCAACAATGCGTCTACTTCTCCAGAGTAAACCGCAAATCATGTCACTCTCCCATAGTCCGGCCATATACCTATCTGATCGCCGCCCAAATCTGCTAACAAGGACCTGTTTGAACAGACGAACGACACCAGAGAGAGCGGCATGGTTGTCGGAGGGGTTATAAAAACTCCTCGTAGAGTATTCCATTGTAATCGAATACCACCGTTGAAGGACTGGATCCGTTCTGTCAGCAAGTCCCAAACTTCGCCGTGTGCTATCGAAAGAAGGGCTAGAATAACTCGCTGGACGAGAGTCTAGCTGAATGCGGTTCCACGGTTTATGATCTTCTTCAACCGGAGGCAGATTCGAAGCATTAAGAGCTGGGAAGAGTTCATTATACCAAACATCTGCCTCCCCGACAAAGTTGCAAGAACCGTCCTCAAACTCCTCACGCTCACGGCAACGGAACAGAAGTTGCTGCTCTCCGTAGATGATCATTCGTCTAGCCATCAGTGATTCTTGGTAGCACCATGCACGTTCAGTCGTAGGACCAATGCTGCGATCCCGCGGGAGATTAAGCCAGCAGTTAGCTTCCTCATTGCCCTCTGCGCATCGGTACCGAACTTGGCATGGTCCTACGGTTGGCGAAGATCCGATGTCGAGGAATCCATGCCGTGCGTCACTACTCCTTCCAGCCACGATAGTGAGATCCGCGTTGTTGTATATCTCTGGTACAAGCAAGGCCTGGTCTGCCCAGTCCTTCATGTCGTCCTGCCTGATGCATAGCGCATCAATCCAGATATACCGATATCCAAGCTCACGCGCCACTTGAATAGCCTGTCGATGAGTTCTGGCGAGTTTCGATAGCGCGATGCCCTTTTTGAAAGTGGCCTCACTAGCTGTCTTAAATTTGAAGATTCGCGATCCAGCGTCGCCCCAAGAATATGACAGAGCAACGTAGATACCTTGCTTTCCCTGCGTCTCAATAAGCGTAGGGTTCTTTCCTCCGATGTCAACTACTCTCGAAGGCAGTTCCCTTGGCTCATTGCCACAACAGCGGTGGTCAAAGTCGTTGCATCTATCAAGCCATGCTCTGGTCAAGTTGATCGTTTCGGCACGCTTTCGAGACTCTGAAGTCTTCTCCAGAGTTCTACCGCGTACTTCCTTCGCGACTAGTGATTCTACTTGAGGTTAGAAATTGTAGATGAGTGATGGATTCAATTGTCCAACTGACCTGACGTTGTCGAAACATTCAAATGCGCAATGAAGCTATTCGCAAGGACTTCATCGACATTTGGACCTCTTATAACCACATTTACAAACGCATCATTGAACCAAATAACCTTCCTCAATGCTGGGTCGATATCTGGTGGATGTTGCTGCCGTCTTGAAATCAGGATCAACTTGGCCCCGCGTAGGTCGGGATCGGCTTTCCAATTTTCTAGGAAATGCCGCAGGCGTGGTTGCGGGCATAGATCCTGGATGTTCGCCCATAAAAGTTGACAGACCGGGCAAGGGTGGAGGAAGTTGTCAGCGCAGGCTTTGAGTGATTCAAGATCGCGATGATGCTGGGATTCGAAAGTTTCGCTGACCTCAAGGTCATTACAATACGTGCATTGACGTGGAAGCATGGCGGTGATGAGCCAACGTTTTATACGAGCTTAACTTGGTATTAAATGGTGAGCTTTTAAATCAGAGAAAGAGCTTACAAGGACGTTTTCTCTGCATTTAGATATGAAGAATTGGTTCTCGTTAAGCGCCAGCCTGATATTCCAAGATTGCGCAACTTCAACTTGTGTGTCTATATTTAGGAACAAGCTGTCCCCGATTGCGTAGTGCTCCTCTCTCAGTGGCTACAGGTTGAAACAAAGTCTACGGTTGGTCAGCCACGAGGGGTTTTTCGACTGCTGTAACCACTAACGGCAACGGGTTATCAGCCGCACATGCAAGCGTCCCATACTGGTAAGCAAGGCGCCGAAGGTATAGCGGGTAGACATGAGGACGAGTTTCACCGATACTCATTTCTATCAATATTACCCTCGCTCTTCCAATATTCTAGCGTCGCTCATGTAGTATCACATTGCTCAGTTGAAACCCTCAGGCCAGAACTCCTCGAGCCACTCATAAGGATCCTCAGGTTCATAAGCATTCGTCACCTTACCCTTGAACTTTGTAATGTTATCCCTCGTCTCATTATACAAAGCATACTTTTCATCAGGTCCGTTTCCGACGTAGTATGGAACGGTCTGCACATTGTTGCCGATTTCTTTGTCGACAATGCTGGTGACGTTGTCGATTTGAGCATTCTTGAGACGGAACTCATCACCGTAGTTAGGGTTGATCTGGATGAGGTTAGGAAGGTTGAATGAAGAAAGTGGATGGGATGCTTACAATGCCCATTCGCAGACCGTCAACGGCAATAACGTTCTGAATAGTGGCGTTGCGCTTGGCTTGGTTGAGGCAGTTGCCGCAAGACTGGTAGAAAGTTCCGAAGCCCTCGGCGTAAAAGCCGGTGATGTTGTACTTGCCACCAAGTGAGTTGTCTTGGAAGATCTGTGAACCATTAGAAAGGGGAGTCTTCTCGCTATGTTCATTTCATACCTTGTCTGTTGCGCTTCGAGCTCCACCACCAATCACCCTCAACTGTGTATTGAGGCCCTTCGACGTGAGAGCATCTTCACAAACGTCCTCCCACCAAACTTCGTTAATTAGTATAAATTCACCACAAGAGACAGGAAATTGCTCACCATTCTCAACCCAGGCATCACCCAAAGCATGAATACCCTCAGCCTGGTTCTTTCCAATGATGACATTTCGAATAGTCGAACCAGGCAACAAGTTGAAGACAGTATCGGCATCAGTGCCCTCAGCTTGTTCATTGCAGCTTCCCTCAGGACGTTCATAGCGCTTCATCTTGCCATCAAAGACTTCACCGGGCATGATATATTTGGCATTTTTGAGGACGACTGTCTCCTTCGCGACGGGGAACTTGGTGATGGGGAAGGGGAAGCGTGGTGGCGGCCTTTGGCTGAGATCTCCCTGGGTTGCGTCGGTGTCACCTTGTTTACCATCGCCGGTCTTGGATTGACGGGTGTCGATGACAGCGGCCTGGGCGACGGGTAGGAGAGATAAGAGTAGTGAAGCCTTCATGATGAATACAGGATACGACGTTCAGACCGGGATCAGCTTGAAAGGCCAGGGAGGAAGATCAGAACGTATTGATAAAAGGTGAGAAAGGTAGAGAGGAAGATACAGTTGCTGCTTATATATGTTTTTGGCCAATATGGACAATAAGAGGTCCATACTATAGGAGCCCAGCCTCATTTTACCATCAATCCGGTGGGCTCAGTGGCTATAGAGCCATGTCACCGCTATGCATGGAACCGATAACATTAGCCTGGTCTTTCGCTTGGTTCACTCTGCGTGCCAAGACTCTGAGTTAACATGTCATGTCACTCAGCACCAAGGATATGTTTCCATGAATCATCGTGCAGCAAACATATGATTCTTTTCTTGGCATCTTATCCAAATGCTGTAAAATCCGGGGTCGTTAATTTAGGCTTCTCTGATGGCTTCGTTTGTGTCGCAGATTCCTGATCAATCTGTGGGGGAAAGTAAGACGCGGGGTACGCTTAATTCAGCCCCTGGACGAAGACGATTTGTGGTTCTGTATTCCTCCGTTCGGGGTCGGCTATTCCACCTGTCACGGGCCTAATGGACAGGTAGGGCAGGATTAACCATAAAATAAGATACCGCTGCTAAAAAGGCTAAGTTAGCTCGGGGCATTTAATACGTGAAAGCTGGTGTTCGATCAAGTAATTGTGGGGGATCTAGCAGCGATCATCCCTCTTCGAAGGTCCCGAATGGGGGGGCTGGCATCACCCCCAAACCTGGAGAGAGATGGTTGTCGATGGATTATGCTGCCCCATATGGCACTCCTTCAGGTTTTTGAGAATAACACTAATTGAATTCTAAGCCCTATTCGCTACCGGTCCTAGTAGATGGGGCGCCTCTCCTGTGTCCGTCGATCTCATACTAGCCCTCGTGAGCCGTCCCAGGCAAGCAGCGTATTGACCATTAAGATAGGGAATTGAGCCGTTGATCCCTTGATTAGATTTATTTATTATATGCTCAATTATCTACCGAATTCACACTTGTCACCTGGTTTAACTGCATCAGATCAGTTTCCTCGATGGTCATGTACCTGGAACTTCAATCATCCTCCCGGTGCCCCTAAGCTCTAAGAACATATTCTAACTTCTTACTCCCTATCACAATGATGCGTTCAGCCAGCAGAAATATCGTGCTCAGTGGACCACCACGTGGTGATCTACTGACTGACAGGAGAAGCTACCAACCGATTGGTCTAGAGCCAAGATTATCGATGGTTTGAGCGAAATGACGTCTGTGCTTAGTTTAAAAGTTCATGCTCTTCTAACTCGATCTAATGATACGTTGTATGTATCCTTCTCGATTTGTTGAGTATCATGCATCTCAGTCGAACTTGTGATGCTCGACAGTTAATGCTATTAAGTTGAACCCGGGCGGCCAGAAGTGACTTAGAGCTCACAGGTTCTTTGACTGACACCTATATATGATCCCCAAATCGCTTGGTAATAGAAAAATCACAGATTGAGCCTCTGTACACGAGGATTTGTCGCTCCTTACTCAAATTTGATCGAGTTAAAATTCGCAAACCTGCTTACCCTAAGTCTTTTTGCTCAGCATATTATCAACACGATCAGCGTCACTTTGTAATTACTTACACATTGAGCTCTATTAGTCTCAATATAGATCTATTGGTAGTTATCTGCTTGAGTAGCTCTGTTCTCGGTGATTCGGGTGATTGTTACTGCGGCAGATACCTTCATTGATCGAAACGCATCAGTCTTTGGCAATGTATTCGAGACAGCCCCCAAATATGTGAATGATGAATTAGGAACATGTAGCACTAATTCAAGAAAAAGCTGGCAAAGGTTGTTTGTTATGATTCGAGGAACATCTCACTCGTTGGGGGAACTGCTCCTGAGTCGCCTTTTCCGTGCAGATGGAAAAGCGTATGCACGATGGTATTACCGAAGGCTACCTTGCACCCCCACAATTTGCATTCGAAACTTTGGGGTATTTACCATTTTGGTCTGATGATCGAGCTTGGGAGATGGAGTTTATGCATAATTACATATGTAACGTTAAGTTGGGGAAGACCATGAGTATCACGTCGAGCCAACTGCTGGATTGTGAGCAGGAAACTCATGGAATGAATAGTAGCTCCTGAGTTCTATCAGCTCATCATTCCCTTCTCGAAGCATCAAGTGCTTGAAAGCGATATTTCTTCACCGCCAAGGACTTCGTTTAATCATTACCCCAGATTACAAAAGTCACTGCCGGTAATGACAGTGGACGAGAGATCGTCAGAATCCGGGGGAGTTTTCGGATTATCCACCAACCACGGCCATTCAGCCCAGCCAACTCCACCAATAACAAGCATCCATGACATCGATCTTTTCCGAACGTAACACCAAGCAGGCTTGAATGTTTCAGATACCTTCACGATGGAGGTCTTTAACTCAAACAAGCTGTTTGTACTCCGATAGACGCTGAGAGAGGCTCGTGATGGCATCTCCAGAAAGGGAAATTAAATCATTAGACTCCGGGGTCCGAATGCTGAATTAGGGATCGGCAGCTTGCGTGATCTTGTAGTAGTTGTAGTGTTTGAAGTTTAAGGAGAGTAATGAGCTTCTATAAGAACCTCTTGAAAGTTCGCGATAATAATATCCAAATTATTGAAACCATCGAGCTTCGTCTTTCTTCAAGAGAATACCTTTGACTTAAACAATACATCAAAACCCAACACCATCATGAAGTTCACTTCAGCCATCACTACTCTCTTCGCCACCTTGGCAGTCGCTTCTCCGCTTGAGAGCCGCGATGCCCTCCTCAAGCGCCAAGCTGCGGAGCCTTGCACCGTCGGATACTGCACCCAGAACGGCGGTACCACTGGAGGCGCCAAGGGCTCGACTGTTACTGTTACTTCAGTCGCTGCTCTTATTGAAGCTGCCAAGCGCACCGAACCTCTCACCATCATCGTCTCTGGCAAGTTGACAGGCAGCGACAGAGTTCGACCTGCATCTGACAAGACTATCATTGGTGCTGCTGGAAGCTGTAAGTCAAATATTCTCCTGTCACTAAGTCTGATCTGACAATCGTAGCAATCACTGGTGTTGGCTTCTATGTTCGTCGCCAGAAGAACGTTATTCTTCGAAACCTCAAGATCGCCAAGGTTGACGCTTCCAATGGCGATGCCATTGGCATTGATGAGTCTACCAACGTTTGGGTTGACCACTGCGATCTCTCCGGTGACCTGAGTCTTGGAAAAGATGACCTTGATGGTCTTCTTGACATTTCCCATGGTGCTGATTGGATTACTGTCTCCAACACCTACTTCCACGATCACGTAGGTTGCACTACTCCACCACCCAAGTATTACTCTTACTGACTATTGAATGTAGTGGAAGGGCTCTCTGATTGGCCACTCCGACAGCAACGCCTCAGAGGACAAGGGTAAACTCCATATCACCTACGCCAACAACTACTGGAAGAACATCAGCAGCCGCCAACCCCTCATCCGCTTTGCCACCGTCCACATCGTCAACAACTACTGGGACGGCATTCTTCTCTCCGGTGTTAACACCCGCATGGGTGCTCAAGTCCTCGTCCAGAGCTCTGCTTTTGCCAACTCTGTTGAGCGTGCGATCTTCTTTGCTGATTCTAAGGAGACTGGTTATGCTGTTGTTGAGGATGTTGATCTTGGTGGTTCGGTGAACTCTGCTCCTAAGGGTACTCTTACTTCTGGCTCGCTCCCGTACAAGGTCACGCTTCTTGGATCTAAGAAGGTTGCTTCGACTATTCCTGGTACTGCTGGCCAGAAGCTGTAAGCAATAGTTTATAGGGTCACCGTTAGGTCGAGGGGGATTGTTCAAGTTGATCTGAGATGCCAAGAAGTTGGGTATTGGAGAAGCCAAGTTGGGAGAACAGACCAAAGTTCTTGATACACACTACTTCTTTGTCGTCTCCAACAAGTGATCCGTATGTCAAGGAACCTAATAGTGAGTTTAAGCGTTATGCGATGTCGCAGACCCGAGTTCTTGATCCGGTTGAACATGTAAGATTAAGTGGTATATATATATAATCGTTTCTACCATAGAGAAGAAAAGTAAATGTCATAGCGAGACCTCTATTACAGCCTACGCTTACTAGATTGAGGCTCAAACTTGCCTTGATGAGTTCCTCCGTCTGGATCTCGAAGTTGACTATGATAATCGGTAGCGGGCAGTGGTTTAGCCAACCAGCTTAGGACCAACATCGTACAAAGAAGCATCATCCAGACCAACAGAAAGAGTAACCTTCTTTCCAGCACTGCATCGAAGTCTCATTGTAATCGTAATATCCTCATCAAAGGGCGTGAAGTCCACAAAGAGCGGCTTATATGTACCCAAATCCGTGAAGTCGAGGCGCCACTGAGACAATATGCTACTCTCCTGCAGCGCCTGTATAACACAGATGGTGCTAGCGTCCTTGACAGGCGCAGGACTGTTGAAAACAGTGGCGTAGGTGGTAAGACGATAGAGTCGCTCGGTGCTGAGGTCATTGATGGTTTGGTTCAGTTGGTTGCCTCCGACGGCTTCGGAGTCGTTGACATCATATTGCCTGCTTCTTGTTGGTGATGTCCTGGAATGGGTTATGGGGAAGACTTACACGTATTTGTTGCCGGAGCGAGATCGCTCAGGGTCGTTCTTGATGTCACTGGTTCGGAGACTCCAATCGGTGTTAGGGCTATCCTCAAAGTCGCCGTTCTGGAGGTAATTGGTAACCTCAGGAGCCTCGGAAGTAGTAGTCGTAGCCTCGGCAGTCGTAGCTTCGCTGGTAGCCGCAGAAGTAACAGTAGTGAAGCCCGTGGTGGCAGTAGCGGTCTCGGAATCGGTGACAGTAGTCACGAATGTAGCCGTGGTCTCAATTGCCGAGGTTTCAGTGGCAGTCGCGGAGTCAGTGCTAAGAGTCTCAACGCTCGTGGTCGCTGTAGTCGAAGGCAGACCAGTCGTAGTCGATCGATCGGGACGGCACTGCGGACGAGCACTAGCAGGGAGCAGCGCAGCGCCGAGGACAGCGGCGATAGAAATCCAACGCATCCTGAGTGTTAACGAGAGTAATGGCAGCGTTGTTGTATAAACGAGTGTACGAACGGCAAACGTTGAAGAGAGATGGAAGGTTCTTCTGGAAAGGAGATTACATTTTAACTACGAGTCGCGGGACGTTAGCTCCGAATGACGTGAAGTGCCACAGTTGTTTACTTTTACATGCCAAGAGAGTAATCCAGTGAGCAAAGCAAAGATTTTGGTGAGTGGTACCTTGTAGACGAAACAATAGTTTCGTAACTCTAGCCAAAAGGATCCTAAGATGCTGTCAGCTTCAGTTAGCGCATCGTTAATTCAGCTGTCATTTGCTGTAGGTGGTCAGCTAAATTCGATAGTTTCCGCAGCCTTCCAGGGGATGGCTCAGCGATAAGGGCCTAACTGATGTGGGGCCCTAGGTGCGTCGCTGACGGAGGCTTTGATAAGGATCAGCCCCTGAGCTGAAAACTGGGACGATAACCGATAAGATTCGCTCAGGGGAAATGCTCAACTTTTCTGAAGCCACCACTCATCCAGGCCTAGCGATCGATTGAGCCGTTCAGTTTCCTTTTCACTCTTTCTTTCTCCCTTACTATCTCTTGCTTCTTTTTGTTTTTCTTACCTTGTCTTTGGGTTCGTCGTGGAGAAGAATGCAGAGATCTGTCCAGAAAGCCATCATTTGGCTGGGAGCCATCTTCATCACATACTATGTCTTTTCAATTCTCTTCAACGGGCGTGCATCACAACCTGGCCACTCGAAAGCGAATTCGCAACAAGTCTCCGTCAAGCTAAAAGGCGACCCGCAACGAGCCGGAGCAATAGTCGAAGCATTCCGATTTTCGTGGGATAAGTACGAGCAATTTGCTGCACCTCATGATACGTTATTGCCGATAAGCAAGTCTTATGAGGACGATCGGTAAGTTAATATCTTTTTCTATGAGTAGTATGTTTTAATTACTGACCTTCTACAGCAATGGATGGGGTGCGACGGCAGTTGACGGGCTGAGTACAGCGATTATCATGGAGGATGCTGAAATTGTGGATAAGATTCTCCGACAGATCATGCTCACGGATTTTACTGTAACCGCGGTGCCTGATCAACCTATCTCACTTTTTGAGACCACCATTCGCTACCTTGGAGGTCTTTTATCCGGTAGGCATCTAGAGAGCTGGTGACTTGTTCCGCCCGCTGACCCTGTATCCAGCTTACGACCTGCTGTCTGGATCATACAATCACCTTGCCACGGATATCTATCTGAGAAACAACCTCCTGAAAGCGGCCGTCATTCTTGCAGACAGACTCAGCATCGCCTTCGATACGCCTTCCGGCATTCCCGACGATGAGATCATCTTTAACCCTCAGCTCCGTCGCTTCGGCAACATCGACAACTCCATCACTTGCTTCGGCACACTTGTTCTCGAATGGACTCGATTAAGCGATTTAACTGGCAACCAGACCTACGCCAAGCTCGCACAGAGAGCTCAAGATCATCTGATTCATCCTAAGACGAAACAGTCCTTCACACTTCCAGGTCTGATTGGGACATACGTCAAGCTCAAAGATGGGTATTTTGGTGATTATCAAGCTGGTTGGGGAGGTGGCTCGGATAGCTACTATGAGTATTTGATCAAGATGTATGCGTACGATCCAGTTGCTTTTGCTGAGTATGGGGAGAGCTGGATTCAGGCGGCTGAATCAAGTATGTCCTACCTGGCTTCTTCGCCCTCGACGAGACCGGATCTCATTTTTCTGGGAGAGATGCGTGGAAATACCATGATCCCTATCTCAAGTCACCGTAAGTTTTCATCCTCACTGAAGCCATTGTACGGCAGTCAGTCTAACATTTACAGTGGCGAGTGTTTGTGGCGGCTCTCTAATCCTTGGCGGGCTACTTCTTCAGAACCAAACCTTCGTTGACTTTGGCGTCAAACTCTCGGAGTCGTACTATGAAGTCTACCGCCAAAGCCCCAGCGGTATTGGTCCCGAACTCTTCCGCTGGGTCGACGACGGCCGCCAACCTTTAGCCAGAGCATCATCCAAACGCCTCCCCGCTCCAAAATGGCAATCCTTCTACGAAAAGAGCGGCTATTACCATACCAACGCCGAATACATCCTCCGTCCAGAGACCATTGAAAGTCTTTACTACGCCTATCGCGCCACTGGGGATCGTAAATACCAGGACTGGGCATGGGAGGCTTTCGAGTCGTTGAACAGAATGTGTAGGGTTGAGGGCGGATATACGGGTTTGAAGAGTGTCATGAAGACGAAGGATGATAAGACGAGGAAGTTTGTGGATAAGATGGAGAGTTTCTGGTTAGCGGAGACGTTGAAGTATTTGTATTTGATGTTTGCAGAGGATTCGGAGATGCAGGTCAGGAGTGATGGGAAGATGAAGTATGTGCTTAATACGGAGGCTCATCCGCTTCTTGTACGAGGAAAGTAGTTTATAATACGAGATGGATAAGCGGTTTCTCAGTTTAAATTATTGCAGATCTTGCGGTTGGTGGGCTGGTCTAGGCTTGTTCAAGGTTTAAGAAGGAGAGCCATTCCGATCAGCTGACTTTCCCAATCACGGCAATGATAAGAAACAGGAGATATTGAGAAACTCGCGATATCTCCCAAAAGGTCCAGTGTTACCTGACGTAGTAGGAAGCCAACGGATGGTCTTGAATTTTCAAGGTGATTTCATGCACGAACGTCTCAAACACTTCGTCGTCATTCTAACTTACCCTGTATGCACGCTTGTATCAGCCTAGTAGACACTCATGTTGAAGCCATAGGCAAATCCACGGTGAACGAAAGAGACTTTAAAACGTTACAGAAAGTCTCATGAGATTTCCAAATTATGTAGAACGGTGTTTGGTACGTACGGAGAGTCTTCACTGGAGCAAGACAGGATATTCGCGCCAGTTGAGTATCGGCAAATCCTCACGCGTCATGGAACCCAGCAATTATGCATATCGCTATGCATACGCGTGCAAAATACTAGCCCAACAAACAGAACCGAACCTCTAGCATTGCACATGGCCATCTGGGGTAAACAGCTCAACTCCCGAGGTCCCCAGTCCCTCCGCCAAAAACATTCAATCACCTTACTTATCCAGTAATGATCACCAGCGCACATGATGCCTCGTATCCATCTAGAACTCAAAAACTTGCGATGAAGATAATATTTTATCCACTGCATTTTTGCGCGCGAATAAAAGCACGGCGTTTATGCGGAGTAAAGAACCTAAAAACATAGTCTAAGCCGGTGCGTGTAACGAAACACCTGCAGGGGTCGGTTTGCTACCCCAGAAGGGATGGGAAATGTCGATCCGGGGTAATAACTACCGAATGACGTCGAAAAAAAGAGTCAACGACCGTGCTATAGCTTGCCAAGCGACAGAATAGGAATGATTGATGAGAGGTCCGTGGACTAATGGGGGCAATTGAGGACATTGAGTGGAGATGACGAGGGAGCCAAGTTTAAAAGGACTAGATGAAGTATTTGTGGCATTATAAAAGACGCAAGTATCGCGGCATCTCTGCACATTCACTGTTACGGACCTCTCAACTTCTCCCAGGGTCATTGCCCATTCTTCACCATGTTGCCCCGTCTTCAATCCCTCTCCCTAGCTCTCCTCTCCCTCGCCACCGGCGTTCACTCCCACGAAGCCCTCTCCTCCCTCAATGTCCGCAACCTCAACGACATCCGCAGCCACATCAATCTTCCCTCAACCTCAAACGGCCACTCCATCACCTGGCGCAGCAGCGACCCCTCCATCATCAGCCACGATGGTCTTGTGAAGCGTCAACCCACTACCTCCGACGTTCTCCTCGTCGCATCCCTCGAAATAGACGGTCAACTCCACGAGCGCGAGTTCAACGCCTCGGTTCGTCAAGCTGCTCAACAAGACCCATATGAAGCTTATGCGTTTTCGTACTTTACGGGTAATTCGAAGCAGGGGGAGAATATTTACTTTGCGGCTAGTAAAGGAAATAATGCTTTGGATTGGCAGGAGCTTAATGGGGGACAGCCTGTTATCACGTCGAAGTTGGGAACGAAGGGGTTGAGAGATCCTTTTGTTATTCGATCTGTTGAGGGTGATAAGTTCTTTATGATTGCGACGGATTTGTCTATTGGTAGTGGAACGTCTTGGGGCGATGCAGTGCGCAAGGGGAGCTTGTACCTTGAGATCTGGGAGTCGGATGATCTTGTGACGTGGTCTGAGCAGCGACACGTCAAGGTTTCCCCCGACAACGCCGGAAACACCTGGGCGCCTGAGGCCTTCTGGGATGATGAGAAGAACTCATATGTTGTCTTCTGGGCATCATCGCTGTACAACACAGCCGATCACTCGGACAACTCTTATCATCGCATGCTCTACTCTCTCACCCGAGACTTCGTCACCTTCTCCAAGGCCGAGATCTGGCAAGATAGTAAAACGTCCCGCATCGACACCACCGTTCTCAAATCCGGCAACTCATTCTACCGCTTCACCAAAGACGAGGCATCAGCAAGCGGCTGCACAGACATCATCCAAGAGAAGTCCTCCAACCTTCTCGCCCCCGTTGACGGATGGACCGTTCAAGCTACATGCATTGGAAAGAATGCTGGTCTTCAAGCTGTTGAGGGTCCTACTGCTTTCAAGGGCAACGCTGGTGATAGTAATGGCGAGAAGTTTTATCTTTTTGTGGATGAGTATGGTGGTAAGGGTTATGTTCCTCTTGAGACTGGTGATTTGGATAAGCCGAATTGGAAGGTTTCGGCGAGTTATAAACTTCCTACGAGCCCGAGACATGGAACGGTTATTCCCATTACTAAGAAGGAGCACGAGAAGTTGCTGAGTGCTTTTGGTGCTTGATTGGGTGATGGCTAGAAGGGATTGAGAAGATAGATAGGCAATCCATACTATTTTCAATTGTAGTTTCTGAGCATAGCTGGCCTACCGGACCGGCTTCCCCGATAATGCAAGATGTGACAACAATTGGCAATGCCCGCCTTGATCATCCACCCAGCGCTAGCTGTTTATTGAATGGAAGCAAAAGAACCATCCGATGATCATCCAAATCTCATCATTCAACCCCTCATTCATGAACCTTTATCATACGTAGCAACTCATGGGGTAAACGGCCCATGCCAAGGCTCCTGCAGATCGCTGTAAGAGCTCCAATCACAACGCTCAATTCTCATGCAAACCCCTCAATCATGCAACTCGCCATCACTATGGATAAATGACAAACTCTCAAGAGATGGCCCTGGCATTGTGAGGATCATGACGGCATTTCGCACGGAAATAATACTTATCCACCAATACGAATTGCAGGTCTTGATGCATCGTCGGCATATTCGGGATGGCATCCGTGATGGGCACATGTGAAGCCAGGCACAACTGGTATATAAGATGATGGACCGTACAATTGTGCAACTAGTATTCACAAGGGTATTTTGCAATAATGAAGTTTTCGAACTTCCTTTTCGCAGCCCTTGCGGCTAGCAGTCATGCACGAAATGTCCTCCCCCGCGGCACTCGTCCATCCAACATCCTCGACTCCCGAGCCCTCCTCCAAGACATAGTGACATTCGACGAACACTCCCTGTTCATCCACGGCGAACGCGTAACAATCTTCTCCGCCGAAATCCACCCTTTTCGTCTCCCCGTTGCATCTCTCTACCCCGATCTCTTCCAAAAGGTCAAAGCCATGGGCTTCAACATGGTTTCGTTCTATGTTGACTGGGCTCTTCTAGAAGGGAAACCTGGAGAGTTTAGATCTGAGGGGGCGTTGGACTTGCAGCCGTTTATTGATGCGGCGCATGAGGCGGGGATTTATCTCCTTGCGAGGCCTGGGCCATATATCAATGCTGAAGTATCCGGGGGTGGATTTCCGGGTTGGTTGCAAAGGGTGAAAGGGTTTTTGAGGACGAATGCCACGGATTATCTCACTGCTACTGATAAGTAAGTTCTATCGCCCAGATCCAGATCGATACTGATATCGTCCAGTTATGTTGCCCATGTCGCCAAGATCATCGCAAAAGCCCAAATCACCAATGGCGGTCCAGTCATTCTGTACCAGCCAGAGAACGAGTACAGCGCTGCACAAGGAACGCCTTTCCCAAATCATGATTACTTGAAATATGTCAACGACCAGGTTCGCAAGGCTGGCGTTGTTGTACCGCTTATTAACAATGATGCTTGGCAAGGAGGTACTGGGGCACCTGGTACAGGACCTGGGGCTGTCGACATTTATGTAGGTTTGCGCGGTGATTGGCATCAACGCCTGCTAATTTGAACAGGGACATGACGGATATCCTGTTGGATTTGACTGCGTGAGTCTGTTGGTCTAGGGGCTTTCGGTCTCGCTGACCCATTATAGGCAAACCCATACACTTGGCCGAAGGATGGTCTTCCGACGACCTGGCATGCGGAGCATGAGAAGATCAGTCCCAATACACCATACTCTATCATTGAAGTAGGGCACATACAAAGTTGACTGGCCTGATGTAATGACTGACTTTTGCAGTTCCAAGGTGGAGGTTTTGATCCTCCTGGTGGCGGCGGCTTCGATAACTGCTACGAGCTCACCAACCATGAGTTTGCCCGTATCTTCTATAAGAACAACCTCGCTGCAGGTGTTACTATCTTCAACATTTACATGGTATGACCCTCTGTCCACCCACCTTCTAGATCAAGAGCCTTGCTGACTTACTAGACCTGGGGAGGTACCAACTGGGGAAACCTTGGCCATTCCGATGGCTATACCTCTTACGACTACGGAGCAGTAAGTCTCTCACCTTCAAACCATACTGGACTGTAAGCCTAACGCTTGCGTAGGCAATCAAAGAAGACCGAACAATCACCCGCGAGAAATACTCCGAGATAAAGCTCCAGGGCCAATTCCTCCGTGTCTCACCAAACTACGCCATCGCAGAAGCAAGTAACTTCACAACCACAAAATACAGCGACAATAAGAACATTGCCGTAACAGCTTTGACCACCAAGAAAGACGACGCATTCTACGTCGTCCGTCACACAGACTATCGAACCACCGACTCAGCATCTTATAAACTCAAAGTTAAGACCTCCGCTGGAACCTTGACGATTCCTCAACTAGGCGGATCTTTGTCGCTGCATAGACGAGATTCAAAAATTCATGTTGTGGATTATCCTGTTGGAAAGTTCAAGTTGTTGTATAGTACTGCTGAGGTGTTTACGTGGAAGGGCGTTGGCGATAGGACTGTTCTTGTGCTTTACGGGGGCGCTGATGAAGTTCATGAGGTTGCGGTTAAGGGGCAGGAGAAATTGAAGGTTGTTGAGGGTGATGGTGTCAAAATTGAGAACAAGAAGGGTGCAGGTGTTTTTCAGTTCAAGACTAGCACAAAGCGTCGTGTTGTGCAGGCTGGGTCTCTTTACATCTACCTCTTGGGTAAGTCTTCAACATCATACTGCTGGGTACAGAGACTAATATGACTAGATCGCAATGCTGCGTACAAGTACTGGGTCCCTACCATCCCAAGCAAGAAGAGTGGAGAGTATGGATCGTCTGTCATGAACCCCGACGCCATCATTATCAACGGCCCATACCTTGTCCGATCTGTCTCTGTTGAAGGCCCCAAGCTTTCTGTCCAAGCTGACTTCAACACCACTACACCAGTTGAGATCATCGGCGCACCCAAGGGAGCCTCTCACCTGGCCATCAACGGCAAAGACACTCCGTTCACAAAATCTAAGCTTGGGAACTGGCTCGTCAACCCTGAGATCAAGCTTCCCTCCGTCAAAGTTCCAGATCTTAAGTCACTGGACTGGCATTACATCGACGCTCTTCCCGAAGTGAAGAAAGACTACGATGACTCCAAGTGGCGTACCGCTGATATTAAGAAGACTTTCAACTCTAAGTGGCCCCTTAACAACTCAGTATCGCTGTACTCTGGCGACTATGGCTTCCACGCCGGCGCACTGGTCTTCCGTGGTCACTTTACAGCATCTGGATCAGAGTCCAAACTCAAGCTCTGGACATTTGGTGGACGCGCTTATGGCAGTTCAGTTTGGCTTGATGACAAGTTCCTTGGATCCGTTACAGGAGCGGGCAACAACAACAACGATACGTCAACTTACAACCTTCCCAAAACCGAAAAGGGTAAAAAGCATGTTGTGACAGTCATCGTTGACAACATGGGTCTGAATGGAAACTGGGTACCCGGCGTCGATGAGACAAAGCAACCTCGGGGGATTCTCGACTGGCACATCACCTCAGACTCCGGCAAAGAGACAAAGGTCTCAAAGTGGAAACTGACGGGCAATCTCGGCGGCGAGAATTACAGGGACAAATTCCGCGGTCCCCTCAACGAAGGCGGCTTTTTCTTCGAACGCCAAGGCTATCATCTCCCATCCCCTCCCCTCTCCTCCTTCAAACCTGGTTCACCCTTCAAGGGCCTTTCCAAGCCCGGCGTGTCATTCTTCACAGCCAAACTCCCCCTCAACATCCCTTCATCAACCCACGACATTCCCTTATCATTCACCTTCAAAAACAACACCTCCAGCACAGGAGCTTACCGCGCTTTACTCTATGTGAACGGTTTCCAGTACGGAAAATACGTCGCCAACGTGGGACCCCAGACAAACTTCCCTGTACCTGAAGGAATTTTAAACTATGGGGGTGATAATTGGATCGGCATTGCGCTTTGGGCTTTGGAGAAGAGCGCTAATGTTGAGGGGTTGAAGTTAACGGCTGGTGTTCCTGTTCAGACCGGTCGGAAGCCTGTGAAAGTGGTCGAGGGGCCGAAGTATTCTAGACGCCAAGGTGCTTATTAGTGAGGGTGCAACGTTTCAATTGGTGGCGCCGTATAAGGTTCTGCTATATTTAGTGTTTGTTGGAGTGATGAGGCGTTCGGTCCTACGGTATCATCCGTGGCCAATTGAGGGTGTTCCTTTCCCGTTGGAGAATGTGTCTATCCCGTTAGAGAAGAGAGTGATTTGCGTGCCTTGTTGTGAAAAGAAATTCGCCAAGGCTTGCGTGGCCTTCGGCTTGAAGATGCCGTGATCTCCACTGTGCCAAGTGATGATTTCTTCTGTGATGCTCTCAGTCTTCACTCATTCTACTCTCTCAAAGACATCTACACAAGTCTAATAAATAGTATTCTACCAATATTGTCTCTTATGTATCAGATTTAACTATGAATGTCATTGTAGGGCTATCCTACAGTGAACAGGGTGCTGCGCCTCGCGGGATGATCGAATCGTGGATACCCCAAGCTTCGGCTGCAACGGCCCTTAAAGTGGAGAACGGCAACGACTAAGCGATCGGAACGTCCAAGCATCTCTCACCGAAGCTACGTAACGTCTCCTAAAATGAGAAGCCACTTTCTTTCTCTTTCTCTCTTTTATATCTCTCTTTTTCCTGCCAAGGGAGAGGTTTGCAGTGACTCACCGGTGTAATGATCTGTTCTTCGTGTCTTGCGTTTCTTGGCCTTCCATGTGATATTTCTATGCTCTGTATATAACCAGCCTCTCAAGCTTCTTTCGTAAGTTGTCACGCAGGTCATTATGTGAACTTTGTTAACCCATCAAGACTCATCTCTTAGGCGTCATGGCATCACTGATGATGAAGGAGTGCAACACCACTCCAGCCGAAACCATGCTTCACGATATTCCCCCGACCGAACTGTCCGTCCCCGGGCCCGACTCGGTCACCCTCGCAAAGAAGCGCTCCAACTGGTCCTGCATCGACGACAACCGCCTCCGAAACAATCTCTTCGCTGCAGTCGGTTTTCTCGAACTCGCAAACGCAGGCGACTTTGCCGCCAACGTATGGAACGACGTCCCGGTCCCGATCTACGCCATCGTCTTCATGGCAATCGGCGGAACATCTGCTTTCGTCCTCTCAATCTGCGCATTTTTTGACTCGAGAAAGGCTTGGAGGAACGTTAAGTTCTTGCGACAGCAGAAACAATATCTTGAAACAGAGAAGGAGAATCTACCTGCTGGGACTGAGTCAAGGGGTCTTGATGTTTTTATCGAGATTACGACGAGAGAACTACGAATTGAGATTATTAATCGTTGGGCGATGGATTTGTTGATGGGTGGCGGCGCGATGTTGATCAGCATTGGTACATACATGGCTATTGGCGGCGCAAACAGAAAGGTCTGGCATGCGAGTAACATCCTGTCCGGGTATCTCGGCAACGCCCCCATCGCTTTATTCGGCCTCATCAGTGCGATTTGGGCTACAATGGTGGTATCCAAGATGCGATCGCACGTCACTGTCGCGAAGAAAGAGCTTCAAGGTTCATCATCGTTACCATTATTGAAGCAGAGATGTTTCAACGTTCAACTGTTCTTCATCCTCAATGGTATTGCCAATGTTCTTGGTGGAGTTGGTTCCATGATTACGGCTGAGCGATGGTGGGGTTATTGCATTCTTATTCCTGTCATCGTTACTTCCATCTTCTGTAACGTCTGGTGGCGACACAGAGTTGGATACGATCGGCCTTGCATATCCGCTGTACCGCCGTTGAACATGGATAACATCACTGAGGCACTGGAATCGACTTCGCAACTACGACATACCGTTCAAGACAGCGCTGGCGTCAGTCTTGACCAGATCTTCGGAGAGGAGGTCACGTTACAGGATGTCTTGGAGTTGTTTGTCGAGCATGACCTATTTGAGCAATTCAGTCTCCGACTGGTGGCCAACAAAAAGCTTGGGCATTTATTCGTGAAGGCGCATGAGGCTCGAGTGCAAGTCAGTGTCGCTACCATCCTGGATGTATCAGAGGAACATCATCCACTCATTCTGGGAGCCGCACTGCGATTCTTGAAGAAGCAGGGACCAAGACACTTGTTGCACCGGGAAAGATTCCTGATTGAAGTCCTAGGAACCTACCTGAATCAGGAGAAGAAGAGCCAGTCGGTGGAAGTCGAGAAATGAGAGACTAGACTTTATCTTGTGTGCTTTTCCAATTCGTTTCTTTGGAAGTGGTGCGTCGTTGATTCGATGATGTACACTTTATAGCAGGTCTTGCAGGTCAAGCTGGACTTTTAGAACTTTCGTAATGCTCAATGGTATTTTGCTTATCTGATTAACCTTCTCCGCGCTTAAATGATATTGAGCCGCGTATGTACGTGAACACTGCAACATCTGAGGCCATGATAACTGCTAAGTCAGCCAAAGACAAACTCCTGGTAATTCTCAGCTATTTTCCCAACACCTTCTTCCAATCTCCAACCCTTAACCTCACAAATGGCCCGGTACATCTCCTCAAGCTCACTGTCCATCCTTTCGCCAGCCGTATGAAGATCACTCTCAACCAATATCCTGTTGTCCGGTACTATCTTTATCGCATCTTCCGCCTTTTTCCTCTCTTCATCGGATCGCAGATTGTTGGTCTTGGAGAAAGAGAAGAAGATCTTGGCTGGGATGGAAGGTTTGAGATATTGCTTGGCAGCGTCGGATAAACCGCTGAATGAGTGAAGACAGATTCGTGGAGGGTATGGTTTTGGAGCGCCTTCCGGTGGTTGTGCGGCTTTGCCCTCTTTCTTCTCTTTTTCCCTTGAGCGGCGACCTCGAAGCTCATGGCCTTTCCAGCACTCCGTCAACGCATCGTAGAGAATGCCGTGGACCTGAACGCCGTGAACACTGACCGGTCTTCCAAGCTCTCCTGCTAATTTGAGATGCGCCATGAAAACCGCTTTTTGATGAGATAGCTGTATGCGATGTTGACTGAGTGGTCTCCTCTGACGACCTCCTGGTGTACGAGCGGGATCTAGCTCTGGCTTCGGATCCGGCCATTGCATAGGTAGTCGGAATGGCTTATCAAGACCAATCTCTCCAACCACCGCAAAAGAATCTTCCAGTAGTCGAGCTCTAGTCTCAGAGATAAAAGTTGAGAGTGCTATCGGTACTGGGAGATGACGCCAGAAAGCTGGATCTGTTGGAGCTGGTGAAAGCACAGCCTTGTAGTGCGCCGCCTTCGCGTCCTCGACGTACGCAGAGGGTACGTATGTCGGAGTCTCTAGCGAGTCGTCAAACAATTCATGGCAGAACCACGGGTGTCTGCCATAACCTGCGATAACAGTCGTTTTGGATTGTGAGAAACATTCGGGACCTTTGACCCCATGAGATTTGACGATTGAGGCAATCAGAGGTTGATCCTGAGTTCGCGTTGCCATTATTGCTACGGCACGAGATTTCATGTTTGGCAAATCGGCTACTGAGTTTATCCTCTCTCCAATGTGATTGTGCGCATCAAAGACTCCGATATGCCAAGGAAATGGCTCTGAATGATTTGGTGACGGCTCTGGCACCGAGCCTTCTTGGTAGTCGTGCATACACATCGTGACGGTTGCTAAACAGGCAATGCGAGCACTTGGTCGTATTAATTCTCGTATTGGGTTGATCAAGATAAGAACAAACAGTATTGGGGACTTTATAAGGCATTGTGTGATGAGTCATGCTGAAAATGAGTCATCTTCCCTGTCAGCATATAGGAGTGATGATGGATCAACGCCATCAGCCTTGCACAGCCTCACGCGTCCAAGTCGCTTGCACCTGAGTTGATATCATTTCATCTACAGATATCATTCATAAGATCTCCACTATTGAAGTTCCTTTCTTTGATCTGTCTACCTTTACTTCTGTTCACTTCACTCACGTACCCTTTGCATCCCCCCAACAGTTGCCAACATTACATACTAAGGACATGACGCAGTTTCAAATGAGCATGTACTATTCTCAGGAATATTACTCTCATATATCTGTTCGGGCTTTCGTATGCCTACAGAGATTCTTGACAGACGGTATAGCCATTTAGAAGAAGAAGGCACGTAATATTGAACCTCCAGGCAGGTGCGAGGGCGACATAGCACTTGTACAAACGACAAGTTAGAAATAAACAAATTCTTTGACAATACTATTCTATATACTTAGGTAATACGGTTAATATGAAAGATAAGTACTGCTCGAAGTCGCAACAGGGCTGATCTTTCAGTGCTTACATCACATGATCTCACAACGTCATCTTGCTCAGCCATGATAATTCCCTGCGGACTTCGCTCGCAATTTCCGGTCCTGTGGACTTGGCATCTCTATATTTCAGTTCTTACTTGCCAATTAGTGCGGACGTTCCATAATCTAGGACGTTTAAAAGGTTAATGCTTCGCATTCGGGTCACTCGGTTGTCTACGAATGTCTTCATATGCGACGCTTTCGTTCTATTTTCACTTTTATCCACTCAGTTACGCCCCCTGGGACTCCATTCTACATCGGTAGTGGTCATATGCCGAGTCGTGTCACTGTCTTCGCGTAGACTCGGACATCAATTCATCAGGCTCGCTTTCGCTTAGGCCTCGATCATCATCATGCGCAGAATGACTGCCAACATCGATCTCCAAGATATTAAACATTGGATATTGAATATATAAGCTACAGCACATCGTCTTCTTTCAAAATGTCTCCCTCCTCCTCATCTCAATGCAGCAGCACTCAAACTTCCAATTCCAACAACCTGAAATTGTATCCTTGGCTCTTGCCCAACCAACATCATTACCACGCCAACCATGAAACTTTGGACCAAAGCAATTCTCTCTTTGGCGCTCTTCTCGCCTCTAATATACGCTGAGGCATCGTGGCCAAAACCAACGAGCGGAAGCTTCAATATTGAAGACTTCTCCTTCGACTCTGGCGAGATTATTGAATCCCTCAACATCAGCTATCAGACCCTCGGCGAGCTCAAAGTTAACCCCAATGGATCCAACAACGCTGTCCTTCTCCTCCACGGAACTACAGGTTCCAGTGCTCAGTTTCTCGTGGAAGAGTTCGCTGGTGCCCTCTTCAACCCGGGCCAGCCTCTGGATGCTACTGAGTACTTCATCATCATGCGCGATGCCATCGGCCACGGAAACTCAAGCAAGCCCAGCATCACTGGTCTCCGTGCTTCTTTCCCTAAGTACCAGTATTCTGATATGATTCGCGCTGATCATCTCCTCTTGACTGAGCACTTCAAACTTAACCGGACTCGTCTGACGCTTGGTGTTTCGATGGGCGGTATGCATACTTGGATGATGGGCAGTGAATACCCCGGTTTCTCGGACGCTTTAATGCCCGTTGCCTGTTCTCCTGTCGAGATTGCTGGACATAATCGCTTGTTTCGAAAGTTTATCACTGAGCTCATCACAATTGATCCAGCTTGGAAAGGCGGTGATTATGAGAAACAGCCTGCTGCCGGCCTTGGTGGTGCACTTATGATTCAGCTTGTACTTCTTTCATCTCCTTCATACTGGCAGCGAGTATTTCCAACTCGTGAAGCCGTGGATAAGTACGTTGATGAGCACATTATTCCTCGGCTTGAGGAATACGATGCCAATGATCAACTCTATGCATGGAACGCATCGCAGTCGTACAATCCCAAAGCCGGTCTTAAGAACATCAGAGTTCCTTTGACTGCCGTCAATACTGCCGATGACTTGCTGAACCCAGTCGAACTCGGATTCTTGGAGGACGGTGTCACGAACGACATGACGCCTGGATATGGTCGAGCAGTTACTATTCCTGCGAGCAATGAGACCACTGGACACGATAGCTACATCATGGCTGGTCTTTGGAAAGATGAGCTTGAGAAACTCCTAGCTCGATCGGGCGCGTAGAATAGGACTTGGCTATGCTGAGGGCTGGTTTGGTCACGCAACAAGGGAAGACCTGACGATACAAGCGGCGTAGAGTCTAAGCCGATCTTCCATGTAATTAAATAAGATAGTCAAACTGATTGATTGAAATCATATGTTGACTCCATAATATCGATGCGTCAGTGATGGTGATATTTGACGTCACTACGATGAGATTGATGAATGTGCTCAGAGTGAGGTCATGACATCATGAAAGGACCCTGATAGCATAACTACCATAAATACTGTTTCACTTCCTTAACTTGTAAAGTTCCATCTCATTTTTTACTACTACTCAGTATCTACAGCAACTATATTCAGCCCCAAAACCCAACCACGAACTGCGACATGTCTGACCCAAAGCAAGGCGGAGATCTCTTCGAGATGGCCAAGGACGGCACATCCAGTCAGTCCTTTCCTCCCCTCCGAACACTTTTCAAGTGACTAACGTTCGCTTCTCAGTCCCTGGCGACGCTGGCAAGCAAAACACAATCAGCTCAGTCCCCAACCCTCATCAACGCGACGGTGAGGCCGCGGGCGGTCTTGGCTCAAGCGACTTGGCTGGCGCGGCAGATAACGCCGTGCTTTCAGCTTCTGAGGGCAGGGAGTCTGGCGTCGGCGAGGGAATTAGCGCAACTGGTCATGATATTCCTCAGTCGGTCACAGGAAAGCCTGGTGGTCGGGGAGGTACCCAGGGCAAAGAGGAGATTAGAAGGGACACGGGAGCTTTTGCGAATAAGGAGAATTAGGTAACGATACAATGAGATATAAGAGCCATTCTAAAAATTGTCTTTTGAGCTATGTGACTAGTTGCTGTTATTTTTTGCCTGGTCAGATGGGCGGCGATTCATCCGGGAGTGAAACCTTGGCTCCCCATGATCTACTTGGTAGCAACCGCAACATGAGCCTGGAACATGATCTTGTTCCTCCCATCCTCAAGCTTCTCAAATCCCTCCGTCTGCGTCAGCGCTTCTATCACCGCTTCTACAGCCGTATCCCAGTTCTCTTCATCAGACTCTAGCCATCCCGCCTTTGAAGTACCTCCAATGAAACTCCAGATCATAGTAGCAAACCGCTTTAGATCTCCAACAGTAACATGAACATCCTTCTGCGTGATCGCGACGTTATCTGGCGTGAATCCTCCCTTGATGATAACGTCGCGCAGATGGACCTCATTTTCCCATTTGTCCAACCCCTCTCGCGGTAAAGGGGTAGCAGCTGGTCGAGTCTTTTTCGCTGCTGCGTGGATCGCAGGAATAGTTGGTGTGTGAGCCCACGAGTTGATAATGGCAATACCTCCTGGCTTCAAAGTGCGGTGTATCTCCTTTATCGCATCGACACCGTCATTTGGAAGAACGAACAACAGCGCGTTGCCAATACAGTGAGTGAAGGTCTCATCGGGGAAGTCAAGAGCCGACGCATCCATCTTGAAAGCTTCAGCAGGCCACTGATTCTTGGCTACGTTCTGTCGGTATAATTTCACGACGTTTTCATCAATATCGGTGCCTTTGATTATAATGTTGTCTTTTTTCAGACTAGCGACAGCCGCCGTGCCAGCCCCAAGGCCACAGCCAACATCGTGAAAGATGACTTCGGAATCGCCGAACGGCTCAATGCAGGTAAGAGATACAGCAGCAAGGCGTTCCATGCCATCACCAACGATTTCTCCATATAGCTCTGGTGTTGGCGTCAAGGCCTGCTTGGGCGAGAAAGTTCGGTCGGACTCTGGGGCATTCATCTTGAGGTGAAGGTTGAGATAGGGAAATGGGACAAAGTTTACTCTCTACTTGTCAATGGCGTTAAGAATACAGCCAAGGCCTCGAATATGTTTATATATTGTGATGTTAAATGTGCCCGGGATGTATCCGCTTACGACCCTGCGTGTTCAAATATGTTTCCGATATCAGCAAATGTCTGAGTAAGCAATCCTTCCTTGATCTTGACTAGTACAATCTCGTTTGTATTTTGAGAGTAGAGTTCCTTCCTTATAAACTCTAGCTTGTGTTTATTCATAGTCAGTTAACGGGTATTAACGTTAAGAGCTGTCTAATCACTCCACTGTCTGTAGAGAAATCTTCATCCAAGGCGCGATACAGTCAGCAGTAAACATTATGATAGTATGTCCATTACAATAATTATCTCCAATGTAACCTATGTCAGTAATCACCTGAGTGTTTAGTATGTCGTGTGTCGATGCTGATGAGTTTGTTGACAAACATATTATATATACCAGCTTGATATGTCAAGACTATTTATCATGGCAATACCATATTGCTCTACAAATAAGGATAACAACTGGGTCCTATGACTATAAAATTATCGCTGACGCTTCTTGTATCTTGCCTCATGAGATACTTATGAGATTTGCACAGACTTCACAAATTAATCATGAATTTAATGCTTGTCGAACCGTTCGCAGGAAGGAAGATGTCAGCTTTAGATACACATTAAAAGATGCATCCAAGGATTCCGGGATGAGTGACCAAAGTAATATCACTCACATCTCGCCAATGGCTCGGCACTCAAGCTTTGACCGCTGAAACTATACTGAGCTTATGATGGACTAAATAAAACATGGTCATTACAGTTTCTATTACCAGCCACCTATAGACGCTTTGGATCAACAGCAGTACCGATGCTTACAACAAGATGCAAAGAAAGAGCCGGTAGGATGGTTAGTCATTGGCCTATTTCTGAACACTCAGATAAAATTGATATTAGTCACCTTCTCACCCGACCTAGGATCCGAAATCCCGTTTTTCTGTTCAACCCCGAGGATGGTCAGTGTCTTTGATCATTTGCAGAAGAATCAACAAGAATTTGACAGTCCCAGCTCTTGAGATTAATAATGTTGAATTTAATTTCAACATCTAGAAAAGCAAGACCTTTTGCATTTACTTTTCTAACCTGCTTTTTTAAGCCTTGTTACGCGTTCCTTGTATTCTGATCGTGCATCACGAATTGCCGTTACACAAGTTTCTAGTTACCTACCCTGTTGACCGCTTTCACTGTACCGCCATAATTCTCCTCAAAGCGAACGAGAGTGAAATAAATGATACTTATCTTACACCAGTAAAGGTGATCAAGAAGAACCCTTATCTCAATCGGATAAGGCCTAGTGCTCAGGCGACATTCATGATTACCACAGGTTCCCCTCATCTCATTGCTCACGAGGATGTAAGCGGGAATAAGTGCGAGGATGTGACGTAGTGGGGGTTCTGCCAAGCATGCGTGACAGTTCAAGCAACAATGAAAGGCGGGCGTAAAGATTGCAGTATTCCCGGTGACGTCGTTTCTTTGACGATGCCCTCATTCATTCCTCGAACAAGTTACTGCAAAGTGCTGGATGATTGTCACATTAGAGGCGTGCGGCTGTAGGGATTGTGCAGCCACTTTATACCCGTAAGCTTAAGTTTAAGGTTACGGTGAAAAGGGTCTGATACAACTCGGTTGCCTAATCTTTTGGCATGAGACAATGCAAGATCGAGTATCACAATCACAAATATGCTATTGCTATCCCAGTGAAGATCTCGAAGGTCTGAGGGTATCGTGGCAATAATCTGGGGGTTATAGATCAGCGACAATCCGGGGATGATGATCGTGGATCAGAGATGGAGTGATGGAGGGAGTGTTTGTCCAATTAAGTGACCAATCGCGGAGAGAGTCAGATGATAGACATGATCAACGCCCGTTATTCAGCACTAGTCGATTGAATTCTGTTGATCAAGATGATCAAGATGTGAAGTCACTCTATCTCTGCACTTCTTCAAACAGAAGAATCACATCTCACCAACACTCTCACCACCAAGATCGGTCCCGAATACTTGCACAAGCCAAGACCCAAACAAGTCCGATCGTTGCGTTTAGGCACCCTTATTCCACCGTCGCACCAACCTCTCAAAACGGCAAAAACGAGCGTCGATGGTCTCATCCTCACTGAACAATCAACCATTACGGTTTAGCGTGTGTCTCGGTGATGTTACACTGCACATAAACAAGAGCAAGTTTCCAACGGCAGATTCTTCAAACTTTTACACTATGAGCTTCTAGACTTGAGGGATATTTTACTCAACAAGTTCTCAAGTCATTCTCAGACCATAAACTGTTCAAAATGGCTGCAAATTGAGAGAGCTATAGCAACGCTACTGATTTTTATTTGGATGCCTAGAAGATATCTCCACTTGAAAGGGACAGAATATGGATGCCTTGGCAAGTGTCTCCACTACGTCATTTGTGCCGCTTATCCGATGACGTTTAGGCAGCCGAATAAATCGGTACGTATCGCCTTTAACCCGCAGAGAATCCCCAGACCCCAAATTTCAAGGTGTTCAGCGGCTTTTTGCTAGCGCGTGGAGACATCGAGATGATTCGTTGTAGCGGAGAGAGCTTCTCCAATTTTCATGAAGGATCTCCATGGGGAAAAGAGAAGGTGTGTTGAGATCAGGGAGGCGTTGCCGTTGATACTGCTCTCATACCAGAGGCTGTAAGATTTTGAACACTGAAGCTCAGGTAGTGTTAATAGTAATTGTGAGATATTGTGAAGGATGGAATCATCCGTGGAATGGAAAGTTACCCTGTCAACTCCCGTGTTCAACATCGGAGCATTCAGTGTAACCCCATACAAGAAGTAAAGAAAACCCCTGGTTCATTCCGAGACAATAACCTTAACCTTTCCACAATTTCCAAGTCCATCTCCAAATTCTGGTGGTCAGATATTGTAAGGTGCATGTGGTGGATACGCTTAAACGCCCGCCCACCATCTTCCTCTTCTCTCCATGCAAGCATAGACCGGCTCATCCTTAGACTGGCTCAGAGGATGGGGATGAACCGGGGATGAGCGATGATCCTATCCAAACTCATTCCCCCAGGTCTCACCCGCACAATTCAATTGCCAAGTTATTTAATCTACCCTTGGCCTCTTCTCCCCAGGTTCTTTTTTCCTTGGCCTTCAGTCCTCACACTTCTTCTCCTCTTTTACATCTTGACTCATATTCACAATGGATAACAAGGAATTGGGCCCTGACGTCCCTCAGGCGTCTCATAATGAGAAGGACGGTCTCGGCAATGCCCATGATCTACCTTCCAGCGGTGGAGGTCGTCGTGGTTCGACTGCCGTGAACATTGTTGAGAATCCACTCAAGGTACGCTTGGCGATCTCTTGGCTCATCGCCGAGCTTCTTAGTCAATCGCCAAGAAGCTCGGCGATGCTGACCCCAACGACAATTGACCTCACATCGTCAATTGTGATAAAATTTAATACTTTCAATACTGACATTGACATTCACAGCGCGTCACACCTGAACAAGCAGCCCACGATGCCCGTGTCTTCGCCGAAACCCACGGCCTCTCCGAACACGCAGAACTCTTCTCCCGCGCCGCCCTTGTCGCTCGCGACCAAGAGCAGTTCAACATGGTGAAAGAGCTCAAAGAAGATGAGCGCCAAGCCCTAGAGTACGAGCGCGATCATAAATGGCACGGCCCAAAGATGCTCTGGTACTCTATCTCTTTGTGCGCCATTGGCGCTGCGACTCAGGGTTGGGATCAGACTGGTTCCAACGGTGCCAACTTGTCATTTCCTCAGGAATTCGGACTCGATGAGGAGAACAGCGTTCGTGATCAGTGGATTGTTGGGCTTGTCAATTCGATTATCTTCTTGACTGCTGGTTTGATGTAAGTTGATCGACTTCATTCACTTTGAGTGAGCAGTTGCTAATGAGTACAGTGGCGCTTTCATCGTTGATCCGCTGAACCATTACTTCGGTCGTCGCGGTGAAATCTTCATCACGGCCTGCTGTCTCACCGCAACCCCCATCGCATCCGGCTTCACCCATTCATGGCAAGAGCTCTTCGCAGTCCGCTTCGTAATGGGCATCGGCATCGGCGCCAAAAACGCCACCGTCCCAATCTACTCCGCCGAGATGGCACCAGCCCGCGTCCGCGGCGCATTGGTCATGTTCTGGCAGCTGTGGGTCGTCGTCGGCATCTTCCTCGGTTTCTGCGCCAACGTCATCGTCAAAGACACCGGCGATATCTCCTGGCGCCTGCAGCTCGGTTCTGCGTTCATTCCCTCGTTTCTTCTGGGTATTGGTATCTTTTTCTGTCCTGAGTCGCCGCGTTGGTTGATGAAGCATGGAAAGCATGCTAAGGGGTTTAGATCGATGCAGAGGTTGAGAGCGCACGATATCATTGCGGCCAGGGACTTTTACTACTCGTGGATTATCTACGAGGAGGAGTTGACTGTTGCGCGTGGTGCGGGCTATTTCCAGCGTTTGTGGGATTGCTTTGCTGTCCCTCGTATTAGGCGCGCGAACTATGGTGCTTCTACCGTCATGATTGCCCAGCAGATGTGCGGTATCAACAGTAAGTTGCAATCTCCCCACCAAGTTTCAATTACTAACCGTCTCAGTCATTTCGTTCTACAGTTCCACCATCTTCCGAAATGCTGGTTACTCCGCTGTTGAGGCTTTGTATGCTTCCCTTGGATATGGTGCTATTCAGGTCATTGCTACCATTCCCACTTTGTTCCTCATTGACACCAAGGGACGACGAACTCTCTGTCTCATCGTAAGTGAGAAAGACTCATTTTCCATTACATTTACTAACACCGCTTAGACTTTCCCCTTCATGTGTGTCTTCTTGTTGGCCGCCGGTCTGTCTCTCCTCAATCACAGCGGCAGCCGTGGCGCTCAAATCGGACCTGTCGTTCTGTAAGTCTCTCAACCAATTCAATTAAGACTCACTAACTAACCTATCAGCTTCGTGTACCTCTTTACCATCGCCTACTCCCTCGGTGAAGGTCCCGTCGCCTTCCAATACTCTGCCGAAGTATTCCCCACCATCCAGCGTGAGCAGGGTATGGCCTGGGCTGTCTGCATCAACAACACCTTTGGTAAGTATCCAAAACCGCATTAGAGTAATTATTACTAACACATCAAAAGCTGGTGTTCTCGGTCTGACATTCCCTCGAATGACCAATGCCATGACTCCCACTGGAGCTTGTACGTATTCTCTAC